AAGACTCGCAAGGACGGACGGACAGTTTCGCTCCCATACACAACGTTGCTGCATACAGTACCTCTGCTTACCATATTGACATTTCTGAGCGCTCTTGTGGCATATGCTCACGTTTTCCTCCTGCGCATATTTGTTCGTCCAGTTATGATCGCAACATCAGTATTCATACCAGCCACACTTTTTATCTCTGCTATTTGGGCATTCGTTGGTAGTTTCATGTGGGATGGAGACCAAGAACCGACTTGGGGTGAGACAGTTGGGTGAGCACCCTTTCTGGTTGTTTTAACTGTGGAAGCTCATTACGGTGTCCAGTCTTCGACTATTCTCACTTGTACCCCTCGTTCTCTCCATCATCACTGCCAGACGCCTAGTGAATTTACCCCGAGAAATCCATTCAACTTCCTCTATCCTTGACCTTACCACACGGCTTCTCATTGAAAATCCTTTCCTTCTCGCTCTCTCTCCCGTGATGCTTCTCGCCATGCTGGTTGCATCTATACCATTCATTACTCTGATCTTTCGACTCCTTTTGATTGGTTATGTCCTTGAACCCAATGGGACATTAGAAGGGCATGTCCAAGGATGGGCGAACTGGGCGATATTTGGTGCGGTCGGCGTGTGGCTTTGGAGCTGGGGCATTGCAAAGGGGATGTTGCGTACGACTTGTGCGGGTGTTATTGGCGCTTGGTACTTTGCTGAGTAAGCGTTATTTTTTTCCTTACTTCTTATCTCATTTACTCATGATTTCAGCCCTGACGTTCCAATCCCACTGCCAAGCGATACTCACATCATCCATGCTGCTCTCATGCGGGCTGCATATCCATCTCTCGGATCGATTGTCCTCAGCGCGCTCATCCTCACGGGTATCCGATTGCTAGGGCTCCTCACCCTGGCCCTGCGCTGGCTTCCGCTCTATCTACCGCTTGCACTGCGTCCATGGTGTCGGCCTATAATATTTGGTTCGGGCATGGCAGTCTCATATCTAGAGAGCGTCACAACATCCTTGAGCAAGTATGCGCTCGTATATGCTGGGTTGACTGGAGACCCCTTCTTTGTGAGCGCAAGGAGAGCCCAGGCTCTCACTGCCTCCGTTGAGACTGCTAGCGCAGGTCGGTACCGCAAGAAATTCAAGACTGAACGTGCGTATCGTCTTTGTGGCCCGCACAACCGTAGCTGACATGTCATTCAGCACCATTACGGATACTTACCTATGCACCATTAACGCTGACATTCCCCTTCGCACTTATGACGTATCTTTTTGTCGCACACACATTGAGCGCACCTGATTATGCGTTGGGGGCCTCGTTGCTTGCTGGTGGTGTCACCGCACTCGTGGGCTTGTTTTGCGTAGGACTAGTCAAGGATGTGTACGTTTTGATCAACAGTACAACGTTCCCGTGCTAATCATTGCCATACTAGTGCTGATACGCTGTATCTGTGCTATTGCATCGACAAGGATGTGGGCGAGAGACACAGGGAGGAAGTATTTGTTGCTGTGAGTGTATTTTGGATCGACTTTGGGACACTACTTAGAACCACACTCAGCTCGAATACGAGATACAACCTCGGACCGCAGCTCGATCACAACCTCAGGCTGCGGCTCCACCGCAACCGCAGGCTCAGCCGCGCTCGTCGTTATCAGGTCGGCCTGAACAGGCATCTCCGACTCGGGCAAAGTGTCCAACAGCCATCTCTCCTCCGCGATCCAACCCACCGCGCGTACCTCAACAATATACTCCTCCCTCTCCGAAACCTGTTCCGCGCCCTATTCAACCTGTCCAACCTGTTCAGCCGATACAGCCAACCATCCCAGATGCAGACATTGATCCTTTCGAGCACGAACCTATAGGGTTTGATGGACCTGCAGCTCAAGTCCATGGGTACGATCTCTCCCCCGAGCCTCGTCGCACGTCAGTGGACGACGAGAGCCTTGATGAAGACGACGACCACGGCGAAGAGTCGCAGCTTTTCCCAGGTTCAGGGCTTTTCTGAAACAAGTAGAACGGAGCAATCGAACTTGTTTATAATTACACTAATCTGCGATGATGGTGACATCTTATGATAGATTAATCGCATCATGCTGTCCACTTGCACGTCTTGTTTTTGTATTTAATGTATATTCATCTACATATTCGTGTTCTTGACCTGATAACGATGTAGATTGAGAAGATTCAAGTACTTATGCAGTATCGGATTTGAAGGAGCTATACAGCCTAGCTGGTAGCACTGTCCTCGTTTCATAATCCTTTGACTAGGGAGTCCTCTTGAGCGTCTACACATATGTTGTTCACAGGTGTGATGCAGCAAGCCACGTATAAGCGCACTTGTACTACTACTGCAGTGCTGCTGTTCTAAGTTCTCCCAGATTGGCGTTCCGAAACTTCCGATGTCTCCGACACACGCAGTACCGAGTCATTAGCACTGATTATTTCAAAGCAACATCAACAACTTCTAGCTTCGACGGTTCTGAACGGTTCTATCAGATAGCGCCCGACTCACGGTTACTGCACCGACCAAAAAATGTCAGTAAATCAGTTCAAGGGTCCCTATGACCCTTCTATTATGGCAGAGTCCTATGCACAATGGGAACAATCGCTCGAAATCGAAATCCAACGGACTTTTGATACTGTCAACCGCGATATCCTGGATGGCTATATGGCTAGAGACCTTGCCAGGCTCAAAGACCCCCAGGTGGACCCGGATTTCCTTTGTACATGGACTGTGTGTGGTGTCTGTGTCATAATAATTTGAATGTAATTCCAACTGCTGGTTATTTTAGGGCCTCCTATGGGACAGGACCACATTGTCAAGGACCAGAATTGAAGCACAACGAGCACCCATCGGGTTCAACTTCCTGATCAAGACCTGCTTAAAGTACAACCTAGTCGAAGTCATGATATTGATTACGTCGAGATATGGCACGTTTCGGCTCGGCATGAAGAATGGACATGCTCTGGCCAGTTATTGCGGACTCGCAGTACTGGTGGACCTCTTGCACGTAGGGACGGATGTCGAAAGAAAAATCGATTGCTGAGGAGATGATGAATCACAACATTGTAGATCTCTGCTTCAAGGTGAGTGCACATGCGATGTCGTTGGGACGAAATCTGAATGATATAATATAGAACATAGATAGCTGGCTCTGCGCACACCGCAGACTTGCTGCTAGCACCATTCGCTCTTTGGCTGGTCTGATTGGGGACAGGATTCCTGCGGATATGGTGGCGGATATTATCGCGAAGCTCTGTGTCTTTGTGCTCCAAGGGCCCCGAATTTTTGTCGAACAGTTCTATGCTCCGGAGACAAAATGGCAGGGTGGAATAATTGTTTTAAGAGGGCAAAATGTGGGTCTTTGACTGCAGACGTTTTCATGGAATTAACTTCATTCCCTCCTCATCTGTTTCAAGGCTTCCGAAGCAGAGGTGGCTAAATGTGCTCTGCGATACTCAGGACTGGCCCATGACGATGCTCTCTGGGCTGCTCAAGGTCTTGTTTGTACCTATCCCATGCTCCCTACGAAGTTTCGCCTTGAAATTCTTAAGAAGAGGCCGGAAATTGTCGACTTGTTGTTTGATTGTGCGATCACGCCTCGACCAGCATGGTACCCTGAGCGGCAAAGTGATGCGGTCGCATGCGAAATCCTTGCACTTCTATTCCAATGGCCTCCTTACATAGTACCCGGCGTGTCTTCGCCGTTGGATGGCTCATCGAGAACCCAGGAGTGGAAAGCTTTGTCTCAAGCCCTAAAGATGTTGACCGCAAGACAAGAATGGAGCGAGAAGCTAATTGAAGTGTGGATGAGCGTTGAAGAAGAGGATTGCCGCCATGTCGAGTCGTCAGTTTATACTGTTGATTGCACTTTTGTTTTTGACCCTTTTGTTCATAGGCTGTTCAACAACGTCAAAAATTATGGAGCAAAAACTCTCCTTGGGAAAAGGACGTTTCAACTTGCATTCGAACTACGAGGTATGGTAGCTGGGGTCAGAAGATGCTTCACTGCTGAGTTTGTATCTGTTTTGTTCAGGCATTAAACGGATAACAGTCTTGCGGTTGATTACTACATTGACTCATGCAGCAGACTCATGTGGCATTACCAACGCAGAGTTGGAGTCTCTCCTTCGTGTGGCCTACGCTGCATCGCAGAAAATAAAACAAGCAGATTCGGAAAACGAAGAAGACCATCTGATGTATGCGGAGCGAACACAGGATATGTTCGCACTGCAACTTGGCGACTCACATGCAGCTCCCCAGGTAGATTCTCCATTGCAGATCGCAGAGGAAGTGGTCATGGGCCCTACAGCACTCGCGCGATTGTTGGCCGTGCTGTCTCAACGGGGCATCCTCGACTCAATCCAAGCTCTGAAGAAGGCACCGAATGGTCTCTCAACCGCAACTTCCTTGGATCAAGTACAAATGATTACACATCCCGAAATCATGCGGAAATTCCTGCTAATCGCCTTCCGGCGCGTGGAGTCTCGCACAGAGTCTGGACGGAAGGTTACTCAATCAAACCCGTATTACGCTCGGATGCACTTCGTGTCCTCTGCAGAGCTTGCAGCCGCCTTGGTCTCGTTTGACAGGTATACACGCGGAAGATATACCGAGGAGCTCAAGGGTGTTCGAAAGCAGCTTGTCGTGGCACTTGGGAATGCGTCAGAGATGGCTATCCGCACCGGACAAAGTCAGATCGCCTTGAGCTTTGCACTCGGTGCGATAACAAGCGCAGAAAATGTTCCCGAGACAGAAGGTATTGATGAAGCGATAATCGCCAAGAACATACGACGAGCTGATCAAGCGAGAGCGGCACTTCGCCAAGGGTAGTTCTCGTCACAGCTTATCAAGGCTCTTCGATCCCGCTCCACTATAAACGCCAAGCGAAGCTTCGCATTTGCCCAGGACTTAGTTCTCTGACTGTACGTTGAGCTATACGCATACGTCTAAGTACAAAATGGATGTAGTAACGTTTACATCGGACCGTGACAATATGTCACGGTCTTGCCATGTCCTTTCTTATTACAATTTCTCGTTCGTCCATCCGGCAAGCCTTCTCTCCGTGTCTTGCGCGCAGCTATGCCGCAAAGAGCTCGAATACAGAACAGACACAGAAAATAAGTACAAAAGACACCTCGTTCACTGAAGGTGAATATAGAGTTAGAAATCACGATACTTCACGCTAACAATTATACCAGAAAAAACACTCTCGTCATGTCCACCAGGTACAATCCTGGAGGGGCTGAACTATCTCAAAGGACAACCTCCGGTGATAGCTCTCCCCGATGAGGAGTATCCTTCGTGGCTGTGGGAGCTTCTGAAGCCGAAAGCATATGAAGAGGACGGTCCTGGAGGCAAGGCGGAGAAGAAAACGACTCCGAAAGGAGAATCAACAACGCATCAAGGACCAAAACTTCATGAAGACGCAGTGGTGAGTACATTTGCTATTCGTGCTTGACGCGCTCATACGTGTTCCCATAGATGGCTTGCCCTCGAACTATACTACATAGTTTTATATCCTGCAAATTGTCATTATATTCGATACATGGACTCCACTTCGGTCGGCTCTACGATAATATATCGTGTTTACGGTAATAACTCAGGGAATACTATATCAGCATCGTCTCTGCAAATAGACAGCATCTCTCCGTGTTCTCACTCTCGACGGCGCTGTGCACGATCGACCGTGAGCGAAGACACTCACATTAGTCGATGCTGTTTTAGTGAATGAGCTCGCATATCATAGAAGCCCCGAAGTGACCAAGCACCGGTGCTTTCGCGCTGCTCATCTCTCGCTTGACTGATACTTGAGCTTTCATGTAGATGCGACCGACCCATCCACCTAGCAAGCCGATAAAGAGACTGGGCACTAAGAAGACAGGCGTCATGGCCACAACGGCTCCGAGTTTCACGATCATCGTCAAAGAAAGTTCAACGACCCCCGGTGGTCGAGCGGACGGAAACCGCATAGTGTCCGGTTTATATGACAGGACGATTCGGGTGTGGGATATGGGGACTGGCGAAGCACGCATCGTGTCTGGGTCATACGACAAGACCATCTGGGTGTGGGATCTAGAATTTCTAATCCGCCACCAATCGTTTGAAGCACCTGTGGTATGTTTCTCATCCGGCCTACTCATGCCCTTCATTCCGCCTCCTCCTTTCTCCCAGATTCCAAAACCCCAGCCTCTTCCGGCCCGAACGAGGAGGGATGGATTGTAGGTCCCGAAGGACGGCTTCTCCTCTGGATCCCGCTCGCTTGATACTCGGGCACGATGTATACCCCAGGCAACACGCTGGTGGTACCCAATAATGCCTTGCAGCTGGACTTGAGTTGTGTCACACATGGCACAGGTGTCGGGAACAGTAGTGGGTTGCAATACCTTTGTATCTGTCAGTTGTCCTTTTGGCATGTACTTATGTTAATCGACTGAAGATCTACACTTCCTACAAATTTCATACAATACATTTTTGCCTTCTTGCGCTTCATTCGTTCCGTTTTGCTACTTAATGGGCTGGCTCTCGCAAAACAATTCAGGGCTGCACGAAGATTCCATTCACTACATCTACATACTCTCCTCCCGTGGCTACTACTCTCTAGAATTGCTTCCCAGTTTACTTCCTGCAGGATAAACCGTGTAAGTCAGAGCTCGACGTGAACTTGAGCCACCACTCGACAATGGTGACTGTGCCTCATCCAGCATCATCCCTTCCTCGTCAGACTCCATCCCTCCTGATCTAAACAGATGGCTCGCCGCGATTGACTTCTTCACTCCTCTAAGCCGTTCCCACCAGCTTGGACCATGACGCCATGGCGGCCATCAAACTACCCGAACAATGCTCAACGAATTACTAACCACAGGCAGCTCAGCGTAAGCAGCTGCCTGTCCGCAATCAGACTCTCCCGAGCATGTCATATGATGCGCATTGAGGAGGAGGAAGGGTGAAAGGATGAGTAGGCGATGGTGATCGGAAGATGTGAGGCGAAGAGGAGGGCCGCGTATGGAATTTAGTGTTGGAGAGGGACGGTTTTGGGCCTCGACTACTGCTTAGAGGTTCGTTCCTGTAATACTTACTATAAGTTAGGACAGGGTATAGAGCCGCGAGATGAGACCAAACACCGTAGCACATATCAACAGGCTCTCCATAATGATGCTTAGGGGTGCCTGCTGTAGAAGGATTTTGATTTGTAAAGGTTAGTGGGGTAGCAACGCGTCGTGATCGAGTTAGCTTGACAGGATAGCAAGGTGGATGACAATTCAGAAGGAAAACCGGAAGGAGGGTTCGTCAAAATAAGTCGATGATCGATGAAAGACTCGCCTGCAGATGGCCTTTTGCCCGATCAACCTAGCTCAGCTTTCGATAACGTCATTCCATCAATATTCAATATTGGTCCAGCCAATCGATGATGGGCGCTTCCAAACGCCTTATGTAAATAATTCGCATTGCAGACATGCAGCAGGCGCACATCTATATTTTCTGCCTCGTTCCATTTGCATCAAGAAACCTCTTAACACCTACACTGAGCCATCCTTCCCATTTTCTCGATGGATCAAAACAATCCTCGGAAGGCGCGCCGGGGGTGGTTGAAGCCACGTCGTTCAGACACTCATTTGGTAGAAGAGAGAGGCAGGAGGGCAGCCAGTCGCGATGTATGGACTTTCGTCTTTCCAACTACGCATTGTTTCTAATCTTCACAGCCGTCCTCTCCATCACCTCCAAGGAATGGCTCTAGTGGACCACCCCCGGGCTCAGTTCGCAAGTTTTTTGGCAAGGTGACCAAGCGCTTCGCTCGAAGCGCTCGACAGTCCCCCAACCCTGAACCCACGCCTGCAAGTTCCAGCCTACAGGACATCCAACCCGTTCAGTCAACCAAGGTATGTGCAATCTCAATGCTGAGTGTGCCCCGTATGCCATGAATACTACTCATCACTTCTGCAGGATCTCACCGCTCCAACTCCCGACCTGAATCTTGAACAGTCACCCAATTCAGTGATTGTAGAAGCAAGTCCAACCAACGTAGTTTGCCACTATTCTTATCTGTCTCTTTCGATTGTATGCTAACATTTGTAATCAGGCTGAACATCTCGACCCCAAGTCTGTGAACGAAAGAATCGCCAATGCTACCAAAGGTCTCGCAGGCATCGGCCAGGTCCCAACAATAGTCCAAGATGCTTCTTCAGCGATCAACAACCCACCATCTGTTTCTGATACAATCGATGCATTCTCTGCGTTTCTTAAACCCTTGAAGGTGTTCAACTCCGTTGCCAACGAAATCGCAAATGTACAATAATCTATCTCTCTTCTGTACGTAACTAACATTCATACGCAGGTCCATCCCTACGCGAAGGTGGCATTGAGTATCTTCACTTGCGCGTCCAAGGTAGGCTTCTTTCTTAATCATTGCCATCGCAGGTTGACCAAGTTTCGGTATCAGATGATTCTCGATCAGGCAGACCGTGATGTCGCTGTTTCTAGTCTGCTCTCAAAGATCTCTGAAGTCTATACCTTCATCACGGAAGAGGAGGAGTTGCCCAAAATCCAATCCATGCTAGCGATATATGGGAAGATAGCGCAGCAGACACTGGAGTGCGCTGATTTTATCAGCCATTACTCTGAGACGAAGAGCGCTTGTGAGTCGATCACACTACGTCGTCCCCTGAGACTCAATGTTGACTGTTTATATAGGGATAAGACTTGGCAAGCACATCTTCGACGAAACGGACGCAACGATTCAGAGCTACAACAATGTCCTCGACAGTCTCATGCAGCAATTCCGAGACCGAGCGGCTCGTGACACCGTTGTGATCGTCCACCATATAGGTAAGAGACGCTTTCATGTCTCTTTGAGCCTTATCTGACATTCCACGATCCCTGGCATAGCTGAGAGTCTGGACCTCTTCGGCGTGGAGTGCGCAATGGGTGCCGGATTGAATACGTCCAAATGTTGTTTGCCCAACACTCGGCAAGACCTTCTGAAGGATATTCAGAATTGGATCAGCAGCACCGAGGAGGGCGCTCCACGGGTCTTATGGTTGTCTGGCACAGCAGGCAAGGGTAAATCGGCTGTTGCACATACAATAGCCAACTGGTATATCGAAAATGGTGGTCTTGGCTCATGCTTCTGCTTCGATCGTACTCGACAAGCGGATCGCCGTCAGGACAAAATATTCACGACCATCGCAAGCGAATTAGCGGACTGCAACCCTATCATGCGGCGAGCCTTGGCGCAAGCAGTTCGTGATCACAACGGACTCAAGCGCACTGCAGATATCACAAAACAATGGCAGGAACTGATCGTTGGACCGACAAGCATAGCCTCAAAAGCCATCGCTACACCCGTCTTGATTGTCATCGAGGCGTTGGACGAGAGCGGCGATGCTAATTCCCGGGAACAGATTCTTCGTCTCCTCACTTGCAAATTGAACACTTCCACCTCACAACTAGCTGAACTCCCAGCCAATTTCCGCATTCTCCTCACTTCCCGTCCACTCGACGACATTCACAACACTCTGCACGCCGCGCCACATGTTCGCCATGTTTCCCTGGATGATGTCTCGTCTGTGGACACAGAACTCGATATTCAGCATTATATCTCCCATAAGCTGGAAGACTTACGTCACGTCTTCAACGATGCGCACTTCAAGGCGCTCGCTCTGAAATCTGATGGCCTGTTTGAATGGGCTCGTCTCGCCTCAGAATACATCAAGAGCACGAACATCGTGAGCCGCGGTCCGATGCGCCGTTTCCATGACATTTGTGAAACATCCGCCAAAGGTGTACATCTGTTGGATGAGATGTACCAACGCATCTTGGCAGATATCATGCCAAGGCACGTGCACGAGGAAGCTATCCCTATCTTTCGGTCTGTGATGGGTCAGATTCTGGCATCGTCGGAACCACTTCCCATCACTGCGTTGAATGCAATGCGACAGTATTTCCCATGCGATGATGACCGCTACGACGTGAAGTTGCTCATGGGGCATCTTGGCTCGCTTGTCTCTGGTACCTCTAATTCTGATACTCCCATACGTCCCCTTCACGCATCATTCTACGACTTTCTCACAGACAAATCGCGGAGCGTTGACTTCTTCGTTGATACGCCATCGGTACAGAGCGATCTTGCGTTCGCAACGCTTCGAGTCATGGAGGGCGGACTTCGCTTCAACATATGCTCCTTGGAGAGTTCTTATGTACCCAATTCTGCCGTTCCCGATTTCGCAGAACGAGTGAGGAAGTCCATTTCGGCGGAGCTATCATACTCATGCCGCTTCTGGGGGACTCATGTGGCGGCCTTGTCCTTTGAATCATCGCTCGCTAAGGAAGTTGAAGCTTTCTTCGATGGAGAGCGCCTTCTTTGGTGGTTGGAAGCAGTGGCTCTGATGAAAAGTCTCGGTGGATCGGTAGTGACCCTCTCATCTATTGCAAATTGGCTTTCGGTGCGTAGCTCAAGCTCATTCTTTACCCAACGAATTCTTACGAGTAGTTGGGTGGTCGTAGGGTCATACCGAGTTCACGCATGTTAGTGACGCCACCAGGGATACCTTGCGTTTCGTCCGAACTTTCGCAACCACCATTTTATGCAGCACTCCCCATTTATACTTGTCCGCTCTGCCGTTCGCTCCAACGCAGTCGATAATATTTCGGAAGTTCGCCGCGAAGTTTCCCTGCATCCCTCGCATTGTTGCTGGCCATGTTGAAAATTGGCCTCAGATGGAAAAGATACTTCAAGCGAATAGCTGGGTTTGGTCGGTTGCACTGTCGCCAGACGGAAAACACATTGCATGTGGTTTAGATGACGGAACAATCCAAGTGTGGGATATAGATACTGGCGAGGCGTTGTGCGCCCCTCTTCGAGGCCACACTGGATGGGTCACCTCTGTCGCATTCTCGCCGGATGGACATCGCATTGTTTCAGGTTCACGTGACAAAACAGTCCGGGTGTGGGATGCGAAGACTGGCCAGGCATTAGGATCCCCTCTCCAAGGTCACACTGACTGTGTTCGGTCTGTCGCAATCTCGCCGGATATGAAACGCATCGTGTCTGGTTCACAAGACAAGACAATTCGGGTGTGGAACATAGAGACTGGCGAAGCATTTGGTGCCCTACTCCAAGGGCATACGGACCAAGTTCGGTCTGTCACAATCTCACCGGATGGAAAACGCATCGTGTCTGGTTCGGCAGACACCACTATCCGGGTGTGGGATATAGAGACCGGCGGTGCATTGGGCGCCCCTCTCCAAGGACACACGGACTGCGTTCAGTCTGTCACAATCTCACCGGATGGCAAATGCATAGTCTCTGGTTCATACGACAAGACGATTCGAGTTTGGGAAATGGAGACTGGCGAGGCATTTGGTGCCCCCTTCCAAGGTCACACTAGCTCTGTTCTGTCAGTCGCAATGTTGTCGGATGGAAGTCGCATCATATCTGGTTCACATGACCAGACGATCCGAATGTGGGATGCGAAGACTGGCGAGGCAGTAGGATCCCCTCTCCAAGGCCACACTAAGCAGGTTTTCTCTGTCGCAATCTCGCCAGATGGAAGTCGCATAGTCTCTGGTTCATCGGACAAGACGATTCGGGTGTGGGATGCCGATACCATTATGGGCAAGGCAACGGTTGCCGCCCTCGAAAGCCACACTGCCCCTGTCAACTCTGTTGCAATCTCGCCAGATGGACATCGCATCGTGTCCGGTTCAGATGACAAGACGGTTCGGGTGTGGGATATAGAGACTGGCAAGGCATTAGTCTCCCCTCTGCAAGGGCACACTGGATCTGTTCTGTCAGTCGCAATCTCGCAGGATGGGAAGGCAGTTGTGTCTGGTTCAACGGAGGCCAAGAGTGTCCGCATGTGGAATGCGGAAACTGGAGAGGCATCGGGTGTTAGTCTCCAAGGTCACACTGGATCTGTTCAGTCTGTCGCAATCTCGCCGGACAGAAACTGCATCGTGTCTGGTTCAACCGACAGGACAATCCGGGTGTCGCATATTGACACTGGCAAAGCATATCCTCTCAGGGGGCACTCACACTACGTCCTGTCTGTCGCAATTTCATCAAATGGAAACCGCATAGTGTCTGGTTCAGCCGACTCAACAATTCAGGTGTGGGATATGGAGACCAGTGAGGCATTGGGCGGCCCTTTCAAAGGGCACACAGACTGGGTTCGGTCTGTCACAATCTCACCGGATGGCAAACATGTGGTCTCTGGTTCATACGACAAGACGATTCGACTGTGGGATATGGGGACTGGCGAGCCATTGGGTGCCCCTCTCACAGGCCACACTAGCTGGGTTTACACTGTCGCAATCTCGTCAGACGGTAATCGCATCGTGTCTGGCTCGGATGACCAGACCGTCCGGGTGTGGGATATGAAGACTGGCGAGGCAGTGGGTGCCCCTTTTCGAGGGCACACCGGACGCGTTCTGTCTGTCGCAATCTCACCTGATGGCAAACGCATCGTGTCTGGGTCATCGGATAAGACCATCCGGGTGTGGGATCTAGAATTTCTAATCCGGCACCAATCATTCGAAGCACCTACAATATGTTTTTCACCCGACCTGACTCATGCCCTTCATTCCGCCTCCTCTATCCAAGATTCTCAAACCCCAGCTCCTTCCGGCCCCAATGAGGAGGGTTGGGTTGTAGGTCCCAAAGCACGACTTCTCCTCTGGATCCCGCTCAATTTCCACCCGGTGGTGTATGCCCCAGGCAACACGCTGGTGATACCCAACAATGCCTTGCAGTTGGACTTGAGTAATGTCGCACATGGCACATCATGGCACAAGTGTCGGGAACAGTAGTAGGTTGCATTGCGTTTGTATCTGTCAGTCGGACTTTCATGTAGTTATGTTAATTGACCGAAGATCTACGCGCATTCCACGGATTTCATACAATACCTGTTTATATACCTCTTTGCACTTCCCGTTCTGCTACAGTTTAGGGCTGCACGAAAATTTTATTCACTGTATTTACATACTCCCCTCCCGTCGCTACAATACTCTCTAGAATTACTTCCCAACTTACTTCCTGCAGGATAAACTGTGCCAGTCAGAACTCAATGTGAAGTTGAACCACCACTGGCCAACGGTCATTCTGCCTCATGCAGCCTCATCCTCTCGTCAGACTCCAATGCCCCCTGATCTAAATAGATGGCTTACCGCAATTGACTTTACCCATCGAAGCCATGCCCACCAGCACGGATCGTGACGCCATCCAACTGTCGACGAAGACTAATCACAGGCAGCTCAGACGTAAGCAGCTACTCGTCCACAATTAGCCTCTCCTAAGTATATAATGGAATACTTCGTTTGTGATGCGCGTCCACCAGGAGGAAGGGCGGAAGGATGGGTAGGGGTGATCGGAGGTGGGGAGGCGAAGGAGAGGCCACGTGTGGAATCTGGTGTGGGAGAGGATGGTTTTGTGCGTTGACTACTGCTTAAAAGTTCGTTCCTGTAACGCCATAAAATTTAGGACAGGGTATGGAGCCGCGAGATGAGACCAATCACCTTTGCACATATCTTTGAAATAAACAGGCTCTCCGTCATGCTGCTTAGGAGTGCTTGCTTCAGAAGGATTTTGGTTTGTGAAGGTTAGCGGGGGTAGCAACGCGTCGTGATCAAGTTGGTTTGATAATATACCGGGTGCTCAGCGGGATAGCTGGGTGGATGGCATATTCGATTGATACGAGGGAATGCTGTTACAGATCTATATCACATATAGACGGTGACAATTCAGAAGGAAAACCGCAACGGGAGCGACTCGTCCTTGTCCCAATACTAATAATGCGAACTGTACTTATCACTGTGAGTGCATCATCAGCCTCCGTGCCCTTCAACTGGGAAAAAATGTGAAAGACTACTTACATAATATGCTTTTCTGCTGCACAACGGCACTGCGAGGAAATCTGTTACATGGAGCAGGTGCCAACCCGGCCGTTCATTGGGGCACTCATCCCCAATATTCTTGCGCCCTTGTTTCACCACTGAACAGAAAACAGCACTTCTGGATGGAAGAGAAAGTGAAATGAGCTCCTGCGGATAGGTATACGGCTGCTTAGGAGACCTTGCAGTTGATGAGGATGCCGTGATGGTTGTACAGCTGGAGAGAGGTAGTCTGTCTATTATTAGATTCATGCTGGGCTATACTTGGACGTTCAAAGTTTCAAACACCGATCTAGTACACCGACGCCCGGCCGCATCGATGTATCGATCATTTAATCAAGTCCTTCGATGCCTATGAAGCTTCAGCGCTTCAAAGACAACTGTGACACGGTGGCGATTTTAAAGACACTGTACGTTGGCTGGAACTTAGGATGGCAAGCTCGCCGGCAGCTGAGGTATGTTTCTTTCAGAAAGTCTTTTTCTACAACTTAACTCTTCCAGCACCGCATGCGCTGTCTGCGCCCAATATTTCAGCACTTCTGAGTCTGACCAACGGAGTTCTTCTGCACCCTCTGAATGTTTACACCCACATGTACCAAGTCAAGTGGAGTTCTCCAACGAGCTCCCGCTGTATTTGACGGTAGCCAAGGCCCAACTTAAGCTTTAGCAGCGACCTCCTGCCACAGGCTCTTCGACCCTCTCACAATTGATTACGGTCTACATTTACACTCCTTTCTGTCGCCTCTGCCACCCTCCTAATGCTCCAAAGACCTGCTCGTCATTCCAACAAGCACTAGCTCCCATCACTCCTAACACCCTGTGTTTCTGTCACACTTGGCTCAACCACTTTTTGCGCTCTTTTTTTCTTTGGCTCACGCGCCCTGTCGCTACCTCCGTTCTCTGACGCTGAACTGCACCATCTCCCACACTGTTCTGGTCCCAGACAGCTGAAGTGTTGCATGGGTGTCCATTATCCTCGAGAGGCGCGTATTAGTGCCTGCTACATCACTGGCGCCTGCGTGCACATAGTCAGAGACTCAGCACACCTTCGCTCGATTGCCCTTGGCTTCGGACAACAAACTCAAGACATGGCTATTATGTGGTGGATTTTGTAGACGCACAGAATATCTTCTGATGGCAGCGAGGAACTGCAGGGCTGTAAGTTGTTTGATCTCGCTTTTTCGTCATCTTATGTATGCTTAACTACATTAGCACTTCGCGTCAAATAGTGGAAAGTTGTAATGCGTGGTTGGAGGAATCCTAGCTCCTGTTTAGAACAAATGTGACGTGTTCTGGCTGAATCTAGCATTTTTCAAGTTTCAGGGAGGCTCCTGGGAGTCGTGCGCAAGCCTACCAACTGTCAGACAGACGGAAAATGAGGAGGATGTGTGCATATACTTGCTGTTAAACTCGCATCTGACGAGGTTTAGTGGCAGCTTTGCGGAACGCTGGAAGAGAGTCCCGACGAGGGAATGCTGTGTCTTACGGGGTCGGTCATCTGGATATGTCGGGCACCAATCTGCGCCCCACGCAGGAGATCCGACGTTGAACATGAAAGATTTGCTTCCAGGCACATATTCTACTATAAACAAGAAAGTTGTAATCGTGACCAACGTCCGCAAAAGTGTGAAGAGTATACATGTAACATGACTATCGAACATGGCCATCTCAACGCGAGTCTGGCGACCATGCGGTCCAAGGAAGTAATGCGCAGGAGCAGGGGGCTGCAGCTGACTATCATCTGTTAACACAGCGTCAGTGGGTGAATACCTCGCAGTATCACTATCACTGAGAAGGTTTCAACATTGAATGATTTGAACTAGCACGGGCATAGGATCGCTTGCCACTTGTTCAGTCTCGTCCACCTAGATTTCACCTCGACACCTTGATGGACTCCGGGACGCCTGAAACGACTCATTTATTATGTTCTCTTCCCCTTCCAAAGGATCCTTGAAGCATGACCGGTCTTCCATGATATTCCATACAGGACCAGGGCCGACATTGTAACCCCAAACCTTGCTGATGCGATCGGTTAGAAATTGTTCTGATGTCATACTATTGGTTGACACGATGTTTGGTGGGTTGAAGAGCGTAGGAGGAGCATCAAGTCGCTCGACCTTTTCCTTGCGAAGAAAAACCAGCATGGCTCGGTGTCGATGATGGACGCTAGTATTTGGTAGTGCATACATCTTCGCAGCTCTCGGAGTAGATATTTTAGAAGTAGAGCTGATATTTTGGTAGGGGCTTATGGGACGGCCTTGCACCCGTTCTCGAGGGTAGATGCGATGTAGGCCCGGACCCTGCAGTAGTAGTGAGAGTCTGAATCTTGATTCGTTTTGGTGCTTCTTCTGCTTCCTCCTTGTCAACTTCAAGATCTTCAGGGTCATTCTGCAAATCCTCGGGGCCATCTTCGGAAAGCTTGTCCAGTGCGAAGTCACTCCCGCTATCCTCGTCCTCATCAAGGGATGATTTGGGTAGATTAGCTTTCAGGTCTTCTTCATCGCCTATAGCTGCAAAGCAAAGCATAATTTGGTCGGGATGTGCAAGCACATAGCTATCGGGGCATTTTGGTTGGGGATTAGAAGGTGTGATCTTGACAAATAGCGCTTGACTCACGGTTTACTGCACCGACCGAGACATGATATATGCACTATGATGCTAACTGGCGGGAGTTCGCAAGAGCGCAAGGGGTAGTGCAGCCGGGCACCCAGGAAGGTACAGAAGTCTGAAGGAGGCCGTGTTTATGCATGTGAGGCACTAAGGGAATGGTGAAGACAAGGTGCAGCGAGTATGTGTACCGGGAGGGAGCACAATTCGGTGTGTTGAAATGGTGTGTTGTCAGGATGTAGGGATGTGCAACAGGGTGTTACAGGGTCCGAGAAGTGACGGTCTGGGGCGTCAGGCAGTGGGTAGGCACCAGAGGTCACGAAAAGTGAAAGGTCGAGTTGGGTGTCCCTGGAAGGATACAACTGGGTGGAGGTAGGTGCAGGGAGCATGGAGATGCGGTAGGTTGTGCCAGTAGAATGCAGTGAGGGTATCTGCGGCTGCAGCGAGCAGTGAGGTGCTTAAGGCGGGGGCGGTTGGGTTGAGTTAACGTTGGGCTGTGAGAACATTAATTGAATAGAGTGAGTGTGGTCCATGGGTGATAGAAAGGCCGGGAGGGTGATTAGAGTGTAGTTGGAATTCAAAGTTCGAGCTAAAAATATCACTCATTTGATCGATGAAAGACTTGACTGCTTTCCTACGCGATATGACAACATGCACTGTATGGGTGAGCGACCTATCATGCATTCATGACCCGACAAGCGTTCATGCAGGTCAATAAATGCTAAGCACCGCTGCCCCGATATTCGCACCGTTTCATGATGGCCTTTTGCCCGATTAACCTACCTAGGGCCTTCGATATCGTTCTAGTTTTAGTCTGGCCAATCAATAATGGGCGCTTGTCCTTCACCATTGCAGACATGCAGCAGGCGCACGTCTATATTTTTTTGCCAACCACCACACTCCTCGTTCCATTTGCACCAAGAAACCTCTTAACACGTACACTCAGCCATCCTTCCCATTTTCTCGATGGATCAAAGCAATCCTCCTCGGAAAACCCGCTGGCTGTGGTTGAAGCCAAGTCGTTCAGACGCTCATCTGCTGCAGGAGAGAGGCAGGAGGGCAGCCAGTCACGATGTATGGACTTTCGTCTTTCCAACTACGCATTGTTTCTAATCATCACAGCCGTCCTCTCTCTCGTCTTCAAGCAATGCGTCTAGTGGACCACCCCCAGGGTCAGTTCGCAAGCTCTTTGGCAAGATGACCAAGCGCTTCGCTCGAAGCGCTCGACAGTCCCCCAACCCTGAACCCACGCCTGCAAGTTCCGGCCCACAGGACATCCAATCCATTCAGTCAACCAAGGTATGTGCAATCTTAACTCTGAGCGTACCCCGTATGCCTTGAATGCTACTCATCACTTCTGCAGGATCTCACCGCTCCAACTCCCGAGCCGAATCTTGAACAGTCACCCAATTCAGGGATTGTAGAAGCAAGTCCAACCAACGTAGTTCGCACTATTCCTATCTGTCTCTTTCGATTGTATGCTAACATTTGTAATCAGACTGAACATCTCGACCCCAAGTCTGTGAACGAAAGAATCGCCAATGCTACCAAAGGTCTCGCAGGCATTGGCCAGGTCCCAACAATAGTCCAACATACTTCTTCAGCGATCAACAACCCACCATCTGTCTCTGATACAATCGACCCATTCATCATGTTGCTTAAACCCTTGAGGGTGTTCAACTCCGTTGCCAACGAGATCGCAAATGTACAATAATCTATCTCTCTTCTGTACATGACTAACATTCATACGCAGGTCCATCCCTATGCGAAGGCGGCGTTGAGTATCTTCACTTACGCGTCCAAGGTTGGCTTCTTTCTTAATCATCGCTGTCGCAGGTTGATGAAGTTTCCGTAACAGATGATCATCGATCAGGCGGAACGTGATGGTGCTGTGTCCAGTTTGCTCTCAAAGATCTCTGAAGTCTATGCCTTCATCACGGAAGAGAAGGAGTTGTCCAAACTTCAATCTATGGTAGCAATATACGGGAAGATAGCGCAGCAGACTCTGGAGTGCGCTGATTTTATCAGCCATTACTCTGAGACGAAGAGTCCCTGTGAGTTGATCCCACTACTTCGTCCCCCGAGACTCAATGTTGCCTGTTCATATAGGGAAAAGACTTGGCAAGCACGTCTTCGACGAAACAGACCCAACGATCCAGCGCTACAGCAATGCTCTCGACAGTCTCATGCAGCAATTCCGAGACCGAGCGGCTCGTGACACCGTCGTGATCGTCCACCATATGGGTAAGAGTTGGTTTTCAAGTATCTTTGAGCCTTGTCTGACATTCCACGACCCCTGGCATAGCTGAGAGCCTGGACCTCTCCGGCATGGAATGCGCAACAGGTGCCGGATTGAATACGTCTAAATGTTGTTTACCCAACACTCGGCAAGACCTTCTGAAAAATATTCAGAATTGGATCAGCAGCACTGAGGAGGGCGCTCCACGTGTCTTATGGTTGTCTGGCACAGCAGGCAAGGGTAAATCGGCTGTTGCCCATACAATAGCCAATTGGTATATGCAACACGGTGGTCTTGGCTCATGCTTCTGCTTCGATCATGCTCAACAAGCGGATCGCCGTCAGGACAAAATATTCACGACCATCGCAAGGGAGTTGGCGGACTGCAACCCTATCATGCGACGAGCCTTGGCGCAAGCAGTTCGCGATCATGACGGACTCAAGCGCAATGCAGATATCACAAAACAATGGCAGGAACTGATCGTCGGACCGACAAGCATCGCCTCAAAAGCCATCGCCGCACCCGTCCTGATTGTGATCGAGGCGTTGGACGAGAGCGGTGAAGCTAGTTCCCGGGAACAGATTCTTCGTCTCCTCGCTGGCAAACCGAACACTTCTACCTCACCACTAGTCGAACTCCCAGCCAACTTCCACATTTTTCTTACTTCCCGTCCACTCGAAGACATTCATAACAATCTGCACGCCGTGCCGCATGTTCGCCATATTTCCCTGGATGACGAAGTCTTGTCTGCATCCACAAAACTCGACATTCAGCTTTATGTCTCCCACAAGCTGGAAGACCTGGGTCACATCTTCAACCATGCGCACTTCGAGGCGCTCGCCCTGAAATCTGATGGTCTGTTTGAATGGGCTCGTCTCACCTGTGAGTACATCAAGGGTACGAACAAAGTGCGCGTAGGTCACATGGGCCGTTACAATGCTGTCATTACTGGAAGGTCTGAGAAAGGAACACGTCTGTTGGATGCTATCTATAAACGCGTTTTGGAAGACATTATGCCAGAGGACGAGCGCGAGGAAGTGATTATCATGTTTCGATCTGTGATAGGGCAAATTCTTGTATCGTTGGAACCGCTTTCCATGCCTGCATTGGCCGCTATGCGACTGCACTTTCCCGAAGGGACTTGCGATTACGAAATGGACCAGGTCATTGGGCCACTGGGGTCGCTTTTGACCGGCACCTCGGATTCCCATACTCCCATACGTCCCCTCCACACATCCTTCTACGACTTCCTTACAGACAAATCGCGGAGCCTTGACTTCTTCGTTGATGCATCAGCGGTACAGAGAGATCTTGCGTTCGCAACGCTTCGGATCATGGAGGGCGGACTTCGCTTCAACATCTGCTCCTTGGAGAGTTCTTACTTGCCCAATTCTGCCGTTCCCGATTTCGCAGAACGAGTGAAGAAGTCCATTTCGGCGAAGCTATCATACTCATGCCGCTTCTGGGGGACTCATGTAGCGCCCTTGTCCTTCGAATCATCGCTCGCTAAGGAAGTTGAAGCTTTCTTTGATGGAGAGCGCCTTCTTTGGTGGTTGGAAGCAGTGGCTCTGATGAGAAGCATTGGTGGCTCCGTAGTGACCCTCTCATCTATCGCAAAATGGTTTTCGGTGCGTAGTTCAAGCTCATTCTTTACCCAACGAATTCTTACGAGTAGTTGGGTGGTCGTAGGGTCATACCGAGTTCACGCATGTTAGTGACGCCACCAGGGATACCCTGCGTTTCGTCCGAACTTTCGCAGCCACCATTTTATGCAGCACTCCCCATTTATACCTGTCCTCTCTGCCGTTCGCTCCAACGCAGTCGATAATGTTTCGCAAGTTCGCCGCAAAGTTTCCTTGCACCCCTCGCATTGTTGCCGGCCATGTCGAAAATTGGCCTCAAATGGAAAAGATAATCCACGCAAATGTCGTGGTTAACTCGGTTGCACTGTCGCCAGACGGAAAACGCATTGCATGTGGTTTAGATGACGGAACGATCCAGGTGTGGGATATGGATACTGGCGAGGCGTTGTGCGCCCCTCTTCGAGGCCACACTGGATGGGTCAGCTCTGTCGCATTCTCGCCGGATGGACATCGCATTGTTTCAGGTTCACGTGACAAAACAGTCCGGGTGTGGGATGCGAAGACTGGCCAGGCATTAGGATCCCCTCTCCAAGGCCACACTGACTGTGTTCGGTCTGTCGCAATCTCGCCGGATACGAAACGCATCGTGTCTGGTTCGTCCGACAAGACAATTCGGGTGTGGGACATGGAGACTGGTGAGGTGTTTGGTGCCCCATTCCAAGGACACACAGACGGAGTTCTGTCTGTCACAATCTCACCGGATGGAAAACGCATCGTGTCTGGTTCGAAAGACACCACTATCCGGGTGTGGGATATAGAGACCGGCAAGGCATTGCGCGCCCCTCTCCAAGGACACACGGACGGGGTTCGGTCTGTCACAATCTCACCGGATGGCAAACACATAGTCTCTGGTTCAGACGACAACACGGTTCGAGTGTAGGATATGGAGACTGGCGAGGCATTTGGTGCCCCCTTCCAAGGTCACACTAGCTATGTTCTGTCAGTCGCAATCTTGTTGGATGGAAGTCGCATCGTGTCTGGTTCATATGACCAGACGATCCGAGTGTGGGATGCGAAGACTGGCGAGGCAGTAGGATCCCATCTCCAAGGTCACACTGCCCAGGTTTTTTCTGTCGCAATCTCGCCAGATGGAAGTCGCATAGTCTCTGGTTCAGAGGACAAGACGATTCGGGTGTGGGATGCCGACACCATTATGGGCAAGGCATCGGTTGCCGCCCTCGAAAGCCACACTGCCCCTGTCAACTCTGTTGCAATCTCGCCAGATGGACATCGCATCGTGTCCGGTTCAGATGACAAGACAGTTCGTGTGTGGGATATAGAGACTGGCAAGGCATTAGTCTCCCCTCTGCAAGGGCACACTGGATCTGTTCTGTCAGTCGCAATCTCGCTGGACGGGAAGGGCATTGTGTCTGGTTCAGAGGACAAGAGCATCCGCATGTGGAATGCGGACACTGGGGAGGCATCGGGTGTTAGTCTCCAAGGTCATACTCGATCTGTTCGGTCTGTCGCAATCTCATCGGACAGAAACTGCATCGTGTCTGGTTCAGACGACGAGACAATCCGGGTGTGGCATATTGAGACTGGCAAAGCATACTCTCTCAGTGGGCACTCACTCTACGTCCTGTCTGTCACGATTTCATCAAATGGAAACCGCATAGTGTCTGGTTTGGCCGACAGGACAATTCAGGTGTGGGATATGGAGACCGGTGAGGCATTGGGTGGCCCTTTTCAAGGGCACACGGACTGGGTTCGGTCTGTCACAATCTCACCGGATGGCAAACATGTGGTCTCTGGTTCAGACGACCAGACGATTCGAGCGTGGGATATCGAAACTGGCGAGGCATTTGGTGCCCCTCTCCGAGGCCACACTGCCTACGTTAGGACTGTTGCAATCTCCTCAGATGGTAATCGTATCGTGTCTGGCTCGGATGACCAGACCGTCCGGGTATGGGACATGAAGACTGGCAAGGCAGCGTGTGCCCCTTTTCGAGGACACACCGGAGACGTTCTGTCTGTCGCAATCTCACCTGATGGCAAACGCATTGTGTCTGGGTCATCCGACAAGACCATCCGGGTATGGGATCTAGAATTTCTAATCCGGCACCAATCATTTGAAGCACCTACAATATGTTTTTCATCCAACCCAACTCATGCCCTTCATTCCGCCTCCTCCTTTCTCCAAGATGCTGAAACCCCAGGCCCATTAGGCCCGAACGAGGAAGGGATGGGTTGTAGGTCCCGAAGGACGGCTTCTCCTCTGGATCCCGCTCGCTTTATACTCGGGCGCGATGTATGTCCCAGGCAACGCGCTGGTGATAGCCAAAAATGCCCTGCTGCTGGACTTGAGTCGTATCGCACACGGTACATCATGGCACAAGTGTCGGGAATAGTAGTAGGTTGCATTGCCTGTATATCCGTCAGTCAACGGGCATTTACTTATGTTAATTGACTGAAGATCTATGCGCGTCCTGAAGAATCCATACGATACATGTTTGCCTTCTTGCACTTCGTTTCGTTCTGCTAATGAGCTCACTCTCGTAAAACAGTTGAAGGCTGGACAAAGATTTCATTCACTACGTTTACATACTCTCCTCCCGTCACTACTATACTCCCTAGAATTGCTTTCACGTTTACTTCCTGCCAGATAATTTGGACGCACCTCCTTGCGAGTATATCAAGGTACCTGATGAATAAGTAGATTTTCTGCACAGTGATTGTGAATGCTAATTGATGTAACCCTTGATCTCGGAACGACTACTGTGGCGATACAGTTCCTGGAGAGATTGCAAAATCGCTGACACCAAAGCATTGTGTTCACCAGGGATGGACCGTCCGAGAGCTGTATGTGCCATTCTGAGAAGTTCGGTAAGCTGGCTGGTCGATAACCATACAGAACGGATATATTCCAGAGTAGATTAAAGATGTATCAAACTTTTTGACCATAAAGATGAATCATCTGCCTGTATCCTGTGTCAACCTGCCATCTCGCATTCGTTTACAGCACCAGGAAAGTAAGAGGCGGTGTCATGCACTCAATACCCAATATTTACTCACAATTGAGTTTCTAATTCCCACCTTCCATCCATTGAAATCATAAAACGTTTTTGAATACGTCAATCATCCCCACTATCCTCGTCCATCATGTCGTCGACCTCTTTCCTCATATTTGGCACATTCACATATGGCACCTTGTTCCGGATCCAACGTCCCAGTAACCAATCCACCCTACACAGTCCTGAACCCGTGGTAGATGCAAGCAGCGGCGCTCCGCCCAGACCGTTGCCCGTGTTCCAAGTAACGCGATGAACCCCTACTTCGGGTGGCCATACACCAGTACTGATACTCGTCTCAGATTCATCCTTTTTGGCTTGTTTCCTTTTCGAATTTGCGGACCTTTCTTGAGTTTCCTGGCGTAGTGTCAGTAACAACGGGGGTATATCTAGAATGTCGCTCACTTGCGGAAGGAAATGGTCCAACATACGAAACTCTCCTGTTTTTCGGCTGTAGTCCAGCTGAAAGATCTTGTGGAAGAAAAATGGCTTCAAGACTTTGAGAGAAGAATGCTTATGATCGTCAAAGGATACGTACGACCGATCCTCCTCTCCTTGTTGATTTCAATGTGTTGGTCGTTACGCAAGAGCCATCTGCTGAACCGACCGCTAGCTGAGCGTGATAGTCCGATGCACTGACGCTCTGCAAGTTTATTCAGCGGCGCAGTGTCAGTAACTGTTATGACACGTACCCACACCGGTCCATCGGGCTCCAGAAGTACATGCCCTCTGCCTAGCGTACTGGGAGATACTGAATACCCTTTGACAGTGTTGTCATGATCGATCATGATCGGTCCGCCTGCGAATGCGGAGTATGTCGTGCTATTGATCACATCTTTAGGGAACGTGTATCAGAGAAATATAATTGCTTGTCAGATGCACTGACCCCGTGTCCTGTTTACAATATTTCCATGTGGTTCTCGGATGTCAGTCAGACATTCCAAGCCGTCGTATCCGCCGGTAGCCAGAAACGTCGGGTCCTCGGAAATCGATGGTACGCCAGAGCCATTCGTCGGCGGGATACGAATCCATGCAAGGGCTCGCACCGCGCACTGATGTATTGAAATGTAATGGGTTGGGAGCATGTCTTGGAATTTTTTGTCACGATGGAGTAAGTGAAGGCAGCCAGAACTCACTTGGGCCCTGACCTGTTCTGACTGCATGACCAATGTCATATACAGCGACGAAACCTACAGGATGACGGTGATGAGGGACATTTCGACTGAAGGACAATGTATAGACCATTCGTGCAACCAACAGCAATGATTTCGCTATTAGCCCAGTCAAGAGACCAGCATGAAGTTTCCTCTAGCTCGATCCGGAGAAGTGGTTCGGGTAAATGCACTGTTTTGTGAACCAGTCTCGGTCGTATGTCCATAAAGCAGGGCTAACGACCCACCAAATGTCGGACGTATTAGGTCATCATCTTTATTCCTTACATCCTCTGGGTCTGGAACGACATATACGGACAACGAGCCGTCTTCAAATGTGCCTGCTAGTAGTCCCAGCTTTCGCGGGTGTTTTCCCACATGAATTTCATCCCACTGTGCTCTCACCGTCAGCAAAGTGTGAAGGCGTGGATAGGTCGTAAACAAACCTGATCATGCGAGGGAAGAGGGCACCACTTGATTTCGAATGCAGGCCCTGACTCCAAGCACAGGACCATTTCGCACTTTATCTCGCCTGCCAGTGAGAGGTCTGCTTGCGAGGCATTCCCTCGATTGGACTGCAAACCCCATATTTGTACGCAAGCAGGAACAGGGCGCCGGACTTTCGCACCGATCATTGGTGAATGCGATTGTGAAGAGAAAGGGGCGATCGCAAGGTAATGATTATGACCCCGACCTGTATATTATCTTGAGCGGTGCCTACTGACGAGGGAGCGCTCTGTCTTACTGGGTCGGTCATCTGGATAAGTCGGGCACCAATCTGCGCCCCACGCAGGAGATCCGACATTGAACACGAAAGATTTGCTTCCAGGCGTATATTCTGCTGTAAATAAGGGAATTGTAATCGTGACCAACGTCCGCGAAAGTGGTGAAGAGCATACATGTAGCATGACTGTCGAACATGGCCATCTCAACGCGAGTCTGACGACTATGCGGTCCAAGGAAGCAATGTATAGGAGCAGGGGGCCGCAGCTGACCATCATCTGTTAACACAGTGTCAGTGGGTAAATACCTCGCGGCATCACTGAGAAGATATCAACATTAAGTGATCCGAATGAGCACGAACATAGAAGCGCTCACCACTCGTTTAGTCTCGCCCATCCAGATTTCACCTCAACACCTTGATGGACTCTGGGTCGCCTGAACGACTCGTTTATTATATTCTCTTCCCCTCCCAAAGCCTCCTTGAAGCACGACCGATCTTCCATGATATTCCATACAGGGCCAGGGCCGACATTGTAACCCCAAGCCTTGCTGATGCGATCAGTTAGAAATTGTTCCGATGTCATACTATTGGTTGACACAATGTTTGGTGGGTTGAAGAGCGTAGGAGGAGCATCAAGTCGCTCGACTTTTTCCTTGCGAAGAAAAACCGGCATGGCTCTGTGTCGATGGTGGACGCTAGGATTTGGTAGTGCATACATCTTCGCGGCTCTCGGAGCAGACATCTTAGAAGTAGATGCCTGTGCAGACTGAGACTTTGGTGGGGGCTTATGGGACGGCCTTGCTCCCGTTATCGAGGGTAGATGCGATATAGGCTTGGACCCTGCAGGAGTAGTAGGAGTCTGATTCTTGCCTCGTTTCGGCGCTTCTTCCGCTTCTTCCTCGTCTACTTCAAGAAGATCTTCAGAGCCATTCTGTAAATCCTCGGGGGCATCTTCGGGGAGCTTGTCCGGTGCGAAGTCACTCCCGCTATCCGCGTCCTCGTCAAAGGATGGTTTGGGTAGACTGGTTTTCAAGTCTTCTTCATCGCCTATAGCTGCAAGCGAAGCATAATTTGGTCGGGATGTGCGGGCACGCAGCTGTCGGGGCATTTGTATTGGGGTAAGTCAGAAGTTATGATCTTGATAAATAATATTAATATAGTTGTAGTTTAGAGATCACGCCGAGCGCGGCCGACGGTGGTTAGACGCGAGGATAATTCGTGAAACCTGGTCAAATGCGACAGTTAGGCTTAAGTCGTGGTAGAACGTACTACCGTAGAATCTCCTCATTCACAACATAAAAAATGAACTTTGTTGAGGGCCAGGCTTCGTGAGTTTTGACCTTGCTCGGTCATGTGACTATTTGAGTTTCTTGATTGAACAAAATTAATATTGATCTGTTTTCAGATCTAACACACAGGCAAAGGCTAAAGCGCGGGTCACGAAACTTAGTACTAATGTGACCTGTCAGCGTTTCGTATCCCCAAGAGCTTGTATCCTTTCATCTATGCGCGCAAGGCACTGAGGACTGCACTGTGGCTATAGTTTTGTATTGGATTTAAAGTCATACGAAGCTATTTGGCCGAAAAGCGGTTGCGTGTCTGTCGCGGACCTGGACTATGCATTTATAGTTCTGCCTCTCCTATTTACATTTCAAATCAGCACTGCGTCATGTCATCTAGTGTCAGACATAACATGCATAACACCGTGAAGCATGGCGCAAAGCATTCGAACAAAGTACTCACAGACCGTGTCAACGTTCCCGAGTCAAGCAAAACTGCGTGTGCGCATAGCATAACGTGGTAGTGACAATAGCCCGTGCTGAAATGGACGAAGTCGAAGATTCTTGAACGACCTGGGGATCCAGCGGGAATCAATGAACCGAGTTCCACGGACTGCCTGTCGACGACGCGCCTAAGTGATTCAGCATCTCTTACATTGCCTCTGAGCGCCTTCGCCGTCGATTTCGAATGATTCAGCTATGGGCGGTGGCCGGCAGTGTGTGCTGTCACTCTAAACTTGAAGTCAAGCACTTTACAGCATTTACCGCCTTGCAAATAGCCCAGCTTCGTTTAGCCTCTTTGATTCGCTTCCTCTGATATGAGTAATTGCAGCGCACAAAGTCATTTCTGTTCATTGTTATGACGCGACTCATTTCCAATGTGCTGTGGAAGACTCGCGGAAACCTACACTTTGGGGAGTTACAGTGACAGTTCTTTCGTATAGATTGACGCCCTTACAAACCTATAAAGTATACCCTGGCATGTATTTTGATTAAACACCAGACTTCATTATGAATCCAAATCCAAATCGTTGGTTGACCAAACGACCAGTAGCAAGGACAATACAACCAGCGGTATCAACCAGCTTGATGGCACAGATTCAACTGTATGTGCCCTTCAATCTGCATCACTCACCTATGTGATATTGACATGCTCTCTGCGCACCCGCTTAGTATCAGACCCAACCACCTCAACTCCACACTTCGAGTTGGATCAGGCATGCACTACAATATTCGCAAGCCCGCGCAGGAAGGGATCGCGCCAGCTACATGGCAACAAATCAACGGCGCTCCAGCATTAGAGGTGCCCACGTACAAGATTCTCATCATTTCGAAGGCATTCCCTTGGTCATTCATCGTCCTTGCGCCTGCTGGGTCTGTAGTCACATGCGGTGCGATCTTTGAGGAATTGCATAAACAGCTACAAAGGTACATCGAAGACGCGGAGTGGGCAATTGTGGCTGTTGATAAGACACGGAAGGAAGTAATCGAGAAAGCTGCAAAGTGGAGGCAAGAGAAGGACAAGGACAACCGACTGAAGAGAATTGATTGGCTGGGGGATACGCCAATGTTTGAGGGGCTGGACAAGGACAAGGAATTTGAGAGAAAGAGATATCTACCTGGAAGTGCGAGTGTCAGTGCGGAGACATGGGTAGCGAGATTTGGGAAACGACGATGGTAAAATATGTCATGTATCTATATTATTATCCAGGAGTTTCATGATACTTTTTCTTGGTGTAACGATACAAGTGAACATGATTTGTAACAATGTTTACCAAGGTGATGATTGTGGCGACTTCAATAGCCTGAGCTACTAAAAAAAGAGGGCATCGTGATTCGTGAACTGGTCCCCAATGATATTTTGGAAACCTGCCTAGGCCTCAGGTTCGACTGCCTTAATTAATTACTGGGTGACTTCCCGTTTAGAATTCCAGATATGCGTTCCAAATGCCGAGGAGCGCTGTCAAACGTAAGCAATTTCCAACTCCATACGTCAAACGCACCCAGATCGTCGTTCTAAACGACAAAATTCCAATGTCCGCGACAATCATCTAGAGCACACCGCTCACACAATCTTTTATTCTGCACCGTGCATGCACCATGCGTGCTCCCGACCATGCAAGAGGTTCATCTTTCTATATTTCCGGGTGATTACTGCGCATTTCCATGTGATGCGGCGAGGATAAGAAACAATATTTTTTGTATGTTCAGGTCTCCCAGATAATCAGCGTTCGTTTCAGGTGTACGCTGCATTCTGCACCATGTGCAAATGTCACTTGAGCTGCCGACGAGCACAATAGGTCCGTTTTTCTGTCTTTCGGGATGTAGATGGTGCGCTATGTGCTTTGCGATATAATGCGTGCGTCTACATTCAATATACATATCACTGGTCTCTCTAACTTCCTACAAAGCCCCGAACTTTTTGTCATGCAGCCTGCTGGTCAACCCTTCGCATTTCCCTCGCTTCCGCTTGGTTATGGCATGCTACCATCAGGCCCTCATCCAACTCATTTCTTGCCCGGTCAGCCTATGGTATGCCGCCAAGTATTCCATCCCTACCCGAACTGTCGATGATGACAGTGGCGATATCGTCGAAAATCAGGTCATGTCCCCACCCTTCACGCAGCCTTCGTCTGCTGTGCCTGCACACAAAGTTGCAAGGGAAAGCATGTTTTCATCGGCGATGTTGTATGCCATGTTTAAAGTTTAGCAAGATTATAAAATTTATTTGACTTGTGTCTACAGGTTTGGAACGAGTTTCTAGATATATCAATTCCACTTGGCCGAACCTCAGGTTTAGAACGAAATCTAGAATTTACAAAGACCGGGTCATTGAAACGAAGTAGAAGTGTTCCAAAGGACCTGGGTCCGGTCGTTGTGCGACGATATCATTGCGCAGTCGAATCATATGATAAAGGCGAGAGGTCCAGACATCCATGGATTGACGTAGTCTTAGGTCACGAGAGCTCACCGCACAGGTTGGGATCGCGGCTATCGGGGCCAGGTGACCTGGGTCGCCCGTTGAGTCGGGGCTTCCTCCGGGACCTCCACCCAAAACTATTTGCTTCAATAAAACAAACATTTCCTTTTGTTCTCGCAACTACTCACAAAGTACCATATTTCGTTGAGCAGAATTACTTTCTTCTGCAGTCCCATGGTTACAATCTCAAATCCACTGATATGACGCAGTACAGCGAGCCTGCCTGCCACGCGCTACGGCTTGACTCGGATTCCTCACCTCCACCAGCACAGGCCAGCAAGTCCAATTGCATGTTTTGGTCCTTGTAATCACAGCGCCATCAAATGACGGTTCATGAACTCGAGGTTTTGCAAATGGCTATGAGAAGGAGCTCCGTGTCGCGGAGAATACTATATATTTGCACATACAAGTACAGTTGCATTCCCCCCCCCCAGCCATTTGTCAATTCTGACTACTTCTCTCCATATTGCCAGGAGAAAGGTGCTATGTCCGAGAAGTCACCAAGTTACATAGAGGCCTTGCAGGGCATCGACCCTGCGTCTGGAAGCCAACATAGCTTGTCTTACGATACGCAGAAGACAGGAGTGGCCTTCGACCAGGAAATACCCAATGAACAAACCTCTCATCGGAAACTTCAAACGGATCTTAGTGAAGCACCAGATGGAGGAATAAGGGCATGGCTTGCAGTTTTTGCGCAAGTACAAATTCATTTGATCGAAATAGTCACTGACGGTCTTTGGATTATAGTACTGCATTGGTTACATTCTCTACGTAAGCTATTCCTAATTTTTTTACACTACGATGACTCAAGAATGTTGTACTAGGTTTGGTTTTTTAACTTCATGGGGTGTAAGTAAGGTTTGTCCCGACGTATTTACAGTTCCTACAAATTTCCGCCTTTCAGGTCTTCCAAGAGTATTACCAGGAAAATCTTCTGCCTCACACTCCACCTTCAACTATGTAAGGTACTGGGTCTGTTTGATGCCAACGTTGGATAGCTGATTTCTTGCACTCTCTAGAGCATGGATAGGTTCTACGCAGGCGTGTCTAATTCTGGTTCTTGCAAGCCTTCTAAGCTCACTTGTGCTGCTAGTATGCACTTGTGTGCCTTCCGTCACTTGCAACAGGGCGACTGTTTGACTTGGGGTACTTCAAAATACCATTCTTCGTCGCTAGCTGCGTCCTCGTCGCGTGTACTTTCCTAACCGCGGAATGTACTCAATTCTGGCAGCTCTTCCTGACACAGGGTGTCGGCCTGGGAATGGGCTGCGGTTTCGTATTTAGTCCCGCAATCGTCATCGTGTCACATTGGTTCTCCAAGAGACGTGGCCTTGCTTTGTCTATCACCGCCGTTGGATCTGCCCTCGGCAGCATCGTGTTTCCTGTAGCGGCACAAAATTTGATTCCGTTAATTGGGTGAGTTCGTTTAATCGGTCATGAGGCAAATCATATATATTCATACGCTTTCAGGTTTAGATGGACAGTTCGTGTATTTGGACTCACTCTGGCGGCTACAATGGGGAATGGCCAACATAGTATGTCGTTAGCACCTGAGGACATCTCCGTGACCGACGCATTTTTCCCAGTTTCTTAAACGGCGGCTTCCGCCCGTCAACGTTCGTGGTGGACTCTTCAACCTCAAAGCATTCCGCGACAAAGCATATTCCACCTATTGCATCTCAGCAACTATCATACTTTTAGGTTTTTATACAGGTACGACCATTGTGACTATTATTGTGGCTCCTGATATTTGGTTTCATCAGAGTTAACATACATCTCTGTGAGCGCCGTAGCAATTGGCGTCTCGAAAGATTTTTCATTCTATATAATTGCGATTGCCAATGCGGCATCTGCTTTTGGACGTGTGTCATCTGGACTGCTGGCAGATAAAATTGGTAGGACTCGACAGCTGTGGACTTATGGGAATATCAGTTGATATTTGACAGGCGCACTCAACACCATAATAGTTTTTACTGCTATTACGGGAATCACGACAATCGCTTGGCCATTTGCTAAAGATGAATACCAGCTGATTGCAATAGCCACCATTCACGGGTATGCATTGCACTTTTTCACCGCTAGCTGCCAGTCGGCCTGACCCATCCAGATTCTCTATTGGAGCATACATATCTCTGTACTCTGTACCTGCCGTGGCAATGGGGGAAATGGAAGACGCAGGGGCGTCGAGTGGGGATGTTTGTGTCCCTCACTGGTTTCGGAAGCATTGCAGGTCCTCCGATATCAGGTGCGATTTGTACCGCGACAGGAGGGTTCGTCGATGCGGGTTATTATTCAGGCAGGTTTATGACACAGTGCGATATTTGAGCGAACATTGACATTGCCCAGGTGGCAGCATTATATTTGGTGTTGCATTGCTACTTGTGGCGCGGCACCTCCATCTCGGACGGCTATGGGGCAAGTTTTGAAAGATCGTTCAGTGAGGCGATGGGGCTCTCGATGTGCTCTACAGGATACGCAACACTTTCGACTCCTCTGTACAACGTTGTTTTGAACTTCAGAACCTCGTCGGATGAATTTTCGTCTGCCACTTGGATTTGCCCATGCCCAAGTCACTTGATCGGCAGTCATGGCCAAAGTTTGTCCGCCCAGTCGCTGAACGAAGCGAGACGAGAGACGTAAGGGGGGGCGACTGCAAAACTGCAGTCAAACTTAAATTGACACCAGTCCATGGCATAGTGATACATTAAGTCTGCTACTTAGTAGAGTTCAGCCTTACATTGACATTGCTCGCTGGCATGTAATGTGAAGCATGACAAAGTTGAACTCCTTGCGTCCCATACCCATGAAACGGCGAAACTCGTCGCCAGTGATCTGCATCGCACGTGCATCAATCCTCGTTGCTATGAAGACATGCTGGGAGTGAGTCATGCCAGGGAGCTTTGGAATGGGTGCCGGGCAGTCTGCGAGGTGGCACTGATAAGATGCCGATGCCAACTTGAATGCACTGGTGGAAGAGATCCGGAGTTAGTGACAAGCCAAATCGTGGCAACTCTCTCTAGTTTGATCACTCAGGCTCCTGGATCTACGGAGTGGCTTCTGTGAGTGTGACCCGATAGGAGAGGGGTACATATCTAGTGCATCCCTTTGCGGGATCTCCAGGTTCCGACAGAGCGATCCCTTCGTATGACCGTATTTTCATGTTCAAATGTCACAGTCACAAGGGTGTGTCGAATTGAATGAAATACTACAGTAATACAAGGTATCCTACAAGAATGATTGTGTCTAAAAAGTACCTATTGCTTTCGTGCTATTGCTACAGATTATGTTGTCCTTCCCATTACTACCATGCAGCCCGGATTAATCCTCGAAATGACCCCTATCTGTCCACTGATAACGAACCTCTGGACCAGGAAAAGTATTCCTACAAAACTTTATCAAATAATCGACGCCTCCCGAAAGCGGTAGAAATCTCTCCATAGCGGACTTCGCAGCAGCAGCCCCTGACCTCGGCGCCGCCTTCGCAACTGTGCGCGACCGCAAAAGCAGATGACAGTCCTCAAATATACGTTCAAAAATCTGTACCAGCCGCTCCATTGGCACTGCATCGATGTTGACGCGCGCGCACGTCTGAATTTCGACAGACAGCTTAATGAGCACGTCCACAGGTGGCAGCGCACCAAACCGCAAGCACGCGATGCTGCTAAAACTCGAAAACTCCTCGTGGATCGAAGGGGAGGTACCGAGGGTACTCCATTCCCCGTTCATGGCTTTTAACGTAGCTCGTACGACCCACAGGCGTTTCTTGAAGAACTTCTTTCTTCTCGTGATGAGGAAAGGAAGTACGTCTTTGTAATTCTCCGTCTGTGGGTTTATGATAATCTTGAAGAATTCGTGTGCGTCCATTAAGTCTTGTATAGCTTCGCATGCGTTTACTTCCAATGATGATCGATTGCGGAGAGGTTTGTGCAAAGTGAAAGACACCTCCGGTGAGATGTTTATCGTGACCGAGACCACCTCTTCACGACTGTCGGACTTGGATAGGTAGGATGTGATTGTGTTTGTAATGACGTGTTGTTTGGGGATTTTTGGAGGCGGTTTGCGTCTAGGACGGATTGTAAGGTCGTCATCCTCGTCTACGGGTCGTGCCGAACAGCCTGAATGCATGCCACCTGCTAAGTACATCCCGATGGGTCCGTTTGTTCCGAAGTGTGTAAATGACTCAGATCACTCACGTTCTGTTTTCTCTTCATGGTTGGATCGGGAGAGTGTCGAAGAGTTTGAGATTGTGTCAATAAGAATTGGCGTGCTAGACATTTCGCAAGATGGGGAATGACAAGTTGTCCCGGCTTCGTTGAGGTGACCCGAAGTAATAGGGATGTCGTCATTAATAATGAATGGAAGTCGAGCCGTGAGAAAATATACCATCCGAGAGATCGTCGATCCGCAATTGATCCAAAACCGCATTAATATTTACATCAAGTAATTGACGGGACGCAGAACTGGGGCGCACGCATAAGAGATATGTACAAAAGGTAAGAACCGAAAATGCTAGTTCAGATAAAAGTAGAAAAGTATACCATTCAAGTTTGATGTTGGACTACGCACATCTCGACAAAGTTAAGACTATGTTACAGAAACGAGATCGAGACGTAGAGTTGTCTGAATAGGGCAATGTGGACTTGCGATTGACAGATCCGATCAATATCATCATAACTTGGCATTGACCTTGTCAAAAATCCGAACGACAATTTTTCCAAACTGATCCCCGCGCTTCATGAGCTCGAAGCCTTCTTCTGCAGCTTCAAGTCCCTCGAGGACATGGGATACCACTGGGACAATGCGATGCTCTGACACAAACGTTGTTGCGTCTGTGAGATCCTTGAGGGAGCCCATCGTCGAACCTTCCACACATTCAATATTGGTGTTCAAGTAGGGCAGGGAAACTTACCGATAAGCCGTTGATTCTTGAGCACTTCTCGCATGGTGAACTTGATTTGGGGATTTGCGGTCCTGTAATGATGCTGAGTGACATTTCAAGAAACGAACCTCCTTCGCTCACATCCCATAGACTACGACTTTGCCGCCCAGTTTTAAGATGCTGTTCACTTGTGTCATGATATCTCCGCCGCCGGAGTCAATAACTGCATCAATCTTTGCAGATTTTCCGCTGTTTTTCGCCAGAAGGGCAGCAAGATGCGATGACCAATCCTCTGAGATAGTTTGAACCTCCAAGACGAGTGGTTCGAGATTGTGAATCCTTACTTAATTTGTAGTTCACTCCGCCCTTGGCTCCAAGAGCAGCTGCTTTTCGGATTTTTTCCTCGCTACCACTCGTAACATAGACATTAGCGCCTTTGGCTAGACATAGTTGCATGGCAAGAAGCGCCACTCCTCCACCGATTCCGGTAATAAGAATATTTTGGTCTTTCGATGCTTCAGCATTGACAATCGCGGCCCTGAACAGTACATTCAGTGATAGGACGAAGACGGGATCGCGACAAAAACGTACCTCCAAGCAGTTAGGCCACCAAGAGGCCAAGCCGAGACTTGAACGTCATCAAGATGATCTGGAGAACGAATAACCTGATTTCTCTCCACCACAACGTATTCGGCAAACGTTCCTAACGGAGGGTTGCGTCCACCTCCAAGGATTCCGAAACTTCTGCTGTATGAGCCAATGTCAATAAAAAAATATGTAACCCACTCTGTTTCTGGCGCATCTGCTTGCTTTCCCAACCTCGCATGGGTGTCAGGAAGACGCGTTTGTTCAGGAGTGCATCATTTAAATCTGCCGATGCAACTACCGTGCCTGGGTTGATGCTCTCAGTTTCCTCATCTCAATTTATGACTGCAATAACACCTGCTCCATCAGCACCGAAGGTGCTTCCAAAGTTGATTCCTGGGTATTGACCAAGGCGCATCCAAAGCTGTCGGGGCGTTTGGGTGAGCAACGAATTCTTGCCGCAGGCGACGCTACCGCTGGTCACATCACTCACGTCTCGATGGTTGAACGATACAGCTCCCATTTTCACAAGGATTTCTCCTTGTTTTAGTTGCTGCAGTGGACGTGTCTCCAGGACAGCATCATGATAGACAGGTTTTGCTTCCGCGGAGCACTTCTTAATGACTAGTGCCCGTGTCGACTCAGGAATTCTGCCAGCCATCATAATAGTGAAGGGAGAGTATAATGCAGACCACTTAAATACTGCCACCACAGTGATATGAGAAAACGATAGATGCTACATTGCTAGCCGTGTACCGGTCACCTGAAATCATGAGCGCACTTCAACTTGTGAGAATATTGCGCTGATGTAATCTATTTTGGCAGTCAGTTAGGCGCCGATAATAATTTCCTTTTCTTCTCAGCCATTATGAACACCTGTTGCAACGTGTCAGATATAGAGGCGGGACCCTCGTTCTGGCGCTATCTCTGTTAGATATTGAAGGAGTAGAAGGATCGGACAAACGAAAATTGCGGGAGGACGCTTACTTGACGGACGAATAAATTGCATTTCACATTCAGGCTCGGAAAACTTGAAGTTTGTCCTTGGCCGAACTTTGAAGCAGGCCTGTCAAGACTGCAGATTTCCCGAAGTTAGCCTTGATGAAGCATTTCCAACAGACACTGCGGCCCTCGACACGTTGGCCCTTATCAACCAAGGGGAACTTGAACTAGACGACGACTACTATCTTGCTACCCTTGCTCTCAGCCCGTGATTGGATGCTATCTCAGTTAGACACAGTTTTCATTCCATGACAATGCTCCGTGCTCACATTGCTACTATCAAGGTTGCCTTTTAAATCTCGTGGAAGATTATACCAGGGATGAGCCTGAGACACTTCACTTCCCGCAGTGTTGCCTGCAGCCTCTCCCTATCGCAAACGTCCTCCCGTTATTTCCATTGGATTTGCGATTACATTTCCAGGACAAATCTGCGGAGTTCTCAACCCCTAACGCCTTCACGGAACTACCGTCCCAATCCGACTTGCTCCACGTTCTTAGGTTGATTATCTGACTGCAGGTCTGAGATCACCTGCACAAGTTGCACGGCACGTGTATGCTCTGCCTGCAAGAATCGATCCCACCCATCTTGAAGACTGTACTGAAAACGTTCAGACTTCAGTGGTAAAGTCTCTTGCATCTCGAATGGATTGGCAGACCTGTCCGGGCTACCATGCTATCGTGGAACTCAAGGCTGGGTGTCATCATACGACCTGCCGTTGCTCAACACAGTTTTGTTACGTGTGTGCGGCACGGTGGAAAAATTGCATGCATTAATGGGATTATCGACGCTTGTTAGATGACACTTGAAAGACGTGTATGTGACGAATTCGGTGCTCAAACGCTCAGGAGTCAGCTGCGTGCCCTACGATTTCTGCAGACCGCAATTACCAGGGAATACCGGTGGAGTTGGAGGAAAATCATGAGTGCCATGGAGCATGAATTGGGATTGGAGTTCAGACGTTGCATTTAATGGTAAGATTGACACTTTGCACTAAATGTATATCTCGGTCTGGCCATACCTAGCGCGGCTTAATGCTCTTACCTTGTATATCAAAGCGAAACAAATGCTCACCACGCTGGTCACTGTCGCTCACATCTCCATGGAACGTTCCCGTTTTCACAAGGACTTTCCCTTGTTTTAGTTGCTGCAATAGACATGTCTCAAAGACACCGTCAGGATAGACAGGTTTTGTTTCCGCGGCGCACTTGATGCTCGTGTCGACTCAGGAATTTCGTGGCTCGCCAGACATCATGATGGGAGAGTATAACGTAGACCACTTGGGGACTGCTATGCTGGTATGAGCTGCTACATAGCCGTTTACCGGTTCAACGTTCATGGATCGCGCTGATTAGTAATCGATTATATTCCAGCACCAGTTAGGAGCCGATGAAGTTCCCCCTTTCTTTTCAGCCATTATGAACACTCGTTTCAGCGTGCCAGATATCGAGGCAGAGGCCCTCGTTCTGGCGCTATCTCTGTTGGATATCGAAGAAGTCGAAGGATCGCGCAAAGGAAAGTTACGGGAGGACGCCTGCTTGACGGACGAAGAAATTGCATTCAACTTTCAGGCAGAAAATTTGAAGGCGTCCTTGGCCGAACTTCGAGACCGCAGATTTGCACTAAGCCTTGATGAAGCGCTTCAAACCGACACTGCAGCTCTCAGTGCCTTGTCTCTCATCAACCAAGGGGAACAAGATGATCATCTTTTTGCTCTTGCTCTTGAAAGAGGCGCCGATGTACCAACCCCTACTCATTCACAAGAAGTACTTGAATGGTCTGGATTTCTGTCGTTTGTAAATCTTATTTTTGATTTTACATATTACTAACGACCCCTCCAGTGAGTTTGGCTCCACTATGTCCAGTAATAATGATATCACAGGCGTAGTTGAGCCAGACCCAGATGAAATGGACGACCTAGGTGAATCTTCTCGTCTACCGTACCATGGGGGACAACTTTCAGCTCGTGATAGGATGCCATCTCGGTTAGACACAATTTTCAATTCACTACCTCGGCCTCATATTACTTTGTCCCAGGGTGGAATGTATCATATGTGGCGATCCTGTCAGACGTTCGCAAGTATTCAATGCTCCGTGCTCTCATTTTTATTGTCGAGGTTGCCTTGTAAACCTTGTCGAAGCATCTACCAGGGACGAGACACTTTACCCCGTGCGGTGCTGCCAGAAGCCTCTCCCCGTTGCGAACTTCCTTCCGTTGCTTCCATCGGATTTGCGATCCCATTTCCAGGACAAATCTGCGGAGTTCGCAACTCCACCGACTTCACGGATCTACTGTCCCAATCAGACTTGCTCCAAGTTTTTGGGATCATCTTCTGGCCGCAGGTCTGAGATCGAATGCAGTTGTGGGACACGTGTGTGTTCCGCATGCAGGAATCGAGCCCACTTATACGAAGATTGTGCTGAAAACGCTCAGACGTCAGCGATCAAGTCCCTTGCGTCTCAAATGGGATGGCAGACCTGTCCGGGTTGCCACGCTATCGTGGAACTCTGGCAGGGGTGTTACCACATGACCTGCCGGTGCTCGACGCAGTTTTGTTACTTGTGCGCAGCACTGTGGAAAACTTGCGACTGCCGGCAATGGGACGATCAACGCTTGTTAGATGACGCCGAACGACGTGTGTACAATGAATTCGGGGCTCGGGAGGCAGCTGCGCGCCCTGAAATTTTTGTGGACCGTGTTTACCAGAGGATGGCAGCGTTGCAGGAAAATCATGAGTGCGCTGTGCACCGATGGGTGTACAGGAGTGGCGGCGGACGTTGTGAAGAATGTCATGATGATTTAAGGAATTATCTGATGGTAAGTTTATCATCTTTGGAATACATGGGCTTCATGCTGATAATTCTCGCCAACTCAAGCGTTGCAGAGATTGCCAAGCCTTGGTATGTAGGCGATGTTCAGTGAATCGTCTTTGAGAATAGCAATATTAGTATGAGGTTCAGGTAGTAAGGTACAAAAGTCGAGACCTTTTGTATGAGTACTAGGTTTGGATTTCTGGAGTTTCAAGCAGCAGGGTTGAAGATTCACATATCACGGGTAAAACAGATCATTCGCGACGGGTGACCACTGTCAGAAAGACGCCGGAGTATTATCGCCTGGGACAATCATGATGTATGTGTTATCTCAGTCTGGCCCTGGATCTATAGTTAGCACTTGCCGTGGGCGCAAGGCTCCTGCCTTGTATGTTGAAGCGAAATGATGCACCGCTCCCATAAAGGCTCCTTTGGTCCTTCTTGACGCAACACACCAATGGCTGCCATAACCAGCAGCAACCTGGAGGCTGCCTCGCACGCTACAGTACGACTCGCTCAATCCATGACAAGCGAAAACCATTTTGACGAGTCCAAAACGAGAAGTGGAACACCCCTATCGGACGTCTCGCCCAGCGCCCAAGCATGCTGTACTCCACCTCCTTGTTCTCCAGAGTTGAAATGGTGTGTGACGTGAGCGATTATCTCTTGACAGAGAAGACCACTAAGCAATCTGGCGACCTATAACATTGTATTCATAGTGGTACACAAGATTGCACGAATGACGAGTGGAACAAAGCTCCACAAAATAGGAAAGCGACATTTTGTTTGTCACAAATTTTTATCAAGTTTCTGAAACGAGATCAAACTCCGTGAGCCTTCCAACCTTGAACCATTACTAGCCTTACCGCTGCAATAGAGTAGAATGTATTGCCTGCGGGGATAAGGTCCCACCAAAGCAAAGTTTCCGTGCGCCATGTGCTCATCACTATTGCCGGGAATGCATAGCGAATTTCGCGAAGGCGTCCATGAAAGACGAATCTCTGTATCCCTTGCAGTGTTGCCAGATTCGAATGCCGGCCAAGAAAGTCGATCGACAATTACCTAAACCACTGCAGACAGGATTTCGTGCCAAGACTGTGGAATATTCGGTCCCGCCGACTACACGAGTGTACTGCGCGAATCAGAAATGCTCTGCATTCTTGTGCTCCTCAGACACTCGCAAGACGAACATGACTTGCCGTATGTGTGGCACCGCGATGTGTCTTGCATGCAAGAATAGGAGACATTTAGGAGAGGAATGCGTAGAGGCAGGACTGCAAAGAGACTTGAAGAGACTTGCAGATGATAAAAATTGGCAGTCGTGTCCTGGTTGCCGGGCGATCATCGAACGTACAGATGGGTGCAGCCACATCACGTGTCGCTGCTCCACCCACTTCTGTTATCGATGTGGAGCCCGCTGGCGAAAGTGTTTTTGCCACAAAGAGGATCACTAAGTCCCCTATCATCATAGCAGGAAGTTGTTACACCACGGTGAGGCAAAATATCAGATGTACTTTTAGGTTATTCACTGATTCCAGTATTGTTGGTCAATTTAGTGCCAAGGATAGTAAGTATATGCAGCAGTAAAGAAACGCCCAAACATTAAATCTTTTAGCTAGATGTCTCATTATGAACATACCCTTCTTTTTACGCACTATACGCATGCACGTGTATAGCCTTTGCGGAACAACTTCGTACAAATCACAATTCGAACCAATATCTGTATGTATAAGCATGTTATATGCTCGGTGTATGTTTCAGTTACAGTAGTTTATGGGCTTCATTCACTTGCTCACAGAAGCCTTGCAGTACTGTCACGAAGGCCTAAGACATCAAAGAACAGATAAGCGGGACATACAATGCATAACCATTGGAAGAAAACGATCTACATAGAAGGGGCCACGACGATATGTTGAGTTAGACGTCCCGCGTCGAAACCCACTGTAGATGACTCCATCGCAGCTTTTCATCTTGCGGATATCTTTTATTTCTGCGCACGGTCATGTTCCTCCAAGTGGATGAGAGATGAACTCATTGGATGGCTAAAAGTTAATATCATCTTGCACACTCCTAGTGACTAGGTGAGTCCCTGAGTAAAAATCCTCGTCCCCTGCCTTTGCGAAGATAGGTCAGCGAAAACACCTGATCAAAAGATTGAACTAGGACGCTGCAGTGTTATCAAAGGCATCTTACCGCTGCCCGTCGATGGATCGTCCTATGATGGCTTTCTTCGAGTCTGAGCTTGGAGAGCGGCACGCAGATCGGAGGGGGTAGGACAAAGAAAGTAGAACAGACGGGCTGTCACGGTGATGAGCGGATGCCGAGGAGGGGATGGCAAAAGTGTGCGATGTAGAGGACGACGAGACCATCCTCGTACCACGCTCGACGCAATGTACAAAAATTGCGACGGGCGGATACGAGAAGTCCTCATTGAAAATCTGGGATGCAAAGATAGCGACAGTTGAAGCTGGAGAGAAACTTTGAATCAAGACGCTAATTACTAATTAGGATTCTCGGATATTACATAATGTATTTCGATCCAAACAAAAAACCCATCACATTCAAAGCGACAAAATCTAGCGCTAGTACTAGTACTGTCGCTACCTACACCTACCACTACTAAACCAAACCAAAACCCTAACCCCTCCCCGCACCAACCCTCCTGTAAAACAACAAATACGCACACCTCATCGTCTCATCCTTCTCTACGCCCCCAAACACATCCTCGGCTCTCAAATCCGAAACCAATTCATCGTCAATGCGTATCCACCCCTCGCGCGCCTTCGTAGGTGGAGTTGACATGTCGATATTGGGGTGAAGGACGTCGAGGGTGTAGTGTCCGCCTGAGGCCGAGAGGCCGTGATGGTAGAGCGCTGCATGAGTTGGTAAGGTTACTTGTGGCGAGTGTAGACAGAAACAGACACACCTCCAAACAACCGATACCTCGTCCCATTCACCTTCCTCCCCTGTACCATCACCTCACTTCCAACCTCCAGCTCAGGCGTAAACCCAACCTGTTTCCCAACTTTTGCAACGCCCCCTTTATTGGCGTCGTACAAGAACCGCTTGAGATGCAGGATGAGGATCGGAGGGAGGGACTCGATGTGCACTTGTTGAGTAGCGTCAAGGGTGGCGCCGGGGCGGGTTACGGAAGTGACTTGCACGGATTGGGGAGTGGAGATGTGCGTTAGGGCGTCTTTGATTGTGTGAATCGTGTCGCGCTGTACAATGTCAATTTGGTCAGCAGTGAGCTTCCAAGGGATGGCGAGATGACAAACTTGGATATCTAACCGCAGACTAGCGCCAGTCTTCGACAACGGCAGAGTCTTTTTGGTGTGGTACGCGGAGGATGGAGCGGAATTTGCCGCCAAATATACGGGTCATGGGGGAGTCGGCTGTCTTTGTCTAGGAAAGGTGAGTATGGATACAAAGGAGTAAGGGGAGACCTTACGGAGCGCGTGATGACGGTGCGATTACGCTTGCCCACCTCGAGCCAGCCGTCTTCTTGTGTGTTGTTTGCTGGAGCGTTGTTATTCTGAGCTGGAGCTGGGCTGGGGTTAGTGAGTGACGCGGAAAGCGTCAAGAGCTCTTCTTCGAGCGTGTCGAGATAGAATCCAAGAAACTCTTCTGCATCTTCTTGATGTCCACCCTGCCGATACAACTCAGTATCAAAAACGCCAAAAGAAGTAGGAAAGAGTACTCACGCGCATATGGTCGAACCTCTTCTTCTCCTTCAAAGCATCATATACATAAGTCGGCATAAACGAATCCATAATATCTTCATCAACTTCCTCATGTACGAGACCATTTGATCCATAGCGCTCTACGCCCTTGCCCTTGCCCTCAACAGGCGCCTTCTCTTTTGGCGAAAATTCCCTCACAAACCGAATAGTAGCATCGACCAGCGGGGTATTAGACTGCTCCGTAGGCTCAAGCAACCGCCCGAGATCTGTGAAGAAGCGCCAGAATGGAGGACAGTACACGAGGACCTGGAGAACCGCGTTAGCGAAGCACAAGTTGCCAGAGTTGACAAGGCCGCGTGGCCTGATGCGAATGGGAGCTGCGGATGATCCGCCGGAATTGAGCAAATTCAGAAGTTCGGACTTTTTAGGGTGGGAGGGGGATTTTGTGGAAGCGGGGTTTGGGGGAGGGGAGGCGGGGATGGAGAAGCCTACGACGGAGGATGCGGGGAGGTTGGAGGGGCCGGGTTTGCGGAGGAGAGAAGCCCATGATACGGCGGGCTTTGGGGCGGGTGCGGGTGTAGGGGCTGACGTGGAGGCTTCTGCGTTGGATGGCTTGGACACAGTAGCAGGTTCTGCATCAGATGGGATGGGAGTAACAGTGGAGGTAGAAGGATCTACATCGGATATCGCAGAAGGTTCTACATCAGGTAAGGAGGGCGCAGCAGCGGACGTAGAAGGTTCTGAATCAGGTTCGGGTAGCTTAGGTGCCTCTACGTGATCAGGGGATGATGCTTCAAGCTCTGGTTCGGTGGGGGTTGACGTGGCATCCACCGATGGTTGTTGTTCGGGAGCCTTTTGCAAGAGAAAATGAAGTGTTAGTAGAGTCCGGTGAGCCGGGCACAGGTGTATCAAATGCTGTCGAAAGCGGAGGAGTCGTATTTGATTCCGTGCCATCTGGGATATCAGAAGGCGGGGTTGGCGCTGATAGATCTATAACGACTGGTGTAGGAGATGGAGGAGGTGTTGGAATATCGAGTGCGTATTGAATGACATCGCGAGGAGGATGAGCTAGAGGAGAGATGATGATACCAGGAGCTGTTGATGGATCCGTGGGACGTTTTGACCAAATAACCCAACCACCTAGTTTTGGATCTGTGCTAGGCATAGGTGATGAAGGAGGTGAAGTTGGTGGTGGATTGGGCGTCTCCTCGGGTTCTATATTTTTACTTCCGATCTGATCGCCGCTAGATTGAAGAGAAGGAAGAGTTGACAATTGTTTTGGTAAGGGAGAAAGCGGTTGCTGGCTGTGTTGTTGCCAGTAAGCAGACCTTGGAACATAAGGAGCAGGCTGAGGATGAGGATGATGATAATTGTAATGAGGATGAAATATTGGTCGGTGAATGTGTCCATTCATTGGTACATTGACATTGACAGGATATCGCTGATATTGACCAGGAAATGGCCCAGCAGCTCCGTAAGGGTAATGATAATAATTCGAAGGACCAGGAGGACCAGCATGAGCTGCCATACGATCGCTCATGACTAGACTGCCGTTGCCGTTGAGTAAATGCTAAAATATAACGAACTCAACGCACCTGGCAGCGAGCAGAGATGACTAGGTCTAGGTTGGGCTAGGTCAAGGGCCTCTTCAAATTCTCATTCTTGTTGTACTTTGTTTGTAAACATGCCGAAATCGACTGCAACCGAGTGGACTGTCACTGTCACTGACGATGAGCATCGAGCAGAACGAGCTCAATGACGAGCACCCACTCGTCCTCGAACTCTCCAGTCTCAGACAAACAGCAGCTCGCTTTCAGGTACTTTTCATTTCATATACCTCTGCACTGACTATTCATATTCATTAGCATGAAGCACACCAAGCTGCTCTCAAACTTCAACGTCACACTCTAGCAGCAGCCCAAACAAACGTCCGCTTACATTTCCTCGAATCACAAAATTCCTTACTTGCGTCTGAGCTCACTATCCTCCGCGCTCACCCATTACCCAACTCCCAATCAGACACCCACGTCGTCCAAGAGCTCACTCTCGCCCTAAGACGCTCTTCCGAGAAACTTGACCTCACAGAACATGCATTAGCAGAAAGGACAGCCGAAGTCGTAAACACCCGTACCGAAGCCCAAAAAGCACGCTACGACGCAGGGGGCGCTTATAAACTCGCCGCAAGTGCTCGTGCCCGCGAAGAGGAAGGTAAAGTCCGCGAACGTGGCTTGGAAACGCGTCTCCAAGCTGTAGAGGAGGAACGCAGGCTCATAGAGCTCGTGGTGCACGAGTATGCTGATCTCGTGCGCAGTTTGGATGGCAGGAAGAGCTCGCTTGGTAATGGGGGTGCAGTACTGCAAAACACGTCTGCGTCTGCATCTTCTCTCACTCTCGTCGAAGGGCTCCATGAGGGTAAATCAAGCTTGCATCGCCTCATAACTGAATTTGCTTCCGAGATCGAGAAACGAGAAACTAGCATTACCCAGCTACGCAATGAGATCGCGAATTTGGAGAGCATCCTCGATGCAGAGCGTAAAACAGCCGCTCAAGACCGTGCTTACCTCGCAAAAGCGCAGTTAGAACTAGAGGCACTAAAGCTAGACGATACCACAGCAGCCAAGATGGTCTCCCGATACATGTACGTGCCTCATACATGTATTGCTTCAACAAATTCGAACATCGCACAGGAAATTTTCGCAGTCCCAGACTAATGCCCTTCAATCCACACTCACGACTTTCCAAACACGACACGCATCCACCCAACATACTCTCCAATCCACAATCAACGATACCGAAGCACGGATGCATGCTCACATGGCCGAGAACGCACGTCTTCGCGACGCCTTAGAAGAACTCGGCGAAGAAGTCACCAGGGAAGCATATGGGCGGAGGAGGGAGGTTGCACTGCGTCTTGCCCTTCTCGCACGGGAAGAAGCGCTCGGCGAAGCCCTACGCAGATGGGTTCGAAGAGCCCAAGAAGGTATACACCGCTGCACAGACGCAGATAGTCAGACGTATGCAACTTTTGAGCTGGCTGTGAACGGTGCGGAGAGTCTTTTGATGGCACTGGATGCGGAAGTGGCTTTGGGGGATGGGAGTTTGGTTACTGGTGTATTGGGGAGATTAGTTCTTGCTAAGGACGCCGTGATGAGGATGAGTGAAGAAATTGGGGTGGAAGTTGGAAGAAGGGTCGCTGCTGAGCGGAGGCTTTCTTGGGGCATAGGGTCCCCCGACGGGGTTGTCCACGAGCAGATCATTGCGGTCGGAAGAACACCCATTGATGTTACAGAACAGCCAGCTCATACACAAGACACGAACACTGATATCTCACATACCCAGGATCTAATACCCGCTTCTCCACAAGCACTTACACCTCCTCCAAGTCTCCCAACAGAGGACAACAGGTGTACGTCTGCACCCGTCATAGGCGACATCATGCCTGGTACTTCACATCTGCTTCTTGATATACCCACTGAATCAAGCCAGTCGCCTGCTGTCCCGACCCTCGATCTGACCCAGACCCCCACTGAGAAAGAGGCGTGTATTCTGCTGCAGTCTGCCGAACTACGTACGCCTTTGGCTTCCGCGAATGAGCTGACTATGGAGCCTGTTGACATGGATGGAATTTCGGATACTCAAAAAGTTAAATTGCACGTTCAAACACCTGATACTGAAGGTACAACTTTACCCGTCGTAGGCGACACCACGCCTGGCACTTCGGAGCTGCTTCTCGATTTACCCGTCGAACCAAGTCCGTCGCCTGCAGTCTCAATCCTCGATCTGATTCAGACCCCCGCTGGGGAGCGCAACCCTTTGGCTTCTGTGAATGAGTCGACTATGGGGCATGACACCGATGGAATTTGGGATACTAAGGATACCCCACTACCCCTTCCCCTAACGAATCTTGCAGTAAAAGAAGAAAGTCCCACCAACCAATTTTTGGGAAGAAACGAAGATTCTGGTGTCTTCTTCACTCCAGCTGCTCCAACTCCAGAAGTTCAAGCAGTCGCTCCAGCTAATGAACCCAACAACTTAACCGCCACCATCATTCCCTCATCACAATCTCCCTCCATCCCAGATGAAATCCCATCCTTACTATCCTCCCTCACCAAAGTCAATCACCGCTATGATGCCTTCCAACACGCATTCCGTGACTGCTCTCTCGCACTCAAAGACCTCAAACGCTTGCTCCCTCCCATCGCTATCGCTTCTCCGCCGACACTGACACCAACACCTTCTCACTCTCCCCAATCCCTCCTCCGTACCGCCCTAGACCGCATATCCGACTACACCGAAGACGCCCGTGTTGAGCTCGAAATCCGTATCACAGATGAAGCGCTCACCATTCGCGGCTTCGAGACCCTCCTCACCGTTCCAGGTGCGCTGTCCCTTTCATCGGATTCGAATTTGGACCTTGAAGAAATGCGTGCATTTATTGATGGGCGTGATGAGGGTGTGAGGAAGGCTGGGGAGAGGCTTGAGAAGAAATTGGGGGATGTGCAGCATGATGTGGCGGTTGTCAAGCGAGCAGTTCATGACCTTCAGGTTCAGCTTGACGAGGAGAGGGAACCAGAGGAAGACAAGAGCTGGTCCGCATGGACATCAAGCCTCCTCCCTCGTTCATCCACGCCTACACCAACCCAAACGCCTACGTTCGGTTCTGTGATGACTTCTCCGCGATTGAGGCGTTCCCCCTCAGTGAAGCAGCTTTCTTCGCTTGCGGAGCTAGAGTTGAGGATTCCTATGCCGTTGCCTGCCTCGACACCTCAACCTCAGCCTGAGTATGGGGGCCTTGGTCTTGGGGTGGGATCTGGAGAATTTTCGCTGGGGTTGGGACGTCAACGGACGATGTCGATGATGTATTCGTTGGGGATTGGGTCTAGGGCTTCGGTTTCGACTTCGCCGTTGGGGTCGGTCTCGCCGTTGGGGATACCTGGGATGTCGCCTGTGAAGAGTGTGAAGAGTGGGGGAAGTAGGAATAGGTTTGTTACGACCCCGCTCACTGGTGAGACCCGCCGTGACCGTGATGAAAGTGATGTCGAGTGATAGGTTTGGACACTTGCCATGCGTGCAATTTGATGTCATACTTGGTTGTTCTATTGCTCTGTATGATACATCAGTTGCTAGGTTGGGACTGTTTTGCATACCTCCTACTTGTGTAAGTATAGTAGTGGGATCATTGATCACTTGCACAGATTGCGAGCGCTTAATAAGTTACAACGTCGGGACCGTCATCGATGGACATGACTTGGTCACGTGTAGATAAAACGTTTCGTGGAGCAAACGGTCAGTTGCTCAGCGCCATTCCTTGCATCCTTCTCCAATCCTTCTCATACAATCATGTCTGCAGCAACTGCTCCCCAGCCTCAGGCCCAGACTCAGACTTCTCCTTCAGCCAAGCGTGGCAAACGAGGCGGACACAGAGGCCAAGGCGGTCATCGCGGAGGTGGTAAATCCCGAGGCCGCAAGAATTCAAGTGCGGCCGCACCAGCCGACCCTGTTTCTACTCAGCCAACCCAGAATGAAGTCGCGCCTGCCCCAGAAGCCACAGACGACGCAGTGGTGTGCTGGATCTGCGCAGAGCCCGTCAAATACTACTCAGTATCAGCGTGCAACCACCGGACGTGTCATGTCTGTGCTCTACGCTTGAGAGCGCTTTATAAAAAACTGGATTGCACATTTTGCAAGGCGCGTCTGTCTTTTCTTAGTCCCACCTACGAAGTTTGACGCTGGGGCGTTTACTAGGAACCCCAAACAACTGTGATATTCACGACTTCCCCCGATGCGCTTTTTTCTTCCTACACCCCCGACATGATCCCGCACAAAGACTCTAAGTTATTAATCTACTTCGAGTCCACTGACATGATGGAAGAGACGCTTATTCTTCTGCGATTTAATTGTCCTGATTCGCAGTGCGATTATACCGGGACTGGATGGGGTGATCTTAAATTGCATGTCCGGGGTACACACGGGAAGATGATGTGGTACGTGCATCAGATATTTAAGCTTGCGCACTGAGCACAGACCTTTCATGTCCTTGAAAGTGACCTGTGTATCCGATCCAAGAAGGTTTTCAGTCACGAGCACGCTTTGTACCCCCCCAACGTCCTACCTTTACACTTGCCATCTATGCTGCATCGGTCTCATAAACAAGTGACAAAAGAGCCGATTGAAGGCGGCGTGCATCCATTATGCGGGTTCTGCAAGGAATGTTTTTTCAGTGATGATGAGTTGTATGTTCACATGCGCGAACGCCACGAGGAGTGCTTCATCTGCAAACGGAATGAAGTACGAGATCAATAGTTAGTCTTTTTTTAATGACATTCGCTCGGTGAAAAATTAAGCTGATGCATCCGTCGTTTGTTTTGTCTAGCTTTCAAAATTATGAGGCCCTCGTACGATCTTTTTGGCTGCATTGATATTGATACTTGTAGTGATTCCCTCGTCAGGAACAACATTTTGATCAAGGGCATTTTGCGTGTTCAAAACCTGCTTGTCAAGCTCAAAAATTCGTGGTGTTTGGATCTGCGATCGACCTCAAGGCGCATCAGGTTGAAGTACATGGTGCAGAGATGACTTCAAGGGATAAGAAGAACACTCAGCGGGTTGAGGCGGAATTTGAGTTCGGGGATGCTGGTGGTGGGCGTAGGGGGAGACGGGACCGAGATCGAGATCGAGAACATGAGCCGCCGCCTGCTGCGCAGCCTAGGGCAGTGGCACGGCGCAGGGAAGCATTTGGTGGCCATCTGACTAGCAGTTCTCCTGCGCCTAATGGGGTACAAACGCCGCAGTCGTCTGGACCTAGCCGACGGGCGTCGCCATCCCCACAGCGAAGCGGGGAGGAGGTCGATCCTGTTGTTGCTCAGTAAGAATTTTGTGAGGAACTCTGAATTTTTTTCTCACTCCGTATAGGCGTCATGCGGCGTTCATTTCACGATTACAATCTGTTGCGCCAAACCCCATCACTGCAGTGCTCGCTGCTAAAGCTGCTGTCCGAGGATTCCGACTCAACGAATCCACCGCCCGTGATCTCATCTCGACGATATGGAACGTTCTTGACAGAAATTTAGATGATACTGCGGGTATTGTCAATGCTATTGTCGACTTATTTGAGGAAGAAGAGAAAAAGTCTAATCTGCTCTCCTCTTGGAACAGCTTCAAAATTGAGGTATTTTGCCAACCGCTGTATTTGTGCCGCGGTGGATCTGACAGCGAGATCGCAGCAACGTCAGCAGTTTCCTGATCTAGTACCTCAGGAAGTGGGGTCAGGCTATGCCAGTATCGCATCCGGTCGCGTCTTGAACGTGAAGCATGCTACTGCCACGCGGTCTTCATCGCAATCTTCGAGACAGGTGTGGGATCGCGTTGCACAGGCAGCTGGATCTTCTTCATCCCGCATTGGTTCCGCTCCTACTCCGACACCACGACCGCCAGATAGTTTCTCGGTTCTTGCAACTCCTGCGTTCCGCCAACCACAACGGAGCACCCCGTGGGCTTCTGGTTCTGGATCTTCTAGCACAGGTTCCCGAGCACCGACAACAGTACCGACCCCCGTAGTACAGCAACGCGCTGCTGCGAAGAAAGGTCCGCCGCCGCCGTCGCTTACATCCGCTGCTTTCCCAGGGCTGCCTTCGTCTGGTAACTCTCGTATGAAATCACTGGTCAGCGGGAATCAGTCTCTAAGAAACATTCTTGGTGAGGCTGTTCCGACTGTTGCTGCTTGGAAAAGCAGTGGCACCGCAAGCGGGGGCAGTACTTCCGATTCCGGAAGAACAGAGTGCTGTTGAAGAAATTGCTAGTGGAAAGGGGAAGAAGGGGAAGGGAAAGCAGAAGCAGACCTTGTTTACTCTCGGTTCTTTTCCAACATAAACAGAGGTGTCGTTGTGCCTCCCTATTGCATTCATTCTGGCTAAGGGACTGGGATAGATACATAGATACATTTGAGGTTTGCCAATATTGAAAACTTGATTGCAAACTCTCCACTTTCGTGAGCAATGAGCCTATACTAGTATTCCCCGCATCGCCGGTGCTATTTGTCGTCTGGAGTCTGCGCCAGCAATTTGTATTTCATGCGATCATGCGTTGTAATGCTAACTACAATTAAGGAGACAAAGTGTTGTACCGCGTTGGGCGTAACAATAACATCAAAGACTTCGTGCTGCCCTTACTCATAATTGTTCTAGCGAATGAAACGGCCATCAAATGCATTGGGAACTCGTCACCAGCTATTGCAAATAGGCGTGAAGGATGGGCCGGCGGGTTTCGGCCAAAGGCGAGAGAATGATGACCAAAGGTAAAAAGTCTAGTCACTGAGTAGTGTGACACACCAACTGACCCGTGCTGTCATAGAATTTGGGTTTCCCGCGATGGTGACGGAACCGCAGGAAACTTAGCTAAGTATCTTCAATGACTCTCATTCCTCACGAATTGAATTGCCAGATCATCTCAACACGTTTTAGAGTGTGTTAGATCTTGACACGAATGGACCCTAATATGATAATCTGCAGGTGGATCCGAGGACTCCGAGGTTGTTGATCCCCTTGGGTTGACCTTATACAAACATTCAAGTCCATCGATACCGGTACTTGTGATATCTGGGAAGTCATAGTCATTGATTCTTCCATGATATCACGCGCCTCATCTCTTGCTCACATGTTGTCCTTTGGACAAGTGGGTCTCGGAGCCCGGTGTTGTGGGCCACGTCCTACCAGGTGCTAAGTGTATAGTAGCTTGCTGTTCACAAAGTTGTTTACAATGCCAGATACCAGTTATATAAGGGATGGACTAGAGGGCTCTGAAACAGAATCTATTCCTCCGAATGCGAGACACAACACTACATAAATCACCTCGAAGATCTCTTGCTGCAATGGAAGTGTCGTTCTAGAACAAAGGCCTTGATTTGTTCCACTGAATGGATGATTCAGCACTTGCCCCATAGGGGTGCAAGGAGGTACCGCGCCAGAAGTAGCAATCCAGCAGCAAACATAATGATGCCACCTGGACAGGATCAATGTTCACTCAAATATCGGCATTTTATAAACCTGCCTGCATAGAAACCCGCATCAGCGAACCCTCCTGACGCGGTACAAATAGCGCCTGATATCGGAGGACCTGCAATGGCTCCAAAGCCAGCGAGGGACATGAACATTCCCACTCGGCGTCCTGCGTCTTCCATGTCTCCCATTGCTACGGCAGCTACAGCGAAGAGAGCTACAAATCCTCCCGAGGAGAATCTGTATTGGGTGAGTTGGCAGCTGGTAACGAACAAAGGCCGCACATACCCGTAAATAGTCGCTATTGCAATGAGCTGGGATTCATTTGTAGCAAATGGCCAGGCGAATGTCATAATTCCTGACATCGCAGTAAAAATTACCATGGTATTGAGTGCGCCTGTCAAGGATTAACTGGTGTTACCATAGCCCATAGCCATCGAAACTTACCGATTTTATCTCCCATTAGTCCAGATGACAGACGTCCAAATGTAGATGCCCCATTGGCGATTGCGATTATATAGAATGCAAAGTTTTCGGAGACGCCAATTTCCACGGCACTCACAGAGATATATGTTAACTCTGGTGAATCGATTCAGAATATCAGGAAGCCACAATGGTAACCGCCACGAAAATACCTGTGTAAAGTCCTAAAAATGCCAGTATTCCTGCAATGCTAAAAATGACATATGCTGCGTTGCGGAATGCTTTAAGATTAAAGAGTCCTCCATGAATATTGACGGGTGGAAGACGTCGTTTCAGTAACTTGGGGAACATGCATCAAAGAGAGAGGTATCTTTAGGTGGTGACGACATACTATATTGGCCGTCCCAAGTGTAGCAAGCAGAATGAATCCAAACACACGCATTGTCCATTTAAATCTAAAATTGTATGAGTGAGCCTGAATCGTCGATGATCGGTTGACCGGACCCGATTAATGGTATCAACTTCTGTGCTGCTGCAGGAAACACGGTACTGCCAATTGAAGCTCCAATGGCAGCGAGCGACATGGCGAGGCCACGTTTCCCGTCAAACCAATGCGAGATGACAACTAGTGCCGGACCGACTATGATGCCGCAGCAGATTCCCAAACTGAGACCTTGTACAAGAAAGAACTGCCAAAATTGAGTGCATTCCGCAGTTAGGAATGCGGACGCAATGATAACGCAGCTGGCGGCGAAGCATGGTATTTTGAAGTATCCTAGGTCAAACATTCGTCCCGTAGCAAGTGCTGGAAAGTACACGAGCGCGTACTAGAAGGATACGTGAGCTACACAAGTTTACTGGACCTAGAGATAGATATACCTGCGCAGAACCGATCCATGCTCTGAAGAGTAAAATTCGTACGATAAATCAGTCACAATGTCGCGTCAAATCGACCTAGTACCTTACATATTTGAAGGAGAAGTGTGACGTAGTAGATTTTCCTCGTAATACGCTTGGAAGACCTGAAAGGGGAGGATTTGCAGTAACTGCGAAGTATATGGTAAGAAGCCTTACTTACCCCCCATGTATTAGCTACACCGAACCTGGTGATCACTTGAGTTAAGCTAGGGGCTAAGAAATTGAGACAGCTCACGTAGAAAATAAAACTAAATTGACACTGTAATTTGAAGATATCAGTGATTATTTTAAAGAACTAATGGTGTAGCCCAAGTACTTACGCAACAACGACCAGCCACGCGGCCAACCCTCCATCTGGTGCTCCAGAAAGGTGTGGTGCAGGCTTCTCAGAAACGTGTTGATCCAGTGTTCCCCGATCATCCGCTTCCGGTTTCCACCCAAGGCGAGGCAAGGCTTCAGACACCGGATAAGCCTCGAATTTGCTTTGGGACTCCTCGGACATGGCTCTCAAGACAGAGGGAGATAAAAAATCAAAAAAGGGCGGGGAGAAACTGTACTGGTTTATTCAAGCCATTCTGCCGACGTTATGTAGACTTGGAACAGATGCCAATTAATACTAGCATTTAATTATCCCAATTCTTCTTGCCGAACTATTTGAAAAACTGAGGGCAATATTCTGTTCGACCACCCACCATGTCATTCTGGGAAGCGCCAGCGAAATCCGTATCGACGATCCACTCACTTCAGGAAGATACAAACACAAGCACTAAATATAGTAATCAGTGGACTTGCAGGCCTTTTCGGCTCGGTCATTACGTCAGCGAATTTATCCATACCAAATCCGTGCACATGCACAAGACAACTTCTAGAAGATATATCATATCCCCAAATCTTCATTATTTCTCACAATTTCGTGTCATGGCGGCAGTTTGCAGAGACGCCTCAACTTTGCAACAGTTGACCAACGCTAATAGCGCACACTTGGTCTTGAAGCTACTTGAAGTTGTAGGTGTTTATTTCTCAAACGGTGGCCAAACTACCAATATGATTTTTCACTAACTTAAAGTTGAATCTGCACTATTACCAATAGGTTTAACCTTCAAATCAGTTTGATTGGCAAGCACTACATACAAGGAGCCTACCTATTATCCGGCTTCACTGCTCACCCGAAGACCAGCAAAGGCCAGCAAGTCCAAATGTCCTTGTGACCGTGGCGTCATCAAATGACGCTTCACTGCCGGAGAATGGCGTCTGTGGCTCTCAAGGTTTTGCAAATAGCTCTATGTCGCGGAGAATACTATGTGTACATAACGCCGAGAGCATGATCTGCACACACCAGTACAATTGCTCTTTCCCCCCAGCTGTCTATTAATTCTGACCATTTTTTCTTCATATTGACAGGAGAACAACGCTATGTCCGACTTGGAGAAGTTACCAACTATAGAGTCTTTGCAGGGCATTAACTCCGCGTCTGGAAGCCAACATAGCTTGTCTTACGATACGCAGAAGACAGCAGTAGCCTTCGACCAGGAAATACCGAATGAACAAGCCTCTCGTCAGAAACCTCAGACACTTCTTAGTGAAGCACCAGATGGAGGAATGAGGGCATGGCTTGCAGTTTTTGCGCAAGTACAAGTTCATTTGATCGAAATAGTCACTGAGGTTCTTTGGATTGTAGTGCCGCATTGGTTACATTCTCTACGTAAGCTGTTCCTAAATCTTTTCATAGTCTGACTCAAGGTGTACCAGGTTTGGTTTTTCAAATTCATGGGGTGTAAGTAAGGTTTGTTACGACACACTTGCAGTTCCTACAAATTTCCCCCTTTCAGGTCTTCCAAGCGTATTACGAGGAAAATCTTCTGCTTCACACTCCACCTTCAACTATGTAAGGTGCCAAGCCTGTTTGATGCAACGTTGGATATCTAATTTCTTGCACACTCTAGAGCATGGATCGGTTCTACGCAGGCGTGTCTAATTCTGGTTCTAGCAAGCCTTCTAAGCTCACTTGTGCTGCTAGTATGCACTCACGTACCTTCCGTCACTTGTGACGGGGCGACTGTTTGACCTGGGATACTTCAAAATACCGTTCTTCGCCGCTAGCTGCGTCCTCGTCGCGTGCACTTTCCTAACCGCGGAGTGCACTCAATTCTGGCAGCTCTTCCTGACACAGGGTATCGGCCTAGGAATGGGCTGCGGTTTCGTATTTAGTCCCGCAATCGTCATCGTGTCACAGTGGTTCTCCAAGAGACGTGGCCTTGCTTTGTCTGCCACCACCCTTGGAGCTGCCCTCGGCAGCATCGTGTTTCCTGTAGCGGCACAAAATTTGATTCCGTTAATTGGGTGAATTCGTTTAGTCGATCGTGGGGCAATTCATATCCACTCATACACTTTCAGGTTTAGATGGACAGTTCGTGTATTTGGACTCATGCTGATGGCTGCAATGGGGACAGCCAACATAGTATGTTGTTAGCACCTGAGGACACATCCCCGACCGACGTATTTTCCTCAGTTTCTTAAACGGCGGCTTCCGCCCGTCAACGTTCGCGGGGGACTCTTCAATCTCAAAGCATTCCGCAACAAAGCATATTCCACCTATTGCGTTTCAGGACTTGTGATACTTTTAGGTCTCTATACAGGTACGACCGTTGTGCTTATCATATTGGCTCCTGATATTTTGGTTTCATCAGAGTTAACATATATCTCTGTGAGCGCCGTAGCAATTGGCGTCTCGAAAGATTTTTCATTCTATATAATTGCGATTGCCAATGCGGCATCTGCGTTTGGACGTGTATCATCTGGGCTGTTGGGAGATAAAATTGGTAGACTCGACGGTTGTGTACTATGGGAACATCAGTTGATATTTGACAGGCGCACTCAACACCATGGCAATTTTCACTGCTATCACAGGAATCACGACAATCGCTTGGCCATTTGCTAAAGATGAGCCCCAGCTTATCGCAATTGCCACCATTCACGGGTATGCATTACACTTTTTCACCACTAGCTGCCCAGTCGACCTGACCCATCCAGATTTTCCATCGGAGCATATATAACTCTGTACTCTGCATCTGCCGTGGCAATGGGGAAAATGGAAGACGCAGGGCGTCGAGTGGGAATGTTCATGTCCATCATTGGTTTAGGAGGTATTGCAGGTCCTCCAATATCGGGTGCGATTAGTACCACGACAGGAGGGTTCGCTGCTGCGGGTTATTATGCAGGCAAGTTTATGGCACGTACGATCTTTGAGTGAGCATTGACATTGCCCAGGTGGCAGCATTATATTTGGTGTCGCGTTGCTACTCGTGGCGCAGTACCTTCACCTTGGACGGCTATGGGGCAAATTTTGAATGATCATTCAGCGAAGTGGTGTTGGGTTAATGTGCTCTTGATCGGCACAGGAGTGGATGCGACATGATTCAAGCGTGGCGCCGAGCCCCAGTCACTCTTGTTATAGTGTTAGCTTGTACATTCAAGCTGGGTAGAGAACCTCAAGTTTTCTTGTGTAAGGTGGCCTTTCCTTACTCCGTCTGATTGGGTGGCGAAAGCGACGTGAGATATATACACTGTCCGGCACTTCGCGTTTCTTGTAACATGACCTCCATGACAGGAACAACCGACTGGGCTGGGATGTTCATCCAGACTCGAATATGGCAAGTTCCTGGGGGTCGCTTGGTGGCTAACTTGTCGATAGTTTGATTGTCGTATCAAGATCATCATTGAGGGTTCTCACAAAATTCGTTCACAGAGCACTCGACAATGAGCAATGTAATCCAGACCATATCGAATGGCAAGTAATGATGGAAGCGTCTCGAATGAAAGTTGCAAGACCAAGGGGAGTGCAGTGACACTCGGTAAGCTGTTTGTCAGCTTTACGCGTCCAGCCAGGCCCAAACGTTGTACTCGGAGTTGTATTGCAATCAGCCATACGGGCCGCTGCCTTCCAAGCTCATTCCTCTCCGCAACTTGTTCTGACTGCAGCTAATGGGTTGAGGCTTTGTAATTGAACTTGCTGGTCTTCTCGGTATTATTATTAACGCCTCCACATTGTGACGCAGCATTACTTGAACGACGATCCTACAGCGCGCACTTGAAGTTATGGACGTTTATCTATAAAGTTTTTCTGAAAAGGTGAAACTGCCAACACTACTTTTCACATAAAAGGGGGCAACTGCAAAACTGCAGTCAAAATTAGATTGAAGCATGATCATCCAACTGATTCTCCCCGGACCTATAAAGTAGCTCATAGAGCGAGATAAACTGATTTGAGGCCACTGACTGGGGTTATTTGAGACTATGGTCATATTCAGAGGGATAGGCACGAGCGGTGTCTAGAAAGGTTGGCGAACGTATAATGATGATGGAATTTGGATATGCCGCCATCCAGCACCTGGGATCACAGAAACGGGCAATCCCGGCCTCGGGCGATAATATCATGCGGATGCCAAGATAAGGGCGGTGACTCTGATCATCGGGCAGAAACGGTGCAAAACGCACTGCATCTAATCGATCTGATCCATTACGCAGTTGATGCATCGGTATTGCATCAATCGATATACATAGCCATTGGTCAGTGCACATCCTGATTGAGATCCGTGATTGGTCTGAATGTATGACGCCATCCCTAGCTTAAACAGAAAAAGAGAGATCACATGGTAACAGCATGAACATGTCTTGTCCGTAAAGCATCAACCTGACTTAGCCTGGTTCATATGTGTCTAGAGCATTATGACTGTACGAGAGTGATTAAGGCAAGAACTCGCTGCGAGATCTTCATGGCACCCAGCGATGTCACGATTAGGGCACGAAGGCCAATTCGATGGCCCCCTCCCCGTGTACGACGGGTCAAAGTTTAAAGGACTGCAAGCCATCAGGCACGCGCTGTTTGCCAAGTAACATAGTTCGTCTTCAAGCTTCGGGATCGGCCGAGCGCGTGAAATACTTGTAAATGGCGAAAGTATCACACGCCTATACTTAATACACCCTCCGAATGAACCTGACGTACATCTGAATTCACAGAAGAATTTGAATTTTCTTAGAGTTGCCAGTAAAGTCCTGCTCGCCAGCAGATTTGAGGACATCGGCAGACATGATGGAGGTACTCATGATAGGTCAATTATGGATCGTTATGGTCAACTGAGTCTAGGCGACCTCTTGGGGCGTAGATGTTGGCGCAGCATTCAGGATTATGACATGAGTGATGCACGCTGGCCAGCGGCCATACATTGCGTGGATTAGCCTCATTGAATGGCGACGCGGAAATTTTTCGGTGCACAAGATTCCCTCTTCCAGTTCGCCAGTCTGAATTGAGCTCACCAAGCGCTACGACGGCGGAGATGTTATCGTCGTCCAGACATGTCCCACTGGCAGCGACGGTGGACCGGGCCACGTACGCGCCGATGGAGGAAACATTCGAAATGACAACGAAGTCTGTGCTCAAGAAGTCCAAGGAACAAGTCAAGTGCATTACAATCCTTCAAAACTGCTCAGCAGAAAGTAGGAAGTTCGAGAAAGAGAAGACCGATATCACATGTACAAACTCAGCCGCCGTTACATAAGCTTATCCTATCCCTCGCTAAGTTTTTGGCAAAACGGAGGACATCATGATTGGCATGCCATTTGACCACCTACCGAGTCATCTTGGGAAGCATCGGAGGAGCGCCGGCGATCTCATCCACTACTCTGGCTTCGAGCCCGCAATGGGATCAGCGGCATGATCATATGGAGCTATGATGGTAAATTGCAAACACAGGCCGCAAGCACCAAAAATAGTAATTGGACTTGCTGGCCTTCCCGGCATAACTTGAATGCGCAACATGACGATCCAGTGTGCACTTGAAGTGTCCACAAAGTTTGGAACTGCCGACACGATTTTTCACTACGAGACCAATCAGTTGAGACTATACAATCAGGTAGGCTGGCCTTCGAACCGTAATGGCAGTTTATTGATTGGCTCGATTCCTTACCTTGACCAGCGAAGGCCAGCAAGTCCAATGTCATGTTTTGATCATTGTATGCGTGGCCTTATCAAACGAGAATGGAATGCAGCACTACAAATCCCGGACGGCCCCTCAAGGTTTCGCAAATAGCTATAGGATGGAGCTAGGCGTTCCGATGACTATATGTAAATAACGTCGAAAGCATGGTTTTCACATACCAATACAGTTGCTCCTTCCCTCCTGCTCTCCGTTGAGCCTGACCTCTTCTCTGCGTATTGGCAGGAGAGGCCATGTCCGAGAAGTCACTAAATATGATAGAGGCCTTGCAGGGCATTGACTATGCGTCTGAAATCAGCCATGTCTTGTCTTACGATGGGCAAAAAACAAGAGCAGCTGTTGACGAGAAAATCCTGGATGAAGATGTTTCTCAAAAGCACGTAACACATCCTGATAAAGCACCAGATGGAGGATTAAGGGCATGGCTTGTGGTTTTTGCGTGAGTACACTCTCAATCCATTAAACAGTCACTGACGTCTTCGGATTCCAGCGCCGCATTGGTTATGTTCTCTACGTAAGCTGTTCCTAATTATTTCCATATTTTGGCTCAAGAGGGTCCCACCAGGCTTGGTTTTCTACTTTCATGGGGTGTGAGTAAGGTTTATCACCACACACTTGCAATTTCTACATTTTCCACCCTTCAGATCTTCCAAGCGTATTACGAGGAAAATCTACTACTCCACACTTCTCCTTCAACTATGTAAGGCGCTAAGTTCGTTCGATGCAATATTGCATGACTAATCTCTTGCACCATCCAGAGCATGGATCGGTTCTACGCAGGCGTGTTTAATTCTCAGTCTAGCAAACCTGCGTAACTCACTTGTCCCGCTAGTATGCGCTCGCGTGCCTTCCATCGCTTGCAACGGGGCGAATGTTTGACCTGGGGTATTTCAAAATACCGTTCTTCACCGCTACCAGCATCCTCGTCGCGTGCACTTTCCTAACCGCAGAATGCACTCAATTCTGGCAGTTCTTCCTAACGCAGGGCGTCGGCGTTGGGGTGAGCTGTGGTATCATGTGGAATCCTGCGGTAGTCATTGTGTCACATTGGTTCTCCAAGAGACGTGGCTTGGCTTTGTCGCTCACCACCATTGGGACTGCGCTCGGCAGCATCGTGTTTCCTGTAGCGGCACAAAATTTGATTCCATTAATTGGGTGAATTTGTCCAAATAATAGTGGGGAAATTCATATATACTCATACGATTACAGGTTTAAATGGACAGTCCGTGTGTTTGGACTCATTTTGATGGCTACCCTGGGGACAGCCAACGTAGTATGTCGTCAGCACCTGTAGATATCTCTTTCTTTGACGCATTTCCCTCGAGTTACTGAAACGACGGCTTCCACCCGTCAACGTTCGTGGGGGACTCTTCAATCTCAATGCATTTCGCAACAAAGCGTTTACCACCTATTGCATCTCAGGAGTTATGATACTTCTAGGTTTTTATACAGGTACGACCGTCGTGTTTATCATAGTGCCTCTTGATATTTTGGTTTCATCAGAGTTAACATATCTCCCTGTGAGCGCCGTAGCAATTGGCGTCTCGAAAGATTTTTCATTCTATATACTCGCGATCGCCAATGCGGCATCTGCATTGCGTGTGTCATTTGGGCTGATGTCAGATAAAATCGGTAGGTCTCGATAGCTGCGGACTGTCGTAATATCAGTTGACAATTTAACAGGCGCCATTAACACCATGGCAATTATGACTGCTGTAACAGGGATCGCGACAATAGTTTGGCCATTTGCTGAAACTGAATCCCAGCTTATCACGATTGCCGCCATCTACGGGTACGCGCCGTACTTATTCACAACTAGCTGCTCAACTCACTCATCTAGATTCTCCCTCGGAGCATACGTATCTCTGTACTCTGCACCTCTTGTAGCAATGGGGCAAATGGAAGATGCAGGGCGTCGAGTGGGAATGTTCATGTCCCTCATTGCTTTTGGAGGCGTTGCAGGTCCTCCGATATCAGGTGCCATCAGTAGCGCGACAGGAGGGTTCGTCGCTGCGGGTTATTATTCAGGCAAGTTTGTCATGCACGACCTTTGAGTGGATATTGACCTTGCCCAGGTGGTTGCATTATATTTGGTGTTGCATTGCTACTGGTGGCGCGGTACCTGCATCTCGGACGGCTATGGGGCAAATTTTGAATGATCGTTCAGTGAGGCGGATATAGCATTGTCAATGTGCTCTAGAACGGCAGAGAAGGAGCGAATGATTCATGTGCGGTGCTGGCCACCATCAATGCTCCATACCACATTCATAACGAATTCGTTGTAATTTGTTGACCATGGAAGGTGGGTCCTAGACTCCAGAGCTCTTTAGTCTTTCTTGTTGTTTTTGTTTTATTCTACCTTTGCCTTTCTCTTTCTTATCGGTTAACGAAATCAAGACCAGAGATGTAGTACATTGTCGGCCACTTCGCGTTTCTTTCTACATGGTTTTTAGCATTTGAAAGCGAGTCCCCTATTCCAAACAATTGAGCGCTATCATCTAAGTGTCAAACGTAGCATTTTTATAGTGGTTTGAGCATTGAACCCATGAACTTCAATAACACTGAATCTACCAGCAAGTGTATTCATTGTTTCGGCCAATACCATAGATCTCATTGACAGTGTGACCGCTCAGTGGTGTTGACAATGAGATGAGATAGATAAAACAACAAAACGTGATGGATTAGCAAATGGATTTTGATGGTGCGAGGTATGTATTTCATTGGCTCATCAAGGAACCGGGTAAACGTGTATAGAAAAATACAGCAGGCGAAGGAAGGTTAGTCCAATTAGTCGGAGTCACTAGTGCTCGTATCATCAGCATCAGGCTCGTCCTGTCCTAACATCAGCTTCGAGTCCCAACTCTGCAAATGTGATCTGGATGTGGGCGGTGGAACGATTAATCATGCCCCAGTGCCTTCGTGTGCCTTGCCCAAAAGCAGCTTTGATGTCCCAAAGGTCCGTTATAATTGGAACCAGTAATCGCTTGTACTCGACGCGCTGAGAAGATGCATCCAGTCCGTCTGTCGCTGGATCGGGCACGGACTGCAAGGGAAACCCAGGCCAAACCTCTATGGCGGGAGGAGGTGGCTCTATCTATCGAGGACCGACTACGACACGCCACAGGACTCCTGCTCCTGCGCCTGGACCCCTGGCACTCCCAACCTGATCTGTCCTGCTGGAGCGCCCCGCTCCATCGCATATGGAATGAGATCAAGCAACAGCGTCGAGTTATGCAGGTCACCGTGACGATTGTTGTAGTCAAGGCGACACTCGAGGATGTGATTCAGTTGACTACATCAACATGTCGACCCAATGCCGAGATATAGGACACCTCGTACTACTGTACGAGAAAGATCTGGTCAGAAGGTTACCTTACTTCCGGCGCTCATAATAACTCACCCACACAAATGTATTGTCTCTAAACGTGGATTTGCTTGATTTTCAGATTGCGGTCAACGCGTGAATCGAATCTCTACGTCGAGTGATGCGGAGCTTGCCTCAGCGAAGTATCGTGCGTGGGAGTGCGATAATCAGTTGATCATTCCACCCTCCAATGACTGAGCGAATGTAAACACGGTATCTGAATTGAGGAGGGGGTGATGGGCTGTTTTCCCCTGTTCATCAAAGCTCATCACTGACATGGATCGACTGCGTGTCATGGATGTGTTCATCCGCAGGCTACTAGATGCTTGCGATGCTTTGACGTTCAAAACACAGTCCGCGTTCTGCAAAGCTTCCAGAATGCCATGCCGGCTCTCTCCTAGGCTTCTGGCGAGGAAAAGGGCACAAGATACCAACACTTTGAGACATGCTAGATTTTATTCGGAAGGTCCTGGAACTTAGATAGGTGCTGTCAACCCCAGTTCATCTGTAGAAGAAGTTGACGTTTGGAGCGTCGGAGATTTAACATAGGACTCCTAGCTAGACACTACTCACGAAGGTATCGCAAATTTGGAAAGCGAGTTGAACAATGCGTCGCGAAGAATTGTTGAGGGCGAGCATCCCCGCAACGTCCGTCAAAGCTTGATAACTGCTAAGAACGTCTATGAAGAGCTCGTCTGACAGATTTGTCGAGATAATGAAGGAAAGGGCTGAGCGTAATCCAACCGTTCTCAACCATGGAATGCACGATGATGAGGTGCTGGGTTGCAGGATCGTCATGCGGGAGTGTGGAGAGGTCAAGAGCGGCAGGTGCATGAATGACAGGCTCGCCAGTCGCTCGAGGATGTTGAACCATGATGGACATGTACAGTACTTGGGCCAGTGAACGACGCTAAGCCTTCGCATAGGGAAACAATACATTGCACAGCCAGAAGGTAAATGTATGCTTTAGGGACTGATGGCAAGTCTGCTTTGTCTAATTGATCGATGCTAGTTAGGAAAGATGGCTCAGGATAATCCGCAAGATGTGAAATGGGGACTGTACAATTGGAGCTTCATCGATCATCGCCATCATTTACAGGTCCGTCATGCTTAGTTAGTCCCCTCCAGTAGTCTATATGTACTCGAAAGAAGGACCGATCATGTGCAGCTGAGTACGTACTACTGAACTTAGACGAAGGTATGTAAGCAACCAAACAACACATCAACAAGTCAATAGTTTAGTTTTACACGTGCGCGTCATCGACTCATCTTATATAAGCGCTCGAGTTTTGAGATCGAAGAATTTGAAGGAAGTTCCGAGTCCACTACTAGTACCGGTGTCAAGCCGCAGCTGTTACATCAAGCTCAAGCTTGGCCTCATGGTTTTTGGCAAAACTGAGATCCTTGGCATTCCATTTGACCACCTACCGAGTCACCTGAGGAAACGCTTCTGGAGCGCCAGCGATCTCATCCACTACCAGGCTGCAACAACAGCGTCAGGATGATGAGCCATGACGCTAAATTGCGAACACAAGCACCAAAAATAGTAATTGGACTTGCTGGCCTTCCCGACATACTAACTTGAACGCTTCACCCTTGCACCTTCCCGACATAACTTGAACGCTTCACCCTTGCAACTTGAATACGTGACATGACGATCCAGCGCGCACTTGAAGCCGTGCGGGTATATACATGAAGTTTCTGAAAAAGTGGAACTGCCGACACTATGAGACTTGTCAGTTGAGGCCATACAATCGCCTTCAAATCGTCATGACAATTTCATTAGCAAAGCACAGCCTATATACAATGGGCCTACCTCCGAATTGGCTCGATTCCTCACCTTGACCAGCGAAGGCCAGCAAGTTCAATGTCATGTTTTTGGTCGTTGCATGCGTGGCTTTGTCAAACGTTTGTCAAACGAGAATGGAACGCAGCACTACTAGTCCCGACAATCCCTCAAGCTTAAGGTTTTGCAAATAGCTATAGGAAGTGCCGAATACTATATGTAAATAATGTCGGAAACATAGCTTTCAGGTACCAGTACAGTTGCTCTTTCCCTCCTACTCTCCATTGGGCCTGACCTCTTCTCTGCGCATTGGCAGGAGAGGCCATGTCACTAAGTGTAGAGGCCTTGCAGGGCAGTCATGTCTCGTCTTACGATACACAGAAAACAGGAGCAGCTGTTGACCCGAAAATCCCGGATGAACAAATTTCTCAAAAGCACGTAACACATCCTGGTGAAGCACCAGATGGAGGAATAAGGGCATGGCTTGTGGTTTTTGCGTGAGTATGGCACACTTTTAGTCTATTAAACAGTCACTGACGTCTTCGGATTCCAGCGCCGCATCGGTTATGTTCTCTACGTAATTAAGCTGTTCCTAATTATTTCCATATTTTGGCTCAAGAAGGTCCCACCAGGCTTGGTTTTCTACTTTCATGGGGTGTGAGTAAGGTTTATCACCACACACTTGCAATTTCTACATTTTCCACCCTTCAGATCTTCCAAGCGTATTACGAGGAAAATCTACTACTCCACACTTCTCCTTCAACTATGTAAGGCGCTAAGTTCGTTCGATGCAATATTGCATGACTAATTTCTTGCACCATCCAGAGCATGGATCGGTTCTACGCAGGCGTGTTTAATTCTCAGTCTAGCAAACCTGCGTAACTCACTTGTCCCGCTAGTATGCGCTCGCGTGCCTTCCATCGCTTGCAACGGGGCGAATGTTTGACCTGGGGTATTTCAAAATACCGTTCTTCGCCGCTACCTGCGTCCTCGTCGCATGCACTTTCCTGACCGCAGAATGCACTCAATTCTGGCAGTTCTTTCTAACACAGGGCGTCGGTGTTGGCGTAAGCTGTGGTATCATGTGGAATCCTGCGGTGGTCATTGTGCCACAATGGTTTTCCAAAAGACGTGGCTTGGCTTTGTCGCTCACCACCATTGGGACTGTGCTCGGCAGCATCGTGTTTCCTGTAGCGGCACAAAATTTGATTCCATTAATTGGGTGAGTTCGTTCGATCAATCGTGGGGCAATTCATATACGTTCATACGATTGCAGGTTTAAATGGACAGTCCGCGTGTTTGGATTCATTTTGATGGCTACCCTGGGGACAGCCAACGTAGTATGTCGTCAGCACCTGTAGATACCTCTTTCTTTGACGCATTTCCCTCAAGTTACTGAAACGACGGCTCCCACCCGTCAACATTCGTGGGGGACTCTTCAATTTCAATGCATTTCGCAACAAAGCATTTACCATCTATTGCATCTCAGGAATTATGATCGTTTTAGGTCTTGATACAGGTACGACCGTTGTGCTTATTAGTGACTCCTAATATTTTGGTTTCATCAGAGTTAACATATCTCCCTGTGAGCGCCGTAGCAATTGGCGTCTCGAAAGATTTTTCATTCTATACACTCGCGATCGCCAATGCGGCGTCTGCGTTGCGTGTGTCATTTGGGCTGATGTCAGATAAAATCGGTAGGTTTCGATAGCTGCAAACTGTGGTAATATCAGTTGATAACTTATCAGGCGCTATCAACACCATGGTAGTTATGACAGCTGTAACAGGGATCGCGACAATAGTTTGGCCATTTGCCAAAAATGAATCCCAGCTTATTGCAATTGCTGCCATTTACGGGTACGTGCCGCACTGATTCACCGCTAGCTGCTTGACTCACTCATCCAGATTCTCCCTCGGAGCATATGTATCTCTGTACTCTGCACCTCTTGTAGCAATGGGGCAAATGGAAGATGCAGGGCGTCGAGTGGGAATGTTCATGTCCCTCATTGCTCTCGGAGGCGCTGCGGGTCCTCCGATATCAGGTGCCATCAGTACTGCGACAGGAGGGTTTGTCGCTGCGGGTTATTATTCAGGCAAGTCTATCACGCGCGATCTTTGAGTGGACATTGACCTTGCTCAGGTGGCAGCATTATATTTGGTGTTGCATTGCTACTGGTGGCACGGTACCTCCATCTCGGACGGCTATGGGGCAAATTTTGAATGATCGTTCAGTGAGGCGAATATAGCATTCTCAATGTGTTCTCTAGAACGTTGGAGAAGGGGTGAATGATTCATGTGTGGTGCCGGGCACCATCAACGCTGCATGCCATATTCATAACGAACTCGTATGATAATTTGTTGGACTCTTTAGTCTTTCTTATTGTTCTTGTTTTATTCTACCTTTGCCTGTGTGATCGGTTGACGAAAACAAGACCAGAGATTGTCCGGCACTTCGCGTTTCTTTCGACATGGTTTTCAGCATTTGAAAGCGAGTCCCTCATTCCAAACAATCGAGCACTATCATCTAAGTGACAATGCAGCATTTCGAAGCGAGTCCTCTATTCCCAGATCTCGATTGTTCGACCGCAGTTAAATTTAGTCAGAAGCAATCCCGTTGATCGACCGAGCAACAAATTACTAGCACCAACTCACGCGTCGCGCCATCAACCATACTGCACGATGTGAAAGTAGAAACACGACTCACTGTTGCACTAGAAACATATAGATGATCTTACACGCCGGTGAGTTATGTAGATAATTCCAGGATGCAAACTACTCATACTCACGCAGTTTTTATCAGGGCAGTTCTTGCAATTTGATTGACGCACGCAAAAGATAGGACATACTTTAACGTGGCCGTCGGCGTCGGCCTCGGTGGGCCTGGCATATATTGATGCTGTCAAAGCAGCAACAACGGTGAGGACAATTGGGAAACGCATTGTTTGTGAGAATGTGATATATGTGGAACCAAATCAATCTGAAGTCGAATAGTAGGAAGATGCCTTGATTTTATTATGTACTTGGACTGTTCTTCATGGCGATTAGAACCTGTCCATTGGCACGGATTCCCCTTTTAAACAGAAGATATCCGCCAGCAGATTGCCACCTTGTCAAGGAGCAATCATGATTTGGTGTGGGACGATTGTAATATCCACTCCCATATAGCAAGTCGGTGAATGGTTTGTTGTCGTCGAGCCAACTATGACAAGTGATCTTCCGTTGCTCAAGCGCTCATACATGATTGCTATATTCCGGAATTCTGGCCCATTCAGGAGTATCAGGTAAGAACGTTGTCGATTTGTCAGCCGAGAGATTGTCGAGAAGAACCCGTGCGTGACGAAATGTCACGGTATGTACCCATCACGCACGAACAGGCACGAACTTCCGCTAAAATTTTTGAAGACCACACCGCAAGGTCATTTGCACAACTTGTAATGGCATTTGGTATGTTTACATCTTTCTAGGAAATCTCCTGATGGTATTCTTTGTCTAATCTATGATTTGCAGGAGCATCAGGAAATCGTGGTGGATTTGGTAGAGGAGGAGGACGCGGGGGAGGTGGTGGTGGACGTGGAGGAGTAGGAGGAGGTAGAGGAGGCGGTCGCGGTACGTTGATGCTTCACTTTATATCATGCCTTTTTGAACTAATCTCTTCAGGCGGTGGTCGCGGTGGAGGTTTCCAAAGTCGTGGTGGGCGAGGTGGAGATCGCGGCGGTCGAGGTGGAGGTGGTCGGGGTGGTGGTCGGGGCGGTGGTCGTGGTCGTGGAGGCCCCGGCGGTGGAGCCAGAGGCGGCGCGAAGGTTATTCTCGAGCCTCATAGACATCCAGGTGTCTTTATCGCCAAAGGGAAAGACCATCTACTTGTCACGAAGAACCTTGTCCCAGGAGAAAGTGTTTATGGTGAGAAGCGGATATCCATTGAAGGTGGTGCCGATGACACAAAAGTCGAGTATCGCGTATGGAATCCTTTCCGGAGTAAGTTGGCAGCAGGTGTATTGGGCGGTATGGATAAGATTTTCATTGAACCTGGAAAGAAGGTTCTATACCTCGGTGCTGCTAGCGGCACGAGTGTAAGTCACGTAGCAGATATTGTTGGTCCCGTGAGTCGCGCCCCTCATTTTCTAATAATGCTGGTGTTAAACATGGTTATAGGAAGGAGTTGTTTATGCTGTCGAATTTTCGCCACGATCAGGGCGTGATTTGATCAACATGGCCAAAAAGCGAACAAACGTCATTCGTGAGTACTTCCAAACCGCATGCTGCAGCTGAGGAGAACAGTGTTTTCTATAGCCATCGTGGAGGACGCCCGTCTTCCTAACAGGTACCGCATGCTGGTGTCAACTGTAGACGTTATATTCGCAGACGTTGCACAACCCGATCAAGCACGTATTGTTATCCACAATGCGCAGTTCTTCCTCAAAGATGGTGGCCACGTGGTCATCTCCATCAAAGCTAGTTGTATAGATTCAACAGCAGCACCCTCCGCCGTTTTCGTGCAGGAAGTACAAAAACTACGAGAAAACAAGTTCAAGCCTATTGAACAAATTACCCTCGAGCCGTACGAGCGTGACCACGCTATGGTTGCCGGTTAGTAGTCTCCACATATTTTTGGTTGCTATTTGTGCCTGACATTGCTTGATCACATAGCTCAATACCAACGACACGTATAAAATGTATATGCACTTGCTGCTTTGAATCATCTTGTTAAGTAGCGGGTATCATCGTTTTTCGTAAAAAGTATTTGTGCTCATACCATCGATACGAATTTGTGTTTTTATCTAATTATTGGAACCCTCTGTACCTGAACCATCTGAACTACAAGCCTTTGTGAATGTGATCCGCGGCACGTCACATCAACAGGCAGTGCTTCAATTCATTCTGGTTGGTATCATGTAAGGTTGTGACACTTCGGGAACGCGTGAACGTTTGAACCGGGACCAGCTAATCACTTCCGCAAGACTATCAACGTCCTAAAGGTTGTTCGGTCGAGAGAAAAAAATCGCAGAAGAGGGCAGATGAGACCCCCTCAAGTCCAAATAGACTTTGGTACACCGCCCGGTACACCTCTACGCACGTCTTCTGAATTTGAAGAAATTCCTTATCCTGTCACACATCCATCTTACTCTAAAACCTCTCCGAACTACAAACACGAGGAATCATTGCCGTTACACCACATGAATGAGGACACGTCGACAAGGCGGAGGGTGGCTAGAGGGCCCGGAAGCAGCGGCGGGTTCATGAGCGGTGATGAGCATGAAAGCGAAATGCACTTCGACGACGACGACGACGGAAAGGATGTGTACTCAAAACTAAGGCCTGCTAGGAGCCGTGTCAGCAGCGGACGTATCCACAGGCCTCCGCCTCCGCCTCCAACTTCGATCGTACGTATCCCTCGTTGTTGAGACCTGCTGCGCATCCTGATTTTGAGCGTCGCCCAGAGCGAATTCATATTTCAGAACCTAGAGCACCTCCCGCCTGTTATCTACACTCTACTCTCGTGTTGGACCCGCTTCCACAAAATAGGTCATGCCTAACACTGTTGTTTGGGACGAGGCGCACTTTGGCAAAGTTCGGGTCGCATTACCTCAAACGCGAGTTTTACTTCGATGTTCACCCTCCGCTCGGGAAGATGCTTGTCGGCCTTGCGGGTTTGCTGTCAGGGTTACAATGGACACTTCGAGTTTAAAAGCGGAGTGGTGTACGATGACAATGTCCCGTACGTGGCTATGCGGGTTATGATGGCGACATTCGGTGTGGCCTTGGTTCCGCTGGGGTGGTATACTGCAGTTGAGTTGGGAATGAGCTCATGGTGCTGTCATCTGGTTGCGCTCATGGTTCTGTGTGGTGAGTGTCAGGTCTGAAAATAAATGCTGCTGATGCTTCATGTTCTGCCTGCAGATGTTGCCTGGTTGTGTATATCGCGGTTTATTCTACTGGATTCCATGCTCCTATTCTTCACTTTCACAACGGTCTTTTTGCTCACCAAATTTCACAACCAACAATATCAGTATGTATTGGATGCGCCATACATGTGGTTCAATGCTTAAACTTGCAACAGGTCATTCTCTTTCGATTGGTGGATGTGGCTTGCATTTACAGGTATTTCCATCGGCTGTGTGACCTAGGTCTGGCACCTTCTTCATTTCCCAATTGCGTTTTTGTTGACTTATCCTAGTGTGAAATGGATCGGATTGTTCGTGACTGCTGTGGTTGGCTTGTACACCATCGAGGATCTCTGGGAGAAATTTGGCGATCTTCGTATGACCAATGTCAGGCTGGTCACTTTTTGTGAAGCTGCTCTTATAAGCTGATACCCTCAACAGCGAGACCAAATTCGACACTGGGCGGCTCGCGTGCTCTGCCTAATTGTCCTCCCGATCCTGGTATATATGTTGTCCTTCAAGCTGCATTTCATGATCCTAAACCATTCGGGTCCTGGCGACTCTACGATGAGTTCGCTATTCCAAGCCCACCTGGTCGGTAATGATTTTGGCAAGAACCCACGGGGTTGGTTTGATTCCTTGCGTACATCGGAATAACATCATTAACGAGACACCCAGAAATTGCATTTGGCTCAAAAATTACCTTGAAAGGCATGGGCTGGGGCGGAGGTCTCCTGCACTCCCACGTTCAAACCTATCCCGTTGGTTCAGGCCAGCAGCAGATTACTTGCTATCACTACAAAGATGACAACAACCATTGGACTGTCCTTCCCACTTGGGAAGCGCCTGAATACAACCCAAACGGCGAGTTGCAGTTCCTCCAGGATGGTGACGTCATCCGCTTGCAGCATGTTCCGACAACGCGACACTTGCACTCGCACACAGTGGCAGCACCTGTGACGAAGCTTAACAACGAAGTCTCTGGCTATGGTAACTCGACTGTTGGAGATTTCCACGACTATTGGGTCGTCGAGGTCGTCGATGATATCAAGCAGGGCACCAAGGAGCACGTCACGAAAATCCATTCACTCACAACGAGATTGAGGTTCAAACACCGGGCTCTGGGATGCTACCTGTACGCTGCGAATGCAGTCCTACCTCAGTGGGGCTTTAAACAGCTTGAGGTCAGCTGCACCAAGGAGAACAACCCTGAAGACATACACACATACTGGAACGTGGAAAGTCACTGGAACGACCGCTGTAAGCCACAGTGCCATTTTCTGATGTAGCCCTGACGTTAGTGTTTCAGTGCCTTCTGGTGATGCGAAATTTTACAGGTCCCCATTCCTACGCGATTTCTGGCATCTCAATGTGGCCATGATGACTTCCAACAATGCACTTGTCCCCGATCCGGACAAGGAAGATATCCTTGCATCAACTCCCACTGACTGGCCTTGGTTGCGGCTAGGCCTCAGGATGTGTGGCTGGGGCGATGATCAAACAAAGTACTACCTTCTTGGCACGCCTGTAATCTGGTGGAGTGGTGCAGCCAGCTTGATAGTTTCTGTTATTGTCCTCGTCGTTTACCTACTGCGCCACCAACGCAAGTACGTCGATATGACTCCTCGTAAGCTTACTTGCCATCTATCTCGCAAACATGCGCTGATCCATCGTTTCAGAACAATGGGATCATTTCTTGTATGTCGGAAAGATTGCTGGTTATGGGTGGCTTCTTGCATTACAGTGAGCCTTGAACATCTCTGTTCAATTTAGGGACTCACAACTCGCTTTAAAGTGCCGTTCTTTATCATGGGCCGTGTCACATACCTTCATCACTATGTACGTGTCTGTGTTGGAGTTAGAAGGCTCCTATTAACCAAACGATTAGCTTCCCACTCTTTACTTTTCCGTTCTCATGCTCGCTCACCTTCTTGACCACTTCATTTTCTCCGCACGCTGGAAGGAGAGTACGAAGCGTGCTGCTTTCGGTATTTGCGCATTTCTGATCGTCGGAAACTTCTGGTGGTTCAGGGGAATGGCATGGGGTATTGATGGACCGATCAATGACCACTGGGGCCTCCTGTGGCGCAAAGTAAGTCAATGTTTTGTTCAATTCCGAGGACTCGGTTAACTTCCGATTGATAGACATGGAACATATATAATGCATAGATTTGTTCCCAGGCGGACTCTGTTTATCGACAGTGCCTGCTCAGTGAGAGGCCTGATATGTTTGCTATTATGTGCAATGAATCATCCCAATTTCGTTGGTTTCACTCGTGAAGCATCAAAGCTCAGCGGCTTTCAATGATACTACTGCGTTCAAATACATCGATGGCTTTGAGGGCTATAGAATTCTGCCGACCGCATGACCAACCAATGTCTCCCGAGGCGGACGCCAGGTGACTTGCAAAGCAGCTAAATACTCACATGGCATATGCGATAGCTCTCACCAGCAAGAAAGCGACGTGATGATTTTGATAAGACCACCAGTCAGGGTGTTGAACGTTGAGTGTCTAGACACCAAGACTTATGCAACAATAAAATTTAAATATGGAGTCATAATAATCTATCATATGTAGGATCGCACCACCGGTAAGTGTGCTCTGCAGGCGATTTGGGTTTATTAATATTCCTGGATATGGTGTGGATTGTGGCTGTGCAAAACAGAATTATTTCCTTCCGCTCGAGCCCGACTTTACGTATTCAGTTTTGGGAGGTCAAAGTTCGCGTCCCCCTCGTCGGTTCATACACGTCCTCCTCTCTTCCAGCTCTTTTCTATTCCCTAGTCCTCCTCCTCGTCGCTGTACTCAGCAATGGCCTCTCTTGCACGGTTCCGTCCTGCTGCTCGCCGTATTGTCAGTCTAGCCAATCTCCTTATTTTATGAGAAAACTAACTTCGTGTGTCTTTCTTTAACAGCCTGCCTTTGCGCGGGCCATTCAAACGTCCGCAGACACCACCCAACTGCAAGACACCATTGAGGACCACTCAAAACCATTTACCGTGAAACTCCACGAGGAGTCCTTCCGCTCATATCAATGCGAGACTCCATCTCTTGAGGTTGAGGTGAAAAAGGATGAGCTCCTGAAAATGTACAAGGACATGCAGACGATGCGTCGGATGGAAATGGCTGCTGATGCCCTTTATAAGGCTAAGCTTATTCGCGGTTTCTGCCATTTAGCTATTGGCCAGGTATTTAGTATTCTCAGCTGAATAACACAGTGTTGCTGACCATGTTTCTAGGAAGCTGTCTCCGTTGGTCTTGAGTATGGCATTAAGCCTGAAGACCGTGTCATTACTGCATACCGGTGTCACCCCTTCGCTGTTATGCGTGGCGGCACCATTAAGGGTGTTATTGCTGAGCTGCTTGGTCGCCAGGCCGGCATGTCTCACGGCAAGGGTGGCTCTATGCACATCTTCACACCTTCGTTCTTCGGTGGTAACGGTATCGTCGGTGCCCAGGTTCCCGTAGGAGCTGGTATCGCGTTCGCACAAAAGTACCTTGGCAAAGAGACCGCAACATTTGCTCTCTACGGTGATGGTGCAAGTAACCAAGGACAGGTATTTGAGGCGTTCAACATGGTATGGGTCTTTTAGTTCAAAGATGAACACCTTTTGATCAAGATTCTTGCCCATAGGCTAAACTTTGGGGTCTCCCCGCTGTCTTCGTTTGCGAGAACAACAAGTACGGAATGGGTACATCTGCCGAGCGCAGTTCATCCAACACCGAATACTTTACTCGCGGTGACAAGATCCCCGGTCTCCAGGTAAACAGATTCCTCTCGTCCTTGCAGGACTTGAATATTCACTTATCTTCGAATGTCTTCAGGTCAACGGTATGGATATCATCGCTTCCAGGCACGCTGTGCAATACGCTCGCAAGTGGGTAACGGAAGGCAATGGCCCACTTCTTATGGAGTTCGTCACTTACCGCTATGGCGGTCACTCGATGTCCGACCCCGGTACCACCTACCGTACCCGTGAGGAGGTTCAGCGAATGCGTAGCACCCAAGATCCTATCCGGGGTCTCCAGCGCTACATCGAAGAGTGGGGTCTTGCCACTGAGCAGGAGCTCAAGGTCTGTTGAAACTCGCTTCTCATTGAATTATATTGACGATCATGTTCGTGTAGCAACTTGACAAGGACGCCAAGGCCGAGGTTGACCAGGCTGTCGAGGAGGCTAAGCAATCCCCTGAGCCATTGGCCAAGGACCTCTGGACAGACATCTACTACAAGGGCACAGAGCCATCATCCATGCGTGGTCGTGAGCGTGAGGAGGTGCACCACTACTGATTGGCGGGTTTCTTGTTAGTAATACATTAGACTTTATCATTTGCTACGTTCTGCGTTAGGTATACTCATCGATGGACCCACCAATGAACGCGTCATATTTGCACTATGAATGTTTTGATTTTGATGTAGAATTTCGTGGAATTGGTAAATGAATTCTGATGACGGTCTTCATATGTGTGGAGACTTTGCCGAACTGAAACTGTATGTCCGTTCAAGCACGCTCACCTGTACCTCCACCCAGTTCCTTGTCTGTTCCGTCTCGAAATGCAGGCACCCCAGTTTCTGCGTCGCAGACTCGGAATCCAATAACAATCCGCCTGCGCAAAATCTTAGGTACAAACTTTATTGATGAAGCAACAACAGAAGCGCTCCGGACGCTGTCAGAACTATATGGAACCCAATCTACATCAGTATCAGGTTCCAAAGCACAGACTAACGGCACAGATTCAGACGATGATTGGAGCGATGAGGATGCAGACGTCGGGCTAGTCGTCGAGGACCACAGGGAAGGCTTGAACGAGACCGCGTCGAGGGCACGCAAGAATCTTCGTCGAGACCTGGAGAACAAACTCGCACAAGGAAGCCAGCAATTTCTTCAAGCATTCAGCGAAGTGGATCAAGTGTGTGTTGGTCAAATGTATCATTGAGATTCGTCTAACAAAGTTGTAGAAACTTGATGAGCTGCAGAATCACGTCGCTGCCATGCGTATTGCCTGTGACGAAGCGGAGACGCAGCTGAGGCTATCAAGCGAGGCAAGCCAGTCTCTGCTTGATCGTGCGGAGAGCTTGAGGAGTGAAAGGTATGATGTTTGTGCCTTGGAAGGTATTTCTACTGACAGATATCACAGGGAGGAGGTTGAGATGCGCAAATCTATTGTTATGCTCTTCCTAAACCGCTTCACGCTAAATGACGAAGAGGCCGAAGCTATAACCTCGCGAGATGTCCCCATTGGCCCCCGATTCTTTGAGGCAATGAATAAGACAGAGCATATCCGTAATGACTGCAGAGTACTCATGTCGGGCGAAGACGGACCAACGAAAGCTGGGTAAGTAGCGTCCTATGACCCCCAGTGATGTTATGTGAATAGCGCACTTGCAGACTGGACATCATGGCGTCCACTTCTTCCTACCTGGAACAAGGCTACGAGAAGATATATCGCTGGTGTTCTTTTGAATTCCGTCAGATGGGACGCGACACCCAGCTGGAAGTTGACTCGACTATGCAGCAAGCCATTTGCCGCCTCTCTCAGCGTCCAGAGTTACTCTCGTATGTACCCACTATTGGCAGATTGTCAGTCTCTCTTCAATATCTGTCCACAGTGAAGCTCTTGCATTCCTGACGCAGGCCCGCCAAACAGGTCTGCTGAGTGCATTCCTGGATGCATTGACTCGGGGTGGCCCGTCAGGTCTTCCACGTCCCATTGAATTGCACGCACATGATCCTATCAGATACGTTGGTGATATGCTTGCGTGGGTCCACCAGGCTATCGCCGCAGAATGTGAATTCCTGGAAAGCCTGTTTGGTCTTGGAGGAGGGCAGGAAGACGACGGCAGAACAAGGAGAATGGTTGGTGCTGTACGGACATTCAAAGGGAGTGAAGAAGAGGGATGGGTGAAGGAACTGCTTAACTCTGCAGTAATGAAGTTGTGCGTGCCGCTCAAGGTCTGTTTGTCGTTTGTCATACAGTAAATTTGGTCTCACATATGTTCATAGGTGCGCGTGCAGCAGACTGTGCGTTCGCAAGAAAGTAGCATCGTCTCGTACAAAGTTGCGAATCTACTTCAATACTACATGCTTACGATGCGGCGGACTATCGGGGAGGATGCTCTTCTGTCGATGACTCTGAGCGAGTGAGTTGCTTGCTCTAGCCCATTTACATACTTATTCTTCTTGGTAGAATCACAGATGTGAGCTACAAGGTCTTCTTCGACGCTATCGAAGCCCATGGTCGTGCACTCTTGAGAATTTCCTTGGTAAGTTGTTTACAATGAGTTGTTTCATGTTTTTTCAAGCGATTACCAGGTCCCAGACGACCCATCTTTGACCCCACCACTCCCAATTCTAGAGCATGCCCAGCTGCTCCGTGAAATCATGCAGGTTTATGACTCCTCTCTTCTCGATGACACCACTGCAGAGCCCGGACGGACTTTTAACCGCATCTTAGATGTGATGCTCGATCCTGCCATGGAAATGTGTGCTGCTGCGGCTGAGGAAAAGGCGAGGTATCGCCCGCAGTGGGATCGGGCGGTCTTCGTGCTTAACTGTTGGTGTTATCTCCAGGTAGGTTTCCACACCTGTTGCACTCTTGTTACAGCTAGCTAATTGAAGTAGAATGTGCTGGAGGCATTCGAGTTCACTTCAGAGAAACGTCGCACCATCCAAGAAAAAATCGACGGAAGGGTGAAGTCTTTAGAGGACGAGCATGTAAGTTTATTCCTTCATGTTATGTCCACTTTTCACTCAGCTGTCATACAGTATGAAAACATCCTCAGAGATGCTTCGTTGTACGACACTGTCGCTATCATCAAGTCCAAGTCACCTTCTGTAAGTTCACTATCTTATTCACAACTCGTGCACCCCTAGACCCAATTGCAGGATCGGCTTTCCCATGTGCTTCCTGCGCAGCAGCTGCAGCCTACCCTTGCGAGATTCTCTCTATGGCTCTCCAGCCCCGAAGTTGTGCATTCACCGCGTCTATCAGCACTAACATCTCCGTCCCTGCATTCTACCATCCATCGCGTATCTCTAGCTCGTGTGACAAAGGCCTACGCACAACTTTGTGAGGAAGTGAGGAAACCGGAGAACAGATATGAAGCAGCGAGTACCTTGTTGGGCATGGAGAGGCCGTTTGGACAGGCTGGAGTGCTGTGGGCCATCTTCGGGTTAGAAGAGGAGAGCGAGGAATTCGCGGCGGACTGAGCAGAGCAGCGCATACTCCAAAGGTGACTGCAGCTTTTGTTAACGGCATGCCTGTATGGAGTTAGACACATAAGAGCGTGATCACATTCAGATGCGTCCTGCAGATCTGCGATGCAAGTACCCTTGTACCATTTCAGAACAGTTTCAAGTGGGCATTCTCCACTGAGCAGATGCAATATATCACTGCAAGAGGGCACGTTTCTTTAACCCATCGCCACCTCTCCGTCACTGGCAGGATCCTAGATCATATTCAAGAGTAATTGATGGATATGCGCAAAGGGTTGAACAATTTATCTTAAAAAAGAACTGGGGATCCGTTTAAGCCCACTGAATCACGGCATAGGAGGTACTTCCTACCCTCATCATCCAGACTCCTCTGATAGGGCTATGTAATATAACGATACGAAAGATCAGATTCCAGCACTCCGCAGCGTAGGCTCCGATAAGGCGGACTTATTGATGTGACTTTTTGTTCTATTTCTGACGGCCGCGACTCGTCAGCGATGATTCACCTCTTTTCGGAGTGCATCGCTTGACTAGTAATAAAGTCAGATCAAGTCCGAGTTGGATGCGGGGCTGACTTGTGGAGGTATCATGATCATCGTTTCTTGACGTGGAGGAGGAACGGCGTAAGTAAACACTCATGGTGACCATGACCCCAGTATTACTGGATCATAGAGCGTAAAACACGCCCACCATCCCTTTCCAGATAAATTGTCTACCTGGTATGAGGCACAGGAAATGAAATCTGACGTGAAAGCAACAATTACATGTACAGAGGGGTTGAACCGAGTATTACATGCTGTAGACTGCTTCTTTGCACGCCTCGTGTCAATAGATTGGGGTTTAGCGGGAAACAAGGAGAACCTTGATTTGAATTGGTAGTCACAATAACATGCTGCGGAACGTACCATAGATATCATTACTGCGGGCAATACGCCTACAGAAATACCATTTCGTGAGAGTTTTGATGACTGGAAAGGTCACGGATGCATTCTACAGCAACAACAAAGTGAAGGCTGCCTGACAGTGTGTATACTTAGTCGTAAGCTCGAATGTTCTCGAGTCCCGGTTATTAAAACACCTTTGAGAAAAAATCGCGTGATATTAGAATTCGAGTCACAAACGTGTTGAACTCTAGTCAGAAAGTTACGCACATACGGTTCAAAAGCTAGCGATCGGAGAATAGATCATACGATCCGCCAGCATAAATACTAAGGCAACAGGTGCATGGAAGTTCTATAGTTGACACCCGCAATGCCTCATACCAGTATCTTGTTGATTTTATCCGCTGCCGTCGCCGTCGCGGCAATCCTCGCCAAAGCCTTCATGGCCCCAAGAACAAGGATGCACACTAGTGTCCTCGCCGTCAAGACATTATTGAATCCTCCTGATATCCCCATTTCTGCGTTATTACGCGCAAGATCCATACCCAACCAGCGTTTAGTGAAAGCGCTCGGTATATCCAGCACATTCGTCAGCGATGACCCAGGCATCCATGATGTCTTCACTCGCGAAGCGAAAGTTTTGATAACCGCCGTCAGCGCGAAAGATGGATGGTCGAGGCTCGTTGACGTCGCCGAAACCTGCGTAAACAGGTTCCTTGACGCAGAGAGCCTCGACTATGCCACCTTCGTGCAGTCTGTCACGCTCAGTATCGTATTGGCAGGTCTGCTGGGCACAGATATTGAAGATCTTGACCCCGCGGACGTGGCATTCGTAACCAAAGCCATCAACGATCGTTGGGCGCAATCCAAATCGAGCACCGCTCTTACTACAGAAGTGCTCGATCGCATCAACCATCACATCATTAGATGGGTTCCTGACAGAACCAATCCCCTCAACCTCATCATCCCCGCGTACGAAACAATGTGGCGCGTAGCAGCAATTGCGGTGGTATATTCTAACCGCAATTGTCTGCTGCGCGATGCATTCATATCATATAATGAGAATCCCACTGACGATCAGTTCCGCGCCTTCGAAAACGAAGGGACGGGAGCGCAGCCTAGTGTAGAGGCGATCGTCAGTGAGGTTCTCCGACTCCACCCCCCGACTCGTCACATCACTCGCGCCGTGGTCGTTCCATGGTGGAAGCGACCGTTCGTCCCATCCGTGGATGTGGCTGACGTCGAAGAGGCACAGAAATCTCTTGTCTTCGGAAGCGATCCTGAATCCTTCAATCCTTTGCGGTTCCACGAGAGCCATTCCGCTCCCACGAGGGATCAGCTGTATGCCTTTGGGCACGGAAAGCTGAAGTGCGTAGCGGCAAGCTGGGCACCACCAGCTGCAGCTGTCATCACCGCAAAAATCATGGCCAAATTGGATGGCATCTCGTTCACGCTGCAGGAAGGACCGCGCATTGGGAAAAGGGAAGGATGGGAGGGTTGGTCGATTGAAAGACTCTAGTATAACGTCGAACGTCATGTGATACATATTGGACTCGTCAGCGTTTTGTCAGCTCGATGTATAGGTTGTTTGTACTGTAAGCTAGTCACGGACTCGGAAGGCTTGTGATGTTTGACCCGGGGGTTGCCATGAGTAAGGTACTGCATGGGTAGTACGGTTAAGGGTCTAGTATTGCGCCCTCGTGCTCAAAATGAAGCATCATGCAACAATTAATTCGACTTACTAACACAAACAGTCAAACTTTTCACCGCTTGCTATCAATTGCTCATCTCCTGATACACCAATGACCACACCTGTGCCTCTATCTTCTTCAACACAACACCGTGACCTATCTTCAAGTCCCACAGACGAAGCGTCTTCTCATTCGAGTCCATCACCATCCGTCGTTTATCGGGGAAAACTGCGACTGCCATTACACGTTCTCCATGGCCTTTGAACTTTCGTGGCAGGAGTGTAGTGATTGGAATGAGCTCCGACATTTTATCGGAGGTTGATGGCATTGGGCGCGATCGAGGTGGACTTTGGAGGGATTGTGGGTGTCTTTCTCTTAAGTTGCAGAGGTGCGTGTATTGTGTGTTCTAACATTTATGCTGCTTCGTTGAGTTATCTCCTCTGGCGTCTCAAACTCGTTACCAATTCCATCACGGAAGAGCGCTTTGCTTCCAGCGCTCTGCTCGTAACGACGTAATTCATCTCTACTTTGAGCTTCCCCCACTCCCAGCCAAAGTGGTTTCAGTTCTCTCATTTGTCCACCCGTATAACGGTCTCGACACTCTTCCCCGCATGCTCCCCTCCCCCACTTTTAACTTCAGCTTTGTCGGTTCGATCTTTTCGTTACGTTTTCGACATGTTAACTTTTTGCATTATTAGTGTATTAGCTCTCCTTTTAAATTATTAACACCCTGTAACAAATGCAGACTCGTCTACAACATGTATAAGCACGAGATCCCGCCGGCGATGGCGTCCACCACGTCATGCTGTGTTGTTGCGTTCTGTCTCTTTTCGACAGCTCTTTCTATCTGCTGCGACATGCTGTGTTGTTGCGCATTCATGCTCCGTCTCCTTTTTGGAGCTCTTTGCTCAGCACCATGGCGACTTCTGCTTCATTTCACGGCGTTGTCGGCCTCCAAAACATCTCAGATTGATAAAAAGAATTTCTGGCGCTATGACGGGTTCAATATCAACGATCACACCTATAAAAGACCGAAGGCGAGTCCTTGTTAATATATATAAAACATTCAACTCTCCGAGCAGATTGGGATGTGGGCCTGCAACGCACTCGCTGTAAACATCGTCGACAGCTTCTGCATGACTCCAGCGACCCAATACCGTCATACTAGGGTCATACCTCTGCCCTCTGCGAGTGAGTGCAGTATCTCCTGCTCTGTCATAGACAGACTCACTAGTTCGTTAGCGAGGATACTGGTAGAACCACTGGCGACGTACACATCAGCAGATGTGCAGCGGAGTTGTCACACTGGCGGTGCTGGCACATGCGCAACTATGGTAGCATTTGTATTAACAGAGTTCAAATACTGACAGGGAATACTATTACCTATTACTCGACGATGAATAGAAACATTACGGACGGTACCGCCTTACTGGTGATGCACCACTGGTCTACTGCTGAATTTGTCCACCAGTTCTCTGATGTTGGAGTGCCGCAATGACGTTCGAAGCTCAGCAACCAGCGCCCCGAATAATCATACCATTCGTGCGGCCACGCCAGTGCCATCTTGCACACTTGTTAATGCCCTTCGACCAGAGATTAGAGGAGTACCGGAGCCGTGTCTGTGGCCCCGGCATACTACATACAATCATATCGCTGCACTCGTGACTAGCGAGTTTGACGACTCCGAGCCACTCGTTCCACTCCACCTCGCCGATGTTCCCGTCTCACAGTTCAGTACTCTCGATGGTGCACTGTGTGGATGATGATAGCCTAGGGGCCACCCAAGATCCCAAACCTCAGTCTACTCAACCTACAACAAGACACTCTGTCCCATTTTACGTCCATGAGCAGACTTCGCGGCTGTGTGCTCTTTATTAGCCATCTTTTCACTTGTCCAGAGTATCCCCTTCTTCTAAGTCACAAGCAAAGCTCCCGCATTTTATCGAATATCCACTTCATCGCACGAAATTCCATTCTTGCGTAACTTTTGCTGCTCTCGTCCCGCTCCAGGTGCGCTTTATTTTACGGGAGTTAGACACGCGCACCTGTATAAGACTATCCATCATACAGTCGTATTCATTGATGTACTACATGCTAGGATACAAATAACACAACATCCCAACAAAGTTTAACTGCCACGTGAGTAACAGGACGCTCGCTATGTCAAGTAACGAAGGACAGACATTGACGAAAGCGGTTGAGGGAGGGCGGAAGCCAGCGTGCCGGCAGTGGGGGATAGCGACTGGCTTGGAAAAGCGAAGCCCAAGCCAGAGCGTCCAGCAGAGCGTCGCGAGGCAGACCATGTCCTTAGCACCTGCTGCAGTCACCCGTCTCCTAGGATAGAGGTCTGGTATCTAGGGCAAGAGGGACGCTAGGATGGCGGGGATGGCAGCGGTTTCGAACCTGCGAAAGTTCTCGTCAGGGGGCTACCTGCTACCCCAACCGCGCGGACCTTCTTGTTCTGTGTAGGAATAATACTACTGAGCCTATATACCCAGTGTGAGTACAGGTTCTGAGGCACGACTGCAACCACGAAACGACGAATCGGCCAGCTGCTCAACAGTAACCGTGACCCACCGGGAGGGTAGTTTACGGTTGGGGGAGGGCTATTGGGGGGACAGGAAGCTTCAGATCCCAGGTCGGTGGTGTTCAGCACACTCGAACCCTGTACCCACTTACCAAGGTACCCGAAACGGCCGTTTCCGAACCGAACAGGATTTGGCATCTCCGTGCAGAGACGATGCTGGATGCATGATAGTTGAGGATTGTATACTGCTCGGTACCGTGATGACTGCAACATTAACGTGAAGCGAAGATGTTGAGCAGAGTCTGGGGTCTTTTCATTGTGAATGACGAGAGGGTGTCCGGACTTTGTTCGCTCAAGGTGTGAAGTCGTTCGAAGGAACCGAGAAAGCCTGTCAGAATGATAACAGGTTACCAGAATTCACCGGCTAGTATGAGCGCGCGCCTCTCTTGTGAGTTTGGTGTCGCTCCAATAATAAACAAAGCGCTCAAAAGCGGCTAAGTGAAATTTCTAGATTCTGGTCTAGGCCTATCGATATGAAGATAGCTGTAAAAATGAACTGAGGATCCGTTTAAGCCCGGTGACCGAATCACGGCAGAGGAGGTACTTCCTGTCCTCATCATCCAGACTCCTCTGGTTGGGCTATGTAATATAACAATACGGAAGATCAGATTCCAGCGCTCCGCAGCGGAGGCCCCGATAGGGCGGACTTATCGATGTGACTTTCTTGTTCTGTTTCTGACAGCCGCGATTCATCAGCGATGATTCAACTCTTTCCAGCTTGAGTCCTAGTGATAAAGTCGGATCAAGCCCGAGTTGGAATCATGATCATACTAGTTTCTTGACGTGAAGAACGTAAATAAACACTGATAGTGACTATGACCCCAGTATTCCTAGCCTAAAACATGCCCATCGTCCCTTTCCAGATAAATTGTCTACCTGCTATGGGGTAATGTTTGACACAGGAAATGGAATCTCACGTGAAAGGAATGGTTACACAGGGGTTAAACCGAGTATACCTACTAGACTGCTTGTTTGGACGCCTCGTGTCAATAGATCAGGGACTAGCGGAATCCAAGGAGGACAATTGTGTGCTGTGGAGCATACCAGAAAGGGCCATAAATATCATTGCTGCGGGCAACATGCCTACTACAGAAACACCATTTCTTGAGAGTCTTGATGACTGGAAAGGTCACGGATGAATTTTATAACAACAACACAGCGAGCGCTCCCTGAAAGTGTGTATACTTGGGTCGTAAGCTCCAACGTTCTCGAGCTCCGGCTATTAAGACACCTTTGATAACAAACGCGTGATATCAGAATCCGAGTCACAAACGTGTTGAACTCTAGTCAGAAAGTTACGCACTTATGGTTCAAAAGCTAGCGATCAGAGAGATACGAGCCGCCTGGATAAGTACTAAGGCAACAGGTGCATGGAAGTTCTATCCAGTTGACACCCACCATGCCTCATACCAGTATCTTGTTGGATTTTATCCGCTGCCGTCGCCGTCACGGCAATCCTCGCCTAAAGCCTTCATGGCCCCAAGAACAAGGATACACGCCAGTGTCCTCGCCGTAAGACATTATTGAATCCTCCTGATATCCCCATTTCCGCGTTATTACGCGCGAGATCCATACCCAACCAGCGTTTGGTGAAAGCGCTCGGTATATCCAGCACATTCGTCAGCGATGATCCAGGCGTCCATGACAACTTCACTCGCGAAGCGAAAGTTCCTGATAACCGCCGTCAGCGCTGAAAGATGGATGGTCTAGGCTCGTTGACGTCGCCGAAACCTGCGTGAACAGGTTCCTTCAGGCAGAAAGCCTCGAATACGCCACCTTTGTGCGTTCGGTCACGCTCAGTGTCGTATTGGCAGGTCTACTGGGCACAGATATTGAAGATCTTGACCCCGCGGACGTGGCATTCGTGACCAAAGCCATCAACGATCGTTGGGCGCAATCCAAATCGAGCACCGCTCTTACTACAGAAGTGCTCGATCGCATCAACCATCACATCATTCAGATGGGTTCCATGACAGAACCAATCCCCTCAACCTCATCATCCCCGCGTACGAAACAATGTGGCGCGTAGCAGCAATTGCGGTGGTATATTCTAACCGTAATTGTCAGCTGCGCGATGCATTCATGTCATATAATGAGAATCCCACCGACGTTCAGTTCCGCGCCTTTGCAAACGAAGGGACGGGAGCGCAGCCTAGTGTAGAGGCGATCGTCAGTGAGGTTCTCCGACTCCATCCCCCGACTCGTCACATCACTCGCGCCGTAATCGTCCCATGGTGGAAGCGGCCATTCGTCCCATCCGTAGGATGTGGCTGACGTCGAAGAGGCACAGAAATCTCTTGTCTTCGGAAGCGATACTGAATCCTTCAATCCTATGCGGTTCCACGAGAACCATTCCGCTCCCACAAGGGATCAGCTGTATGCCTTTGGGCACGGAAGGCTGAAGTGCGTAGCGGCAAGCTGGGCACCACCAGCTGCAGCTGTCATTACCGCGAAAATCATCGCCAAGTTGGACGGCGTCGCGTTCACGCTGCAGGAAGGACCGCACATTGGGAAAAGGGAAGGATGGGAGGGTTGGTCGATCGAAAGAGTATAACGAACGTCATGTGATACATATCGGACTCATCAGCGTTTTGTCAGCGATGTATAGGTTACTTGCTAGTCACGGCAGGCTTGTGATGTTTGACCCGGAGGTTGACTTGGCATGAGATATATCATAGTGTTCATGCGAGACTTGTCAGAGTCCATACTTAACATTGACATGAAAGCAGTGCTCGTCTGCAATGTCATGTCAGTCTTCACACAACATTATAGGAAACGTACATATAGCCTTCATGTCATTTACATAACGAATTCCAGGCGATATTATAACAAAGTTTGGAGCAGGTTTTCATGACATTTCGTCTCACCGACCGACCCTAATTACTACCATGTGTAGGTAACTATCGGAGCTTCAAACACGTCGGCTTTTGCCGCTTCAGCCACCGACCCAAGGAAGATGACGGCGGAAAATTTGATCAGTTCGCAGAAGTCAATCGATACGCTCACCGGACACAACCCACTACAATCCAAGCATAATCGACTACAGTAGTCGAGCCTTGGATACAAAAAACATAGACTATACTCATGTCAGCGTAAGTAATCCGTCCTGCTGCCGTTGCGATTTCACATATTTATCAATATGTTACTCATGTGGATTTAGAGAAGAAGCGCTCCAGGATGTTGCAGAGAATGAGATCGAGTCCAACTGGGACCAGGTCGTAGATAAGTGCGTCAAACGGGTTTGCCGATTTTCCAAGATCAAGTTCTGATCCAGTGTAAAATAGCTTCGACAACATGGAATTGAAAGCTGAGCTTCTCCGCGGTGTCTACGCTTACGGGTAAGTGCTTCAGCCTTTAATCACTGTTATATCATCAATATTTCGTAGTTTTGAGAGGCCCTCCGCGATTCAGCAGCGTGCTATCGTCCCAGTTGTAAAGGGCCACGACGTCATTGCTCAAGCACAATCTGGAACTGGCAAGACCGCCACGTTCTCCATCTCCATCCTTCAGCAGTTGGATATGTCTATCAAAGGGTGCCAAGCCCTTATTTTGGCACCTACCCGCGAGCTGGCTCAACAGATTCAGAAAGTTGTCATCGCGCTCGGTGACTACATGAACATCGAATGTCATGCATGTGTTGGAGGCACAAATGTTCGCGAGGACATGGCCAAGCTCCAGGAGGGTGTGCAAGTCGTTGTCGGCACTCCCGGACGTGTATATGACATGATCAACCGGAGAGCTCTCCGCACTGACACCATCAAGATTTTCTGTCTCGACGAGGCTGATGAGATGTTGTCCCGTGGGTTCAAAGACCAGATCTACGAGCTGTTCCAGCTCCTACCGCAGGAGACTCAAGTAGTACTCCTTTCCGCCACCATGCCCGCCGACGTTTTGGAAGTGACGAAGAAGTTCATGCGTGACCCAGTTCGAATTCTCGTCAAGAGGGACGAATTGACCCTCGAGGGTATCAAGCAATTTTACATCGCTGTGGAGAAGGAGGAATGGAAGTTGGACACTCTTTGCGATCTTTACGAGACTGTAACGATCACGCAAGCCGTCATCTTCTGCAACACAAGGCGGAAGGTCGACTGGTTGACGGAGAAGATGCATTCCCGCGAGTTCACGGTATCTGCTATGGTCAGTAATTGCGGTATTATCTCAGTTGCGTCCCGTCTGATCGCATCTTTTGCCCAGCACGGAGACATGGAAGCAGAAGCAGCGTGAAGTTCTGATGAAGGAGTTCCGGTCAGGTTCATCTCGTGTCCTGATCACGACGGATCTCTTGGCCCGCGGAATCGACGTGCAACAGGTCTCTCTGGTCATTAACTATGACCTGCCAACAAACAGAGAGAACTACATTCACCGCATTGGTCGCGGCGGTCGTTTCGGTCGTAAAGGTGTTGCCATCAACTTTGTGACAACAGAAGATGTCAGAATGCTGAGAGATATTGAACGTGAGTACATTTTGCTACTGCATGATTGATGCTAAGACTGCGAGTAGAATTCTACAACACTCAGATTGACGAGATGCCTCTTAACGTCGCGTGAGTTTCTTACTGCGGGATTAATTGGATCTGGGCTCTGACAAATGCTTTTCTAGTGATCTCATTTAGATTGTTATCTCAGTCTGTTTTATAGGCCAGACTGTTACGATGCTGCTCCGAAATTGTTACGTCCATTCTATGATCGCGAAATTTTCCTGACAGTATGCCATGTAAAATGTTTTGGGTCTGCCAAGTTCATGTTTCAATTTTTTTTCGTACCTCACTTCTTTCGCATCGTGTGTTAGCTGCATGCATATCGTACCTGTTTGTGGAAATCCTTTCTACACTTTGCACTGCACTTGCCCCCCGATGCGGCTTCCTGAGAGACGATAGCCGGACCAAGACGGTCCCATTGGTTCGGAGCAGTGCTAGTGTCAGGCATAGCCTCAACCGCGTGTTCAGTCGTCCCTGAACCTGCCAGTGTGGATAAAATTCCATTTGATGATCGAGGTCGCGCAAGGCTGTACATTATAAATCTCGTGAGCTCTCACAGTGTACAGACTTTGTCCTACTTTAGTTTCAACCAAAAAGCTCTGCTTTCCCTTACCGAGGTCACTAAGCCTGACCAACCCCGCCCAAGAGCCGTGCCTTCCCGACGTCCGTTCTCGGAGGACGCTGTTCTATCCTGGTATCGGCTCAGGACCGGGCAAATCTAGCCCAGGTCTCGAACAGTTACACCAAGGCTGTTTGCCTGCTAATTTCTTGCCTACTTCATTCATAAAGAAGGCTATTGATCTCGACCGGCTAATATAGTAAGGGTCTCTGCCCCGTGGTACTATTCTCGCACCTATAGCTCCTCTTACCCAAACCACTTTCCTCCGTCGCCGTGATTCAATTTCACAGTTCTAAACTTGTGCACTCTCGACGTCAACTGCTGCGCTTGTCAAAGTTGTCATGGTGAGTCGTGTTTTTTAAATGGTCCTTCCTACATCCACACTTGCTGGTTGTGTCCCACCTTCCTTTGCTTCCCATTATGCTTATATATATATCCTAGCACCTCGGGAGGCTCACATTATCATCACATAACGGCGGTCACCCTTCTAGCACGTCCAACTGGTCACCATCGCCCATGTCCCAAATGCCTTACCAGTTGCGAACGCCGGGTGCATCAGAAATATTGCCAAGGCTATATGTCTCAGACCTCTCTTTCGCAGAGAACCCCACTGCACTCGCCACTCTGGGTATAACCCACATCCTCTCCGCAATGCGCGGATACGTGGCAATACCACATGACCTACCCATCCATCGTGCTCAATACCCCCCTCGAGGACCTTCCATTTTCTGAGCTCGCCGCTCATCTTCCATCCGCAACCGCCTTCATCCGCAGTGCACTGCACGATCCAAATGCACGGATTCTTGTGCACTGCATGGAAGGAGTGAGCCGCAGCACCAGCGTGGTTTGCGCATTTCTCATATCGGAGTACGGCTGGACTCCAGCACAAGCCATCCAATATGTCAAAACGAGACGAAGATCTGCCGAACCCAATTTTGGGTTTGTACAGCAGCTGCAGGAGTATGCAGACACGCTACGGCGTTGATCACGATAGTGGCTGAGGGCAGGAAATATGGACATGTGATTCCGACGGCCATCAGAAAGCGTGTTAGAAGGTTGTTTGACAGAGCTTGCATCATTCCTTTGCGTTCACACATACACAAAAGTTCTGTATCATCTGTATGCCCGGGACACCCTAGCGCGGGATTTCATTGAACATTTCAGATACAGTAGGAGTCTCATAATATTCTGCGCATTTTCGGCAATACAGAGTAATAACTATAGTCCCATAACCACAGTAGAATAGAGTACAGCAACTTTATGTATAATGTTGCACATAATATAGTAGTCATCATGAACAGCATCCCTGTTTATTTGAGGCTTGATTCAGGGCGACGCTTCCATTCGTTGGCTTTGACAGCTTCACTCCTGGGGACTAGATCAACATGTCAGAGATTGAGGACGTCAGGGGGTTGTCATCTTGAAATAACAACTCACTCGATTGTCATCAAAAACGCCCCGATTGATCTTGTGGAGGATATCGCACGAAGCTTTCTCAAACGCCAAATCAACGTTGCTCCCCGATTTTGCGCTTGCTTCCAAGAATAGCAATCCTTCCTTCCTCGCCCATTCATCCGCTTCGTCAGTTGAAACTTCTCTTCGTCGACTCGACTCGCCTTCTGCTTCTTCGTTGCATAGATCAATTTTATTTCCGACCAGTATGCAAGTTAAATGAGGGTCAGCATGCTCTCGTACGTCTGCAAGCCAAGACTGCGCGTTTGTAAACCTGTGTACGAATATTAGTAGGCGGCCGGGCATGAATCGGTCATACTGGGCGTACTCTTTCGAGATGTCACGTCATAGACCAGCAAGCAGCCCGCGGCACCACGGTAGTATGACCGTGTAATTGACCTAAAGGATTCTGTTCCAGCAGTATCCCAGCCTGCATATTAACCCACTACATGAAATACGTGTCAGAGGGGAACGGCGAAGGAGACGGACATTGAAGCTTGATAACCTTCCCTTCTTCGGGTATTTCAATCAGTTTCGAGCCGAATTCTACTCCTAACTAGGAGTAACGGGGGCGGTGTGTCCAATTCAGCTTATCAGGCATGCGAAAAGCCACGCACGGTTGGGTCGGGGTTCGCAAGAAAACGTTGGTCTGTCAAGCGGATAAGTAAAGATGACTTGCCAACTCCAGCATCGCCTTGTGAATGCGATTGTTGAGAAATGAACCCTTTGCCGGAATGCAAGTGCCGTGTGACACACCTGTGATAATAAATTTCAGGACATAGTGCCAAGTAATTCCTGCCATTAGGGCTCTTGATATTCCGTGTCCTTTAGGGTAGTCTAGAAAAACAAATACAACAGTTGAGGAACCAAGCAAGGGTGAGAGTGGAGGCCTGAGGTATGAGCAACCGTGGCGCCCACAGTCCAAATCAATAACAGTGGCCGCTTTAGGCAATGCATGATGAACGGACATTTCCGGAAGAACTCAGCGTTTGACTTGCACCAGAATTTCAAGCACGAACAGTATTCTTCAACCTCAACGTCCTCCGCAATGAGCAGTGCAACTTGGCGAAACTTTTTCACGTTCGCGTTCAGTATATTCTGTCTATCTTCGTTTATTGACACGTCTCTGAAGGTACAACAAATATGCCCAGATTACCGCACGGGCTGTTCGTCAGTCGTTGAAAGAGTCTGAGCGTGTCGTTGCTGAGAAGAGAGGTACGACCGCTCTAAAATACCAACAATGGGAAAATGGTGTTGGCGGAACGCAGGTGCGCCCTTCATACTTGTTTAATCTTGACCGGTGCATTTCTGATGATGTGTTGTTCCACACAGGTATTATTGAATCCCCGAGGTGGTCAAAGAAGTAAAGAAAAGCGCCGCGGTCTAGTTGAACGTCGGCCTTTTACTTGACTAGCAACGGCATGCCTTAATTCCCAATGTGATCGTATATCCGAAATAGATTTGCAGGAGGTCTCCTCCGAGGTGCCCGATCAGTGAACGGTTTACCTACCCCGAGAACTTTTTTTCTGCAATGAACGTTGATACGTGTTGCACGGGCATCTTGTGAGCTGTCCGTATTCCTTGGCTTTCAACCTGCGCAAGCTGCTCCATCATTGGGGGCTGGGAGTTTCACCACCACCATGGCCTACTCCGACGTTTTACGTTCCTACCTCTTACATTGGGCTGCCAGAGGTGGCTATAGAGTGGGTAACGACAACGAGAGTTGCGAGTCTATTTCATCATGCGGACCTCAATTTGAAACGAGTTCGCAAGACGGCGAGTGCTACAAGTTCACTATCCCCGATGAAGATTTAGAACCCGCCTAGCATGTACTTGTTTGTCCATGTCATTCGTGTGCGATCAGATCCGTTTGGAGCCCACTGCCATTGCAGAAGCCTCCATCAGTTTGTGAACTCTGATTTCGGGTGCGAGATTTCACTTTGATGTTATGTCCAAGGGTTGTTTCAGCTTGGCGTGCAATTTATCCCTAAATGTATCAACAGCATGACACTTGAAGTATGTCGCTACTGATCACCATCACATCATACGTTCCAATGGTGAAGTTTCACAGCCCCAGAATAATATAGCACCCAACATAGAAGGTTCAGCAGTGCCCACATGTGTCAGTACGCCATCTATTTGGTAGCGATTGGATACGTTTGCAAGCGTAAACTCTTGCTATGGTGTGTGCATTGCTTGGCTAGTCCCATTGTCGTACTGAGGTGACACCTCAGATCGGAACCGCCCGTTGCGGAAGCATGCATTGACACTCAGAGGCTAGAGCTCGAGCAAGGCCTTGGCAGCGGTTCTCTGCGGTTCTCCGCTTAATATTTCTGTCCTGCTTTTTTTTCCATTCTGATCATCGTTCCCCCTTCCGAATGATCGGGATGATTTTCATGTCGTCGCGGTACCCCTGTGCCTTGCCCGCCCAAGGCTATAAAACAATGTACCAGTCATTCTTTAATTGCCTTTGAACACCATTGCATCACGACATCAAGATCTGACCTTGCACTGCACTAAGGCTGCAATTGCTAAGCGCAGGCTGGTGCCACATATGGGTGCATTAGATCTGTCGTCCAGGTACCTTGGAGAGCTTTATCGGTTGCTCGCTACCCGTCGGTTCGTTTGCATTTTTCGTGGCTTGCTTTCGACATGCCTCTCACTGCCTTTCAAATTTCAGCCGTCGCTTTGTAGTGCATGGTGATGGCCTGGAGTGTGTTTCTTTGCCACGGTGCCGAATATCGGTGGCGTAGAATCATGTGTCCCGAACCCGGAACATGATCGTACGACGGAAGCTCATGCGGCTGTCTATGAATGTACCGTTTACCCAGCCCGCCTTGGTCGCACTTGTGGGTTGGTAATTTTAGTAACTCCCTACGTAGTGGTCTTTAAACGCAAGGTTACCAGAGGTTACCATGCTAAGCGCCGCGAGCAGTGCTTTTATTGATATCTGCACAATCTAAATGTCAATTCCCGAATTGATCGCACTCCAAAATGGGTTCGAGCAGGTGCAGTTTTGCAATTGCAGCGTAAAGAAAAGGAAGACAGACTCTACGGTATATGCAAATAATGTAAGTCTTTTCTCTTCACAACAGACGCGGAAAAATGACCGCAGTGCACGCGTGTAAGCAGCCAGATAAGGAAGCCCAAAGTGCATTTATTTCGATACCACGAAACCCTTCCCAGAGTATCCTTCCGACGATATGCCTGTGTCGAGCCGGACATTAGCATTATGAAAACACATCTCCGGAAGGAGAAACATACCGGTAATAGGGTTCGACTTTTGCTCGCGTGCGCGTTCATTGGTTGCTTCCTCCCATTCACGTGTAAGCGTTCTCGGTGGAGGTGGAGCTAAGGTTCAGGGGTACATATATTAGAGTTCAAGCACACAAAAAATGAAAAACATACATTGTGAACGAATAGCCAAGGAGAGCAGTCCAGCGGCACCTACAAGGCCCATGGTGCAAAGGAAAACCTTGAGGCCTTGGCCAGGTGGGCTGACAGGAGCCCGGGGTCCATGCGGCCCAAAAGCAACATAGTATGCTATTGACACAGATTACACGAAAAGGAACAGTGTTTCATCGACCGCAACGTCACGATAATGCGTGATTTGGAATAAAACAATATGCCAAAAGGACATCAGCAACACACGTCAACGGGGGCAGCCGAAGAACGGAAGGACAACAACACGCACCCGCTTTTTTCTCGTCCATAGAGAGCGTCTTCCAGTCCTTCTTCTGCAACTCCTCAAGCTGCCGGTGAACAACTGCCTGCTCGCTCTTAGACATATTTTCCCATTGTGCCTCGACGTTAGAGAGAGGAATAACAGACGCGGTCACGGACGATGGTCCGGACGTGGGCACCTGAGCGGTGGTGGCCAGGCGGCGCAAGGGGACTCTAGGACGCGCCAGGCGAATGGCTTGCATGGAGGACAATGAAAGCGAGTGTCGGTAGACGGAGGAGAGAAGTTGAGCAAGTGCAAATTAACGAATAACAGGGCGTGGAAAAAATAAGCTCGGTTGGCCCTGCAGCGGATTTCGCGCAATCGGCATGAACCGGGTTGATACTGCACACCCCGCAACCTCCTGCAAAGTACTCTGATATGCATGATGAACTTGTACAATGATATTAATGGTGTGTTGCAAATAGCTGCTAGTATTCTGCCAACAGATACGCGTACGAAGTAACAGATCCAAACACTTCAACAGCAAACCAGAAAGAGATCAACATTAAGCAGCTAAGAATACATGGATATCACATCACTCAAGCATCCTCAGTGGCGGTCACACCGGGACAATCACGAGAAATGTGGCTAAGATGTGGATTAATAAGAGAACGACCAGGACAACTGGAGTTGCTCACCCTTCTGAACCACACGTGTAGCAGGCGCGCCTCTGAGGTTGGGGGCAGTCACGGCTGATGTGGCCCTAAATCGGCGAATGTGAATCAGAGAACCTCATATATGCGGATTAACGTACCACACCCGAACAGTTATAGCACTTAGAACCTTGAACGCAGTCGCGCGACAGATGACCTACACCACCGCAGGTATAGCTACGTATGGCGAATCAGTGCAAATGTAAGATGGACATAATAAAGACAAACCAAGACTTGGAGCCTCCTCCACCAAAAGCAGAATAATTGCCTCCGCCTCCGTAGCTAGAGTTGCCTCCTGCGGCCTCAGGACATGAGCGAGCGATGTGGCCGGGCTTGCCGCAGCGGTAACACTCCTGGCCGGAGAATCCCCCGCCATAGCTGCCGCCGCCTCCACCACCGCTTGCACCACCGTCGGGGCAATCGCGAGACTGATTCCAATGAGTAAAAAGATTGACCAACATCCCCAGAAAACATACAATGTGACCCTCTTGACCACATTTGTAGCAAGACTTGGCCTTGGCCTCCATCGAGCAATCACGAGAAACATGACCCTCCATACCACCTGCAGAAATTGTGAACACCATGAAAAATGGACTTAGTAATGATATGACATACAATTGTAGCTAAACAAGGCGAGCGAAAATGAGATGATGTCCGGCATAAGCAAGATCAATAGTTACCAAGTAGGAGTCCCTGCCTTGGGGCAGTTAGCAGCTTGATGTCCGACTGTCTTCATGAAGATCGGAGGTACGGAACCAAGCAAGGCAGAGAGTTAGATGACGAGCAATGCAATATATTGCGATTTTGTGCGAGTCGTCGATGATAACATGTGTCATCGGTAGATATGAGCAAAAGACCATAGCGATCCACGTCAGCACCGCACACCGAAATTCGAAAATGTAAATAAGAACGAAGGGAATAGCAATGGCTACGGAGCCTTGCCTTCGCCATATCGACGAGGAATTGCTCAAAAGCCGGGGAACAGACAACACGGAAACACCACGCACAGCCTCCACAGTTGAAACATCCACGAGCGCCAGACATGTCGTATAGAGAACCTGTCAGGGAAAAATCAATGTTAGGGGTCCGTGCACGATTGACGCAGCCGTTGATGATCTCGGCGCGAAAAGTGTATTGGACGAGGTAAACATCCTAGACAAGATCCGACGCACTTTTCTTTAAAAAATTATGGAGTGAAGAGGGGGACACAAAAAAAGCCTCGAAGTGGTGAATGAAAAAAGAAAAGCGCTTCCATAAGCACAACGGCACTTCATCGGGCACGTGCTCATCACATGTTCAACCAATTTTGGGAAAACTATGTATGCAAGGTGCTTCTGCACAGCAATGTGAAGTAGTCGTGCCGGTGATAGCAACGATAGAACATATAGCGAATTAATCATAGTCCTTTATCTGCGTCCTTCTTATCCGAGTCCTTTCCCTTCTCCCCATCCTTCTTGGTATCCTCCGACTTTTTCGCGTCGCCGTTGACCGTCTTTTTGTCCTTGTCCTTTTCATCCATGCCTTCTTCTTGCTCTGCTCGCCCTATCGTGGCTTTGTTGTCCACCAGAGCATGTAACGCGATAACAGCACGTAGAAGACTACTCAGATACACCACGAGTAATTGATCATTTGTGCTCGATGCGAAACTCTGTGTTGTCACCGAATTGCTCAAGTCAGGAAGTAGGTTGAGTGCGTCTTGGAGATGGTAAATTATTTGGTGATTGACTGGCATCGTACCCGCTGCAACATCCAGCAGATACTTGTGCACGTCTCGTAGTCGGGATTGAAGCCCTTGAAGTGATGCGAGTTGCTCAGAAACGCGTGTTGAGAGGGTAGTGGTCGTTGAATCTTTGATATCGCGCAGGAGATGTTCGACACCAATCTCCTCAGCCTCTTCAGCCTCTATTGCAGAAGGGACGTGAAGGAATGTCTTTCGTGTTTCCGTGCCGTCCTGAAGCCATGAAATCGGTACGAGTATAGATTGCAAAGGAGGAAAGGCATACGTCTTTGATCTCTTCTACCGCAAAGTACGCATCCGTCGGGATTCCGACGGCCTGCGGTCGTACATCAACGATAACCATCACTGGTTTCGCAATGTACCGCTTAAAAGATCATTAATTTCTTGGTCCGAAGCTCGTAGTTTTGGCCCCGTGTGGTACCATCCGATCATCCGCTCCTTTGCTGCAATCTCATTCAGCATCTATGATGGTTACTGAGGGAAAGAGGGACACACCATTGACTTTCTTGAACATATCATACATCCCCTCAATATAGTTATGGTCTAGGAACCACGTCTTGCTGTCTCTTTCATCCTCCTCGAACGGGATTCCAAATGAATTGGCAACGTTAACGGTCTTGCCATTGTCCTGGCCCAAAAGAACCCCAACAACACGCTTTGATGAAGTACGCGAGACCGTACGCGCATGGTGATCAGTAACAGAGAGTAGGACCAACGGATGCACGACTGGAGGTGTTAATTATATGCGGGGGTATTTGATCGAGTGGTTGCTCACCAACTGTCGTTCCAGCAAGTGCTGTTAACTGCAAATTGGATGAACATTATAATAATCGGCGTGTGCGGCATTACAACTCACTTGCTCACTTGTTGATGCCACCATGATCTGTAATAGTACTGAAGCTAAGGGCTTTCATGACCACATGCACTGGCGGACGCGCGTTGTGTTGACATGTATTTGTACGGAATCTTGCTCTGAGGCGCTTCTGATCACAACGTTATCCTACCACGTTCTGTCAGTTAGAAATATCAACTTGCTGATTCTGTTGAAGATGGTTTTTAATCAGGATCACCAATTGTCGAACGTTGCCAAATCCTTTGTATAACTTTTAGCTAACACTAACAGAACTTGTTCTACATACGATCCTGGGAAGACATCAAACCGTTGCTGTGCGTGAGCACCGGCGGACATACGACATGAAACATAGCATCTGATCAAGATGTGACTCCTCTTCTCTTAAAACTGCTCCAACCATCGTGTGCAACAAGTTACTGCTGCCTGCTGTAGATGATTTCTCTTCCAATGCGATCGTATGGTGGAAGGCGGAAACGTTATTACCACGTCCAGGTTTCTGGTAAGTGGATTGCAATGGTAAACCCTGCAGGATGCTCACCTGTACCTCACAGATATCAGTGTTTCCATAGAACCAGATGACCCCGAATGCCCGCCTGGGCCTTATAGATGCTACGTGGAGGTTGGCGTCAACACTGTTCGCAAGCGAACCCAAGTTTCCGCCCTCGGAAAGTACGCCTGGAATGAGTCATTTGAATTGTAAGCGACATTACCTATCGTGTGGATGGTCATAACTCAATGGCTCCCTCTTCAATAGTTCAGTGAGGGAGGACTGGTCTATATGCATCGACTTAATAGCAAAACATGCTTTGTTATCTTGCGGCACGCTGAGTTGGTTCTGCAAGGATGTACCCATTGCATCGTCTCGTGACTATATGCAGTTACCTACATCAACACAAACAAAAGGTCCTGCAGCGTTCATAAGTCATCATAAACATTCACTCATAATTTACTAGTCGTCTCACAAATTTTGAGACGTGTGCACGTACGAGGGCGGAATGGAGAGCCTTCCATATACCAGGCTAGCGTGACCTTGAAGCTTCAGTTGTTAGACCCAGATCCTATCACTGACCCATCATCTTCGGTTCATTCCGAGGAGTCATTTATCGAGGACGTCGGTGAGCTCATTGCAGCACCAAATCTCTCCAACACAGAGCTCGGAGCATTCAGCGGCAAGGTCTGATATCCTGCCTTCCTAACGGACATGCGTGTTAAATGTGCCCAAGGTACTACGACATCCTAGCCTCGGTGTTGGCTGCCACTCTTTTTCAGATTGTTCGTCTTTTGTAGTATCACTTCACAGTTGTGAAGACGATGGCCTTTCTTTCATCAACTCCCCAAACGCCGATCACGACGAAGTGTTGGTGTCCCCTGTCTCCGATTTACCTCAAGGAGATCGTTTTCCTCTGAGCCCCAGAGAGCCGGACGACGCAGAACAAACATCGGTCGTAGAAGCAACTCTTGCAGATCACACTCCGAGGGGCGATGTTAACAGTGGGGAACTGCCAGGAATAAATCAATCGTTGCCCGCCGACAAAGTTGATTCAGGGATTCCCATGGTGACCGTAAGTTTGTTCATGTGGGAGATTTCGAAGTCTTGTCAAACTGACATTTTCGATGTGCAGGATACTAGACCCCAAACAAGGCACAGATTATTCATAAAGGCATCGAGCTTTCGCTCTAATCGTAGTGCATCGTTGAGCGGGACGCAAGATTGCCATGCACTTTGGGGACGAGTCAAGTCACTATTCAGCTTGCGCACACCCCAGAACGCTGATCGCATCAGACCTATGCTTTTGCATTCAAGTTAGAAATAAAATCACGGTTCCACATCCTCGATATTTTACTTTGATTCTGGATAACCGCCTTGTCAATGGGACACGGCTTCCAATGGTGTACGACTTACAGGCCGATGTCTCAAGAATTCTTCGCAAGGTATTCTTGGATACCATCCACAATGACACTATGGTCGTCCTCCTGTGCGAGGCCACTAACCACTATCACACCCACGACCCCCTCCACGCCCTTTACCTTCACGGGGAAACCTCCACCGTGTACTCCATATATGCTCGGATCGGCCATCTCATATACTTCCTGCAGTGTCTTTTCTTTGGCCTGCAGTGACAACCTCATGCGCATCGTTGAGCATCCCCAACGGAGCACCACTGCCTCCTTGCGCTTCACCCAGTGCATGTTGTCCGGAAGTGTACCAGGTCCTGAGGTGGCGAAGAAGAGGAGTTGGGATGAGTTCACGTGCGCAATATAGATAACGACGGGGCGCGTGAACTTTTGTTGCGCATTGGTGCGGATAATGTTTCCGATCTCCCAGGCGACATTGCTGTCGAACGAGTGGAGACGGCATGCTTCCTCTTGGGTAGTGACTGATTCAACCTTGGGTGGCTTAGCTATGATGTTCATATTAACGTAATGTGTTTACGACTCACTGTGAGCGACATGGTAGGGGAACTCGAGTTCAAACTGTTGGGAATTGTCAGCAGAGGTCAGGAGTCTCTTATATAAACTCATAGGGATTATTTTTGATATATGCTAATGCCTTCTACCTAAATTTATGCATCCTGTAATTGGTCCACGAGAAAAGAGACAGAGCCAGCAGATGAGCTCGGATGTCAGGAGGACTCCCCTACGGTCCGAGTTTCCAAGCGGGGAAAAATCGTCGATTTGGTGTCAAGCTGTATCTCCATTTCATGCTGAGAAAGTAGCATGCATATCCGGGGACCGGGATATATGCTACACCCTGCCGTGTATGGGACGTTGCAGGAGAAAGGGATCTTTGCGTAGTGCTTGTCTCGTCTGAAGATCAACACCTTCAGGTATAAATTAACTCAGGTGACACGCGAAGATGAACCGCTTCTTTCTGCCTGCCTCTAATCGCTTTTATCGTGCCTTCGCTATCAGTTAATCCCCTTCCATAGCACCCACAGGAATCAAGGTTTCCAACTCTTCCTCTTTATATTCTTTGATGGATCAGTCTCGAATGTCCACAAGGATGAGAACGAAGGTCCACGCGCTTCCGCAGAAAAAATGATCGATGTTGGATGGGGGCGTCGAAGGTGTTACTCGTGCACCAGGGAAGTTGATATTTTGCAATGCGCATCAGACGAGTCAGGACAAGACACAGTGCCGTGTGGCACATGGGAGAGATACTCATGAATGGATGATTGATGCATACACAATCGGGTGATACACATATGGGGAGCGTGACAGTGATGGCCGGGCGAGGAAAACTGGTAAGAAAGGGTGTGGATAGTAGCTGTGGGTATTCAAGACATCCAAGTGATAACAAGTCTCCGGTCATCACCAGAAGGATGACATTAAGTACTAGCTTTAGATGAAAATTTAGAAACCATATGGCGCAACTCGCCTAATGCACTTGGGCTGGGGCTTCCTCCAGTCATCATCCTGCGGACTCGCCAGTTGCATGAGGAGCCCATGCGTGAGAGGTAGGCTGTCCGGAAAGGATGTATCACTGTTTTCATATTGTCTATACGGAGGATGGCGTGGCCGCCGACCCCTTGGCACGTTTATAGGCCAGGAAGGAAGGTAACATATTTCCTAAGGAACACGTAAGTAAGATGTATATAGGCAGCACATAATGTCAAGACGTTTACCTCAGGCCCGCAAGCTGGACGACACCTAATCCACACGCTCCAATCTAGCCATGCCATCAAAGCACTTAAATCTTGTCTCCACGAACCCATCAGGCGAACCATTTGCGCAGCATCCGGAGTGGAATCACGGGGGAGGTATATATCAAGTCCTGCAAGGACGCCGGACGCCCACATCTTTGTAATAACGCGACATATTTCACGCGTAGTCTCTTGTACTGCATGCAACAGAAGGCGTTCTGAGGAGTTCAAGCTCGAAATATATAATACAATTGATGACGTGTGCGCGGTCCCGCATGCTTTGAACACTGGTGTTGCCCAGGAGTTAGATGAGTCATACGATGCACTGGGGGGCACAGTAGAGTGGAAAATGTATGGCGTGAGCATCACACGCAACTGGACATGCACCTTCAGAGCTTGGTCCACAGTTGTGTCATTTTCCGAGTTGAGAAGATAGTCCATCAAGTCGAAGCGCTCCGAGTAACGTTCCACGATAACTCTGAAAAGGGTTTTCCAGTCGATGCCACTGATGTCATTCGGATCTCGCTCTAATGTGCGAGAGACGCTACGCCTGACCGCCTCGATATCCGCAGAAGATATGGCTCCTATGCTGTGGTCACAACGCTCCTGGCCGTCGCGTGAACCAACGAGTGACGGTGCAAGGGTGGTGTCGTACAGTGAGACGATTCCAGCTAGATCAAGGTTTATTCGTGTATCCCCTGGGTATCGATTGTGCCATGACCCTGCTTGCATCACTTCAAACATGCGGAGCACTATAAGTATACATTAGGAAGACACGAGGAAGACGAAAACCACAGAGACTCGCGAAAATGATTTGGTATTCTTGGGACTGTAGACACCGGTTCAACGAGGCTGGCAAGGTGAGACAAGGAGACGACTTCTATTCCAGCCGTAAAATCACAGAGCATGACTTCACTTAAGCAAATCAATCAGCCGAAGAGCACAAGGCAAAAATCAAGAACATACAAGTCCATTTCCATTCTGTAAAAAGAGTTCGATACCATAACGAGATGATGCCAGATAAAATGGCTTACCGAACATAACCATCAACAGCGTACGGTGCTCCCCATTTGCACAAGTCCACGATGCGCTGGTCCTCCTTGAACCGCCAGTCAGGTCTCAATTCTCCCCATGCAATGATATCCTGAGTGTCAAGAGTACTATTTATGGTATTGGCTGCACTAGTCCCATCAAAATAAAGGACTTTGAGGGGACGAGTTGCTGCAAGTGTCAAGTGCCAGCATCCTGTATCTGGAGAGCCTTGGCAAAAGAGGATGGAGTGTTCTGGATCTGTGGCCGTCCACTCGGGGACCGTAGGGATTCTGTCATTGACAGCTCCATGATACAACAAGGTGCCTTTAGGAATTACACCAGGAACCATTGTATGGCCTGGTAGGTCCCAACAATAATAATATGCGTCAGACATCCATCCGTACAAAGGTCACGATAGGACTGACCATTCCGATAGCGCGTGTTCGGCCAATGCTGGAGCAGCGAATTTACAGTTTCAAAAACAAAGTGTCCTGTTTCATTAGCAGGAGGTGGCTCATCAAGCTGCCAAGATGAACGGTCGAGGCTATTCGAGTCCAGAGGGTTATGTGGTTGAGCTATCGCAGATGCAGTTCCGAGTTCCAGTGACGGCTTGCCATCAGGCGACAAGCCCAACGGGACTTGCGCTGCTAGCGACGGTAAGACAAACCATCCAGCAAGCGTCAAAAACATCTTGGACTAGTACTCGAGCTGAACAGCTATCGCAGTGACTATCGTGGTATCGTTGTTCAATACTCCCGGGCGGTTCCAGCTGCGCATTTTGTTGAGACTCAACTTGTCTAAGAATAGTATCGTATGATGAGCGATCATTTACTATGTGCAAATGACTCATTTGAACAAGGACTTAGCGGCCCTAGTACGTACTAGTACACCTCAGTATTAGAATTGGCCTGGATTAACCGTCTCACTGCCGATCATACATATATTGGAACTGAACGTGTTTGCTCACCTCGCTCAGAAGATCCAGTTCAGTCACAGTTCCTTTCATCCCACGAATTTGATACTATAAGTACTGGCGATTCTAGTACATGCAAAAAACTGCCCGGGCCATTGGCTAGTGGACAAAGGATTTGGACAAGCACGGCGCAAAACGATTGAAAATAACACTAAAAGACGAGAAAGAGTCCCGAGGAACGCTATTACGTATTACTAGCCTGCTTGGAGGGCTTAGCGTCTTATTCGCACTGGAACTTCTCAACTGCAGACCCACCGTTCCTCTACTTCTGGGCTCTTATTCTGGTGTTCGCTGCTACTCTTGCCTGATGTTCAGCTGATGAGCAGCGGCATCAGCAGCTTTCTTCGCAACGCTATGGGTTTCAACGAGGGCGACCGCTTGTTCTTTGGCGATTCTATGTCTGTCTGCCTGCTCATCCGCCAGCTTTTTCGCCAGCTGATCATATTCCGACTTCTTCTTGGCTGACTTCTCTTCCTCTTCGGCTTTACTTCTCGCCAGTTTAGCCTGAGCAGACTTGCGTTCAGCTTGCAATCTCGCTTGCTCATCCTCTGCTCTCTTACTCTCCGCGACCGCCTTCCTCATTCGAGCTGCCTGGATCTTGTCGTGCAAGACTTTCCCCTGCAGATCCTCAACCCAAGTGGCAGACACCTCCGCAACGAGGGAGCGTAGCATGATAGGAGATGAACTTTCAGCAACATGCAACTGCAAGTACAAGCGGCTGGCCTCGATGATGCGGACATGAGGGAGGAATTGCTGTCGGTCGACGTAGTGGTTCCACTGACTAGTGTTGCAGTTCTCCTTGACTGCTGGCACCGATAAGAGGCACACGGTAGGCACACCATTGAGTATCTGTGGAGGGAATCCTACCCCAGTGCGATAAATGGATATCTTGGGGGTATTGGTGATAATCCCATCAAGAACACGTGTGGATTCGACGTCTGAGCTGGAGTTAGAGGCCTTGGTGAGTAATATGCTTGTTTGAATCGTAGATGTGCCCTGTCCGTTCGCTGTGCCGTATTTAATGGTATATTCAAGCGACGTGAGGGTCGGGTAGACCATCTCGTCTGGGATGAGAACATTCAGCGAGAACATCCAATTACCCTGGTCGTTGTTGACAAGCTCAGGAATGGACTCCTTGGAATACGATGCATGGGTGTAAGTCTCGCTGATATCTTTGGGTGGAAAGATGACTGGAGTCGGAGTCAATGAAGGTGGAGAGCTGAATGATTGAACTGCCAGAGCCATATGTTCGACGGGGAGCATGGTATGTGATACTCGATCTTGCACGTCAGTCATTAATATCGTCAATGCATGTGACTGAACTTTGGTGGTGAAAGTGGAATGCCGATGACCATTCTTCTCGCCTCGGGTGAATTGTCGCTCAGAACCCTGAACAACAATCAAACCAACGCCTAGGCCCGCAGCAAGAATCACCTGGATCCAAAGCACAGCCCCGTTGGTGTCTGATTTCAGAATTTAATGTTTATCAGGCGTTTATGGTCAAGGTGTTCACTATAATTATACTAATTCTGTTTTAACAGGCCATTATCAGCCGCCCCGGATCAAGCGCTTGTCCCGCTGTGATCGGCCATCCTGTGGCCGGCAGCAGGCGCCCTTACCCTGCACGAAGTCCACCTTCTTGCCGTATCATATTCCAGGATCCGATTTGCTTACACAATCATTGGTACGACATGGGCGATAAGCGGGCGCGTAACCTCTGAGCCTAGATCTGTAGAATGTCACATTTCTGGCCTTTATCGTCCTCTAGATCTCAGAGCCGGAAGTTTAACGCCCATAGTTCTGGGCTCGCAAAATGAATATCATTGCCTCCATGATACGATCGAACGTACCAGTGGCCTATTCTCATAAACACAATTCTCAATCTTGTCAAACGGTGGGCTGCTAAGTGGGAACACCACAGGGCATTTCAAAAACATCTGCAAGTTCAGATAAACACTATTTTTACTGCATCTGACCGGAGGATTGTGACCGCAGACATAAACAATATATCCTGTTACCTATCCAAGCCTGGAGTCAAGGTACGTACCAGAAGACCTCCTCGCCTCAACAATTATACAGTCCCTCTTCTCATGAAATCCAGCGTTCCTCCATATCATCCCCAGCTAAACGACCGCCGGCCTTCGTCTCGGCCAGTGGAGCGTCCAACGCAGAGGCAACCGATGAACCAGCCCGATGGCCCCCACGACCAGCAATGCGGCTGTATACACCCAGCACTCACCACTGCACTCGGCCAGCTATTGGGGCCACATGGAGTGTATGTCCAGCCCACCATCAATTCCCGGACGGTCGCCCAATATTCCGTGACCTCATTCCTGACCACCCCACCCTCTACCGATACCATTCAGGCGTCAAGCACCTTCCCACCCCAGGACATACACATGATTCACACACATGCGTCATATTCCGTGCAGCCCATTCCCGAGCTCATCAGCAATAAGGATGGGAACTGGACACTCACATTAAATGTCCCTATCCCAGAAGATAAGGTCCACCCAACACTCACATCATTCTCGTATACGGTTAAATATAGCACAGCAAATGATCACTGGGCTTCTGTTGTTCAATCCAATATTCTACTTGCCACAGCTGATTCAGAGGTAATCCCGGATGGGATCAGCACGAATTCGAATACCCACGGCAGCTACCGCGGTGGGATAACTGTCGTGCCTCGGACTCGTGAGGGCGCTGACACCGTGTGTCTTTCATCCGTACTGGCCATCAAGAAGAACGACCTGCAGGGCCAGTGGAACCACTTCGTGGATCACCAACAGATCATTCTTGATGTCCGCATTGTCCAGAGGAGCCACTTGTACCTGCAGTTCCACGTCTCAGAGTATCCTACCTCGGTCATACTACGCTCTCTTTCAGTGGATGTCTCTGCCACTTGGCTTAATGACCAGGAAGGAGGGCGTCTGCTTCGTGAACTTCATGAATGTGAGATGCAGGCCGATGACGCGGAAGCACAGGCAGCTGCCGAGGAACGAGCCAGGAAGGTGGCAGAAACTCAGCAGGCAACTGATGAGCTGGCCGAAGAAGAAGCCAAGGAGAGGCAGCGTGAAGCCGAGAGGCAGTCGGTAGTAGATGAAAGGGCGAGAAAGGAGGCAGAAGCTGAAGCCAATAAAGCGAGCTCGGAAAGACGAGCGGCGGAACTTGCCATAGTGGAGGCAGGGAAGCGTTCCCGAGAAGAAGCTGAACGTGGGCTTCATACAGGAGAGGAGGGTGTCACGGATGCCAATGTGCAGGCGGGGATCAAGAGTACACTCAATCGTCTTGCAGAGGACCGAAAATGTAGTGCGGGATATAATTGGTTTCCAGAAGCGCATGGTTCCGGTGCGGAGCAGGCAGTCATTTCATTTCTTGGGAGGAATTGAATGCGGCTTGAAGCCAAGCCATTCACCTCTACATCGCAGCAATTGCCCGAGTTGTCGACGGTGCCCTGATTTTCACTTCCTTGTCATGTACTCTTGACAGTCTGTTATGCTCCGGGACCTTAGGCAGCCTTCATTAATATTTGAGCGTTCGGTCGGAAAAGGTTACATACGCAGTATCGGTTATACATTTCTCTTGCTCGCAACCACAATTCCATATGATTGAGTGGCGTGCCACTTTCAATTCGAAGTCGTTCGCGACTCTGACTCTGACATGTTACGATGCACAGAGCCTCTGGCACATCAACTGGACTTAAATCTTTTCATACTGCCGTCCAGTCAATAATCGCATCACATAGTTCTAACAATACAACGGTTAAGCATGTGGATACGATGAGCAGCATTCCAGTTATACAACCTATGAAACATCGCCAGAGAGAGACCAGACCCTTGCTTATAGCAATGACCTTTTCGATAGGTCACATGATATATCTTGAGGGTTTACTCCAGTACGTTAGCTGATATTTGGTTCTGGGAGTCCATCAGGCACCTCGTGGAGATAAACGGATAGGACACAATTTGGTGCTAGGCAGGTCCGGGCAATACAGATCCGATGTCATCGTACGAGTGGGCGCACACCGGTAAGATGCGCTGGTCCGACGGTCACCCGGCGCATGTGACATTGAAGTGATAAGATATCACTGGGCGCGTACTTGGCGGCCTTTTTGATCTTGTGGCGAAGCAGGGTGCGCTACAAAGGGTAATCAAAGACAAGGTTGGTAGAAGAAATATTTAGTTGCAAAAATGGCCGTGGTGCAGAATCGCATCAGCCACATCGAGTGGGTTCACTGTGCACAGAATAGAGGAGCTATTGGTATATGTCAGGTGATTAGAAAGAGGGGGTAGTGACGACTGACGGAAGAAGCGCAACAATATCAACGCCGTAGCAGCGGTAGTAATTACGGAGGAAACAATAACCGCGGATAAGCGCCTACGTGAGTTGCTTATAGGCCGAAATACACTACTCACACCACACAATATCCACGACGTACCTAAATTCACAAAGTATGCCCCTCGTCCATCTCAAATGCTACTGACCGTCGATCTCTGTGCCTAGGTCAATGCAACATGTCAGGGGTGCCTGATGCAGCAAGAGATGCGTATCCCAATTTGAAAAGACAACCGGCGCCGACAATACGAGAGCAACCAACCCCAATGCGCACCATGCAAGGGCACACGGAATCAGTGCAAGCATCCGCATTCTTCAAAGACGGCCGACGGGTCGTCACTGGTTCAATGGATGGCACCCTGCGAATATGGGATGTGCAAAATGGAACATTGGTAGGAGGGCCATTCGAGGGACACAGGGATGGAGTGCAAGCAGTGGCCATATCGCCAGACGAGACGCGAATTGTGAGCGGTGGACGTGATAACATAATCATCATCTGGGACGTCGAGAACTTGAGCAACCAGATGGTAATCAAGTCGTCACTGATACAACATAGAAGTTGGGTTTTATCGGTTTGCTTCTCCCCCGACGGAAAGAGAGTCGCTAGCGGGTCAGAAGATAAAACAATTGTTGTATGGGATACAGAGACTGGCGCTGTCCTCGAAACACTCAAGGGTCATCGTAATTCGGTGTTCAGTGTCGCGTTCAGTCCAGATGGGCTAAAATTAGCCACTGGATCAGCTGACCGTACCATCCGGGTTTGGCGCTCCAATAGCGCCGAAATTCTTCTCGAAATCTACGCTCACCAAGATTTGGTTCGAAGCGTTGTCTGGTCAGCTGACGGCCAGCAACTCGTCTCCACATCATATGACAAAACAGTCAAGTTCTGGGACTCATCGACTGGGTATTTGCAGATCGGTCAACCTTGTATCGGTCATGATGCTTGGGTCCTCTCACTCGCCATCTCATCTGATGGCTCCTTCATTGCCACTGCCTCGGACGACACGACTGTGCGGCTGTGGAACACAAAGACACACCAGCACATAGCAAAGGCGCTCGTGCACACCACGGGGGTTAACTGTGTTGCAATTTCTCCCAATGGAGAACTGCTTGTCAGTGGAGATGTTCAAGGGAAGGTTTGGCTCTGGTCTATCAAGGACGTACTCGAGCAACATCCTGCAGAGGATCACGGCAGTTTGAGCAATCATCCCTCGGAAAGTGACGAAGCGTCTGGCAGTGACGACAATCACTCATTACTTGACGTGAGCTTTTCACTTTCGATGTGTCTATTTATCACGGAATCTGAGCTTCCTTCATGTAGATCCTCGCTATAGACACAGCGGTCCGCGATGCGTTCATTCCCGGGGATCTGGATACCGCTAAAGAGCTGCTGACCCAAAAAATCAGCAAAGGTGACAACAGCCACGACATCTATGCCAATCGCTCACTTTTAAGGGCGCGACATTTTGAGTGGGACGATGCACTTCAAGACGCAGCCAAGGTCGGATGCCCTGCCTATCATGATACTGTTGAACACAGATTGACTGAACTTGTTGGCATAGTCCATTGCCATCCAGCCCTCATTATTGGGCTACATTTCCAAGGGCATCGCCCTCTGCGGCAAAGACCAACTCTGCGATGCCATGGAAGCTTTTGATCTCTCTTCCGTATTTTTGAATCATGATCCGATTGCCATCGATCTTGTACTATTGATCAAGGTACTCTCGTCATCATTCGCTGACATCTTTCTCTAACGATGCCATCTCTTTCTAGGCCGTTGCACTTTTTAATGCTAATTGTCACGATGAGGCAATGCGACGACTTAAGGACCTCTCCACCGCTTATCAGCACTCACATACACGCTCGCGCAGCATCGTTAACGTAAGCTTTATGCTAGACCTCACGAGTCTTCTCATGCTGAAATACACTCTTCAGATGTATCTACGTGCGCTGCTTGCATTAGCTGCTTTTAAGGATGGGCGGTACAGGGAAGCCTCGGACCTACTCAACGATAGTATTCTAAGTATAGCCGACTGGTTCTCTCGCAGAACACTTTTTGAACCCGAATTGAAGCTATTCGCGGTGGTGCGTCACCATAACGTCGCAGAGCAAACTTCCACTGATTGATGATGTACTGGACAGCTCTTCGGCTGGGACTTGGATTCATTGTGGCAAACTGTCAACCAAAGACGGTGCGACGTATTCCTCCGTGTCGATCGAGTGATCGAAGCCGCCGAATCTCACCAATACATGATGCGGATGATTGATGAGGATGCGAAAAACAGGTGCCTCGAATGGTCCACTGGTGAGTGCTGGAGATCTTAGATGACTTGGGCATGAGACTTACTGTGCGGTGGATTAGCCTTCGAGAAAAACTGTACTGCACGCTGTGTTACAAAGGCAGACGAGGCTATTGGTAGGGGAAATTTTGAGATGGCTATCGGATTATATTCGGCAGCGCTCGTGCTGGACCCCTCATGCGAGTCCCTCCTTGTGCTCCGCAGTAAGGCCTATGTAGGCCAAAATCTCTATGTGAAGGCCCTTCAAGATGCAGAAAAGGTGTAAATGATATCTACCATTTATGTAGCAACTATTCTAATACCGATTTACAGGCCATTGAACTCAACCCTTCGTCGTATCTTGGGTACGAAGTGAAGCATGGAGTGCTTCATCGAGCCGAACGCTATGATGAAGCAATTGAGGTCTTCAGCATCATGCTCTCTAAGTTGGATGACACACACAACCGAGGTAAGCCTCAAGGAACTTGCGCACCGACTTGAATACGATTAACCTTATGTTTCCAGAACTGCGCCAGCAGTATGTCGATCCATCCGAAGTACTTCGCGCTATTCAAGAAGCCATTGATGCCAAGCTGCAAAATTCCCCACCTCGTTTACTCAACACCTCCACTGGTCATTTATACAACCGAGAGGGACAAATCAATGCCTTCATGGAAACCACAGAGTACAGGAAGATCTTGTCATCATCGATGACGTATGCGCCCCTCCAAACGGGGCCCATCAAAGAAGAGGTCGAGAAATACTTCAGTTGGGCCATGTTATCACATAGGTGGGGGAGCAAGGAGCTACTGCTGCACGACGTTCAGGGCAGAAGCGTATACCACTTGGATCCAGTCGGAGGAACTGTGAAGTTGCAGAAGTTCTGCGAAGTCGCTCGTAATGCCGGGTATTGCTGGGCGTGGAGCGATACCTGTTGCATCGACCAGAATAACAATGTTGAGCTCACACGATCGGTCAACTCCATGTTTGTCTGGTATCGCAATTCAGCTCTTACAATAGTCCACTTGTCAGATGTCCTGCCTTCGTCGAAGCCTGACGCACTCGCAGCCTGCGCTTGGAACACGCGAGGATGGACTGTTCAGGAATTCCTCGCTCCCAAAATCATTCTCTTCTACCAACAAGATTGGACCCTCTACCTTAATGACCGCTCTCCCAACCACAAGAAGTCTGGCACTATCATGCAGGAACTGGCAGATTCAACAGGTATAAATACTCAGTCCCTCATCACTTTCGAACCGGGAATGAGGGGCGCGCGAGAGAAACTCCGATGGTCATCGAGCCGTGTTACCACATTGCAGGAAGATATCGCCTATTCATTGTTTGGCATCTTCGGCATTCATTTACCTGTCATTTACGGCGAGAATAGACAAAATGCGCTTGGGCGGCTCTTACAGGAGATCATCGCTCGGTCGGGCGATATAACTGCCCTGGATTGGGTCGGAAAATCATCCGACTTCAATAGCTGTCTCCCGGCTGACATTACGTCGTACAAAGCTCCACCGTGCACGCCGCCACCTCTATCTGAAGACGAAATACAGACATCAATATCCACGCTGCGAGATACTGTGGCTGTAGACTCGGCTTCCAAACTGTATGCCCTCATCGACAACCTCAATCCCCCTCGTTTCGCGAATTCCAGACTGCAACTGCCTTGCATCGCCTTTCTTCTCACAGAAGTCAGATTGAAGCCTGATCAAGACCAGGGTAAATGTCGTATCTATAATGTCAAGGCAGACGGACTCCAAGACCTGCAAATCACAACGGAAGACAGGTTGACTCAATTTTCGCCTGGATGGCCTGCACGGCAGACATTCTTCCTCGTCCGTTCGTGGAATCGTTATGATCTCGACCCTGAAGACGAGGACGATTTGCCCGAGCCTTCATCTCCTTCGGATGATCTACCTCTCTGGCCCCCTAGAGACCATGAGGCGACTAATTCGGAGTTTCACCGAGCGTTGAGATTCATCGTTCACCTTGGACAGCCTTTTAGCGCACTTTTGTTGGCGCAGCAGCGTGGTGGCGTGTATAAGAGAATTGCTTCGGACCGCAATATCACTGCGCAGGTGAAGGACAGGGTTGTTATTGATAACATGATGAACGTCAGAACGCTAGAGATATTGTAGCTGTCTGCATCTCGAAGAAAGGATATACCTGACACGTTTTTATTCATACCTTGACAGCACCTGCGTGGAACAATTCATCTAGGCATTTTGTATCGTATCGCATGCTGACTTGCAACAGGAAGGCGGATTACCACAATTGCGCAACCGAACTGAAGTCGGATGGCGAGCTCAGGTTGTTGGGCATACGTAAAAGGTAACTTTTCCTCCATGGTCTCGGGAAATCGTTGCTACTGTGGTAGTGCGTAGGCTGCTGCCGACGCGTGGCTCGGTGACAGCCGGTGACACGGGGGTAAGCGCGGTCAATGTTCAATCCCGACCTTTTCAGCGCTGACCTGTCATCTCTTTCAACCTTGTTCGCAAATCTCGCTCTCTTCTTGATACACCTGCCCCAGTCACCACCATAAATATTACTCACTTTTGCAAAATCGATCAGATATCCGTTTGCAACGCTGTTTCGAAGGAACATCGCTCCTTGCGATGACAGTGAAATATGCCATAGCTTGCGAAGTACGATTTTATTCCTGGCTCGGTGAGGGCGTCGTGATTGGAAGAGGAAAGGAGACCCCCCTGGTAAACATCAACGCGCTTATCCATGCTTACTGCTCGTACTTCACTCAGGTGCCACTCTGCTTACATTGAGCACGTCGATTTCATTCATTACCCCAGCGTTTTGTTTTGTACTGGACCTCGGAGGCAATGCTTCCTTATACCAATGCAAGTGATCCCAGCCTCAGTGGAAGTCACAGGTGGAAAAATATTTGTCAGTTAAAATCGGTGTCATGCTCATGATTAAATTGTCCTAGCGCGACATCAGGAAGAAGAAGATTAACCTTAAAATAAACTAACGCCCGCATTTATACCCCGCAACCGTATGTGCGATAAGAACACTCTAGGGTCAGACCGATCATACCCCATGTGTACATGAATCCTTCTCATCAGGCGAGTTACGTTCAACTTTTTCGGATATGATTACCTTCTTCTTGAGGACTATATAGCCACGTCTGTAACCACTCTGAGACGACACGCATACGTCCTCACTGAGCCTCATCCACAGTATGTCTTTGCCGTATGGTGTTTGTATGCCATCGTCCCTTACGACCTTTACCACTGCTTAGTACTAATCAGAACAGTGGAACATAGTTCCGTCTGGCGAGCGGATCGAAGGCGCAGGCACTTGGTAAGCTTACCAAACTCGCTGACCTACTCTGCTGATTATTTTTAATATGCAGTCGCGACATCGTTTGGCACAGCCAAAATTCTTTTATGGTACTTGGGCTAGGCCTCTGCGTTCTTTGTATTCTTGTCCGATAAGGCTCCAATGAGAAAAGCTCCGGAACTGCAATTTACCAGCAGATCTGTGGTAAGAACATCGATAATGACATAAGGTCTCCGCAATCATCGTATCTGTGATAAGAACGCTCCAAAGACATACATGGCGGCATTCGACTTGCTCACGTGGGTCTGGGCTTGAGGGTTACAATGGTGAGCACCTTCATTTCAGACAGCCGTCGAAGCTGCTTCTAAACATCCTCTTTCTCTATGGTATAGCTAATATTACAGTACATGAGTATGACATAGACAAGTAGAAGGACATACGGCACGCATACAGTCCTAAACCTTGCAAGTGGAATGTATATGACCACATTCAACGGATGGAACGCTGTTGACCGAAAGCCAAACGCAGCCGAACACTGGACGATAGCCTCGGATGGACTATCAATGCACGTCAGTATGCTCGTCCGGTGTTCGCATAATACGGGGCTCATAGCATGGTTTGCAGTATCAAGGATCCGAATTCCGGTGATGTGTCCAACTCGACGATTCTGCCCTTGCGAAAAATATCCTTCGCACGGCGTTGGTCGGGCCTATTCAGGACAAGCTCATGAAACTTGCTGTAGTGGCTGCTGATTGTTTTGGGCACTGCCAGTTTTGCGTCAGTCATGTTGGGAGCCTCAGGCCAGAAAGAGTTGCTCCAGCATTCAAATTGGGTGTCGCCACAACAGGAAGGAAGTAATTATATCAAAGCGGTTTTGAGAACTCGCACAGAGGATTGATCTGACCAGGATATAAGCATTCTGTGTGGCTTGATGCTCGGACGTCCTGTAGCGGAAGGACAAAAGGCATTCAACCTCACGACTGGCTGAGAGATCCTGTTTTGAGTGAGAAATCTACACCTGCCCTAAGAAAAATCCTATCCCTAGACAGTCCTTTGTAGACGAAGGAAGTTAGTCGTTGGAGTGAGGGACCCCTACGCGAGGGGCCGTAGCTTAGTCAGCCACTGACTACAGTCTCCTTCGGGCTTTCAAGTTATCGTAGTGTAGTGCTCTTTCACCATTTCTTGCTTTGCTCGCGACACGCAGGCACACAGTTACGGATACACCGCTCCATCGTTCCTTCTAATGATCATCAATCCAATCTTGGGCGTCTGAAACAGGCGAATTCGTCTGTTTTTTGTCCATTGTTCCATTTGCTGTTACCTAACGGAAGGTTCTCCTGCTTAGACCGACATGGGTTAACTACGACCATCACATGGCATATTTTTGAGTTCCGTCGGGGACGTAGTGAAGCATACGGGCAGATTCATGACATAGCGAACGTGCCTCCAATGGTGATGTTCTAATTTCTAGTGTAGCGTTGAATTTGTTTCATTCTTATTGGTTTCGCTCATCACTTCCAAAAATTTGCACATGCGTGGATTCTCACAACTTGCTACGTTTTTATCCGTGAGCACCTTCGCAGTTATTTCGAATGGGGTGTGCCGTACAGCATCCAGAACGGCTCACCTAAGATTTTTTTTTTAGCTTTGCGCAGTTCATTTTGATCTCTGCTCGAAATGGCCTTTCGTGAGAATCCCGTTCTCCAAATACCACAGCACGTGCGTTTCATGTCTTTTATAGTTGCTGAACCATCCAACCTACCGGGCAGCAGCCTGAGCTATTAGTATAACTAGTCCACAGCCTTTGACCCAGTCATGACACGTCTTTGCACGACCAAACGCGACACGCTGTCCTGAAATACATACACGTCCAGGCTAGCCTGGGATATCTGTTATGCCCTACAAGTCCGGGGATCATCGATCAGTTATGGATGTTGATCCTGATGAGTTTTGTTTTTGTGACTCGCGGACCGCTGAAAGACACCTACTGCTTTAATGATCATCCAGGGACATCAGTGGCGCTTAGGCTTTTGATGCGGTTTTAGCTATGGTACTAGAGTATCTACAGCTGAGTATCACGACTGCGAGCTTTCGCAATTAGAGAGATCATGGGTCGTTCCGAAGTCCGGGTGAGGAATGCTAGGTTTATGGAGAATCCATCTAGTCTCCTGTAGGCAGATGAGAAGACAGTCATTTCTTCTATCGTCATCGATCGAGGACCTGCTTCTATTGGGAGACTAACCCATATGAGTATCGATCTCTACTTTCCGGATCCTCAAGAGTTGCATTCTCTCATACCACTGCAGAAGTTTAACAAGGCCTATACATATTAAGCGACTGACGATCCGCTCTAGACTATTACACAGCCTTTGCCCCGAATCATGACCTGGCATTGCGAACGGCGTCAATGATTGCGCAAATTCGCCTCAAGAGTGGCGCACGGGCGTAGTACGGCTTGGCAATCCTATCCGCATCACTCAACCGCAGCACGCCAAGGTGATGGGGTCGTGAGACATTTCATTGCACGCGTTAAGACCAAATCCAACGTGCTACCATCAAGCCCATCAATGCGCTCACGGTTCTTCGCCTGACACGGAGGATACCGTTGACTCCTGAGAGTGCGCCAAATTTAATATTGGTGGTGTGAGTCTGCAAGGGGTGAGTCAGTTCGCGTAGTTACCAGTGCGCGAGCGGCAAGATACTGAGACTGATAAGAAGCGAATAGGTTGGGACAACGTGGGTGAGACACAATAGGGATGCGACAAAGGGAATATTAAATTAGTTTTTCTCTATGACGGCATTAGACGGAGCAATTCACGTTGTGTGTGAAATTAAAGTTTAGTTACTTATTTTACATAATCAAAAAGGGGTTTACGTTATTTTGATCGGGGGGATACGCAGTAATCTAGTTTTTTTGGTCTGTAGCGCCTCTCTTCCTTTTCCTCTTACCACCATCATCCATCCATTCACTCACTCAATAAACTCCCTTCGCTGGTCGACTTAACGAATTCAACAACTAATGCTTTATAATGTCTGATACTTCCCATTCACACAATTATGGTACAAGAATAAGGAACAACTCAATCCTTAAACCAAGCGCTCGTCTTCGTCAATCACCGCAACCAAGGCGTATAAAACCAGTACCACATCCAACAACAGCAGAACCAACTCCAAATCAGTCTCACTTCCCAATATTTCCACTTCCAAATGTCATGCTACACCCTGAAGACGCCACTAGCAAGGTATTTCATGCTATCGGTCGTTGCTTCCTCAGCGTGGTCAGTCCCTTTTCCTCGTTCCTATCCATACCTTCACGCGTGTGTTTCTAGGACAATCGCGCCATGACGATCAAGGACCTTGCGGAAATGACTTTAAACTTCGGCCTCGTGTGTCAGAAGTATGCTCTCCTCTCTTCTCTCTCTTCACCCTACTCACAATTACCCTAGTGTTTCTGCTGCGTCGCAAGCAATAACTACTTACATACGAAACCATCTCTCTCGATGCGAGGCTCAACAGGATCACCCTCTTCTTCTTCGTCACACCCCTCTCTGGCACACCCGCTGACGACGATCTCGTCCCTGCACTCCATTCCCGTGTAGGAGGTGCACCCATACAAAGGCAGCCACTCGACTCCACGTGTCCAAATCAGAACATCCCTCCTGGTCGCCACACAAACTTTCGTCGTGGCACAATCGTATGGTATCTTTCGAAAGCTAGTGGCGTGTCCTGTCCTTTCTCTCGTGCTGGAATTCTTCTTTCAAATTACCCCGCTTCCACTTCAAATATAAAGCCTCGAAAGCAATCTCACGATCCAATGGAAAAGTGCGGAGAGAAACGCAAAAGATTCATCTCAAGACGCTGTCGCGCCACTGACAGACTCTCAGAGAGGGCCAGTCCATCGCCCAGCTCAAGTCCTGTAGATAGCGGTTATGCAGAGAGTGCCTCCAGTTCTTCTGACGAAGAAGAAGACGAACCTGAAAGACCTCCAAAAGTCAAACTTACCCTACGTCTCCGTCCCTCTCCCACTACTACAGATCACACAGACATCATCGATCTCTCCCATGATACATCCTCTGACGATGATGTTGACATGTCCCCAGCAGAGCCCAGTCCAGAACCATCTTGCCTTCCACCCTACCCTCGCAGATCAATCGCAGTCCCATGCTACACCCCCGTATCCCCTCCCTCCCTTCAATACGTATTTCCGCCGCCACCCATCGACCAATCAAGAGGAAGCGCATCACCTCCGCCAGATTCTGACCACGAGGAGGATATCGATTTTGACTTCTCAAGCGATGAAGAGGAATCTCGAGGTGTGAGCGTAAAAGTAGAAGACGAAGCAGAAGATAATAGTATTGGCACAAGTCAAAACGTGAGGGACATGCTAGATGCCTGGGAGGACCTAGATCTCAATCGTGCGCGGTCATATTCATGCCCAGGGTCTGGGCTCGCTTCGGTGGCGCGGGAAAATGAAAGTCGGCATGCGGTTGCTCCAGAGGTCAAGGTCGAGGAACTTGAGATGTGGGAGTGGGAGTTTGATAGTGGCTGGGCGGGTGCGTGTGGGGATGTTGAAATTAAGAAGGAAGATGCATCGGAGGCGCTGAATGGATTGTCGTTATCGCCTACGAGTGTACCATGGAGTGGGTTCCCGCTCTCTCCTATGTCGCCACTCACCCCTTCTCCAACGTCCCCTGGTTCGAGCACGGGGTTCACGTTCCATTATTCGTCGCCACTGTCTGCGTCACCAAGGGTCAATAGCTCCCCTCCTCGGCCCTCGCATGCGAAGAAAACCGTCTCTGGAGCGCAAGAACAGCGTGCTGGACTGGCAAGATGCAGAACTGCTTGGTCCTGATAGTGTCCACATCGCTGAGCTCGAGCTAGAGTGGGAAAAGGGAACTCGACGGACACGATTCGCATCACCTGCACCCGACGCTTCCTCATCATCCAGTAAAGACTGCCAAATGGCTGATCTACAGCCTCTCCCTGAACGCAAAGACCAAGTAGTAGTAGTCCACACGTGTGTGCCGTGCGATCCACCTGTCAGCGCTACGCAAGTCGAAGGTACGTCGCATCTCATCTCGTCCTATTTCTTCTCTTTTTGGTGGTCTGTGTCTAACCGTGTCTCAGGAATACCGGTGTATCAAACTACGCTGCCTCTTCGCGCACCTCACACGACGCGGACACTTCTGAGGAGGCTAGACACGGATTTCGTAAACCTTACGCCGTTGCTTGCCGCGTTTTCACCATCGTCATCACCCTGTGCCGCTGCGGTCCCGGCTCTTCCGCCGAGCGCTGTGCGGTTTGAGCATCCGAATTCGGCTGTGGCGGGTGTGTGGGTGTCGTTGGATTGTGCGAGGGAGTTTTTGAGGACGAGTGTTCAGGCAGGTGCCCAACAAGCAGAACGGGCTTGCTCTCAAGATGAAACACTAAGAACAAGCGTAGAGGTATTCCTGAGCGACGAGCTTGTGATGCGATTCCCGAGCGCCTTGAGAGATTTCTGGAGGGCGAGTAAGCCTGGGAGGATGTTGGGACAGTTTGGAGTGTGTTTTGAGGGTGGGAGGGTTGTGGGGAGTCAACGCTCGTCGTCTCCTTCATCGTTGGTGTCGGCACGGGTGTCGTCTGTATCTCCGCCTCAGTCGACTTCGCCCCCGTCAAGGGCTGAATCGTATGCTCCGCCGTCTTCTTCGGAGTTGCATCCACGTTCCTCGTCTTTGGAGTTACATTCACATTCAGCTTCGTCGCTACCGCCGTCGTCATTGCCCATGTCCGCTAGCCCCGCACTTCCCACGTCTATACCAAGAGTCCACGAAGTATGGAGTCTTCGGGAAGATGCCGAGCCAGAAGCAGAAGTCGAAGCAGAGCCCGTGCTTCCTGCATTTGATATTGCGCTGGCAGCGCTTGCGTCGGGGTTAGGACCGAATGCTAGTTCTGGAAATGGGAGTGCTTGTCTGGGGAATGGGATTGATTTTGGGAGCGGTGTTGACTTTGGGAGTGCGCGCGCTAGTTTGGGGAGCGAACACACCGGTCTAGACATTGGAAGCGGAAGTACCGGTCTCGGGGTTGGATGCACCGATTTTGGACCAGGAAGCGCCGATCTCGGAAATGGACATGGGACTGGAAGCGGAGAGCCGCCGCTGAGTCCTACGGAGGCGGAGATGTTTCGTGTGCTGTGCGTGTGTCCTGATTGGGAGGAGAAGGAGGTGGGCGAGGATGATATATGGATGGATGGCCGGGATCAAGACGCAGGTGAACGGGATCAAGACGTGGACAGCGAACGTGATCACAACACAGACAACCAATGCGATAAAGACACGGACGCTGACGCAGACGCAGACGGGGATGTGGATGTGGAGATCGTGGAAGAGGAGCCAAGGAGTTTGAAAGATGGTCGTTCGTTGAGGCGGTCGAAACGGGTTGCGGACGCTGTTGCTCGGACGCGTGGTGTGCGGCCCCGGATGAGGGGGCCGAGACATGCGTGAGATTTGATCTGGTCTGCTATCATTCACGGTCCGCCACTCCATTCACGGTCCGAAACTCCATTATGTTCACTGCTCCATCAACTTTCGGCGCATTACTCGACCGGCATTCAAACTGCTTTGATATGCATTTGCTCAACTCATTCTCATTACTGCAAGGTTCCTCAGGTCTCAAGCCCCCTCTTTTGCTTGACTGCTTGCTTGCAGTTTTTCGTTCTGGACTGATTTTTTTGTTGCTTTTTTGCTAGCTTCGTTCGTTAGAGCTGTATCAGATATCGACCCATATACCTCTTTGCGCAAAGATGCGCCAAGTATTCTAGGTTCCCCAGTCACCCCTTCGCTCGCCTTTTTACCTACTTTTGCATTTTTGCGAGCGTGGGGTCGATTGCAGCATACACATTCGTCCTCCGGCTTTCATTTGTATGTTATAGCTCACAGCCCCCACTCATAGTTTACTCGCTTGTTGCACGCAGCAGTGCAGTAATGAGGAAGCGTTTAAACGAATGATGATCAATCAATTAATCACCAATCAGTGTCCTCCTGATAGAAATGCTGCGCTTTGTGGGGCAGTGACTGGCAGTACTCGGAAAATTTACATATGAAACTAGTGTCTCTGATGCGGTGGACGAACAAGAATCTAGGGCGTAACACAAGCATAACAAAGAAATTATTCGTAAGTTCATGATGGCGCTTGGGAAGAATAGCGGAGTATGAAAAGCCAGAGTGGGATTTCTTTCCAGGTTTCTCCCAACCAGCGAATTTGTAGCATCTTACTTAGTACTTGCATATTTCCCTGGTCCCAGTCCCCAGGCTTTCTTAAAGTACATCCTCTCTGGACTGACTGTCCAATCCAATATCCTTGCTTTAACTCCTTTTTTTTTTTGGCTTTTTCTATTCCGTTCTTTTTTTTGTGACAGGCTAATTTCACGTCTCGACTCGCTTCGCGACTGCCACCGTGAAAACGAACGAAACGACCCTGCTCGTCTAGGCTCACATCTCAATCATAGGTCCGGCTTGGGCATCGAGTCTTATCATTTGCACGACAAAAACAACGGACTAGTCGTCCGTTAATCATCCCATCCACCCAACGCTAATCCTAATTCCACCAAAATAAGCCTAGCTATAATGTCTTTATCTGCCTCTGACAACAATGGCTCCTATTCACGAGTCTCCTCGGGAAAGACCCCTCCCCCAGCCCCTTCTGCTGCATATGCAAAGAGGTACGTCTCATTTTTCCTAGCTTTTTTTTAGCCGATCTGCTTCGTTTACCACGCTCGTGAACAGGGCACGGGAGATCCAGGCGGAAGAACGGCTGAACGGTGCTAGATATAGGCCACCTGCGCTGCGCGCTCTTCCTCCGAGCGGTTCTCCTCCAAACGACTTTACCACCACCGTCGCTTCCCCCAGTGATGATTCTACAACATCCGCTTCTAATTATCCACCGGGCTTTAGGAGAGCCCGAGCCGGAACTCTACCTTCTGATGTCCATCTCGCTGCTCAGCGTTTCGCTGCAGCATCTAATACCCTGAGTAGTACTACTCCCTCAACGGAATCATTTGCCGAACAGTTGCAGCAGAGGCAGGCCGCCAACACGCCTCCTAGCATCCTCGTATCCTCGCGCCCTACCATCCGGCATCCCACTACTATAGCGGCCCCACAGGCAGCTCCTACCTCAGTCGGTTCCGAGCGTAACAGTCGCTTGAGGTCAGGTTCGTTAACGTTACCCTCAGCCGGTCTCTCCAACGCATTTGGCCCTTCTATCTTCTCATCGTCATGGTTATCCTCCGCTAATGGCTCAGGGTCCAATTTTCCTGTTCTGGATGAGTTACGCTCCGTTACGTCCGCAGACTCGGTCGATGATTTTGATGTTCATACCTTGGATTATCTTGGCTTGGATGATAGTCACCGACCGCCACCTGCTGCTACTATATCGGAGCTACGGACCCAAGCGCAGGCTGCTATCGCTGGAAATCTGGCTAATCCACCGCGCTTGAGGGCGAGTACGGTTTCAAACCCGTATCGTACGCGCTCGTCTGGTGCTTCGTCTCTCCTCGCCACCCCTAATGGAGAGGAGGAAGACGAGTACTTTGATGCGCATGATAATCAGCCGTACGACCGTCAACGGTTGGGTCTGTATGATGGCTCCATGTCAGACGCCAGTCTCTTCCACTCGTCATACGTGGCAAAAGGGTTCAAGCAGGGCGACCATCTAACGCCTGCGAGCGCGCTCTCATCCCGGCCCAGAGCAATTTCCGTAGGAACGCTCGATGATCCCATTCGTACCCTCCAGCGCCGCGCCACGACTAGTGAAGCCCAATCCCCCTATCTCAACGATCTCGCAGCTGCAAGCGGGAGTCTTGTGAACCTATCTAATCCGGCTGGGATTTTGAAGAGCGATGCGAAGATGTCGAGTGCGCGGGGGACGTCTTCGCCGACGGTGCATTTCCCTAATGGCGAGTTGAGTCGTGCGTCGTCGTACCTCGCTGCGCCCAATTCGCAGGGAAGGGCTGTGTCTCCCAAGACTGAGGTGAATAATAACTCGCAGATCCAAACGCCTACGCGATCGTTATGGATTGGGAATTTGGATAGTGCTGTCACGAGTGAGCAGCTTATTCATGTGTTTGCGCCGTATGGTGCTATTGAGAGTTTAAGGCTTTTGCCGGAGAAGGTACGTGATTGAGATTGATTGGATGAGAAGGTGCTGATGTTTGGTTGGTTCCAGGAGTGCGGTTTCGTTAATTTTGTTGATCAAGCAGATGCTATTCGAGCCAAAGACGATGTGCTCAATCGTCTAGGCGGGAATATCGGTATGCCGAACGGGCAGACCGTGCGCATTGGCTTTGGGAAGGCGGACAGTGCTCCTGTTGCCCCTGCTAAGGGCACGACTGTTACGAGTTCTGGCGCCACGTCTCCCAGTGGTTTGAGTAAGGCCAGCAGCCCTGGCCTTGGCGGATTGGATGCGCAGCTGCAGTCTACGCCTACTCGTGCGCTGTGGATTGGGTCTATTCCAAGCACTACAACACCTGCGACGATCTTGAGCGTTTTCAGTCCTTATGGACCTATCGAATCCGCGAGGGTGTTAACTCATAAAAATTGTGGATTCAGTGAGTATTCAGTGCTGTGAGGTGTTTTGATGTTAATCCTCTGGGCAGTCAACTTTGAACGTCTGGATGACGCTGTGCGTGCCAGGAAGGCATTAAATGGTCGTGATGTCCTTGGTAGTGATGTTGGTGCTATCCGTATTGGCTTTGCCAAGGTCCCTGTCAAGAACGGTCAGGAAGGCAACGGAACGCAAGATGAAAGTCCCAGCGTTGCAGTGCAGGGTATTGGTGATTTGAGCGTCGGAGCCACTATCCACGCTCTTCGCAGCGTGAAGGGTGCGTCCACTATCCCAGCAGACCAGCAAGTGCTTGGTGGTCAGGTGGAGAACTACCGCTCGAATCTCTTGCTTAGCATGATTGGCTCTGGTATGCACAATATCGCGTATGTTTCTGACGGTTTGTCGAAGCCTGCCGGATGGTTGCCGTCGGTTACGGAGCAGCAGATGATCATGAAGGAGTTGACGGCTGGTAGCCCTGATGCTGATTTTGATATTCAGTCGTTGTCAGGTGCGTCTGATTCGGTGGCTGATTTCAGGGGGTCTCTGACACGGCGTTCGTAGAGTTCCGCCCCCCGACGATGTACTACACGACGATTCCACTCGTCTCTGAGAGACCTAACAACAGGCGCTGGGATGCTTCAAAATTGCGCGAACTCCGGAAGAGGCTGGATTCTGGTACGATGACCGTGGAGGAAACTGATCAAGTTGCTGGTGACTTTTTGGATGGCGAGATTGTCGACTTGGCCTCGGACTGGCTGGGCAACACGGTGGGTATCCCCACGCCGAGTCCGGTTGCCGTGGCTCACCTGGGTATGCTGCAGGTCGTACAAAAACTATTTGAAAAGTGCTCTTCTGTCCCGCGGTTTGCGATGCTGGAAAGAATCACACCTCATTTGGCGATGATTGGTATTCACAAGAACGGTACTTGGGCTGCACAGAAGATCATTGAGTGTGTCCAGACTCCCGAGGAGGTCGGGCTCATCGTGCAAAACTTGAGGGCTTATGCTCCGCCCTTGCTGCTTGATCAGTTTGGTAACTATGTGGTTCAGTAAGTGCATCGATGTTCCTATTCCCTTATCATCGATTACTGAGCGATCATTAGGTGTTGTCTGCGTTTTGGGGCTCCTGCCAATGATTTCATCTTCGACGCCATGGTCGATCGTATGTGGGAGATCGCACAAGGTCGCTTCGGTGCACGCAGCATGAGAGCGTGTCTTGAGAGCCCACATATCACGTTGAGCCAGCAACGTCGTATTGCTACTGCCGTGATCTTGAACTCTATTCCTCTGGCGACGAACCCTAACGGCGCACTGCTGCTGACATGGTTGCTTGACACATCTTCTTTCCCTTCGCGGTACAACCTTCTTGCGCCTCGTTTCACTCCTCACCTATCGCATTTGTGCACGCACAAATTGGCATCTTTAACGGTTCTCAGGATTGTCAACCAGAAGATCGAGTTCGAAGCATCTCGTCAAATCGTCCAGGCGCTGTTCTCATCTCCTGGGGACCATGTTCTTACTGACGTGTTGGGCGACCAAGTGAACGGTGTGGCAGTTGTGCACAAGATCTTGACTAGCCCGTTCATCGACCCTATTGACAAGCCGACTTATATTGAGGCCACTAAGCGGGTGTTAATCGAGCTTAAGGTTATCGCTACCCAGGCTTATCGTCGGCTGATTGAAGAAGTTGGTCTTCCCATCCCAAACTACCAGCCCACATACACCACTAATGGTCCACCTGGCAAGAAGGGTCAGAACCAAAATCACTATGGAGTGCCTGGCCTGCCGTCTGGCTACCCTTCGAACGATCAGGGTTTAGCTTCGATGATGGCTGCGTTGCAGATGGGTGGGCAGAACCCCCAGTCTGGGCCCCCGCAACTGCACATTGATCCTGCATATGGTCAAGCTCCTGCGCCACGCAGCCGTATTTCTCAGCCACCTTCTGCGTTCTCGCCCTCCTCGGATCCCTTCAATCCTTTTGCCCTTCGCTCTCCGGACATGAGTAGTCCTCGCACCTCTATCCGTCGTAATGGCGGACTTCCTTCAATTGCTCCTTCCATGACTCCCACTCCCGTCTCTGCCATTCCATACGGCAATCAATCTCCCAATCTCGCACCTGGTGGCATCCTTAACATGGGTCAGCCAGGCTTCAATACTCAGAATGTCCCCCAGCACCTCTATCAGGCATATATGTACCAAGTATACCAGCAAACACCGCCGTCCAGCATGGGCACCTTCAATTAAAAGAACACTCACGACCCCGCTCACGACCTGCTTTGTTGCATATCGAATGAAATTATTTCTTTCTGTTGTCTATCTATTCTTCTGCCACACCATGCGCCAGGTTATTTGCCAGACAATCACAACCCATTCCTTTCCGATGATACCCCTCGTCGCGCTTCTTTCAATGTCACGCTCCTTACTTACTTTTCCCCCCTTTGGGCAAGCACCTAGGTGAAGTTGCGGTGGTTTCAGAGGGCCAGTGCAGGAAATATTGCTATTCACTTTTTTCATTCTCCAATTCTACATATCTGCATTCCTACGCTGGTTGGTTTGTGTATAAATACTACGTATGGATGGCTGTAACACAATTATCGCCTTGAACTATAGACGAACTGCTCTGCTACGGGTGGGCCTCGAGCGTCTGGCGTGCATCTGGCAATACGTGGATGGAACTAGCTTACGGGGGGATTGGATTATAAACCGAACATGCACAAATAAAGGCGCTACTCAGTAGCACTCCTCCCTTCTCCCTTTATCATTAACTTTGCCAGCCGTATGGTAGCCTTACTATCTTCACCGGTTCACTGATGCTACGGTGTACTTTTTGGCCGTAAACAGTAGCATATGGCACAGAGGGCAACTTGAACAAGTTCTTTGGCTGCAGCGCGAGCCAGAGGAAGCTTTGCCTTCATAAGCTTCCGTGTCCTGATGCTTCAACGTGCACAAGTGCTTATGTGAGAGTTCCCTCTATCATACATACGACTTGATTCTTTATTTATCTACCGCAGACAGTACATTGTGCAATGTTGCTGAACAGTGAACGCGATAATATGTATAAGGGTCTGGCTTTCTGTTCCGTTTTTACCTGTAGAGCGCGCAGAGACTGTATGTAGAGTTACAAAAACTAATAAATTGCTCGTAAGTAGGTGTCGGGGACTGGCGTGGCCGAGTGCCGTTACGATGTAAACCAGGAGGAACTGTGGGCATTTTAAAGAATGTCCCCTAATCGGTGGGTCGAATCATTTCATACATCATTTGGTTCGAGTGCGTTTGTTGAGTATGTAACGGATATGGTATCTCTTGGGGTGCCTGACTTTCGCAAATAAAGCCCTCCCTTGAGGTTACGGAATGCGGCAGTTATCTGTCGGACAACCGATTCAGGTCTCCGATATTCGTCTGGCTCCTTGAAAGTAAGATTGAGATCTAAGACGGAAGGCAAACCTCTTTGTGAGCCAGGTCCTTGTGAGACTCCGCCAGAATCATCGCCGCTTTTTTCGGTCTCAGGACTGGTAAAGATCCCAGGCGATAGATTTGATGTGTGCGATTCCAAAAACTGTGCTGGGATCTGCCTGCGTTTACTGGGGCTAAAAGCTGGCATAGGGCTGATGGCGAAGCGCAGACTTCCGGCGGTTGCTGAAGGGCTTTCTTGTTGATTGTACATGCAAAGTTTGAGGGCTATGCTCCCCACCGTCATCATAAGATATTGTTACATGCCACGCTACCACTCACAATTGTTGGAATCAGCATGATCTGTCAGACTTCGAAAGTCGAAGGACCACTCCCCCAGAATCATGCCAGGTTTGGAGGGCTTCCATCTCGAAGTTGAAAGCAGAACCCGGAGTCGACAGCGGTGATCTCCTTCGGCAAGGCTGAGAGATAAATATTAAAGCTTAACCATCGACCTGATGTATCATAACATACATTGTCATACTGCCCAATATTAATTTCACTGGCGAAGGAATACTACGGGTGATCCGTCGTATAGAAGAGACTTGTTCAGAATGTTCTGATATTAGTTCGAGGCAAACCCAAAGTCTGCGTGATCGTATAGAATCATCGATAAGTTGAATACGTTGGATGTCCGGATCGGAAAGCATTAGATCCAAAGTTAGATCTTGACGCCAAAGTACGTGAACAACTGTCGTATAGATATGGCACTTCAATCACCTCAGGCAGCACTTCTCGGTGCCTATAAAGGGTCTAAGAGACCCAGTTTCTATGTTATGAGAAACTAGTCTCTGAGACCCACCCTCCCGCCATCTAATAATAGTACATGCTCTCGCATTCCCTCGCGGGCCTCCAGCACCTCCTTACGAGCCTCCAGGGCCCCTCCCATGTAGGCCTTCAGGATACCTCCAATGCTATCAATCTTTCCAGACGCTATTCTGGCGCCACACCCACTGCTATCTACTGTATTACCACTACCGCCCATCATGCCTCCACTACCGCCTGAGTCATACCTCCACATGCACTCAGGCTGTCACGCATTGTGCCCCCACTCAGCCTGAGGCTGCTGCTCATTCGATTTGTCTGTGTATACTTCCTCCACTAACACAAGCGCTATTCAACATATTGCTTTTCTTGGGTCAGCTCAGTAGTTTTGCAGGTGTGTTTCAATAGCTTTGCTCTAAGTACGTGATCATATCATTCCCAAGTTCTTAGTACACTAATTGGTATCCTGTTCATCATCTCGCACCACTCTTGTACGTCCATTGCCTCCTCAGATGCATCCTCTGTTGCACCCTCTGTCACATTCTCTCGCACCCTCTCGCACCTCTGTTGCACCTCTGTTGCACCCTCCGTCGAACCCTCTTCTCACACCCTCTCGCACCTCTGTTGCACCCTCTCGCACCCTCTCGCACCCTCTCGCACCCTTGTTCCATCCTCCTAATTTGGCTATCCATAATGCCTCTCTGAAATCTCAGAATTTATTTTCGGAACTTCAACGCTACTCATCATCGTTTGTTGTGTTCACCGTGCAAATGAACTACTAATCCGATTCCTTCAGTCGCAGGAGGAGGCGCTACACATCTTCGCCCAAAAATGTTCCCCAAATTCTCTCCCTTAATCACACCCTTGTACAAATGTAGCACATTTATTCATACGTTCCGTCGCTTTAGTTGTCTTTTGAACTTTCACTAATCTAGGTTATAGGCGTGCCGATTTACAGCGATAATTTCAGGGCTGGAACCCTAGAGCCATCGACACGTATCCATGCCCGCTGCTCGCCACCGATACCCTACTCGTGCTGTAATCTCCCTCTTCTGCCTCAAGACGTCCTGCCCTATGTATCCCTTACGTCGCTGTCTGGTCTAGTTTTCATTCCACTTTTCATTGCTATCGTAGCTCCTTGGTTTCTGCATAAAGTCCGTCATCGCACCTGCTGAGTTTTCAGTCAGCGTCATGAAGTTCAATAAAATTTCTTTTTTCCCCCTTTATTTCATCATTGTCTCTGTTTCTTAGTTATAATTTGGCAAATCTCGATTCAACTTTATGCTGTACCGTATATACGTATGTGTCACTCGGACCAGTCTTATTTACCCTCAAGGAATGGATAATGTACTTAATTCATGCGACATACACCATCCTTTAGTTCTCTGACTGCTTCTCAACGCTTAATTCACTTCTCCGTCTTCAGTAGGTGCGCACGAACAACTGTTGAATGACATGTTTGAGGGTGAGAGTGTACAAGATGGACAGGGTCCAGCGCTTTGCACAAATGCGTCGAGTTTGCAACTCAGTGGACTCGGGGGTGCCCAATCATTGTAAAGGCCACCCTGTGGCTCAACGGAAGTCATGGAACACGACAACCCAAAACTACTATGTAGAACTGCGGCATAAAGATGATGTGTGGCAGGCCGGCAGCAAAAACTGGATAGGTGGCTCATTGATGTAGCCCTCCGGCGAAAAGGGGATGGAGTCCGGCGGAGGCGCGAGGTGGCCCGTGGCGAATGAGGTGGTATGGAAAACCCTTCGTTCATGCACTGGTTGTCTATCTTAGAGTCCTCAAGCAGCAGATCCAGAGCGATCTGAATGCGACAATTGAGGTTCTTAGAGTGTAGGGAGGAGAGTCTGCAGGTAACAAAGGAGTCATCTTGTAATAGTTGTCCACTGAATCGCGCCAGGTCGCGTAGTAACGATAGAAAATGACAATAAGGAACAAGGAACGTGTCCTGTATTACAGTGATATTGCGTTGCGGCGTCGTTCTAGTAGCCAATGCGGTAGTTGGGACTGCGTCACTAATATTCACCGCTTGTGCTCTGAATAGGTATGCAACACAGCCAGCCCACAAAACGAACACGCCACATCCATACAACAACAGGGATATAAGGATGCGAGGGTGTTCCCGTTGTCCCTGCGGCACTAGTGACTGCAGGAAATGTTGAAGCAGCGGTAGTGGAACGTGATTGCTGTGATGATGATGATGTGCTCTGTGCTGCTCCGCTGGGTTGTTGCGTGGTATGAGTATTGGGGGCTCGAGATGAGCTGGTAGCTGGCTTCTTCTTTCTGGCGTGATAGTATCTCTGCGCAAAGAGGACTCAGCGATAAAGAAGAACCGTGAAAGAGCAAAAAAACGCACAGGCTTTCCCGCTGTGCACAGGACCTCAACCTTTCGCAACTCAATGTCCGATCTATCTCGTCTGCGGAGTATGCCGAATGCTAGGTTTCGAGTCCAGCTAAAAGGTCGGGATCGGGATTGGGTGTCGCGTTCAGTTGCTCCATGTGACTTGGAGTGGTGCCAAAAGGAGGAAAAAGGACTGAGGGTGCGTTGACGTGGTGCTGGAGTGGGACGGTTATGCGGCCCATGGGATTGGGATAGACGAGTACGCAACTGACGATATATTTGTCAAAGTATCGAATAGTAGATAGAGATCACATACATTAGCCTCTCGCAGTGCATCGCCAAAAAACCCTGGAGGTATTTGAGGAGTACATTTCATCTTTGGCGCTGGTCGTGGTGTAGCATCAACCTGGGGGAGCAGATCCGTTGTCAGTGTCATCGAAAATGAAATGTATATGAACTTACGATATCTGATGGAAGGCCAGCTTCGTTGACGATAGCGCAAACGTCCCATATGTATAGGTGGTCATCATTGCAGCCAGTGACGAGGAACTTTCTGTTTGCAGAAAAGGTCGCGGAGTTCACGTAGTCTTCATGATGAAGTGGTGTTCCGATGGGTTGATTGGTTTCGAGGTTCCATAGTTGCGCTGTCTTTTGAAAGTATTCTGTGGTTGCGAGGATGCGCTCATTGGGAGATAATGTGAGCTCGAGATGGCATGGATCTTTTGATGGGAACAAACCTGCCTCTTCATCCCAGCAGCTCATAACGAAATCTATCATCTCATCACGGTCCAACGCATCCCCATGTCCCATGACCAAAAGAACAGGCCCCAGCCACTACGGGTGGTGGTAGCAGGATGACAGTGTCAGATAACAGCAGGAGGCCGAGAGTGCAGGATTTGTCGTTAGCAGTGGCCTAGCTGAGAGTGACATCGCAGGCAGTGAATGTAGACAAAAGTACAAGCAGTCACCGTGAAAATCCGAGTTTAAGCAGGCTAAGATTTGTCAAAGAAACATAATCTAGTAGCTTCAAAGATTTGGAGGCAGATGTTGAAGAGGTATGCCATTGAAGGCCGTTAGCGACTCAGTGGAGAGGTGGTTGTGGTAGGTTGTTGAGTTCAATACTGTGATGAATTTTGGTCTAGTACTAGTAGTACCGTACACTGACTATACATAGTTATTGGTGGCGGCTGTTGCAACAACCCACACTTTGCACGAAGAGTGTCATGTTCCAAGTCATTTCCCTCACAAGAGTACTTCATGGTGTCTTGCAATATGCAAGGACTACTGTGCTGCTATTTTGGACCATTCAAAGTGCTTGCTATCATCAATATTCAGTCCACAATCAGGGTTTTATGTTTCAGTACGAGTTTTATTCGTCATCTGATTGGCTGCTGAAGCGCTGAACCTCCAAGTCTCATCCACCCTCGCAAGCTTCAATCATTGTCAATGTTCACGATAGTGTTCAAGTTAGCAAAAATTGGCAGAACTCCAGAGTCCAGACTCGCAGAGATGTAACTTAGATTTGATAACATGGTTTGAATTCAATAAAACATGGAAATCAACGTCCCTATAGTAAGATGGTACATGCTTGGCGCTGTTGCAGACATTGAGCAAGCAAACGACTTTCATACTCCGCTTGGGGGCGTTGATGGACCCAGACTTCGTCTTAAGTTTCAGGAAAGAAGGATACCTGTTTCATAGCTGCCGAGTCCCTGACTGTCGCCTCCGTCAGTTTTCACGTCTGCCTACTGTCGTTGAGATTAACAGTCGCAAAAGCAAGGGTCATCGCATTCTTCAGTCGGTCGGACAGCATCGCACATCGCTTTTCTAGACGATCAATTTTGCTGAGTAGATTCTCAGACTCCGTCTTCATAAGTAGAGTCCATGGCCGGATGTGGGTCTTCGCGATAAATTGTACTGATACCTTAAAGTTATGAAGGAGTGATTGATAGTGCAAGAGATACACAAAATCGCAAGGAAGAGGAACATCGGGTCTTTTGACTTGGCAAATATTTTTTGCCAGTATACACTGCCCCCCTACAAGCTGCATGAGCGAGTGAAGGCGCTTCGCGGATGTCCGGCACCATGTGGACTCAGGATGGTAGGAGATGATGGTGCTTGTCTTTACGTCCTGAACCATGTGAATTACGAGGAGGTCAATGAAGAGCATGCTGCCATCTAGGACGGACGTTGGAATGTGAATATAAGGATCTTGATACACATACCACTCATTGGGAAAGGAGCCTGGGTGTTGATCTGAGTATCTGTTGAAGGTGAACAGGATGACTATGACAGATGATGGGTCGCTTACTTGGGGGTTGCGATAGCGATGTTAGAGAGGTGGGTGATGATCGAGAATTTTTGCGCAGCGTTCGTACAAATGGCAGGGTAATAGTAATGTCTATCGCACAATATCAGCATGGCATCCAAAATGGAAGATTTGAACTTACGATCTCCTTCGTTATGGACAAGTGCTTCCTGATATTGTGAGGGTATGCAATTTATGGAGGACGTGAAAAAGAATGGTTCGATGTTGTATCTAAGTATGAGGAACCTCAGAGTCAGCAAGTAGATAAGCAAAAATGCCACTACATACGCGATATCTGGGGAGAGCATCAGTCAGCAAAAGTAAGGAAAATAAGAGGACAGAACTTATGGCGGCGCAGGCACCGCAGGTGGCATAGCTGTATTACTATCCTTGAGGTTTTGAAGAGCAATGTCCTCTGAGTCGTCATGGCGCACTCTAAAGGTGGTGGCCAATGTTTTGACTGCCATGATGTCTTGACGGTTGGAATCAGTTCATGCAGGAATTGTCGTGAGGAAGGGGAACGGTGAACATATATATTTATGGTAAACAGGCGCCCAGCGCTGTGTCCGTCCTCGACGTGGTGATTCATCTGCATCGTGTAAAGGATTTTCATTGAATCAGAGCGTCGCGTCATGTCACATGACTTTGTGTACAAGCTGCCGCAGAACCAAACAAACCATTGTAGCGGTCAGTGCATATCAATTTTCCATTGTCGTTTACTCCTCCGTCTTCCAACAGACGCCCTCTCAAGCCTCGACCTTACCTTGTCAAGTTCGATGCAGCCTATATACTCTGTGCACCCGCGATGCTCTGACCCGGGTGGGTATGGGTAGGCCTCTGAAAGTTTCAGTACCCGCGGGTCGGGTGTGGGTATGACCCGGGTCGACCCATGTCATACCCTAGGGCCCGTGTCCAAAATGATTTCTTAGACTTCGAACCATTCGTTGATAGCGCAACTACTGGCCACACAAGTACCTTAGATTTTCTTTCTTTCTTTCTTAGACGCACCATCATGGCGTCCTCAACCAATATTAAGGTTGTTTGTCGGTGCGTCTTAACCTAGCTTCGGGATTCAATCAAGATGCACGAAGTGTCTCTCTAATCACTTACTGACGCGACTGAATAGGTTTCGGCCCCAAAATGCTCTCGAACTCAGAGAGGGCGGCGATATCGTAGTCGCCTTCGATGAGAATCTTCAGACCGTGCAGATGAAGAACTCGCAGGCCGTTTCTGGGCCAGAGAAGGATGGATTCACATTCGACAGAGTTTTTCTGATGGGCACAAAACAACACAAAGTATTCGATTACGGTGTTAAAGAGTGAGTGGCTCCGAGAACCACACATCTTTGTCGTGTACCTCATCTGATTACCTCCTAATGCAGCATTGTGAAAGGTGAGAGAAGGCACCCCGTCTTGTGATATCGAGTGCCTTTCATGCACTGTTAAATCATTTCGCGGAAGGATAGTATTGCTAATACGGTAATAAGATGTCCTGGATGGCTACAATGGCACGGTCTTTGCGTATGGCCAGACTGGTAGTGGAAAGACATTCAGCATGATGGCGCGTTCAATTCATATCATTTTAAATTTCCCTCCTGAATTTTGTTACCTAGGGCGCGGACATTGACTCTTCGGATCTGAAGGGAATTATACCCCGCATCACGGAACAGATTTTTAAATCAATCGTGGAATCGAACTCTCACCTTGAATATGTCGTCAAGGTATCCTACTTGGAAATCTACCTTGAACGCATACACGACCTCCTTGCCCGTATGTAGGGCATCCTGCACCAGGCATGGTTAGCTAGCCCTCTGTGGCCTCTCTCGTCTATTCATTGGATCGGTATGCTGCACAGTATGAGGTGCCCTCGCTGGTTTATGTGAGTTCATTCTGTCTCTGCACCAAGCACTCGCTTAATCATCGAGATTCATCCCTCAACATCAGCTCTATTTAAGCCAGGAATGACTTGTATCATATCGTTTCTCCGTCTCCGGGTGCAAGCTCTTCTGAGGGCTCGAACATAATTGTAGACTCAAACACTCAGCCTGAAGACCCACCAGAGGAATACTGCTAGTACAAGGGTATGTTTTTGTTGGTATTTGCAGACTGGTTCTCTCATACATCCAGCGCACTCTCTCATACATCCAGCGCACTCTCATACATCCAGCGTACCCTCTCACATCCTCCCTCATACCCTCTCGTATCCTCTCTCATACCCTCTCGCATCCTCCCTTCATACCCTCTCATATATCCAACGCATCCTCTCGCATCCTCCTTCGTACCCTCTCATATATCCACTGCACCCTCCTGCACCCTCTCTCGCACCCTCTCTCGCACCCTCTCGCACCTACAATGCACCCTTCAGGGATGTATTAAATCCATAGTCACGACTCACAACCCTCCTCATGCCTTTCCTCATTGTCTAGTTGCTCTGTCATGACCACCCTACCCCACTTACATTGGTAGCTACTATGCTTTGTAATTTGTTATGTCAATACTAGTATAGCAGTTGCATAGCCTGCTTGTCTCATCCAGGACATCTCAGAACACTAATGTCTTCGCGCATCGGAAAACCTGTGGAGATCTCACCAAACATAAGTAACTGATTGAATAAAATAACATAACCAGTAACGGAAATGGTGGGAGGCTACGAGAGGGTCACTATACTAACAATATTAATGACGGGAGAAGCTTGGTATAATGTGCTAGGGCTCTCCAGGCTCTCAATGAGGCCACTAAGACTGGCAGGGCTACCCTCTTGATGATAACAGACGAGTCCGTGAGGTGGTTCGCAAGGGTACCGTTGTGCCTCTTGAGGCGAGGCAAGGGATACTGACGAGGTGCGCAAACGGATGCAGGGCGGGAGGGTTGCTCCTCGTGGAGGTGTGTGAGAGGGTTGCATAAACCTGTTAGGGAATTTGGTGAGAACCTCCCTGGGGAGGGTGGTCTCAGAGACCAGTTGCGCTCTACAAGGAAACCGGGTCTAACAGACCGTGAGAAGCTCTAAAAAGTGCTGCCAAGGGTGACTTCAATTAGGCATACCTGACAGATGAAATGCACCTAGATCGGAATTCGATAACCAGCGGCAACACTGAAACCCAGTCAGACACCGTGATACATCAATTGGGGGTGATGGGCTCACATCCGCCAATACGCCTAAAACTTCTGAATCCGTTTCCTCGACATGCGGTCCTTGATATATCCCTGGATTCTCCAGGGAAGACTGCAGTTTGGACATAGGAAATCGATATGCACTATCAGAAACCGTGCCAGACCCAATCCTGCGGACCAGTATACTCGGAGAATTCAGCCGAAATTTTCCAGATAAATCTGCCATTGCTGCTACAATATAGTAAACCTGGAGGGGGAACATGCTGATGGGATCAAAATAAAGTACGATCAGTTGTTCCGCAGTCGCGAGTGACCTGTTCACAAGTGTGAAATCAAGATAAGGCATGACTTTGGACCATCCCTATCATACGATAGTGAGAAGAGATGCCCACTCTATTCTATAATAGACACAAACTCACGGAAAACACGGCACGGGCTTTCCGTAACATTGTTTGGGCCATTACTGAGCTCGCCCTAGTAGACATAAGACCTCAATCCAGTGCAGAATGTGAACACGAAGAAATTTCTCTAATGCGGAGACAAGAACCTCATTGTAATTTGCGAAAGATAGATGGTGTACCCAATGACGGCAAGCACATTGCACGATATCAGGAAGAACAGTGTCTCGTTTATGCCAGAAACGACTGTCTTCGATGGTCATGGTTGTGTGGTCTGAGAGATCGCATAGATTTGCCTTGAGTTTATGTAGAATGACAAAACACTGGTGTCCGAGACCCTTATGGATCTCTGTAGAGTCGACGTAATGTGGGCGACAGCGCACTGGGTTTGCGAAGAACTCGAATAGCGATGAATGATATGGTTGGATGGGAATCGTGGGTTGATCAGGTGACACAATCAGAATCGACGAAAATTCCTCCAGAGTGAGGTCGAGGCTCTCGCTATAATCCAAAGGAACAAAATTGCAGGAGTTGAGAGCGCGGAAGGGGCTGCGCCAAATTGATGATATCGATAAGATGCCTGATCAAGGCTCTGTTGTCCGGGTCCCTGATGATATCCTGATACGTGTAATCCAGGTCGGCATATGCATCTGCCGTAGCATCGGGTGATGACAAGAATGCATCCAACCTCGAAACAGGGTGTTTTCTCGGGTGCGAAATGTATTTCATCGCTATGGATGCACATAAAAATGAGTTGCCGACCTTGTCAGCGAGGTTATCCATTTGACGAGGAGATGGCCATTGGGGCACGTCTCCAAGACTAAGCTTACGAGTCTGGACAACTCGCTGAAATTCGTGCATAAGGAAGTGACGGATATCTCTGCTTGTCTCCCCATCGTAATCCTGCAAGGAGATTTCTTGAATGTCTCCGAATCCTTCCAAGAGGCTTCGTTAATGCGCAACTTGGGTCGGCTAGCTAGAATGATGTGGGCGTTGAGTGGATCCTTGTAGGCGCCTATGGCTTCCGCTAGTAAGTGTGCCACCCGTACAGCATCGCAGGGGGAACAGGATTCCTCCAACGCATCGATGATGAATGTCACAGGTGACCGAGATTGGATTCTCCAAAGATGTTTGATGATAAGATGTTGGATTTGGTCCTTTCGAGATTTCAGGCGTGATAACAATGCAGGATCATCAATAATGGTTCTGATGATCTCGCTTTTCACCGACGGGAATGTAAGGGCCAACTGATATGCAAGGGTTGGCACGACATTATCGCACATCGTCTTGTCTACATCATTATGGGAGAAGAAAAAAGTTCCGGCAAGACGTTTTTGTGCCCGTAGCTCTTCTGCAATCGTGAATAAGATAGATGTTTTTCCTGAACCTGGAAATCCGTGCAACCAGACATTTTTCTGGCTCTTCTCATCAACTACCTGCCGGATGCTCTTCAAAACAGTGGTTCGTGTGTCTTCAAGACATGGAGAGAGTGCTCGTGGTTCAGCAATTGTATATGGCACGGTGCACTGCAGCTTTGACCAGACGATCCCATGCATGGTCGTGTGTTTCAATTGCTGTTACATGCAAACGATGCTCAGTCAAGTTCACAATATGTACAATGCTAACTGCTAGGTTCACCTTCCTGCTGCATGTCACAGTATACGCCTGGGCTTTGAGCTTGAGATCTGAAAACCCGAAGCTGGAAAATGATGACCATTGAATCACGTAACTTGTTAAAACGTTAATTCCTTGGTTCTATTTTTACGTTCGGCGTAATTCTTCTATATGGATCATGAAAGCTGTGATGTCCTACAAGTTGACACTGTCAGGACCTTGGCTTCGTACATCTGAGTCGGTCATGGACGTGGGCCGTGGCTATTGGCGTTCAACTCGTGGCAGGACTAGATGTAGCAGTGGTTCGTACGCTGCTGCTACTGCCAGTGGCGCATACACTTCGAAAGGTGGACTGTAAGAGCCTCCGAGTTATGCTGGGCCAGGACATGGTCGATGATCATTGCAACCAGTGGCGTCGATTTCCCTCCGAAGTGACTTCCTGCAGAGACGCAATAGTAGGTCTTGGAAAAATATGGCAAACTCGGCGGGAACTTCCGAGTCAGCGGCAGGTCCGTGCCGAGCGGCCCGAAGTACTCAACGTTTCAAACATGCGAGCTCGAGACCAAATTACTTAATGTCGTGGGCTTTTTCACCGCGGTGCAGTGGAAGCTTGTTTTGACCAGACAATATATAATTAGGGATTGAACAATAAAAACAAATTCTCTCGCTCCCCGCACCTATTGCAAATCAATCATATCGAGTATCTCCTGCGCTACACACTAATTGCTGGTTGATACATGAACGTACTCCTGAAAAGCAATTGAAGTCATAGCAGTTGCTGCATCAGAGTTGGCCATCAGCTCAGCGTGATATTCTCGAATACCGAGGATGAGGCGTGGTCCCAGCACAAACATCTGCACGACCTGGAATATCTCAGCGAGACCAAGATAAATCTGAGTGTGCAGGGAATACATGTCCTATAGAAATGATTAATCATGGTCACACGTAGATGTATGTGACAGCTCGACATAACCGCTGAGACCGTCGGAGAGAACAAACCGATCGGGAAGCAAGAGATAGCCAAAAAACTAGCAACGTGCAAAACTTCAGCGGAATAAGAGAACCACATTCACGTCATGATCTCACCTCACAAAATACCTCACGTGAGTTTTCACTAACACCTTGAAACAGTCCTCAATGATACCACTTGTCGAGTGCCGTCGCAGTTCACGGAAGCGCTTTACAGCAATCCAGACCGCGAGACACAGTGCAAGGACCTCCCATACAGTGCCAGGGATCCAAGTCATGGACTGCAGAAAATAGGGAATCTCCCGCATAGCCAATGATGCACTGATAGGTGCCGGAGAGAACGAATTCCTCTGGTATTTGTCGATGAGCCTGGTACACTTAATTATCTCATCTATAATTAAAGCTTACCCCCTGAAATCTGCATCGTCGATATTATGCCCATCACTCCGTTGGCGATTGTGATGGCCACAAGGATGACGATGAGAAATATAAGCATCCTTCTGGATCGCTGGTACATAGCATGTAACCGAACGATCATGATGGCTTGCATGATGTTTCAGTCCAGTCAAATGTTCACGGAGGTGTATAGCTCACCGCACAGTATTACATCTACGACCTGACTCGTCCATTGAATTGCGTCGTATAGGATTAGGCCTGATAAATTCAGCACATTAGTTATCAGCTTCGGAAGATCACAGGCTCGAGACAAACTCACAACTATGGGAGTCGTTATATTGAACCAGCGAGTTGTTCGAGAATCTCACTCACCCCTGCATGGTAGTTCAGTGGTGTTGGCAGGAATGGAAAACATCAGTGCGGAACACTCACTGCATCTGTCATCGAAATTGTTGGAACATTCCCTGTATGCCGCCCGTCACAAGCAAGAAACAGTCTATGCGAGGAGACATACCAAACATGTTGATCATAATTGTGAGAGATGGGTAATAAGCGCAACATCAATGGCTTAAACTTCCCAACGTACAAAACATATCCTATTCCAACATAGCGCACCTAGGATATTTTGAAGTTAATACTATGGTGGACGATAGGTTACGGTTCGATTTGCCGATTTGCCGATTTGCCGCGACTTATTTGAAAGTCCGCGCGGTGTTTATTCTAGTATTACAAGCATACCTAGGCATACATACAAACTTGTGTCACATTAATGCAACGTGCATTACCTTACTTGCAGACCGCTGCCCAAACTTGAGATGGGACCCTGGCCTGATGAAAGAGTGATAACAGGGAGCAGCAGCTATACCTGATCTTTCTCTGGGCTATACTAATACTAGTATCATACTAGTAGTGACTCAGATGCCGCAGAGGCAAATCAAATCGAGGCGACGATTATTTGTAAGTTACTAGTACACGACCAGCAGATATCTACAATTGTAAGAACAGACTCGGAGCGTTTGATCCCGCGGAACCAATTCGCGTCGACGCCATGCAATGCGCGCTCCATCCGAACCCCTCTTCTGCTCCACTTTGGCTCAGGCATGTACTCCACTTCAGCTCCTTTGTGTCAATGATTATAGTCAGCATCTGTCACGAGCTCGACAGTGGGCGCCGTTTTAAACCTGTGTTGGGTCAACGAACCACATGGTTTTATTGATGGGTCGAGGCTGAACGTTGCATCGCACACTGGACACTGTGGCGAGAATACTTCGGAGATTGCACGGGCACCGCGCCCAAATCATATGCAGCATTCAAAAATTCTTCGCGAGTCACTGCGTTGCAATCTCACCAACAACTTTTACCTTGATCCCATTAGTATCCCTGGATGCACATTGTCTTTGCACTGGAATTTGGGCTGAAACACTTCGATCAATCAGATATCATTCCTCAAATCTCACTTTGGCAATGTAAACACTGTATTGTGGTATATCAAGCACGAATGCGGTCCACCAAGTTCCTCCGCTCGATCTTCTAATAGCATGGTAGTATGGTCCTAATCTCAAATGATCCCAGTTGGTGGCCACTTATCAATGCGAGTCTTATTGACAGCTATTTTGTAGGTTCGTGGAGAGTCAGCCGCATGATGACGGTGACGATTCAATTCACCTTGACTCTAATTTCGTCACACAGGATGTACATGCTGGGTGTGTATCCTCGCATAGACTCTGTTTCTTTCTTGTGATGGGCAGCATACAGTCAGTGTTCCAACAATTTCGGCGACTGGCGCGGCAGTGAGCATTCCACACCGATATCTTCCATTCTTGTCCAACAACTGAACTACCATGCAGGGGTGAGTGAAATTCTCGAACAAAACTCGTTGATTCAACATAACGACTCCCACAGTTGTGAGTTTGTTTCAGAGTCTGTGATCTTCCGAAACTGATAACCAATGTTACTGGATTTGTCAGGCCTTATCATCTACGACACACTTAATTGGATGGGTGAGGTTGTAAATGTAATACTGGGCGGTGAGCTATACACCTCCATGACATTTGACTTGACTGAAATATCATGCAAGTCATCATGATCGCTCGGTTGCATGCCATGTATCAGAGATCTAGAAAGGTGCTGACATTGCGAGGTGAGCTCATAATGTCAATGTGGTTTCTCTTTTTCCGCCAAGGTTTCGCATGCTAGTTTTTTGGTTATCTCTTGCCTCCAGATCGGTTTCTTCTTTTCGACACTCTCAGCGGTATGCCGATCCGTTGACGACCTCTACATGCGACCATGATTCATCATTTCTATAGGACATATATTCCCTGGACCCTCAGATTTATCTTGGTCTCGCTGAGATATTCCAGGTCGTGCAGATGTTTGTGCTAGGACCACGCCTCATCCTCGGTGTTGGAGAATATCACGCTGAGCTCGTGGCCAACTCTAATACAGCAACCGCAATGACTTCAATTGCTTTTCAGGAGCGCGTCCATCAGACGGTCCATGTATCAAATAGCAGTAGTGTGTAGCGCAGGAGATGCTCGATATGATTTATTTGCGGGTGCAGGGAGCGGGAAAATGCACATTTACTGTGAGGTTGTTCATTCAAAGCGGCTTGCCACTTCAGGAACGAGAACAACGGACATGGATGAGGGTGATGCAGGTTAAATTGACAAAACCCATCAAAAACGAGGTGCCACAGCACCCTCCGGTTCATCAATGACCATAGTACCAACTACGAGTGAGACGAACGAATGGCATCGGTATCATATGCATGCTTAATGCGGCAAGCATAGTTCTTTGGCCCAGCCTGTCACGGTCCGCCTCAGAATCCAGAAAACCGAAGCCTGAAATTTCAATCCGAAGGAACGAGAAGACAAATCTCACCACATATTAGCCTTCAGTGCTGCAGTTCAAAATACCAAGTACCGAGTGAGCTAGCTCATCATGTGAAGTTGTTCAATGCTTTCAACTTTGATAAATGCATCATATACGCAGATGGCAGCAACAAAGCAAGTGCATAGTAAGTTAGTGTAAATACACCTCACGTCGCAGCAGCTACCGCGACAGTTGCAACATTTTCACGATGCCCGCGTCCAAGCTAATCGCATTGGCAAAGACTCGACGGTTAGGCGGCTTACTACGGCCTTGCAAGGGTGTGACAGTCTCACAGGTGCTTGTTTCCGCATGCTGCACTTGCAAGAGGCGAGAGGTCAGCGAGAGGTTGTGGGAGTTGCGTGAGGCGCTTGCAGGTCAACCGGTCATCTGCAGCGGTCTGCAAGCAAGGAATGCACTGAGTGTGACACGAATTTACTGGTATACCTAGGTATATTTGTAATACTAGAATAAACATCGATCGGACTTCCAAATAAGTCGCGGCAAATCGGCAAATCAAACCGTAACCTATCGTCCACCATATAATACAACTTACACACTTAAAAAACAAAAGCTACAATGAGATACAGAATGGTCATAAGGGACCAGCGTTGCCTCTGCCGTAAATTAGTTGTGGTATTTTCACACGGTTCTTTTGGTGGATGTGGAAATTCGCTCACCCAGACCAGTTCCACCTATAAAATTATTCTCAGCGAATGGCTGCTCCTGTAACGGTGTCAACCCGCCTCCTGTCCAAACGTAAGTCCTAGAAATACCATAATGTCAGTGAACTTTTCATACTTAATCTTGCTCACCCCAGTCGTACATTACCCCAGCACAGGAGGCAACTGCAAAGCCGCAGCCAAGGTTAATTGACTCATCAACGTCGTCATGTGGCTGACTCTCCACGAACCTACAAAATAGCTGGAAATATGATTCGCATTGATGATCGGCCACCACCTGGGATCATTCGAGATTAGAGTCATGCTATTGGAGGATAGGTGTGAGCGCGCGGGGGAACTTGGTGGACGTGCTACAACGATCGCATTTGTACTTGATATACCAACATCCAGCGCTTACATCGCCAAAGTGAGATTTGAGAGATAATATCTGATTGATCGAAGTAAGTGATTCAGCATGAATTCCAGTAGAAAGGCAATGTACATCCAAGGATACAGATGGGATCGAGGTGAAAGTTATTCATGAGATCGCAAAAGCAGTGACTCGCGTAGAATGTTTGAACGCCGCAAAAGACCGATCAGAGAACTGTTCGTGATTTTGGCAACATACTATGATGCAGTGCGATCTTTGGGGTGTTCTTGGCATTGCTGGGTTTGGCCTAGCAATATTGATACTATCATAGAAGATCATAGCCTGAGATCTAACACAGGTTTCAAAACAACGCCAAATTACTTATGAAAACGTTTTCTCTCTCAAGGTTAGCAATGTTCTTCCTCGAAATTCACTCTACTTACTTGATGCTGATGTTTAATCATAACGAGCAAAAATCCACAGCCTTTCTTCTAATTCATGTAAACGGTGATAAAATGCGACCACAAGTATACACGTGTCGTATCCAGTTTCCTGTCATAGAATGCGATTGACGTATGAGGTGATGAGGGCAGTCGTAGGAGGTGGTACAAATCGGAATGGGGTATCTGGCCATGGACGTTATGAGCGGAAGTCCGAAAAAGTCTTAAACGGATTACTATCAGTCAGTGTGTCCCAGAGCTAAACCTCCAAATACCTTTGGAACTATCGTCAATTATTGAAGGATTATAAGGGGGTAGCATAATCCATCCGATCTCCTAAAAACGCTAGTCGTCTGAAATTCAGCTAATTAGACGACACTAAGCGATATTAGCGGGGGAGGTTTTTCCTGGCGACTGACGTTTAACTCGGGGCGGGACTAGATGTAGCAGTGGCAGTGGCTCGCGCGCTGCTGCCACTGCCAGTGGCGCGCATGCACTCCGTACGAGTTGGCCGGGACATGGTCGATGATCATCGCAATCCTCACTGGCGTCAATTTCCCACCAACGGAATGTCGTGGAGATTTCGCGGAGATTTGCATACTTGATCATGAAATGGCGAGAATAAAGACGTTGAGAACATGAGTGAGATCTTGAGCTAAATCTGCCGTATACACATTGGCAGCGGGAAGAAGGTCAGCAGGAATTTATAGTACTTAGCAGTCAAGGTGCAAATAATGCAGGTGTGTGCCGAAGTGCTGTGTGTTCTTGACGCTGATCTTCAAACATGCGTGGGCTTCTTCGCCGCGGGGAAGTCCGCAGGATTCAAATTCCGAACCATTAAGTTGGGCCGCGCTTCCGAGTCAGTTAATGTCCGCGTCCTCGCCGATGACGAGTATGTGTTCATCACATTGTGCCACGCAAGCTTCGTAATTTGGACGTTCTACTTCAGGAGTAGTATGGTGACCCCAGGCTGGAAGTTCTGCCGCTCTGGCGGTAGAGGTCACGTATGCGTGATCATTTTGCAACTTCGGCGGGCATTCGGATTACGGTGCGGCCACTCAGACTCGGAAGGAACATGACCAACTGTCTTCCTTCTGATGAGGTCTGGCGGACTAGATACCCCACGATTGTCGCTCTTCTGTCAATATAGCTTACGCCCCCTTGCGTCCACCTGGGCGAAATTGCTGTGATTTACAGGAAATAATATCATTGCGTCCATTTTTCATCCGAGTCATTCCTTCAGATGGCTGCAAGACAATCCTGATTTACAGAAGAACGAACATTGAAAACTGCTATTTCGACCGCTATCAATAATCAGATTCACCGATTGGTACGGTAGCTACGGAAAGTGACTCTGATCTCCAAGGTTGGTAACTCGATCCCAACTCCTCAGTGGCACTCATTGTGGCCCACGACTGCCTTTGTATCGACAGGTATATAACTAAACTTACAACTCGAAGGCCTTGGCCCTTCGTTGGAATGCTGTCTACCAGGAAAGCAGCAGCTGTTTGGCTTTTCCTTGCATTTGAACTGGTCCTAACTAAACAAACACCTCTGTCGAGTCATGCGCCTTCATCCTTTTACACGAGGATCGAAAATGATCTTGGACAATGGGATCTTGGAGAAGTACCTGCGGTGAACGCGACAGGACATCTGGTGTTCGAAACGGCCAATTCCCTGCTTCAACACTGGCCAAACACGCGTTATCGTATTGGTATGTCTAAAAATGCTGAACACCGCGCAGATTTGACAACTCATCGTTTACGTCCTGCAGGTCATACAATAGTCCCAGGGACTATTCCCGTAGGAACTCTCCTCTACCATGGAGCCCTCACCGGTCCCCATTTACCGACCGCTCTGGAATGGGTGTCTGTAGAGCCAGACCACTCCATGATTTTCTGCCAAGGGCCAATCGAAACAGGGTGCTGGCACCTCACTCTTAAAGTCACTCAGCCGATGAAAGTGCTCTATTTTGACGGAAGCAGCGCTGTGAACATCCCTGGGGGCACGATGGACACCCAAGATCTCGTGGCGTGGTCGAAGATGAAACCCGACTGGGTGGGCAATGAAAGCAAGCGCATTATGGATCTGTGTACATGGGGCCAGAAATATGGGGTGAATGGCTTTGTGAGGTTCGTTGAAATTTGAGATGGAACAATGTCCGATGCTGATTTATGAGTTGTAGGATGGAAATGAATTTGTGCGAACCCATACGTAGTTCCTTGGTGATTTGTTACTAACGACGGTCATAGTGAGGTTATGATCTGCGACTTCACTTCTCACATGGAGGTCGTTTCGTTCTTAAATCTCGAGAGCACTCGCATCAGTTACTTCCCGCCTACGGATCTGCCAGAGGACCTCAATAATGGTGAGCGACCATGTCCATGTTTAGGAGAGGTCTGATTTATTCTCGGACATCAGTGCATCATATGTTTGAAATAATGCATTCTGCTTCACGGCGCGAAATGTATCCAGGAGAAACCCGGATTTTGCTTGATTTTTCTGGGCTAGTCTCTTTCTACGACACCGCCCTTGTTCCCTCCTTGGTGCCGCGCCGTGTAGGCTTGGAGCGATGGGATCATCGAGTGCAAGGAATATCATCGGAGGATATAGAACGCGTCCAAGACAGGTTAGCTCAAGCATTGGCACAACCACCCGTGACAACCAGCGGCATTGACTGGAAGACCGTCTTGCGGGTGGTGGTTGATAGATATGCCAGTCGCCTGGAGATGATGCAGTACCTTGTGAACATGACGCTGGACGATAGGTCGATGTTTGGCCACGCACAACAAGTCCAGAGACGACTGCGCACCGTGCTTTTGCCCTACACTGTGTTTGCAGCTCTACCTCCTAATACCTCTGTGACTGCCAACGCGACAAATTCATGGGCTGCACCAGTTTTTCGGGAATGTGCTACATCGCACACGGCCCCCATTGTAGCTCATGGGGCGACATTGATGCCCTCTGAACGTTTGCTCCTGCAGGCGGTACGGGAAACTACGCGTGAAATATGCCGTGTCGTCACGAAGATGTGGGCATCTGGGATGATGACTGGAGTCGACCCCTTGTATCCTCCGGAACAACGCCCAGAAGCTGATCGCATACGTACTCTCATGGGCGAATGGAAGGAGGATGTGACACAGTTGAATGTCCTGGTTAGACTGGAGCGCGTGGGTGAAATGCCGACCTGCCTGTGGTTTCGAGGTGAACAATGTCAAGTTACTTTTCTGTGAAATGACTGACCTCGTCATGTACTATAGGAGATGTGCTACTTGCCTGCTTGGCCCATTGGGTTTTTCCCGACTCCCGGCAGTGAGCCATCATTTCAAGCCCAGAGGGACGGTGCTTCCTTATGGCCGGACCCAAACAAAGGTGAATGGAAGAGACCACAGCCCAAGTGTATCAGACGACTGGAGCCATATGGTTTTTAGGATACTTACCTAGTCTTTGTCAAATCATTGCAGTAGAGTTTACTTCAAGCGCCGGTGGCGTATGTAAGATAACTGGATAGGCATTGAGCGAAAATATGGTCATACGAAGGGGTCACCCTATCGAACTCGGAGATCTCGCAAAGGGCTCATTGGACAGCACAATCAATATCGTGTATGTACCCCAGTTTCCTATCTTCGGAACAACTTACAGCCTGACCTCCTATGAATTACTAGCCGCACAGCATCGACTGCTTCGTGGTTCGTTCCGAGGACGTTTTCTACTAGGATAAAATCGCCACTCGGGAATTCACCTGGTTGTGAGGTAGGTTCTAGGCTGAGGATGTGTTTATGGCCATTATTTCTAGGGATACCAATGGCTGTCCGTGTTTGTTTTAGTACGCCCCCTCATCAGAGAACCGGTGAACAGATGAAAAAAAAGTTATGATTTATAGTAGGGCATTGCAACAATCTTTGTATATCTGCTGACTCGCCGCTTCACATCCGCTCGCTCTTCAGCTTCAGTCCTCCCACTATCCTCCGTCTCCTCCGCCCTTCCCTCTCTCTTCATCCGCCCTCCTCTCTCATCCAAACCCTCATGCCTTTCCTTCATCTCATTTGCTCCTCCGAGTCTTTCTTCGACACCATCTTCTTTGTACCTTTCAAGTTGGGCCAAGATCGAAAAGCGATAGACTCACACATGAGCATAATATCCGGCTCTCCATTCTTCTGCAAATCGACTGCGTGCTGTGAGCCTGATAGATGTGATCAGTGGGGTCGTAAGTGGGGTCGTATACGGAGGATCAGGTTCCTGAGTTACTCGATTCAGTTTTGAATGTCTAACAGAGGTAACAACGGACGCGATCGCTTCTTGGACCTGAACCAAGTGGCACCCCGACTAGGACCCCGAAAAATCCTCGTCAACCAAAGCGTCCAACGACGCACCCAACGCCTAACGGCGTTACTCCGCCTCAGCGGAACCACCTAAACTAACCCATTTTACCCTTTAGAAACGCTCGACGCGCTACTAGGTCAACATGCCCCCAGGAAAGACCACCCCTGGAACAGGACCACCCAAGCCCAAACTCACCCACTCAAACGACGGCTCCCAATACCTGTAAAACCACCCGTTCTCAGACCACGGTAGAGGAAATCATGGCAACCAGTAGCTCGGTAATGGATACTGAAAGTGCGGAAGCGTACCTGGCGTCCAAACTTCTTTGTCAAGTCGGTCAACCATTCACGCTCACTCATCTCTCCACCATTCTATTTCACATCACACAAATGTCTACTGTCACTCCAGTACCGGTTAACGCGGCAATTCGCGCAGTAGCATTCCTTCTGAAAAGCAGGTGGTATGTGAGATAGCGGAAGCAGCAGCAAAGGAACTGGCACTCACCTTATCTGGCACCTTAACTGAATCACTATCTGCTCGGTTGGTTGACCACACGATTGCGGCATTAGCTCCACAGATTGCCGGAGTCCATGCAGCCTCGGAGACCTTGGCAAAGACTGCTAAGAAAAACGGAGGATACCTTGACCATCACCCTCGACAAGGCTGAGCGACTTCATCGGTTAGCCAGAGATGAGCGAACCGAACAAGAAGGAGGTGTCTCGGTAGCTTCCGAACGCCTAGAAGAGACCGCGGATGCCCTATACGCCACAGTAACAGACTGTCAGAACACCATCAAACTACTTGCCCCCTCGCTGGATGCCACCCAAGACCGCATCAACCATCTATCCCTCCAATTGACCTCCACCCCCTCCCCCTCACCCCCCACGACCCAGCCCACCTACAGCTCTGTAGCAGCTGCCCACCTCCCCCCCAAGGTGGACCAGGCCGTTGGCCGAGCGGCTGTTAGGGCGCGCGAGATTCTATTGGACCCCAACCCAGGTTCTAGCCTATTCCCACCTGGGACTGCAAACAGGGAAATAGCGTCTCACCTCAAGGAGGCAATCAATAATATAAGGGACGACAGCACCCCACCAGGCAGCGTTAGAGCTATAACCACGCTCCATAATGGAGGAATAGTAGTAGAACTGGAATCTGAGGAACTGGCGTCGTGGCTCCGAAGCCCCACGGGACGCACATCACTAGAAAGTCAATTTGAATCAACAGTATCGTTTCGCTCCCGAACATTTGCATTAGTCCTAGAGTACTTACCGATCCATTTACAGATTGAAAACGACGACTTTCTCCACCGTGTCGAAGAGGAAAACCAACTCCCGGCGGATACACTGACATCCATTCGCTGGATCAAACCCTTGAACCGCAGATCCAACCAGCAGCGCAAGGCCTTCGCTCTCCTACAAGTATCTGATGCACCCACGGCCAACAACATTTTGCGAGATGGACTATGTATCGACAACGAGAGAATCTCTATCCGGAAGAACAAGAAGGAACCTATCCGCTGTGCAAAGTGTCAACGCTACGGCCACATTGCCCGCAGCTGTACTGACGAGCATGATACTTGTGGAACCTGTGGGGAACACCATCGTTCCACCCAATGCAATGCTTACCGCACCACTCGGTGCGTTAACTGTCGCAGCAACAACCACACGAGTTGGAGCAGGAAATGCCCGGAATTTCTTCGAAGATGCGACCTTCTAGACGAAAAATTCCCGGAGAACAAAATGCCCTATTTCCCCACTGAAGTAGCTTGGACACATGCCATCATCCCTCCAAGACCTCCCAGACTGCCCTCCCACTTCCTCTCCCCGCCGATTCCACAAGACCTTCTTCCACAGACGAACGACACCCTCCGTCAAACCACACTCGCACTCCAACGTCTCCCCATTCTCCCATCCCCGTCGCCCCAGCCCAACTCTCCCAGTCAACCCTCCACTGCCGCTGAGATCCTCAAAGACATCTCCCCCCCACTAGACCCCGACCCCGAACTCACCTCACCACCCAACACTCCACGCTCCTCTCAATCCTCCCAACCCTCTGACAGTTCACCCTCTTCACCCCCCACTCATGTCTAATCACAACCCTACCACCAACGTCCGACTCAAGATCTGGCAACAAAATCTCAACACCTCTCTGATCGCTCAATCATCCCTGCTCAACAACCCCGTCATCGCGGATTGGGACATACTAATCATCCAGGAACCCTATATTAACTTTCTACAGTAATTCCAGTGCCAACCACCACTGGCACGTCCTGTACCCATCGCAGCATTATACCCACCCCCAGCAGCGGTCGCGGGCCCTCATCTTGATCAGCACTAGACTCGACACTAATTCGTGGAAACAGCTCACCTTCCCCTCATTGGATGTCATCGCCATTCAACTTTCTGGTCCCTATGGACGGTGTACAATATTTAATATTTATAATGACTGCACTCATAACAACACGCTAACCACCTTCGACACTTATCTAGAAAGCAACATCACTTCCCTCAAAACATCCTGATAACGACCACATGCTTTGGTTGGGAGATTTTAACCGACATCATCCCTTATGGGAGGACATCCTGCAACCAGTCATCTGTTCAACTACACGGCCGCCAACCCCCTCATCGACCTCATTGCCGACCATGGAATGATCCAGCTCCTACCGCAAAACACCCCAACTCTCCAATCCATCAGCACCGGTAACTGGACACGCCCGGACAACGTGTTTGGCACGGAACACCTCCTTGACGCGGTAGTATGCTGTGAAACCGCTCCGGGACTCCGAGGGCCAAAGACTGACCATCTTCCTATATTGCTGACCCTGGAACTCGAGACCCCCAGCACAGACACAGAACCTCGTCGTAACTGGCGCGGGGTCGATTGGGACGCCTTCAAAAAGCATCTCGGAGAAAACCTCACCACCAGACCCGCCCAACCCCTTGCGTCAGATGAGGAATTTCAGGAGGCCGCCTGGCACCTTACCCTTTCGATCACCGCCACCATGGACTCCTGTGTGCCCTACTCGAAACCATGTCCACATTCCAAGCGATGGTGGACGAAACACCTATCCATCCTTAGATCACGGGTCAAGAAGTTAAGTAAACTGGCATACCGGATGAGAGGTCTCCCCCAACACTCTAGCCACGACGACCTCAAAGCGGCCAAAGACCAATACACGAACGAGATCAGGGCTACGAAGAAGCAGCACTGGTTAGAATGGCTGGAAGATATTGAAGGTAATGATCTGTGGACCGCTAATAAGTACATCTCAGCAGAACCCCGCGACGGTGGCAAGACTCGCATACCCTCTCTCTCCTTCACCAATCAAGACGGAACTATGGATGAAGCAACCACCAATGATGAAAAGAGCCGAATTCTAGCTAAGTCATTCTTTCCTCCTCCCCCCGACACTGATCCTGTCCCACAAGATGTGGAATACCCTGACCCAGTTGAGCGCCTACCACCACTCACCACTGGACCAGATAGAGCGGGCGATATGCAACCTTAGTGGGTACAAGGCACCCGGTCCTGACGGGATCTGCAACATAGTGTTCAAGGAGTGCTCCGACATCCTCGTCCCCTACCTCCTACACCTCTTTAATGCCACATTCTCACACCGCACGTACTATCAGCCGTGGAGGAAGTTCACTACAGTGGTTCTGCGTAAACCGGGCAAGCCTAATTACTCCGTCCCCAAAGCTTACCGACCAATCGCCCTACTTAACACAACTGGAAAGCTACTGACGGCTGTAGTAGCGGATCAGCTCACCCATGTCCTCGAACGCCACCAACTACTACCCAACACACACTTTGGGGGTAGGCCGGGTTCGCTCCACCACCGATTCGCTCCACCTACTGGAAGCGACGATCAAGAACGCGTGGAGAGCGCACAAAGTAGCCTCGGTCCTGTTTCTGGACATTGAAGGTGCCTTTCCCAACGCCGTGACAAGGCGCCTGCTATACAACATGCGAATGAGACGTATCCCAGGTGATATAGTGGATTTTACTGAACAGGTACTAACAAACCGTCAAACTCAATTGAAATTCGACGGATACACGTCCGACTGGTTCCCTGTGTCCAATGGAATAGGTCAAGGAGACCCGCTATCAATGATTCTTTATATTATTTACAGCTCCGATCTGGTCGACGTCGCATCGCCCCGAAGAGGAAGAGAGGCACTGAGAGAACTAACATTAGCATTCGTCGATGACACAGCTTTCATTGCCATCAGAAAGGACTTCTCTGAAACTCACGCCATCTTGGCAGACATGCTCGAACGTCCAGGGGGAGGCTATGATTGGTCAAGAGTTCACAATTCCCGTTTTGAAACCAATAAATTTGCGCTAATGGATTTTTCTATGAACAGACACAAAACACGTCCCGACATGGTCATCCAGGGAGCCACCATTCGCCCCTCCCCAACACACCGATTCCTCGGCATCATCCTAGATCAGGAACTGCGTTGGAAGGCACAAGTCGACAACGCTGTAGCAAAAGGGACGTCCTACGTACTCCAGTTACGTCGCCTCTCTACCTCGGCCAAGGGCATCCCCATGCGACTGATGCGCCAACTCTACCTGGCAGTGGCAGTCCCTAAGATGCTGTATGCCGCCGATCTCTGGTTCTCACCCATTTTCAGCCATGGGACGAGCACCTTGCAGAGAGGCTCAGTAGGTGTTGCCAAACGACTCTCAACAGTTCAGCGCCTGGCAGCCATCGCCCTGACGGGAGCGATGCGCACCACAGCCACTGACATTCTAGAGGTCCACGCCAACCTCCTCCCCACCTCCCTCCTCCTCCAGGATGCCTGTCACCGAGCCATCATCCGCATTGCAGCCCTTCCCAGCTCCCACCCGCTCCACATCCCAGTCCGCAAAGCCGCCCAACGCTACGTTGCAGCGCACCGTTCATCCCTCCACCGCCTCACCCGCCGCTTTGCCCTATCTCCTGCCACCGTAGAAACCCTAACCCCAGCTCGATGCCCACCATCTGCCAAAAACCCCTGGACCACGCATATCGCCGTCAACAAGGACACAGCCATTTCAGAACATGAAACACTAATGGACCAAATACAGATATACAGCGATGGATCGGGCTATAAGGGTAAAATCGGGGCAGCTGCAGTCCTATTCCGCGCAGGACAGCAGCCCAGAACACTGCAATATCACCTCGGGACGGATGAAGAGCATACGGTATTTGAAGCAGAAGAAGTCGGCCTGATTCTAGCCGCACGTTTGATGGCCACGGAACGCGACCTGTCCTTCCCCCTTTCTATCTCGGTGGACAACCAAGCTTCAATTCAAGCAGGTGAGACATTCCATTCACGTCCTGGTTCCTATCTGGCGGATTGTTTTCGTAGGATGATGAGCAAAATCGCCAAAGATAATGTAGACTTCAAGGTAACCATGCGCTGGGTCCCAGGACACTCAGGGATCCATGGCAATGAGGAGGTCGATAAGCACGCCAAACTGGCAGCAGTGAGCCATCATAACAACAGCCCCGTCAACCGCCTACCCCGCCTCCTTCGACACCAAGCCCTCCCACTAAGCATTTCGGCCCTAAGAGAAACGCAAAGCAAGGACACTACCCAGAGATGGGGACAGCTCTGGCGCAAATCCCCACGTTTCTACCGCTTCAATCAACTCGACCCCAGCATCCTCAAACGTTCATTCACCAAATTAACTGCCAATTTCCCAAAACGCCTCATCAGCCTCTATATATTCCTTCGAACTGGCCACGCACCACTTAACAAGCACCTTCACCGTATCCGCAAAGCTGACAGCCCATCTTGCCCCCACTGCCCCGGCATAGATGAGACGGTACACCACTACCTGCTAGACTGCCCACACTTCCAACGTGACCGTCACATACTTGTCAGCGCCCTAGGGCGAAGAGCCACTTCCATTCAATTCCTTTTGACAGACCCCGACGCCACCCCTCACCTCGTTAGATATGTCAATGGCACTTGTAGATTCAAGACCGTCCTTGGTGAAATTCCGCTTCCTCGCACTCCGGCAGACTGATCAGTTTTGAACAGGTTTGAAAGCACGCAAGCTTGTACATGCACCTTGGTACCATCAAACATTTCATATCATCTTGTATCACCACCACTCACTCGCACACACGGAGTCACTAGCTTCATCACTGGTATCAGTCAGACGGGAACGGGTCCTCCCATCAGCCAACAAAATGGGACCACCCACCAATTAATCCTACTGCAACCTTTCGACTCCTGTACCTGCCCGCTTCTGCGGCCGAGTACGCGTCTTTGTCTTCATACCGATAATCCATACCTACCACAAGCGTACATATAAGTCGTCTCATCTTCGATGGGTTGCGCATCTAAAACGGCCGGCGGGAACGGCGGACTGATGGGGCACGTCCCACATCAGGGCATTCGCGAACTCAGAGATGCGCAGGGGGCACTGGGGGCCCCCTAGACTAGATAGTATTGTCCTCCATAGAGTATTACTCTCCATAGGACATGAAAATTGAATAAAAAAAAAAAAAAAAAAAAAAAAAAACGCGAAGGTGGTTGAGATGTTGGAGATGGTGATTGGAAGCAGGAAGTAAGACTAGCGTTCGGTCAACCCTCGCGTCCCTATTTAAATCACAACGCTTCGCAAACCACAGGTCCACAATAAACACACCTTGCTATTCTAGTTTCTCATAGTGAGTCTTGGGTAAAACACCAGCCATCCACTTGCATTGTTGCAAGGGGGGTGCCTGTCGAATCTGTGGAAGTGTGATCTCGCTCGCCGGTGGCTTCGACACACTGGATCGGCACTACCAGGCCATCCAAGACCATTTGTCTTCTTATGTGGACGATAACTGAAGGTCATAGAACAGCTTTGTTTAGCTGTGGCCTTTATTTAGCCCTATTACTATAGTATTGTGTTTTTAGTTTTATGATATGTGTGAAAGTGCTCACGAAAATCAAGCTTTGGGTCTCCTTGGCACCTCTCCACATTCCTACCGAAAGCACTGAAGGTCTGATTCCCTTTTCGTCAATCACATCTCCTCCACTGAATTCTTAGCACTGACACACCTGAACTTTAACAGAGCCACTGTGCTCTTGTTGAAGTTGTAAATAATACGTCATCCTCAGTTTCCTGCTTCAATATCGATAAGAACTAGAACACGGACCGAATATCAAGAAGTGAAATTAGAACAAGGCAACTCGATGAGTGTCTCTGGGCTCCGAGTTACCGTTGAACGTTTGACAATATGCTCCCTCAGGAGAACAAGCATACTGGTCGTTGCTCCAGTAATGGCACTGCCCCAGCCATGGCTGTAACCCAGGAAGCGAAGAGAAGTAAATGTGATGGATGGGAAGATTCAGGGCGCAATGCACAGATTGAGATTTGCAGAGGGGGCGTGTTAGGTGATATGTATGCAAGACAGCGCCCAAGGCCAACAACTATTCTCACATTCAAGAATTCGTCGCTTTTCGAATTCTTCGTTGCTAACCTCTCGGTAACACCAGATTCTAATCTGGACCTCCAGTGAGGACGAACTGACGTGTGGCTTTACCAGGGGGCTTATCTTCGAATCGTCGCCAACGTCAGTGATACAGTAAACTGACAACATTGGCAGGAGACCTCACCTTCGCACCGTTGAACGTATCCAAAGAATGCTTACTTGTCTACATCACGGTTTCACTGGCGGAGACGGAGTCATGGCTTCCACATCGACGAAGTCAACCACCACAAAATCGATTCTGCTATCAATGACTTTGACAGGTCACGGAGTGCACAATCAATATATATCCTATTTTCCGTACGGCCACAGAGTGTTCAGCAGATCTGATGATAGTACCGCTCTGCACCGGGGTCTGAAGGCGGGCAAGGAGATTGAGGAAGCGCACGAGAAGGAGATATTGATATTTGCAGTGGCGGTATCAAGGGATGGTCGATGGGTTGTCACTGGTGGTGGGGACGACGATTGTGCGGAGCTGAAAGCCTGCGAGTTTGAGACTGGGATCGTGAAAAAACCTCAAGGCCACTTACGGATGATCACCTGCATTGATATCTTTGTGGACAACACGCTGCTGGTGAGCGGGGCATACGATCTTACAATGCAGATATGGAACTTGGACACTGACAAACTCATGATTGGTCCATTTGACACCCCGGGTCGTTTTATGGGCGCAGTTCGATTCTCAACAGACTCGAAGAAGCTCACAGCCAAGACGCAGGCTGGGTGGGGAATTGCCTTGAGATCTGAGATGTTCAATCGCAGAAATTGGATTTGGGCACTAAAATTACAAGATTGCCAGTGTTCTGGACAAAAAGATCATTATGACTCACATAGTACTATATAGAAGGGACTTGACTAACGAGCTACACGGTCTACCCTGGCTATATAGTACTATATAGTGACCGGGCTTTTTCCTGATGGTTGCTTTGCGGTATCAATATTAACATGTGTCTCATTAGACGCGCATATATGAGGTTTTTCGCTCCACTCTGTTCCTTGTATATAAAGGCCGCCGCCAGAATGCTCTCCGTTATCATGGGCGCCTCCATCGATGGTTTAACTCCAAACCACTCTCAGTCATCACGATACACCCTCCGCACTCACATCCCCCACTGTGTCACACCTAATGGCTTCCACACCTCGAGAAGTATGAGTTCAAACTCGAAAAATGACGGTCGAAGGATATGGCGCTTGTGGGGCGCAGACGGCAACTCTGATATCAGTGAATCACTTGTTGGCTTCATCCAAGTCGGTCCTGCGAAGAAGTTCCTAACCTAGCTAGAACTACGAAGACAAAAATACCACGAACTGATAGCGTACGGTTCTAGTAGCATAAAACAGGAAGTATAGCCCGTTGCATGAGTTCATGTAAATCTAATGAAGCAAAGTCATCTTGCCACACGGGATACAACTACTTCGAGGGAAGGAATCAGGGCAACATACTCCGCTCGCTGCTCATCCGTCGGCGTCACTCCACCACTGAAAACCAGACCCTTCAGAGGACAATTTGATCGTACGATCAATGCCCTCAAATCCCCATGAGGCCACGACTGTACATCAATCCCGGATGACTTAGGATGCGGGAGAGAATCGAGAACATCGAACAGGGCGTGTATTTGCGATGGTTCGATATAGCGGACTTCAAACATGCGTAGATTGGGAAGTGTCAGAACATCGAACAGGTGGGATAAATGTTCCGTATTCCAAATGTCATGAGCGATGCGTAAGGATCGAAGATTGGTGTGTATGATTGGTCTGCTGGCTCGCATTTTCTGCTTGACGCCTGTAAGAATTGTTAACGAGGAGAGGTTGGGACACAGATGGAGTATGTTGGGGACTGTATTCATTTGATCTAGAGCGACCTCGATGTTTGTCAGGCGTGCCATTAGGGGAGTGAAAGCAGAAAAGTCGTGAAGTTTGAGCACCGGAAACGTTATCTTGAGACTGCGCATAGTGAACGGTAATTGCGATATAGACTGTGCAATATTCGGCATTAAAAAACTATCGTACGCGCATATGGTCAGCTCCTGAAGTGCTGAGAGATTTTCGAGCATAAGTTCAGGTTTGTCGGTTGGAGGGAAAAAACGGATAGAGAGAGTCGAAATTTGATTGATGTAAGGCTGTATGAGGCCTCGTAATATAGTGTTCGAGTCATCAGAGCAGCACCAGACTTCTAACGAAAGCGGATGTCCTCTGGATCGCTTGAGCCACAAGTCATAGCAGAAAGCTATCGACTCCCAGCGCCTGTTACCGACTTCGTTGCTGTACAACCGCAGCCTGCGCCACAAGCTGGGCATTCCCACAGCTATCTCCCTCCATCGTCGGCATATTCTGGTCAACAACATAGGAGCTAGCGTTTTTGATGGGGGCGATATGTGACTGGTTTCCGGGAAACAGTGGACAAAAATGTGGGATAAGACTTCGGTTGGTAAGCGCCAGATACCCGATACAAGTCGCCTGTGCAAATTCATGGACTGGGTAATCCCGTCCTTCTTTTCGATGAGTTGTCGGTGGAGGTTTTTGATGCCGTCCATAACTCTTTCCAAGTCTGAGATCTCCTGCAAGGCTGCATTCAACTGCTCCTGGCGTTCTCTGATGATGGTGTTGATACTAAAGTCGTCCTCGTCCTCGATGACAGAGTAGCTGATAAGATAAGATCTGCAGGAGTGCGGGGTTGTGAGGTCTGCAGAAATCTAATCATTGTCAATAAAATTGCATCCGATATATCGGAATAGGCATACGATCACTTGTGAACGGGTGAGCTTAAACGAATCCGAGTGATCATTATTCTCAGATACGAGTGTCCATAAAACTTGGCACTTACGATGCGACACAGCGTGCCGATGATATCCAAATCAGATGACGCAGATGGACTGACTCCTGCTAGATTGGCTGTTGAACCATCAACTGTCTGCATCTTGGACCTTAGTTCGAGTTGCTAATACGACTCGGGGGGTGATGTTGACAAAAAATTGTAGACGGCTGATCGATGGATGATGTAAGGTGACAAGGTGAAGAGAAAGAGGAATACATACACAAATTCCTGTCGTTTCTAACTAGTAACTCCTCGCCTGTCTGTTGTTCAAGTTGGCTGCAAGCGCCCGTCAATATGTACTAGGTCGGACGTTTCGAATCGTGGACCGAATATCAAGAAGTGAAACTAAAAGAGGCGACTTGACGAGTGTCTATGGGCTCTGAGTTGAATAGTTGACGATATGTTCCTTCAGACGAACGAACATGATACTGGTCGTCGTTCATCATATTTATGAGGAGGTCAATGATTATTCCACAATATATAATCTTATGATGACTTGGAGCGCGGCGTCCACCCGCGTGCGTCTCACGTGCGCTTACTTGACCAATTTCTACTACCACTACCATTCAGAAACCTACTAACGTTACCATCATTAGCTTCGCTCCATCACTTACAACATTGCCGATCGGAAATAAAACTCCACTTTACTTCATTTGGTTGCGAGCACATCATCAATTCCTTATAAGCTGACCCTTTCATCTGCGTCATCTTGCTGTTTGAACACCGCAGCTCCAAAACATGTCGACGTCATTTACGCACAACGAAAAATATAAATTCTGAGTCGTTCTTCATCAGTTTGCCCACGCATCATTTGTGTTTTACGACTTGATCTATTATGCCCGGTTCATCCATGAATCCGTCTTGATGATATTTCACACAGTCGTATACTACAGTGCTGACACTGTAAAAGAAGATGATCAGCTCATAGCAGATCACCCTGAAGCGACACCTGATTTTCTCGCAATTCTCTCACAAAATGGAATTCCAAAGCACGAACTTTATCTCAAGCAGGGCTGTATTTGCTCACTTAGGCGCAATATGTCTGTTCAGAAGGAACTGGTGAAGAATGCACGCCTCATCATACAACAATTGCACCGCCGTTATGTCAAGGTTCGAGTCATCAACAACAGGACAGGTCAACTTGGAGATACTCAATACATTCCCCGCATCCACTTCGAATTCACACCCCCACGCGTAAGTTAGACTGTTCATCGTCTACAATTTCCCCTCCGTCTTGCATATGCAACGACTTTCAATGGTTGCCAAGGTCTAACCCTTGACAAGACCGTTCTCAACCTTCGCTGCGAAGTCTTCGCACACGGTCAACTGTACACAGCCCTTTCACGGATCCGTCAACGAGACGATTCACGCATCCTATTTTCAGAAGACAAACCAAATGACGATTTCAATACGTCCAACGTCGTGTATAAAGAATTGTTATTAGATTTGAACTAGATCCATCCAACGAGCCGCACAGCGGCAAGCACTTGTAGTAGTTAAAATTATAAGTAGTAATCAGCTAGTCCGTCATAACCGTGTTAACACGTTTGTTTACAAATTTATGTAAGTTGCATCTTGCCTTTTGATCGTCGTGATTCGGTGAACGATGCATCGATGATGGTGCAAATGATCTTGTACTGGTACGTGATTTTCAGTGCTACGGATGAGTCTAAACCACCTCGTCCCAATTGAACTGGTTCGCCGCTCCATTCAACTTCCAAGTACTAGAAACACAGCGAAAAGAGTCAAGGCGCGCAAAGAAACTGCAACATCAGATGAATCGACAAAGGCTCGCAGCAACAAGGTCTACCATTATCACCATCTGCTAGTGATTGCTTTTTGAATTCTTGTTTTCCAGTTGGACCCAGTCAAAAGTCAGTGATCGACTCGCAAAATGAAGTCGCTCTTAAGCAGGAAGCAGCCAATGGGAAAACGGAATGCTTTCGGAAGCATCACGGAACTTTCTGCATCATCATGACCCTGGTATCCAATGCCAATACTGCAGTTGTATCATATGCGTCAGCGAATACGTATAGGATCTATAGTTCACCAAACGGCCTCGCACGGATTGTGATGACACAGAAATAAGATGGGCATTTAGTGTGCTAAACTAACGGATGCAAGCAATCTGGCGTCTCTTACTGAGACTCGGAGGACCAGGTATGAATTAATCATTACATGGCGCTGGATGACACCGTTGGACCAGTGGAATCGAATCACTTGATGGTTGTTTCCCGCCAAGTTCCTGCATCAACGAAGGACCCGATGTCCCCACGCTGCTCGAGTCTTGAAGTGTTGCACTGAGATGACCTTGACACGCTAAGTAATTCAGGGCTGTTCAATCTTGAGATACGCAACTCACTCAGCGCTATGCCGCAATTCACTAAATGATAGGCCGAGAAACGTCCTGCAATATTTGGATCCCCAGTTTCAAGTACATGCTTATCGCGGCTTCCTCCATCCCAAATACGAATCTAGTGCTTCTTCGACTTGCAAGGAAAATGGCTCCGAGTTCTACGTACAGTACGCTAGCTCTGTGGAGGGTATCTCCTGAGATGTCTTCTGCGTTGGTCGTCGCCCTGGCGTCTTTGCACTTGGTAATATTCATATTCCAGCCGCGGTCAACGCGTGGACTTACTATTCAATTCTTGCGTACAACACAGTTATATTATGCATCTCCGCCACTCAGGATGCATTCAATGTTGCGTTTACGAATTCTGGATTGTTTATCCGGTGACGGTGTAGCACTGCCTGCCAGGTATACCCGCGTCGTGACGCCCTGCCATTCGCCAGGCATCACCATTTTGCCAATCCGATTTGCAGACTGCCAGGGTCTGCACGCTGCCATGCGTAAGATATAAAAGCAAGCCTGATTCTTACCGTGTTCGCTCACCTCAGAGTTATCAGTTCGAGATCAGATCCCGTATCATCCTGCACAGAAAATGCGTTTCTCCATCCTCGCCGTTATTGTCGCCTTGGTAGCATCTGTGTCTGCCAGTGACAGCGCATGCTCTGGCCTAAACGGGGGATGTCAAGTCAGTACAGATTGCTGTGGTGACTTTTTTACTTGTAAGAGTGTGAGTATGGATTGTGTGCTTGATTCGACTCCATAGCTCACCCTTTGTAATACTCATAGGGAACTTGCCAATGGACCTCTAAAGAGTAGTTGCAGCCGGAGTTGCTGGCACATCGCAACAGTGAGTTATATCCCTGTCTTCACACTCATGATACCATGGTTGATGGCACAATATTTAGTTCGTTGCTGAGTCAAAAAGGTTGCGTGTAGGGTTGAACAAGGAGGTTTAAATAAAGGATAATATACATTGTTTTGCCAAGGAATGACTCGCCGTCGGGATGCCAGAGTGACGGTGAAGCTAAGAGACAGTGATTTGAGATTTGACTTCAGTTGGCAAGCGCCAGGGAGTCGATGCAAGTCTCTGTGCACATTCGTAAACTGAGTAATCTTATCCTTCTTTCAGAGAGTTGCTGGTACCGATATTTAATAACATCCATAACTTTTTCCAGGCTTGAGATGTCATGCAAAGCTGCATGCACTGCTATTCCTGGTGCTCGCTGATGACAGCACCGACGAGCATATTGGCTCGGCCTCGTTCCTCTGCCAGCCAACATGCTCCTCGTGCATTCACTTGCCGTCCCTGGTTAAGTCGACTCGTCATAATTCACCCACTGTGCGAAACGAATCATTCACCAGGCCACAAATGACCAACCTAACGTCCGGCATCAGAAGACACAAGGGGGTGAGGAATCAGACGATGTGCTAACAGGAAGGAGCATAATGAAAGCCGATATGAGTAATACAGCGATGCGAGAGTAGACCATGCCAGGAATTCCGGGACTTGAAGGGACTTGGGACAACGAAAAAGGGGCACAAAAAGAAGACAGCCAAGATGTATGTACAAGATAGTTATGTATCTTGAAATCAACAGCCAAGAACGATCGTGCGTAGTTCCCCAGGCCTGCACAGATCGAGCCGAATCAAGCTTTGAAGGATCTCAAAATCTGCCGCAAAAGTGAGAAAATCACAAGAACCGCTACCAGTGAGTAGCGGGAATTACGCAATCCAGGATTGTCCTCGGTGAGAAATCCCATTGTACACAATTCACTCAGCGGGGAGTGCTAGTCAGCGCTCGAGCACCTGCAACTTGCTATCGCGTGCTTCATTCCTCCCAAATACGAATCTAGTGCTTGTATCACCTGCAAGGCCAATGACTCTCCGTCAATATATCATACGTACGGCACTGGCTCTATGTGGGGCTACGTCTCCCAATAGTACCGTAGTCTTCCATGGAGGGCTAGATCTCCCGAGATGTCTTCTGCACTGGTCGCCGCCCTGGCGTCTTTGCACTTGGTAGTATTCATATTCCAGCTGTGGTCAACGCGTGGACTTACTGTTCAATTCTTTCGTACAACTTGGTCATATTGTGCATCTTCGCCACTCAGGATGCATTCAATGTTGTGTGTTTATAAATTCTGGATTGTTTATCCGGTGGCACTGCCAGATCATGGATAGACCCACGTCGTGACGCGTGACGCCCTGCCATTCGCCAGGCATCACCATTTTGCCAATCCGATTTGCAGACTGCCAGGGTCTGCACGCTGCCATGCGTAAGATATAAAAGCAAGCCTGATTCTTACCGTGTTCGCTCACCTCAGAGTTATCAGTTGAGATCAGATCCCATATCATCCTGCACAGAAAATGCGTTCCTCCATCCTTGCCGTTATTGTTGCTTTGACAGCATCTGTGTCTGCCAGTGACAGTAAATGCTCTGGCCTACACGGGGGGTGTAAACTCACTACAGATTGCTGTGGTAACTTTTTTACTTGTAGGAGTGTAAGTATGGATTGTGTGCTTGATTCGACTCCATGGCTCACCCTTTGTAATACTCATAGGGAACTTGCCAATGGACCTCTAAAGAGTAGTTGCAGCCGGAGTTACTGGCACATCACAGCAGTGAGTTATATCCCTGTCCTCACACTCATGATACCATGGTTGATAGCACGATATGTAGTTCGTTGCTGCGTCGGTTAAGGTTCCGTGTAGGGTTGAACAACGAGGTCTAAATAAAGGATAATATACATTGAAATGACTCGCTGTCGGGATGCCAGAGTGACGGTGAAGCTAGGAGACAGTGATTTGAGATTGGACTTCAGTTGACAAGCGCCAGAGAGTCGATGCAAGTCTCTGTGCAAATTCGTGAACTGAGTAATCTTGTCCTTCTTTCAGAGAGTTTCTGGTACCGATATTTACATAACCCTTTCCAGGCTTGAGATGTCATGCAAGGCTACATGCAGCTGTTCCTGGTGCTCGCTGATGTGACGGCACTGACGAACATAGTGACTTGGCCCGGCCTCGTTCCTCGGCCAGCCAACATGCCCCCCGTGCACTCGTTTACAGTCCCTGTCAAGTCGACTCATCATAATGTACCTACAATGCGAGACAAATCATTTACCAAGCTGCAAATGACCGACGGAACGTCCGGCATCAGAAGACACGAGGGCGTGAGGAATCAAACGATGTGCTAACAGGAAGGAGCCTAATGAAGGCCGATATGAGTAATACAGCGATGCGAGAGTAGGCCATTCCAGGAATTCCGGGACAAGGGACAAGGACAAACGAAGGGGCCGCCACAGATCTAGAAAGAAGCCAAGACATGCAAGACAGTTATGTATTTTGAAATCGGACAGCCAAGATCTAGGAATGATCATACGTACGTAGCTATTGCCTGTTTGAACACGCATCGAGCTGAAACAAGTTTACAGGATCTCGAAATCTGCCGCAAAAGTGAGAAAATCACTACTGAACGATGAACGAATTTCATTGGCTGGCTGATGGTAGCGGGAATTACATAATTCGGGGTTATCCTTGGTGAGAAATCCTGTTGGATTTCATTCACTCAACGGCGAGTGAGCGCTGCAACAGTGCAACGTCCGGTGCGTGCATACCTATCGCGTGCTTTATTTATCCTGTCTAGTGCTTGTTCCACCTACAAGACCGATGACTCCCTGTCAATATATCGTACGTACGGTACTGGCTCTATGGGGGGCTACTACGCCGCCGCATTCCCGTTAGTGGCCTCTCCATTGTAGTCAGGAGACTTCGCAGGGCCACGAAATAACCAGGTCTTACCTTTGCCTGCGGCAGTATCCATGTTCCAGCTGTGATCCACACGTGCACTAATAACGCCAGACATTGCGTACAATAGTACTATGTATCTCCGCCTGAAGGTGCCGCGGCGTTCAACGACTCGTTTTTACATATTCTGAATCGTTTATCCGTCGGCCCTTCGAATCTGCCAGGTCATGGGTAGACTTCGTCGTGATGCCCTGCCATCACACCAGGCGTAACCATTCTTCCAACCCGATCAGAGCAGACTCTCTACGTCTCCACACCATGATTATGCAGAAACAAGCCATCTTCTTACTATCCCCCATTCTTAGAGTCATTATTCAAGATCGCATCCCAAATCACCTCGCACATGTAATGCGTTTCTCCTTCCTCGCCGTTGCTTTGATAGCATCTAGTCTGTCAGTGGCACTGACTCAGACACAGGTACTGGCCTAGGCGGGCAGTGCGCAAACTCCGATCAGTGCTGCGACCGTTATGTTTGTAGTGGTGTTGTGAGTATAAATCGTTTGCTTGATTCAATTCCATGTTTCACCCTTTGTAATACTCATGCAGTTCCCGGACTGAACCTATCACTGAAGAGTAGCAGGGAGCTCTTGATGCCGGAGTCACTCGCACATCGCGTCAGTGAGTTACATTCCTGCTTTCGCATTGATGAGGAATGGCTTCAATGACTTGTGGTCGGGACGTTGGAGTGCTGTTAAGAAAGTGATATGTTGAATGTGATTAATAAATTTATAGAAAATGGCGTTGACACACTCTTTGAAGATGTGGGTAAGCAGAGTGTCTCTCAGACTTCTTACTGTTGATAACAGCTGTTCGTGAGGTTTGGATCTGTTCGTAGGTCGAGAACGGAGTACAGAATGATAAACCTTGATATTAAGTTGCGCTTGCAGGTCGCAGAGGCAATTGCCTTCGATTTAGAATATCATGTTCGTGCGTCAAAACTTGTTCTAATTCAGAACTAATTGTGTTGAAGGGTGTACAAAACGTGGCCCCAGTTCCATGGGGTCACTGTAACAGTCTACTTTGAACCTTTGCTAACTTGAGAGAGAGCCTGCCAGTGAGATTGAGGCTATCGTGGTATCAAACATCACTGCATCGTTTATCGTATATGATCTACTCAAAGGAATACGTGGTCGCCATTAGAACGCAGAATGTTCTGTGTAGGTTGGAAAGAGCGTGAGCGTTGACAATTGCGCATGAGTTCTCGACGGACAAAAAGGTTTGAACAGAGTGAGATTCGAACTCACGCCCCCGAAGAGACCAGATTCCGTGCTCATCTGATGAGCTGGTACTCCTTAGTCTGGCGCCTTGGACCGCTCGGCCATCTGTCCGTGTTGCAATGATCACACTGAGCATATTGAACTGCATTTATCTATATGTAGCTTATACATAAGGTTTGTTTGGCAACGTTTATTTCTGAAGGTATCGTACAACAGACGCAAACAAGTCCTTTGAACTTCTGTAATGAGAGTTCTTCCAACAGAGTCATGCACCTGAGCGTCAGTGGATTAGGACGTGTATATCCATCCAGGTCTTGTGCTGGCTGTCGCGCGCGTTCTTTTGCAACTTCGCATCCGAGGCGCTCTGCTACCATCCATGCTAAACATGCTCAGTCGCTAAATGAAAGCACGAATGCGCTAGTCAGCTTCTCAGCTAAAAATCATAATCCTAATCCTCATGGACCTTTGAGTAATCTTACAGTCGCAGTCAAGGATAATATATGCACAATGCACCTACCAACGACATGCTCGTCAGGCATGCTTCGCCGTATGTCAAATAGCGTGCCTCGTTCTCGTTCTAACTCCATTGCAGACTTCACTTCACCATTTGACGCGACGGCGGTGGAGCTTCTGAAGGCGGGCGGCGCGAATATTATTGGGAAGGCTAACTGCGATGAATTTGGAATGGGGCGAGTCTTACTCTTGAGTTTCGCAGCTTTCCGCTAACACTCGTCCACTCAGGTCCCTGAATGTGAATGGCATCCATGGCCCTGTGGTAAATCCGTATCGTTCTCCAAATGAGAGATCCATACCTTGGGCCGAGCGCGAACGAAGATCGGCGGGTGGAAGCTCGGGTGGAAGTGCTGCAGCTGTTGCAGCTGGTATGTGTGACGCGTGAGTTTCCAACTTATCGAAGTGGCATAGCACTTACCGGGGGACAGCGCACTAGGTACAGATACAGGTGGCTCTGTTCGTCTTCCCGCGTCATACTGCGGTATAACGGGCTTGAAACCCTCGTATGGCCTCATTAGCAGGTCTGTTACTTTACAACTCATGTTTTCAGAAACTCATGGACGACAGATGGGGCGTGGTGTCTTTTGCTGATAGTCTTGACTGCGTCGGTGTGCTTGGCAAGTCCGTCGACACAGTGAAGACCGTATTTGGTGAACATGGCAGCAATGAGCGAGTGCACCTGAGTTGACAATTCGAGCAGACTCGATTTCATCATATGATCCAAAGGATCCTACCGCAGCGGACACCTCATACAAGAGAGAGGGCAAAAGCTTCAAGCAGAATCAGCTGTTATCAACTCTGGATTCGGACTTGTCTGACCCTGACCTCTCGTCACTTCGGATTGGGATACCACAGGTCCGTCTCGGCTCTCAGTTCGTCCGATATGCTCACAGTTTGAAATAGGAATATTTCCCTTCTGAACTTAACACTACTATCGTGACTGCAGTTCGCAAGGTTCTAGAGCGACTGTCGTCTCTTGGCGCTCAATTGATTCCTGTCTCTCTTCCATCGACGCCATATGCATTAAGTGCATACTACGTCATAGCAAGCGCAGAGGCGTCAAGCAATTTAGCGCGATACGACGGGGTTCAATATGGTTGGTGATGACGTCCAAAAGTCTATTCCTCATCAACTGATCATGTCCAGGTACTCGTTCCCCCCTTGCTCCCTGGCGCAGATAAATCCAAACCAGGTAATGTGTACGCACATACGCGCTCGGCAGGTTTTGGAGCGGAGGTGCAGAAACGCATCCTCCTTGGCACCTATGCACTCACAGCTGAGTATGTGCATCCCGTTCTTACTGTAAAGTCTTGACTCAAGCCATTGGTCACAGTGCATTTGACAATTACTTTCTTCAAGCTCAGCGCTGTCCGGCGGCGAATCAAGACCGACTTCGACTCTGCTTTTCGCGTGCCCCAATGCTCAACTATCCAATCCCTTGCCAAATCCCGATGGTGTGGATCTTCTTTTGCATCCTTCTGCGATTCGTACCGCACCTCGACTAGACTCAGATGCAGCCTCTGGTCTGGGTCCATATCTGCAGGACGTTATGACTGTTCCCGCTTCTCTGGCCGGCTTACCAGCAGTGAGTATCCCTGCCGGGTTAGCCGCCGACGGTTGGCCTATTGGTGTCAGCGTTGTTGGACAGTGGGGTTCTGACGAACTAGTAATGCGCAGTTGGCAAGGTGATCGAACGGACATCATGATGAAGATGAAGATTATTTCGATTTCTGGCTAATAGCTGATGTAGTTAGTGGGCTTGATGCTGCGTCGATGATCAGGATTTAGCTTGTCAATCCAGGCGCGTTTCGATTAGAACAAACGAAATTAAGTGCCCGTGGTTATACACGGCAGCAAGACAGTAAGCTTAGGCTTAAGCATAGATAGAATACAAAAACAAGGAGAGGGTGTATGCACGTTGCTATAGTTAGGATCATGAGCGGCGAGCAGCAAAGGCGTGGCATCTATGATTGCATCTTCATAATGTAGTCGACCATAGCTCCCGCCCAAACCCAGAAGCCAAACCAAGTATTGTTGATGAGAACAGCATCGCAACTCTCCTTATTTTCGAAGTCAATCTTGGCAATGATTCGGACAAGGTGATGCGCCCCAAGGGCCACACCAATGAAAAACGGGACGCCATGTCCGTTCAGGACCCCGGCGCACGACACCAGAGAACAAAGAATGCAGGAGAACATGACGAGAATAGGCCGGATCTGATCCCCAAAAACAACTGCTGTCGAGTGGACGCCATTTATGATGTCTTCTTCTCTGTCCTGGTTTCGGTTTGTTCAGCCAGCGAGAACAGGACGCAAAAAGATTGATTCACTTGACGGGCGTAACAAGTATCGTACACGATGGTCCAGCATACACCACCCATATATAGGGGGATATATATATGCCAGTCGACTATTCCAGCAACAGAAGCTGTTCCCAAAAATGATCCCCAGCTGAAGCACATTCCTATCCAAAAAACATCAGTGTCCGTGGTGTAGATCGGTAGCAACTTACCAAGCACAGCTTGTGGCCAGTTAATTATCCGCTTCATGGTAGGATACAACACAATCAAAACCAGTGAGGAGAGTCCGAGAATCAAGCTAAAGAGGGGTGCAAGGAATCATACAAACAGTGAAACAATCCAAGAATATGAGATAACATACCTGTAGTCATTTAACTGCGTAAACAGCCAGATACCAAAGGTCAAATGCAAAATAAGGAATACAAATGCCTGGATCATCGAGAGATCACCCGCAGCCAAGGGTCGCCTGCGTGTTCGCGCTTCAAGCAAAGGTGTCACAAGGAGTTGCCGATTGACTTGAATAAGGGAAAACTCACAAGTAGCAGCATCGATGTCTTTGTCCCACATATCATCGATTATACACCCAGCCGCGCAGAACACTTGAGAGGCTACAAGGAAAAATCCAAGATAGGTCCACGCTGTCGTCATCGGCGCACTGAGTGCGTAGCAGGTCATGGTGACCGACCATGCTAAGTTATTCAGATCACCAACGGAGAATACCTTCATCACAAAGATACACTCACCACATGGATAGAACAGCAAAAGTATTCCAGAGGGTCTGTGGACTCGTGCGAGATAAAAGTAAGGACGTATGTTAGAAGGAAGGTAGTCCACCCATGTGGCGGTCGGAGCCAGGTAATCCTGAAGGTGCAGTTTGCTTATTTGTAATTTGTCCCCCATGGAAAGAGCGAGTAGATTTGAACGTAGACGGACCAGTGAAGACAAGACGACTGGTTTTTTGTTTTATACAAGGTCAATTATTAATTTCGCTTGGAGACAATTGATTTGATCAAATATATGCGATACCTAGAATCTTGGAACCAAAAATGCTCGTTAGGCTAACAGAAGGAGCTTACAAAGGTTATAAAACCACAATCAGTAAAACCACAACCAGGATAGTTGAAGTGACACAGCTGTTACATCATCCGATCCTTTCAGAGCTGGAAAGCGGTATCTCGGAGGCCCATTACCTGCCAAACAAGAAATGTAGGGAGACGATAGAAAAAGCTTATGACGAGTTAAATGTCCAACATAGGGTCAATGACCCCAAAGGACTAAAATCTGAAGCAAAAAAAAAAAAAAAGTAGGTTGTCAACTTGTCAGAACCTTCGGATATGGTAACCTTTCTCAGGCTCGAAGGACAGGTTTTGGCTCGCATCTATGCCAGTGTGTTGCCAGTGTTGGTCAGACGTGAACGCGTATGACGGTCTATGACGGTCTGCCACGACCTACCCCGTCAACTTTTTCCGAAAGCGAGCTGCGGTTATCGCGTTGCAATGCGACAGTGGGACGCGTTGCCTAGGAACTTCAGCCCCTTTCGGTCCTCCAAATCTTGTTTTCAGAGTCGCACTAGTTATCAAAGTATTGTTATGATTGTAACTCACAAGCAACAGAAACTAGTTCCGGTTGGGGGTATGCTTGTCTGTGAGGTAAGTATAATATGATACCGTTCATTGAACTTCGTTCGGCTATAATATGAGTACCACTTCAGCGGAAAATGTGCTCCGCGGGTGCTTGCTGGCACTAACTTCTTTGTATGTTTTTTGCTAGAGGTCACATCCACGACTTCCAAGTGTCTCCTTGATTGGAATTCGGGATGCAGGCAAGTTCCTGTCAGTACGACTGTCACAACCTTTACCTACGCATATAATTCTTCGTGCAGTCATTCCTCGCTCTGCTTTCCGCGGCATTTCTGTATCAAGCTTTTTTAGCGCTCGTAGCATAATACAGAATTTCTACGGAGACTGTTAGCAGTACAAGCTATCCCCAACAAATTTTTCGCACCATAGGAGATCTTCCTAACGCGCAGTCACTCTCGGTTTTGATTCGTTCAGCTCTGTACCGACTTCAAGCTTTTCTAGATAATATTCTCATTCATCACCGATGTTCAAGGTTCGTTATCGAAGAGGGGCACTGACTAACAAATATGACTTTTCAGAGACTCACGTCTTCCACGTACGTTCAAAATCTAGTTCATGCTGTCGCTAAATGAAATCCAACATATATCGCGTCCAATGATGTACTTACTTCAGGTTCAGCAGTTGTAGTTGATGAAACAAGTTGGAAAATGGGATCGACTGTCCAGCATCCAGTAGAGGCAGCAATAGAAGCTTCTCCCAGGAGAAGAGAGACCAAAATGGTGCTGAAGAGAGTGTAAGGGACGATACAGATCGAAAATGTGAAGTAACAGACCTGTATTCATTCAACTGCATGAACATCTGAACAGCAAGGGCAACTGCGGAACGAGTGCCGAGAGATCACCCACAGCCAAGAATCTCCTGTGTATTCGACTTCAAGCGAAGATGTCACAAGGAGTTGCCGATCAACTAAATGATGGAAAACTCACGAGTAGCTGCGTTGATGTCTTTGTCCCAAACGTTGTCTGTCACACACCCAGCGGCGTGGAACACTCGGGCAGGCCACCAAGCCTTGAGTACGTCCGCATGCTCCCTGCGCACCCTGGGCCGGTTATGAACGTGAATGTGAATGGACAGGCCAACGGGAACCACTGGACTCCTTGCAAAGGGTATGTGTCTCTTTGGCATGCAAACACATGATCGGCGTTGTCCTGTCTCTCTGGATTGCAAAATCCTTCTTTTGGAGCGCCTGAATATCAAGCACTTGAAGCTCGAGTAAGGATGGAAGAAGTGGTGAGATATGAGTAGAATTCGTGAGACCAATCAAACAGCAAGATCTGCGACAAATTCATGACTGGACGTTGACAGGAGATTCTAAAGGCAGGACAAATATGAGAGATATTTATCGGAGGATAAGACGAACCTCGGAAAGCGAGGTCTGAAGCTTGAGTTACAAGTTAGGAATGTGCAAAATGCACAAGATTACTCATGAGTTGGCGTTGTGAGGCAGGAAACACGTTTTGCGTTTGTTTGAGATCCTCCATGACGCGAAGTTGCAGTAATTGGACATGACGCGGGGGCACTGATGATAGGCCTTGGCGGGGACACCTACATTCTAGCTTCAAGTTCCACTTCTGCCTCCCCTTCTTCCACTTTGAAGGCCTTTCAATTCCTCGTCAGCGCACCTGTTTGGATTTTGATTTGGGAGTAAATTTCGAAGGTAGAGTGAGAATAGAAGCAAGCTCTGCGGTTCCCCCACCAGCCCGTAAGGATTAAAGTTTACCCTTCGCGATGGAGAAACGTGAACAGATAGTTAGTGAAAAGGAAAGAAGGACTTACCTGAGGCTGAAGCATACGTTCTTCATAGTCCAAGTCGAGATCACCTAGGAATGAAAATCCGGCTGAAACGAGGCACGATAGTAGAATAATAGTACAACGAAACACACCTTCTTGCGTTGGCGCGAATATATATGTGATACTTCTGGTTCCAGTCAGATGATCCTAGACAACTGTGGGGCTCTAATCTCATTTCCATGTCTCTGAATCTGGTTCCAGGGTAACTCTCTTCGTCTTCACGCTCAGCGTATTAGCTTCAACATCCATCCGTGCCCAATGTGAAGACTTTACTGCATCTTCGACATCTGATAACCTCTCCTGTAGCACCCCGGCATCGTCAAAGAAAAGGAGCACGAAAGTGGTTGTATAAAGGACTCGGAGGGGTTGTCTGCGGTTTTGCTGCGGTTGTCTATTCGTTTGTGGAGCGGACCAGCATGACGTGATGGTGTTCAGATTGCTGCAACATATCTTAAGGTGACCTACAACGATACTTTGAAACTCGTCTTCACTGTGCATCGTTGCTGGGTTGAAACTGACAACAAGGCGGAATAGGCGGAAGATGCCGAGCCACTCCGAGGTTCAGTATTACTGGTACCAGCTTCACTTGAAACTTGCAATGAACAGTCTTGACGGCATCCTTGGGTGAAACGATGGTCGTGCATTTATTCGGGTCATGTCGAGGGAGGCTTCCAAGTGCAGGTGCAGGTTTGCGTGTTCTCATGCATTCCCGACTCGCATCTACTATGTCCCAGTACCCATTCCCGCGTCACCCACGACCAACTCCGCACCAAATATTCCACCTCTCCCACAACGCATCTCAAGCTGATATCAAGTCAAGATGTTTGTATACTTGCTCATACTCACACTAACTTCTGATCGACATCCCTAGACTATGAACTCGTCCGAGAACACCATCCCGATTCTGCCCATGCGCAACATATTCCTGCTTCAGAACGACACTCCCGCTTTCAATCCATAACTGCCGCGTATGAGGCTCTTACTGGGAAATCTCGCTTACAGCTTGGTTCGGGGCTCCGCAGCAGTCCGTCCGATTCTTACATGTATGAAGAGTTGGGACGGCGGAGACGCGCGCACCATAGGAGTGCGGGGATGGACTTTGACCGCGATCATCCATTTGGCTTCGCGAGTGGAACACCTGGGAGGGAATGGACTGCGAGGCCCGATGAGAGATGGAAGGACTGGTCAATAATATTCGTGGGCACTGCGGTATGTCTTCTCTACCAGTTTATGGCACCTCTATATATCAATCATTCCATGAAGTGCTTCATCATGGGCATCGCTCCTATATTTTTCAGTCATAGTTCCGATAAGCGCCACACGAGTGCAGTCCAACACCTTGCCCAAGCTCGCAGTGAAGCTCAGGAGTACGGGATGGAGCGGCGAAGGGAAATTAGACGGCGCGTACGGGAATACCAGTTGGAACAAGGAGGAGCGCGATGCGCGTTGTAGCTGTGACCGCAAGACTGAGAGAAAGTAATCAAGTCACTACCGTTGCTACCGCGAGCATTGAACATAGACGGAGTCCGACTGTATTTCTACTTCTATTCTTCATTATCATCCACATCAATATATGGCAGGGCCAGGCTGAACGTTGTCTCAGTGTCAATTTATTCTCACTGATGATGGTCAAGGACCATTCCAGCTTCCTGGAAACCCCATATCATGGTAAGTACCGCAGTTCTAGTCACTACTTATGTACATTTCCGAAGGGTTTGTAGTCGAACCCGTGATACACTTGACGCTGAGCAAGCACACACGTCGTTCGGTCATTCTCGAATCGACAAGCGGGAGCTAGAAGTATCTCAATGTCATGGTCATGACAACCATTCGAGTCATTATTTAGAAGAGACCGCTGTTATCTTCTCCTGTAGAGGAAAACAGTGGTTCCTTCTGAATTAGTGGTGCCTCGATGACCTACATAGACGGGGCTTGACCATCAACACGCACGTCACGCGTCTTGTCTGGTTCAATGCGGAGGGTTCGGCAAATCATTCGAGGACTCGGAACGTAGATTGCCAATTCATTTGAATTTTTGCGATCCATTTGCCATGGAGGACAGCAAATTACATCTACCCGGAATACCAAAAATTTACTTCAGAATCCCTGCAAATCGTCATCATTGTTGGATTCAGGATTCTCTTCTATTATAGTAATGCTCATGTGTCAAGTGCACATTCAATAATGGAAGGGTGAGCTCGCAGCGAGTAAACGTTCGTGATGCGGAGCCCGCATCCCTTCACAAGTGTCTTCCATTCATGCTGTTCAATCATCAGTGGGCAAGGCGTGGTCAACTGTGTTCGGCACGCACCAAAGACCTCTCGCAACCGTTCATCAGCGTCAGCATATGCACCGAGACAGCGCTTACTTGCTCAGACGCTGAACCAAAGTGCGATGGAATACTATAGTCGAGATCATTAGCATGGCTGTCCAGTAAGAATGATTTGGTGCTCGTTGAATCTGCGTTCGGGACAGCTACTATGTCGATGATGAGTATTTTGGACTGTGAAACACATCAGACATTCAGACGTGGTACATTTATCCGCTAATTGGCTTGTTACCTTGGGACCCAGTGCACGAGCTACATTGCCCAGTATCGTCGCCTGAGGCAAAGTCAGTTACGCTAATGAATATGGGACGAGCAACACTGGCCGCTTCTTTGTCAGGCCAATTATGCCTTTGGCAGGACAGCTGTGAGCAAAATCAGCGTGAGGCAAATAAGTACTCACATTATGTGACGCAGGATAAAGCTATACTCGTTTCCGATCCGACGCTGAGGCTGGAAAAAGTCGTGGACTTCCACCTTGAGTATACCACTTTCAACATGGCGAGGGCGGCGTTCTTCGGTCAGTGAGACAATACCCTCCGTATCCTGCACGACGGCTCGGAAGGAAGGATGCCTGTCATGATTGAGATACAGGAATATGAGGAATATGACGTCTGCCAACTTACGCATCTAGGATGGCCGAAACTAGACCGCCCATGCCTCCTCCGCAATCAACGATGACGGATGTTTCTAACTGTTCCCATGGGTAGTCTGCCACGATACTCGGCGTAGACATGTCACCGATGACCTAGAACAGAAAACTTCCAATGAGCGCTGTGTGACTCTAAGAATTACTGACTTGAATATGATCCGACACTGAAATGACAGTCCCTTGATTCTGCATAATCCAAGAGAATCGGTGCAAGGGGGTCTTGAACGCGATCTGAAAGGCAGTCTGCGTTGGGGAACGCGATAGTTTCCAATCTGATTCTGTTGCCCAATGTGGTACGGCTTCTACCATCGTCATAAACCCAGGCGTACTCCTCGACATTTAGCCTCCTGGCAGGCGCTCATATAGCGAACACCTACGGAAGGCCCAATCTCCAACCTGGGTGACCTTTGATGAAAGTGCGCGAGCATCTGTTCAGAGCAAATGAGGAATCACAGGTCTCCCTAGCCCAACCATTGGCTGCATAGCAACGGAGAATGGGAACGAGTTTTTGAGAATCAAGTTCAAATTTCGAGGCCAGTTCAGCGGCTGAGACACCTCTGGAGGGGTTTGGTACGTCAGACAAGTAGTCGATGATACCGGTCTTGATGAGGGTGTCGGTGCAGACAGCGACGTACGCTGCGAGCCTCTCATCCATACGCTTATCCAAAGGGACACTGTACAAGGTTCTTTAGCTCTCCCTATAAGATACGCTCAGATCAATAAGAGACAGGGCTCGGTTGTGACCAACCAGACATGCTGAAGGAATATTGAGTTTGTGCATTGGTGCGTGTAAGAATAACGACTCACCTAGAGAAAGGCGGCGAGCCTCAAACAACGCTGTACTAGGTAGGTAGGTTGTTGGGTCATCCAATGGGTGTTCTACTGAATTGTATTGGCTTAGAGGAGGAAGCTGAGAGCTGTCCATCTCTTTGCGGAGGGTATCGAGTGCGAAGTTCAAACATGATTGGAGACGATCAAGCTCTGCGTGGATCATGGTGCAGTTTGCTTTGCAAGGAACGATGAAGTCTTGAGCTTTATCCTTTAAATGGTGTTGCTGGCAGAACTCGGCAGTTTTGCCAACCGGTTTTCGGCAGAAAGGGGGGCAGTGGCAGAACCTGGCAGAACTCCAGGGTATCCGAGACTCGTGGAGATGTAATTAGATCTCTGATAACAAAATTTAAATTCAAGAGAACATGAAAACCGACGTCCTTAAAGTAAGATGGTGCAAACTGGAGGGCGCCCCCTCGCATCCCTGATCAACGACAATTTCGAGCGCCTGGAACGAGTTGACAACAACTCGAATCGCTACTACTGGAAATGCAAACATTGCGGCGACACTGATAACTCATCAGGTACTCAAATCCAGGGTCATTACAACAGCCTACCGGGCCATCTTATCAAGCGCTGCACCAATGTAACTTCGTAACGTTAACGAAGTTGAAGTGCTCGAGGGAAATGCTTTTGATTTTGGCGAGTTGGATCGGGTCGAACAAGGAATAATACCACAGGCTATTCGAATTCTAGATGAGGTTGAGGTGGTTAATTACAATGGCGAGGGTGGCGGATGGGACGAGGCAAAATATTGATGTCATCGTTAGGAATGTCGTATACATAGTCTACAATGTACATAGCGCCTAGAGTTTTGCCAGATTTTCCGGTTATATTGTCACCGACAGAGCCGCACGTGATGCAGCAGGAGAAGTTCGTCTCAAGAATCAAGAAGGCTCGGACTAGGAACGAGAACGAGGCTTCATATACATATTGGGTCAAAAGAGTCAGGAGGATATTCAACGCGGGGAGAAGTATCAATACGGAGGATCAAAGGAGAACGTGTATGAGGCATGTAACGAAGAGTGATTGCGTATAAGGATGAGTACGTCGTCGATAGTTATATCTTGACAGTTCGCCCGAATAGCGGCGCGGACATTTCGATGATTGGAAATAGGCATGACGGATGTCGATGAGAAACCAAACATGATTTTCATCTTGCAATCACTGATGAACCAGAGCGACATATTTGCCAGCTGGAACTTATTGATCTGCAGTGGCGGAATATAACTGGCAAGCAGATTTCTGCTGTATCGCCCCGCAATTACCATCTTGTCATATGCATAATCTAGAAATTAATTTAAATCATCAGTCTAAAATGTAAGTTACCTTGCATGCAACAGAACGTCCTGGAGCGGCCCACCATTTTCATCGCTCTAAGACAAATGGTCGGTTCCCAGATGCTATATTTGATTGTAAACCCTGCCAGGAGGAGCAGGCTTATCGTTTCGGAAGTCAGTGGCAGTCAACCACCCGAGTTCCGTCACTTTTTATTCATGCCACGTCTGCATTACTCAGCTTTACAAAACTTTCCTTGCATCTAGATGCGATACATTTTCAAATGGTGTTTCTAGTTTACCAGAAGCCGGTGGCAGACATCGAGTTGCTCAGTTGTAAACAGACTGTGGGGTAGACGGTAGGCCATGAGAGGATGAAGGAGATTGTGGTACCCTAAAACACTGACCAACATACGTAACGACTAAAAGTGAACGCAAGTAATCAAGTCGCTCACTACATTAAGCGAAGGAACAAGGGCAACATATTCCGCTCGCTGCTCATCTGTGGTCCCAGTCCCAGAGCCTAAAATCAGGGTCTCCAGGGCGCAATTTGACCGCATCAGGAATGCCTTAAACTCCACATGAGGCCACGGTTCCATAAAGCCAGCTTCAAACGTGCGCAAATTAGGGAGTGAGAGAGAGTCGAACAGGTCAGATAATCGGGGTTGGGACTGCAAAATCACCATTGATGCGTAAGGATTGAAGTCCAACATGCATGAATGGCACCAAGGCCTGGATGCTGCGGAGCGATGTGCGAATCGCTAACGAGGAAAGGTCGGGACCTAACTGGAGCAAGCGGAGAACTGCGTTTGGTTCACGTATAGCGATTATGACATTTGTCAGGCGGGCCCATACGCGACTACACAAAGACACGTGTCCGAGGTCGAATGAGGGCCCTATTATCTCGAGGCGCCGCAGAGTTATTGGAAGTCGAGATATGCATTGTACAATAGCTGACCCATCTATTCCCATTGCGACGATGGTTAGCTCCTGAAGTGCTGGGATATCAGTTAACATGAGTTCCGGTTGATTGGCGCCGAAGGCAAAATTGATGAAGAGAGACGAGATTTGATGTATATAAGGCTGAAGAAAGCTTCGTAGTTCAGAAGAGTGCCAATTTTTGCAGCAATAGAGTTTTAACGATAGCGGATGTCCTCGTGATCGCTTGAGCCATAAGTCATAGTAGAGGACTTCATTATTCCAATCATATCTGCGGTCAGGTGCGACAGATAGCCTACACCACAAACTGGGTGTGCCCACTGCAACGACCCTCCATCGTTGGCATACTCCAGTCAACCACATAAGAACTTCTAGATCTGATGGCAGCTCAGAATCATCGGAGTTTGTGAGACAATGGTGAAAGATTTCCGACAGAACCTCAGTCGGCAAGCGCCAAAGCGCCGATCCGTGTCTCTTGTGCAAATTCAAGGACTGGGCGATCTTGTCCTTCCTTTCAACGAGCTGCTGGTGAAGATTGTTTATATTTTCCACAATGGTTTCCAGGTCCGAGAGCTCGAGTAAAGCTGCATCTAGCTGTTGTCGGCGTTCAGTGATGAGGGCACCGATGGACTGGTCTTCGAGCTCAATGGCAGAGTAGTTCACATTGAGGAAACGGGCCTGTGAGTACGCGGATTCGAGGTCTGGCATCTAGTGATCATGAATATAATGACATCCGATATGTGGCGGCAGACATACGGTTACTTGTGAACGTGCGAGCTGAAAAGAATGAACATTAGTACATGCAGACCGCGAGTACCTACAAGACTGGACACTTACAACGTCTTGCAGTGAAGTGATAATATCAGAGACCGAAGAGAACTTTGCTTTCGAGTTGGCTGCCATCCCGCCAATTAATGCCTGCATGTTGTTTGCCAACGTCCGCGAAGAAAAGGTTTCGAAGAGAGCGACACTAACAGAAAATGTACAAAGTTGAACCAAGTCACCGCCACTTGAATCTTGATGTTTGTGGTTGTAATTCAAACACCTTCGGACCACGGCAGGCTAATGGTCATGTTATCTTATCTTCTGGACTTGAGTTCACGAAAATGAAAGACTGGACCTTTCTCGTTTTCTGTTTTCTTCTCAGCTGGTCGATAATGCCTGTTAACCCTCAGATACTCGGTAAGTTAGAACATTCTCAGAAGGTACTCGAGACACCGCCATTGGAACATCCAACTCCTCCTGCTAAACTCCCATCTCACAATCCAACCCGCTCTTTCTGGATCGATTCCTCCCCGGACGCAAATCCACTCGCTGGTCATGGTAGCAAAGATCCTCTGCCTAGTGAGGCAGACATCTGCATCATCGGGGCTGGTATCACTGGCGTTGGAGTCGCGTACCACCTTATCGAACTCTTGAATAATGCCTCGCTTTCTGTCAAACGCCCGCTCAGGATCGTAATACTTGAGGCGAGAGGATTTCTGTCAGTTTTTCCCAAGCTGATTGTGAGTTTTTCGTACGGTGCTGACGCGTTTCAGGCTCAGGAGCGACTGGTGCGTGGAGCACTAAGTGTTTCTTTAGTTCCTCGTGCAGAGAATATTTTTGTAGGAAGGAATGGTGGACATCTTACGCCGGCCGCTTTCCTCGAGTTTTCTCAGCGTCAGGCATTATTCAACACGGCTGAGGCAATTAAGTCCTATGAACTCGAGCAACACACCGCTTCTCTGCTCGTCAAAATCATAGAGGAAAATGGCTGGGCAAGCGACACCGACCTCGTGGAAGGTGGACACATAAATCTCTTGTTCACAGAGAAGGAAGAAAAAGATGCGCACAAGGACTTCGATATGGCACGTCAAGCACAGCTCAATCTAGATGATGTGGAATGGCTCTCGAAGGAGGAAGTCGAGGAGGTGCTCGTTCTCGCTAGCCATCTCTCTAGTCTGACTCAACGCACTCATTACCAGGAATACGGTGCCCCTTACCCAGGATTCCGCGAGCCAGGGCATAATGTCTGGCCGCTGAAACTCGTTACGAAGCTGTACCAGCATGCTCAAGCACACGCTGGGCAATACGCCTCCCTCAGCTTGCACACTCGGACGCCGGTGACTGCAGTCACGCACGAAACGACCGATAACTCTTCCACCTATACAGTCGTGACAAACCGGGGTAGCATATCGTGCTCCCGCGTCGTCCATGCCACGAATGCGTACTCCTCTTATCTCCTTCCCTTCCTCGCAGGTCCAGCTGGAATTATACCCACTCGAGGACAAGTAATGACCACCCGTGCTTCTGTCGGTACAGATCAAATCAAGACACCAAGCTGGAGCGGAAACGAAGTAAGCCACTCCATCCTAGCCCGTCTTGTCGTGACCAATCTCTCTTTTAGGGCTTTGCATACTGGTTCCCCCGGCCCATAACACATGACACCGAAAAACCGTTGATTATCATCGGTGGCGGCCGGGAAGCCGTGTCACCCAGTTACGAGCTATATGTGGACGATGACTCCCAAACTCACCCGCTTGTTGGGAAGCGCTTCGCGAGTTCTTGCCGTCTGTATTCGAAGGTAAATATGACCCCGATTCAGAGCCTGAGATGGAATGGGTAGGTACTCTTTTACGTGCATGAGGATATCCCTAACGAGGGTTTAGACTGGCATCATGGGCTACACGAAGATGGGAGACCCGTTTGTACGTCTAAGCAACTCTTGCAGCTACTGTCGTTGATGTGTCCCTCGCCAGGTTGGTCCCGTAGCAGAATTACTCGTAGCCAATCCAGACGGGGACCTGTACAAGAAACAGTACATCGCTGCAGGATATACTGGCCATGGAATGCCACGCGCATTTGGATGGTAAGTCTTATATTGTGTGGCTGTACCATCTCGGACTCAATTCATACATGATATGGCTGCCAGTGCCGAAGTCATCGCGCAAATGATTTTTGCTGAGATTTCTGATAAAGAGTGGAAGGAGCCTGATTGGCTTCCACAGCGTTATCTGACATGGAACAGACGAGTCGAGTAAGATCTTACGGAGCGTGATGTTGTGAATTCCAAAAAACACTAGATATCATATGCTTGTATTCAGTAGGCCATATCGAGATACCCGCTAACCAGGTCATGTAACACACTTAGTTGCAGAATATTTCCACAGAATCGGAGTCTCGAACTGATGAGATCTTTCAAGGTACCACATGACGGATTCGTCAGCTAGGACAAACTGGTACAACCGTCCGAAACTAGCTAGGTGGCCAGCTGTATCAGATTTAGTGCGCGTGATGCATATTCGGTATCTACATATATACGTCATGCATGGACTTCACGTTATATATTGTCTTACTCGTTCCCTCTGTTTTTGGGCTCAGCTACTCATTTGTACTGTGCTACATAGTCAACAATAGCAGCCGAACTCCTCAACCTGTCGAGTCTACCGTCCCCTGTTACTCGTCCGAAACTTTTCGGTTCCCTGGAATAACGCCTCACGTCAGAGAGGATCAGGTCATCGTCTTGTGTGTTTGCACCAGCAGGTCTCCCTGAAGAGCCAGTCTGTGGAATCGCGCACTCGTTTCTCGTACCTTACTGGGTGGCTCGACTACAGAGTAAATATCAGGATGAGGTGTATGTTTGTAGGAGGGCGCAGCTTGACAAAGGCGTCTGGTCCGGCTCTTTCGGAAATATGAATTTACCGCTGGAAGCTTGAAGTCTCGGAACATGAGTGGCCTTAGTGTAATTTGTAGGACAATGCGCAATGGGGCACATGAAGTTATATGTCATTGATACCGGGAGCATCCATCTAATGTGCAGGAAAATTGTCATCACTATGGGATCCAAAATTCTCTGTTGTTACAACAACCCTTGTGCGTCAAGTGCACACTCAATAACGGAAGTGTGAGCTCGCAGCGAGTAAACCTTCGTAATGCGGAGCCCGCACCCTTTAACAAGGTTCTCCCACTCACGCTATTTCATCTTCAGCAACGCATAGGTCAAACCTTGTTTGGTACGTACCAAAGACCTCTCGCAACCGTTCATCATGGATAGCATATGCACTGAGTACCCGCTGACTAGTTTGGACGCTGAACCAAAGTGCGATGGAACACAATAGTCGGGGTGTTTATCATCGCCGTCCGGTAAGAATAATTTGGCACTCGTTGTAGCAGTCGAGTCTACGTTCGGGATAGCTACCATGTCGATGATGAGTATTTTGGACTGTAAAACATGTCAGATATAGCATATTGATATGTTGATCCGGCTATTTGCCTTGGGGCCCAGTGCGCGAGCTACGTTGCCCAATATTGCGGCCTGGGGCAAAGTCAGCTGTGTCACTTAAGTAGGATGCGCGCCACCAACCGCTTCTTCGTCAGGCCAATCATGCCTTTGGTATATAGGACTGGGGTGAACAAAGTCAGCGCCGAAGGGGACCAGCACTCACAGTATATGACGCAAGATAAAACTATACTCGTTTCCGATCCGTGGTTGAGACTGGAAAAGATCGTGGGCTTCCACCTTGAGTGTACCACTTTCTATATCACGAGGGCGGCGTTCCTTCATAATCGAACTTGTCAGTGCGACAACATTCTCCATGTCTTGCACGATGGCTTGGAAGGAAGGATGCCTACCATGATTGAGAATTCAAGAATGCTTGGAATATGATATATATAACTTACGCGTCTAGGATGGCCGAAATTAGACCGCCCTCTCCTCCTCCACAATCAACAATGATGGGCGTTTCCAGTTGTTCCCATGAGTAGTCTGCCACAATACTCAGCGTAGACATGTCACCAAGGACCTAGAACAGCAAAAGTCCAGTAAGCGCTGTGTAACTCTCACAGACATACTGACTTGGATATGATCCGCCAATGGAATAAGGCCCTGTGGATTTTGTATGACCCAGGAGAATCGTTGCAAGGGAGTCTTGAACGCGATCTGGAAAGCAGTCTGCGCTGGAGAACGCGAGAGTTTCCAATCCGATTCCGTTACCCAACATGGCATGGTTCCGACTAATGACATAAACCCAGGCGTACTGCTTGACTTAGTCTCTTGACGGGCGTTCATACGGTGAAAACATACGAAAGGTTCAGTCTCCGACCTGCGTGACCTTTGATGAAAGTGCGCGAACATCTGTTTAAAGCAAATGAGGAATCTTGGGTCTCCTGCACCCAACCGTTGGCTGCACAGCAGCGGAGAATGGGAACGAGCTTTTGAGAATCCAGTCCAAATGTTGAGGCCAGTTCAGCAGCTGGGATACCTTTGGAGGGATTTGACAAGTCAGACAGGTAGTCGATGATACTGGTCTTGATGAGGGTATCGAAAGAGGCAGCGCTATACGCTGAAAACTTCTCGTCCATGCGCTTATCCAAAGGGGGCTGGATAAGGTTTTTTAGTTCTCCCTAGAAAAGGTGCTCAGATGAATAAAAGGCAGGGCTCGGTGATAACCAACCAGGCATGCTAGAGGAAGATTCATGAAGGTTAGGCGTTGGTGAGTGTAAAGCATAGCGGCTTACCTAGAGAGAGGAGGCGAGCATTAAACAACGCCGTGCTGGGGAGGTAAGTCGTTGGGTCATCCAACGGGTGTTCTACTGAGCTGTGTTGACTCAGGGGAGGAAGCTGAGAGCTGTCCATCTCCTTGCGGAGGGTGTCAAGTGCGAAGTTCAAACATGCTTGAAGACGATCAAGTTCTGCGTGGGCCATGGCACAGGTACTGGTTGTGGGCAAGAAACAACTGATCAATAAAAGAAACGCTGGCGTGTATGGTCGGTTACTCCCTGCTTACAAACACCGAACAGAATGGTGAAAGACTCGGGCATTCATGAGATAAAAGTGGTAATACAAATGATGGGAGGATACGATAAGTCACTATACCAACGAGCGCGGGAGCAGCTTGGTATAAAGTGCTGGGGGCTAGCGAGGCCCCTAAGATCGGCGGGCCTACCCAACGATAACAGATGAGTCCGTGGGGTAGCTTGCGAGGTACTACTGTTGTACCTCTTAAAGAGTTGAGGGAGAGGATACTGACGACGGCGGGAGAAAATGTTGGGGACTCTCGGTTTAGGACCGGTGGGGGCTTACCCTCCAATGAGAATGTATGAGTCCGTGAGGTGGCTTGCGAGGGCCCTAGGGAGATCTGGCGGGTCACAGAAATGGGTTTTGTCTTCCAACGAAACGGAAACCAGGTCTAACAGACCATGAGAAGCCTCGGAAAAGTGCTGCCAATGGTGGGTGACTGGTCGGAGTAAATCTCTTGATCCGGGTTTGACCCATCAATGCATCATATTGGATGCTTAGCCGAAGCTGATCACTCCCGCTTTCCATACTTAGTATCCAAATTGGTAGCAGATATGTGTCAAGTATCTGTAAGCTCGTACACGAAATGTGCGAAGCTTGTACATCCGCCAAGTCACCTGTGTGCCTGCGTATCGCGAGCAAGGCAAGAAGTGGTGAAGCTTTGAAGAGCAGTACGCTACAACTTGAACAAACACTGACTGGCTGACTAAGCTACGCTGGCCCTCGCCTAGGGGTGACCCCGGACCACTTGAACTCGGCCGACGTACATGAATTTTGAACTACGCACCGACAGTGTTGTTGGCAAAACTCGGCAAAACTGGTTGTGCCCGGTCCTCGGCAGAACTCACGCGAAAGGGGGGTGGCAAAACTTGGTAGAACTCCAGGATATCCAAGACTCGTAGAGACGTAATTTAGCTCTCTGATAACATATTTTGAATTCAAGAGAACACGCAAAACGACGTCCCCACTGATAACTCATCAAGAGCGCACATTCTGTGATCTCGAATACGATCTGCACAGCGGTGTAATCTCTTAGTTGACACATTTGAAATACTCGGCAAAATTCATGCAAACCTTCGCACTCTGTGACATGCACACTCGTGAAGAGATTGTTGAGACTCCACAGGATCTTGAAGCATCCTTCGCATGGGCACCTTCGCTCTCGACTGAGCCTCGCAATGCAGATGACCTTCTCACTGGTCTAGAGAGTATCTCGCCTGACGACATTGCCGCTGAATTTGCAGCTCTCGAAGAGTTGAAAAGCATTGACGAAGTTGAAGTACTCGTGGGAAATTTTGATTTTGACGAGTTGGATCGGGTCGAACGACCACAGCTGTTCTAGATGCCCCCCACACTACGCACCGATCATCCCCCCTGCTATGTCCTAACTAACGATATTCCTCCGCTTGCCGCCACCCTTATAATCCCTTTTCTTTCTTTCCATGATTGATAGTATAGGCTACTCTCGCATCTTAAGCACTGTCTCCACCCACCAATATGATTGTGCTGCCTACCATACCCTACTACCGTGACCGCCTACACCCTGCAGCAGCTGCCTCCTGCCTCCTGCCATCCCTACCCACCTTACTGCGCCCTCTCGCGTTATTTCAGTGAGTTGTCCTCTTTCTCTTACTAAAGTCAATTTTTCCTACCTTCTTCTGCCCACATTTACCCGCTTGCATTTTCTGCACTCAACTCCATCCATGATATGTTTTTTCTTCTATCTCTTCCTTTTTATATATCATACCTTGTGCGCCCGCTGCTACCTTGTGCATGTGAGTTTTTTTCATTTCTCGTCTTCTAACTTTTAGTAGCCTCCCACTGGCACATCATCTTAAACCGTACCCCGCCTTCTCACACAATATTGCATTCTCGCGCCTTCTCGCATTGCCATCAATTTCACTTTTTCTCTTGTTTGTCCTCCACTCTGCCGCTTCAACCCATCATGCATCACGACTCCTTTCGCCTCGTCACCTTTTTTACGTTCAGTACTTGCCCCTCCTATATCTGTATCTCAACTTACATTCACACTTTATTTCTGTGCTTGTTGGCTATAACCTATAGCCTGAGTGTACTCTAGTAGCTACTGTAGTGCAATTTGATGTGCCCATTATTATTGTGATCGAATGCGAATGCATACAAATTCATTACCCGTGCAAGGGACCACCGGCCCGGGGAAGCACAAAATGCATCACGAGTTGCAATAACAGCATGGATTGAATGTCGCCCAAACAAGGGTCTACCGAGAGATATAAATATAACAAGGCTTGTAGGAGTAAGTATAAATCCTAGTCGCGTGCACGGACTTATATCGTAGCTCAGTGCTCACAAGTCTGTCAGTTGTTTGTAGGTAATGCCCGTTGATGGGAAGGACTGAGTTGGCGTGCAGCCCAACCTTATATATGCGCTCATCTAAAGGCTAGTTAAGGTTCTTTACTTCTTCCTAGGAGAAGCGCTCAAATGAACAAGATGCAGGACTCAGTTGGTAACTAACCAGGCGTGCTTAGGGATGATTAATCAATTATTGGTGGTATAAGTAAATGGCGTACCTACAGGGAGGCGGCAGGCTTCAAACAACGGTAGGTAGATTGCTGCGCCTTCCAACGGGTTCTACTGAGCTTGTGTTGGCTCAGGAGAAGAAGCTGAGAGTTTTCCATAGGTATCGAGTGCGAAGTTCAAGCATGCCTGGAACCGATCAAGTTCTGTGTGATGCGATTGATTGGCAAAACATGTCAAAGTCTCCTAAGCCTGTATAGGATCACCTGCCTTCCCTTGTACACTCGCACCCCACTAGCGTGATCCTCGACTTCCGAACCGTCAATATCAGCGGATATACAAATATTATCACGATTGCAAGAAAGCTGGCGCAAAGCAGTAGGAGCGAGATTGATCATTCTCTATCGCTGGTAAATGTGATCCCTATCATAGAATTGAAACTGTTAAAGCGGTCAGTCATCTGCCTCTCCTACATAAGGCTTGTATGCAGCTGGATTTGCACCTTATAACCTCCGCTTCAGGATATGGATCGAAAGCTGGGGGATCCACATTCTATACTCGCCTACATGGAATCACACGCCAAAGAAGCGGAATCAGCCAAACGACACGGTCCTCGATCAACCAATGACCCGGTTGAACATTTACCTACTTTGTTTGCATCCCTCCCGACTCCTGTACCGGTTGCCTAAGGCAGCCGAGTACGCGTTAAGTATTTGAACATAGAAGTAGCACCACACAACGATAGCTCATACACAGTCATCTCAACAAAAGGCAGCGCGTCTAAAACGGCCGGCAGGAACGTCGCGAGCCCGAGATGCACCCGAGACACTGGGGGTCTCTAGTATAGATTGTAATGTCCTACATAGAGTATCACTCTGCAAAGGACAGAAATTGGATACAAAAAAAAAAAAAAGCTGGGGGATCGTTCAATTTGGAATAGGCATGACGGATGTGAAACTCTAAACCAGATTTTGCATTTACTTATTGGCATCACTGACGCACTAGAGCGTATGAGTTTGCCAGCTGGAACCTATTGGTCTGTAGTAGTGGAACATGATTCGCCACACCACCATCTTGTCATAATTCAATTCGCCAGAAAAAGTCCAAAAGGTAGATCACCTTTTGCAACGCCTGAATTACAGAGCCACCTTCGTAGCTCATCGCTCTAAGACCGATGTTCGATCCTCAGACGTGTACTTGATATGACCCGACCAGGAGGAGCATACATACGCGTTCAATCACATAAGCTACACCACTTTATTCATGCCACATCCGCATCACTCAGCTTTACGAAATTTTCCTTGCATCCAGATGCGATACATCTTCAACTGCCGTTTCCGATTGACCAGAAGCCGGCGGTCGACACCGAGTTGTTCGATTGTAAACAGAGGGTGTGGTGGACAGTAGGACAGAGGACGAAGGAGGTTGTGGTGTACGTCAGAAGATGGACCTGAAGAGGGCAAGCTGAGAGTATCGTCAAATCCTAAGTTGGGGGTGTCCGCTGGCGTGTGTGAGGCGGGACTGGCAGTTTGTGATGGCGCAGGTAGTGACGTTGGCTCGTTATCTTCATCTTCGTCTACAATTTCTGTCATTGTTGATGTTTTCTGAGCAGGCGAGGCGCGGGATCCGGTGAAGATCAATGCAAGCTCGTCTGAATACAGCAACAGAATTAAGAAACTTGGTTGATTGAGTTTTATTCGCGACGTACCAAGCTCAAAGAAATAGACTCGTGTCTTATCACCCCGGATGTAAAAATTATCTTCAAGGAGACGACCGGATTTGAATCGCAGCTGCGTGAGATCATGTCTACCATAGTCGCGGAATAATACAAGCCCGCCAGGCTTGAGCATCTAATGGCAGGTGATGAAGTGACCGTCTCGGTGAAGCCATTTAAATACCTTATGGATGTTAGCGATAGCTTTGCCCCATTCGTCCGGGTGGAGCGCACTGAGCACGAACACCAGTATAGTAATGTCCACAGTCCCTGGCTCTACACCTGGTGGTAGCGTGTCCAGTGAGGATAAATCCCAGACAGCCGCTTCTATCTTGCCAATAGGCGGGGAGCTATAGAGAGCATTTGTCTACTCGTGGACTGAGCCGAAGACACGAGGATAGTTAACCTGTGCATACCTGCACTAATTTGACTGCATGGGATGAGTAATCGTAGGCGCGTATGATAAGATTTGGGTTTTGGTTCGCCGTTAGGAGCGGAAATGCAGCATTGCCGGCGCCTATACAAGGCTTAGGTATATTTCATCAAAGATAACACTAGTACTCACCGCATCCAATCTCGCAAATGGTTATATCCCCTGCCTGACTACATAAGATAAATCATTGATGAAGTACAATCCCTTACATCTGGTTCTGCCGCTGTCAGCAGCTCTGGAAATTCAAGATGTAACCTTCAGCTAAAAGGGTGAGGGTATCACCAAGGACAGAAAGAGTGATGCCTACCATTTTCTATTTCGGAAGAAATTATCGGCATTCGTCTTGTAAAAATTATCCCTATCAATCGAAAGCGTCAGAGCGAATGGAACGATGAAAAAACGAAACTTACGAACCAATATTTCGCAGGTTTTGCATTATAATTTTTCTTGTCGTCATCAGGCACTGGAGCAAGACGTTGCCTTGCCAATGATGCAGTTATCGTTTCAGTTTGATCTTCAGGGGGCGGAACATGGTCCCAAGCGTTCTGGGTCCAGACATCAGAGTCTTGCGTAAGAAATCTACACATTTGATGCATCAGATCAGGTATTTTCTGTGTTAATGTTCCTCATGGTTACCTGGATCCAAAGGGGGGTTTCTCAGCGTTGATGTCGTGCACCGATGAGCTTAGCTTCGGTATGCGCACAGGTTTGGCTTCCAGTGAAGAAGTCATGCGGAGCACACGGCACAGGTCGAGATCCTGATGGTGAAAGAAACGGTTTGTCCAGACACAGCAGCACGCTCTGGTGCAAATTATACCCTGAACGCGATCGGGAAAAAAAAGATCAGTAAACGTGGACTGCCAGTGGTCACTGCAATGGATGAGTTTAGCTCCGGATGTAACCGAAATCCGATGCTGATTATTGGCTAGGCTTCCTGAGCGCCCACCAAGCAACAGTCTCGTCTTCCTACCCGTCCAACACTGGGATCCAAGTTTTCTGATAACACAGAAAATTGTGTTCTGTCGCTGTTCTTGACATCGACCACCATCAAAATCTGCATCTGGTTGGTCTCCAGGTAGTATCAGACTGCTGCGCAGCCGTAGGTCTTGATCGACTTGGCCAACCAGTTCCCAATTCGATAATTGACCGGAATCATGTCTGCTCCCCAATCCAATGGTCGTCCTCCTCCACCCGGTGATGAGGATCTCCAGCATCTTTATGATGAAGTTTGGCGGATCTTTGGCGAAGAAACAGCTTCCCCAACCGAGCGCTCGCCAACAAGTGCGGTTTCTGCCCATACACACGAGCCCCACTCCAATAGTTCATTCCACGACGTTAACATGACTATATCTCCTTCGTCTTCAATCAGAAACGCCCTTAATCGTCCTCCTGGTGCGTTCTATATTCACTCGCATTGTGAGTGAGTAACCTGACTATGGCATACAGTACCTGCGCCCCAGCGACCGCATTCTCCTGAAGTACGCCCACAACCTGATACTGCGACCTCTCCTACACAGAGGAGATTGAGACCACTTCCGTTGCCTCCAGGTGCTTCTTTGAGTCCCCAGCCTCATGAACAGCCACCTCCAGTTGCAAGTACTTCTCGCCCTGGGACGGCCGGAGTTGATGGGTATGTCATCACATATTTCATTCCATTCAGGAAGTTCTCATCACACACGCAGGCGTCGTCAGCTTCCCCAAGCCCCTACGGTGCAACCCAATGGCTTTAATGGCAGCCGCCCACCCACAGGCTCTGCAACATCCCCAATTTCATCAACAAGTAAACCAGTCGCTACTGGCTCTCATGCTGACGGGCTGCCAAACATACATAAAGCCGTCCCTGCTGTTCCCTCGCACACCAATGGAGCGTCTGTTAATGGTGTGGATGTGTACCGTTTGCAACAACCAGATAGCAGCCTCGATGTGCAAGGCTACGGTGTCACCGTCCCGCCCAAACCATCCCCTCGACCTCCTGGCGCTTCGGCTCCGAACATTCCGGGTCTCGGCAATATGTTTGATGACTTCTCGATCGACCATAGTCCAGACGATATGAAGAACCGCCCATCTCATCGCCCTCAACAATCTTCTGAACAATTTCGTCCTGCGGATGCCTACCCCCAGCCTCATGGGCGATTGCATCCAAACGATGGCATCAATGGTCCTGCACCGTCTGCTCGGGTACATGATTTGCGTCATCACCCTTCATCATCATCCGACTATATCCCTAATTGTAAGTCCACACCAAAACGAGAAACTTTGATCGCTAACTCACACCATCTGTAGATCATCAAGATACTGACCCCAAGCTAGGCCGTGCAATTTCTACAGGCTCCACCACATCCTCGTTTGTAGCAGACTCATTAGGTCGCAATGTCTCAGTGACGACAGCAGCCACAAGTTACACTGATACCGACGGTCCAACTGCTAAAGTTGGGCCAACGATACTCAGCAGGGAAGGGTCCTACGGGTTCCCATCAGCGGGCCCTTCGGCACTTAAATACAGCCACGGTCACTCAGATTCTGGCAGTGGTGGTTTCCAAGGTGGAAGCGTGGACTCGTTAGCGCGTGCCCGTCCGAGCGTGTACAGCGGCACAGCTGGACCTCCGCTTGGCGACCAGGAAGAAGAAGAAGACGATGATTACTTTGACTCCGAGAGCGATGATCCAGATCCAGACAGATTTGTTAACTTCAGCTTGTTATCGCACTTGGCCGTCCGCTTGCGCGACAAGGTACCTCGCGGCACCCATGTGAAAAGCAGCATCCCTTACCCTCGTGCATTCACCGGGAAGGACATCGTCGTAAGTCCGCTGCTAGAATTCTGTGACAAAACTTGACGTAATGCTGCGGTTTCAGTCTACCATTCAAAGCCAAATCCAACGTGAACTGCTGATCAATCATGGCGTTTCGACCACCGATCGCCGTGCTGCCCTTCAGGTCGCTCGGAGTTTACAACAGCAGTTATTTTTCTACGAAGTTGAGTGGGGTCAGAAGCTGCTGCAAGATGGTGTCGAGGACGTGTATATGTTCCTGGATGACCTCGAGGGCAACTCTGAGGCTCACCGAGAGAGGGAAGAACTGCCAACAGCAGTCATCACTTCACTCACTCGGTGCTATGCGTCAGGTTGCAATGAGGACGACCCATGTTATTCGTTTGCTTGTCCACGTCGAGTAAGTTCCTGTGATCCCGTAGTCATGAGTTTGAGCTAATGTTTCTGTAGCAAGCTGGTCGGATTGTCGATTTAGGTCCCGTAGCCGAACCGGAAGTACACCACGTAAGTCACCATTCACGTTTGATTGATTGAATTGAACATCGACTATTGTCTCCACAACAGCAAACCGAAGACTGGTTGAGTACGGTTGATCCCGGCATCCTTCACACTCTTCCAGAAAGTGAAGTTCATCGTCAAACGTGAGCATCTTGGTGAACTTTGTTTGGCGCTGTACTAAAGATCCCACTAGCATCATCTATAAAACTATCACTCAGGAAGAGCAATACGTCCAAGACCTGGACACCGTAGAGGCGGTCGGTACCTTGTGTTACTTGATAGTTCCGACTCGCCTAATTTCCTCGTTTTAGCTGTTCATTCGGCCACTGCTGAAAGCAAGTCCTCCTGTCATGCCGGCTAATAAGTTAGACGAGTTTATTGAAGAGGTTTTTGGAAACATCCTGGATCTTCGGGAATGCAACAGGCGGCTGGTGGAAGCCATGTATGTTCGGCAGCGTGAGCAAGCACCAATCATCCAAAGGATTGGAGATGTGTTTTTGGAGGCCGCGAGAGAGTTCCGGTTTGCATATCCGACATACGTCGGACATCTGCCCCTCGCAGAAAAGCGCTTCAAAGATGAGATCGAGTCCAACGCGGACCTTCGCTTGTTTCTCGAGGTATGATATTTTGTCTGAAAATGAGGAGTCGTTGCTAGACTGTTTTGTAGGAGTGCTCGCGACAATCCAAGCAACAGGAAGCTCGTCGACTGGACTTGAAACACTTCTTATCGCGACCTTCTGAACACCTGCAGAAGTACCCCATTGCGCTGGAGGCGATCATGAAAGAGACAACTGAAGGCAACCCAGACGCGTACTACCTTGCAGAAGCCATCGAAGCCATCAGGAATCTTCAGAATGTTGCACAGCTCCGGACGTTCCAGACTGCAATGGGCAAAGGTCCTACTGGAAAATGGGAGTGGCACGATATCGTAGCCAAGGATGTTCGAGAGGGCCTTAGCAAGGCTGAGGCCAAGCGCCAGTCGTACGTTTGTCTTCCTTTGAGTTGTTATGAAATGCTCATTTTTGTGCAGCATTATATTTGAACTGATCAAAGGCGAGATGGCGTACGTCAGGGATCTAGAAAATATCGAGTTGGTGTGTTGTCCTTTGCAAGTACTCGATCTCAACATCATAGCTCATTCTCGCCACCACAGATTTACATCCAGGCCCTGCGAGAAAGTGATCCTCCAGTCGTTGGTCGTGAGAGGCTGAACGGTTTTATCACTGACGTTTTCCACAACTTTGCTGAGCTTCACTCGCATCATCGGAAGCTCCTAGACCAACTGCATGATATACAGCGCGACGAGCATCCAGTGATCAGGAGTATTACAGCACCTTTGTTTGACGCTGCTTTGAACTTCAGGGATGCATACATGGAGTACATCCCCAACTACCCTATCGCTGCCTATCGCATCGATGACGAGATGGCTAACAACATCGATTTCAAGACGTTTGTTGACGTGAGGCTTGTTCTTTTGCTTCGCTTTACATTTCTGACCATCATGCAGCAATGTGTACGGCATCCGGATGCTCACCGCCTAGACATGAAGAGTTTTATCAATCGTCCTATTCCTCGATTATTGCGGTACGAACTGCTCTTGAAGGGCATAATGGACGAGACACCTGCTACTCACGAGGATCGTGAAGCGATCCCTCAGGTCCTGGAGATCATAAAGGCTTTGGGCAAGGAGACCGAGCCGGGAGTTCAATCAGCGAAACAGAAGGTTCAGCTCTGGTGCTATAACTCAAATTTGCAGTTCAAGCCCAACGAGTCCGTTGTTAGTCTCCAAGAATTTTGTTTGCCATCACGTACTGAACGATTCTTGCAGGACATGGATCTTTTGAATGAAAACCGCTCTCTTATTCACGCTGGCAAGCTGCTGCGACAACCCGACACCGGCTTTGAATGGAATGGATGGACCGAGCTTTTCGTCTTGCTGTTCGATAATTACTGTAAGTTTTCCAACCCTTGTGTTGTATCGGAAAATTCACATCCAAATTCAGTGGTCATGACCAAGACAAAAGAAAAAGACGGTGTGACAAAATATAACGTTAACCGGAGAGTGAGTGATTGTCAGTATGGGATTGTATAATATCTCACTTGTGGCTTAGCCCATACCGCTGGACCTTCTTACTCTGGCCAGCTTTACTGATCCCCCGACACAGCGCAGCACAAGCATTCTACGTCTCGGCCTTGGTGGAGGGAACAGGCATGTAGAAGGCGGACCCTCTCCAGGTAGCGGTGTTCCTGACACCGCTAATGATTCACGTCTTGTATATCCTTGTACTATTCACTATAATGGCCGGCTTGGTGGTTTGCATACCTTATTTACGGAGTCTCAGCAAGCGCGAGCGGAGTGGAAGCAGAAGTTGGACGAGGCCATCGGCTTGCGCAAGGTTGTTCAGGAGTCAAACAAAGTCTTCGAGCTGGAGCCGCTCAGTACAGACACCTTCCTCGTGCCGTCCATATCTTCAGCTGCTGTACCATCTTGGAACCACGAGAATTCCCTCACGGGCAAGGTTACTTGCTCTGTTCCCTTTAGTGAGCTCAAAGCCTTTCCTTTTTCCATGCGTCTTACTGATACGTTTTTCAAGCTACCGCTGATGGACGAGCGTTGGTGGCTATTGGTTGTGCTGAGGGTGTTTGGATAGGTTTTAGACATGATTCAAGATGTTCGTGCACTCGTATTTGTTCTCTTTGCAGACTGACAAATCCTACTTTAGCTATGCGCCGTGTATTACATCTGAAGATGGTGACACAGTGTGCAATGCTCGAGGATTTCGGTATGTTCCTCGTACTTGCAGACAAGGTATTTCTATTAGCAATTACCATCACAAGATACTAACCTGCAAATAGGCTCTCTTTGCATACCACATCGAGGCTCTCGTTCCATCATCCCCACAGAGCGCTCATACGTCTCAGACACCACAGAGGGTTAATGGAACTAGGGACGTTCACTTCTTTAGCGTCGGCAACCAAGGTGGACGAACGCTAGTCATATACATGAAGAAGAAAGGGGTCAGTTCTGCGACATCCCAAGACGGGCCTACTAACAATATGAACAGCTCGACAGCGTCTTCCGTGTTTTGGAACCGGTGGTAGAAAAAATCAATGAAAGGAGCAAGGCACCAGCGTCGTTCACTTCTCGCTTTGGTATACGGCCTGCGCGTTCAGAGTGGTTCCGATTGTACAGGGTACGCGGCTATTAGTGGATGATGTTGTTATATTGATTTTTTTTCGTAGGAGTTCTTCCTTCCCTCGGAATCTTTTGACCTGGTCTTCCTCAAAGCAAAGATCGCGATTCTTTGCACCAAAGGCTTCGAAATCATGGATTTAACTGAGTATGTCGCGTTTACCCCCTCACCTATCCATTACTCCGTTTTAAACATTATTCAAGTTTCAAGAGTGTCACTATTCCTCTACGTGACGATGGCTACGAAAGACTTGCAAAACGCGGAGAATCTTGCCGGCCAATGGGGATGTTCCGCGTGGAAAATGAATTCCTTTTGTGCTATGATGGTCAGTCGTTTTGATTTGATCTTTAGTCAGCGCTGATGGTAAGACCCTAGAGTTCGGTATCTACGTCAACAAGCACGGCGCACCTAGTCGCAACACGGGCACGATTGAGTGGGAGGGCACGGCCGAGCGCGTGGCAATCCACTGGCCTTATATACTTCTCTTCGACTCCCGCTTCATTGAAATCAGGCACGTATCGTCGGGTCTGCTCGCACAGATAATTCCCGGAAATGAGATACGCTGTATTTGGGACGGTCGTGGCACCTGTGCCCCTCCATCGACTGGACCGGAAAGCTTCCAACAAATGAGCCTTGACCCCCGGATTCACTGTGTCATGGCTGCGCCGGAGCCCATTCAACACGGCGCGGTTGGGCGCCCACGCTCAGTGGCTCAGCACGTATTTGAGCTGACACCTACGACCCCGCTCTATCCACCCGGTGCACCTGGATCACCCAACAACTCGACGTACTTCCAGCAGCAAACCGTTTCTCCCCCGCAGTCTCCCAACCTCCTTCCGATGACATCCTGGAGATGATCACATCACACAGGCACCCTTGATGCTCATCGCGCATTTATTTCTACACATGTACATCCTTGTGGATTTCTGTCTTTTTCATTTTGTTTTAGGAATTTACATAATTTGTACCAGTGCTCAGCAGTCTCCGCTAGATCGTCCTGTCGTTGTTTCCGGTAATCGATTTGGTGACGGTTATGGACAACATTTCGGATGAATGGGCATTAGCTATTGATAAAACATGTACTGCTTCAATGCAACGTAGATATCATAACAAGGTCGACGGTAAAACTGAAATATTCACGGACATCCACTAAATCCTCTAGAAGCAGCAACACGACCGGCTGCCTCCATGTTCCCCGGTGTCTACCTGCACTGCTACTGGTTGCTGTTGTCGTTGCTGTGGCTGTTGTGTATTGGGGTCCGGTTGAGTAGTATCGGGATCTTGATCTTCATAAGGCACGATGTTCGGGTCTTTGCCAGGAGCATCCGCAGCAACAGTACGCTGTATATTACGCATCAGACATCCAAGACACATTTAGGAAAGTCGACCGGTCGCACCTCTTTAGCCTTCGTGAACGGAACATCGACGACGGGTGACGTTGCATGATGGGACGATCGAGCGAATAGATGTCGTAGGTGGGTTCTGAAGGTGGTATCGGCGGCGACTGGCGGTGGGGTCGTAGGTGGTGCAGCTACAGGTGGAGGTGGAGGATGAGGGCTCCTCGTCATAGCGAGCTTCAGTCTTTTCAGACGCCCGTGGCGCTGTTGAGGTCGGGGTTTGGAAGCTTGAGAATGCTGTAATAAACGATGTAAGAAAGAAAGGAAGAAGATACGCTGGTGCACGCACTTGATGCATGCCGTGGAAGAAATTGGGTTCTGTATCATAGCCATCTTGCTCTTGCCCCGGGATCTCCGCCTGCATAACGGTCAGTAGCGAAAGAGTTGAGGAAGGGAGTGCATACCCCAAGAATACGGTTATCCTGCTCAGCGAGCGCACTACATTGTTCTTTAAATTCTGAGTGAAACGGTGATGAGTGTGGTAACCTTGGGTGACGACACTGTAATCTTACCTTTGGACCAATCAAGGCAGCTGGCCTTTGCAGATTCATCAATGGCGCCCATCATACATGTGTGTGCTTTGAGGGCTTCATCAGGTTTGCCTGCCGAAAGGAATGCCTGGCACAGTCTCTGGTGGGTAGTGAGATACAATGACTCGAGATCCCAGCCGCGCTGAAGAGGGCGATGGCCTGGAACACGCAATCAAGCAGAGAATATGCGAGACAAACTGAAGCTACCTTGATCAAGATGAGAAAATGGTTGGTGTTCGAATCTTGATTTGTGAACATGGACGCGACGTCGAATGCTATCCTTGCCTCCTGCACGTGGCTTTTTCCGCAGAGGGCGATGCCCTTGGAGATGTAGCCTGTCAGTGAGGGCCGGATGCTGATGGACTATGTCACGAATGAAACTAAGCTTTTAGGGCCATGATGGGTCAGCATAGCTTACCTTGATTGCATCATCGAGGGCGAGGCCCCAGGCGTGTTTTCGGGCCATAATGAATGACCGATTGGCATATGAAGTAAAGTCGTTGGCGTCGGTGTGAATCACCTGGGTGAGTAACTCTTCAGCGGTGTCCAGATCCCCAGCGATGCACGCATTGCGGACTGTCGTGATAGCCAGGATCTGCACGAACGATGCTCGAATTGCGTTACGAGAGTTAAGGATGGAAACTCGCCTTTGAATTAGTATCACTGGGTACTTCCCACTCTGAGATCGCATCATCATAACCTCCGCTGAGGATATGCTTTCCGTCCGCGGAGAAAGCGACAGATTGCGGCGGGGATGAGTGCTGGAAGATGGCGATAGTTTGTCGATCTGAGAGCCGCCAAAGACGGACATCGTTGTCATCAGATGCGGAAGTGACGAGGGTGCCAGCGGGACGAATGGCAATGGCGTTGACATAGCTAGTGTGGCCTTCCCAGGAATGACCGACCTGCTCCCAGGTCAATGGATCCCACTCTCGTATGGTAGGATCGCTATAATTGCCCGCTGAAAGAAGGCGTGTGCCATCGGGCGTCCACGCGAGCGACCAGTTGGATGATGTGTGAGCCTTGAAAGATGCGACACGTTCCCTGGTGCCAGGATTATAAATTTGGATATTGTCGGATGTTGCGATGGCAAGAAGTTCACCACGGGAAGGCGAATATCGAACGCAGCGGACATAACCACCACACTCGATTGGTTGTCCTTGCATCTGCCACGTTTTGGTACGCCAAAGCTTCACCGTCTTGTCCCATCCACCAGTAGCCAGCACCGCACCATCCAGAGAAAAATCCAGCGAGCTGACTTCATTGGTGTGGGCTTTTATGGGTTGGATGAGAGCTTCACCAGTTTCACCGTGCCAGATGATGAGCTCTCCTTTGTCATCACCGCTTGCTATTATTTGACCATTTTGTGATACCGCCAATGCCTGCACCCGACTGCTGTGCCCCTCCATTTTCTTCAACACAACGCCTGTCTCCAAGTCCCAGAGACGAAGGGTATAGTCGTCCGAACCCGTAACCATTCTTCGCTTATCAGGGAAAACTGCGACTGCGTTTACGCCCTGCTCATGATCTTCAAAAACTCGAATGGGTGTGGTGCTTGGAATGAGTTGTGACATTTTACTGGCCAGAGGTTGATGGTGCTGAACACGGTCGGGGAATTGTGGGCGTCTTTCTCTAAGCTGCCGCAGTTACATGTATTATGTGTTTTTATGCTGCTTCACTACGCTGACTACTTTGATTCCCTAGACGCCGGCCAAGACACAAGGTCCGTTCCAGCAAGTGACATAATGCTCCCTAAACCGCCTTCCTGTGTACATGTCTCCGAGTCATGTCTCCACAGCTTCCAGAACATATATTTCCTCCCATCCAATGGCGATAGTGCAGCAATTGCTACTTCATAGTCAATGTTTGCTGCATGAGTATCAATATTGTTTCCCGTGTCCAGCAGTTAATCCAACACTTCATCATGTAACCTGGCCAAGGGTACAAGTACTGCAAATAGTATCATCTCCTTATCTCGTCGATTCCAAAGATCTGCCTGTTCACCAGATGTAGCCAAATTTCTCTCATCATGTCTCCAATCCGCTTCTAATGGAGGAATGTCCGTATTTGAATACATGTTTTATCCAAATCTTAATTTTCAAAGGTGTCACTTTGCTTCCAACCCTTTACTCCCCTCATCTCGGCTTCTCAGCCGATCCCCTGATTTCAGTTTTTCTCGTTCTACAGCAATCTTCCCATGTCCATTCTTGTTGCAATCCTGCACTACAGAAGTGTGCAATATGATCATCACACTCTACTAACATCGGTGAGCTCTCATTGCAGCTAGAGCTGCGCGAGCCCGCATCAATTATTGACATGTCACTGCAGTGTTCAACAACGTTCTTTTATCGATCACGGACTACATGGGCCCAATCCTCGATCCCACCGAGATATCAATCGAGTATCACAACCTTCAAGCAATCTTTCACGGTACAAGAACTTTCAGGTCCAAGGTTTCGCGAATTCTCACCTTACGACCCACTGTAGACCAGTATAACGAGTCTGTAAATTAGGTCTTACGATGTGTTTTGAATTTTGATGCCCGTGCTCTCCGAGGTCTGACAGGACAACGACAAGATCAATTATTTGTACTGATAATTCTATTTTCTCAGTGCTTACTAGCAGCACCTTCACACCTTCTCAGCGCATTTGGCCATCTTTCTACGCTCGACCTCTTGCCTACGTACGTACGTGCACTACACCGGGCTCAGTAACAGCACCGAAGAGCTCTCACCCAGAATGTCTGTCCTTCTTTACTGCGCGTCATTCCCAACAAAGTGGATGTTCCAGTAAGACGATAGTACGTGGCTGTCTGTTCCGTTAGGGGAGTCGTAGAGGCGCCGTACTGCCGCCCGGGTGAGTGCACTTTTCTCTCGTGACATGTTCTCAATGACTGAATACATATCCTGCGTCCTACCCGTCGAAGATGTTCCTTGGGCCCCGATCTGATATCCATCATTATGGTAGTAATCCATGTTTTTATTGGTCTACGACACCCTCGTGCCAATGCACAATTTTTGGACAGCGAAGGATGAAAGGAGCGTGCAATGTTCACTCGTCGAAAGACAAGGTGACGCCAATTTGTGGATCACTGCCAACTTGTTAGTCCCACTGCCGAAAATTAAAGAGGAACAAGAAATGGTAAGTAGGGAAGCGACGAGACTTGAGTCTAATACACATGTATATATGATACGTGCTCAGAGATCCATAAACTTTGAAATAAAAAATACAATTACAATATTTCTATGGTCCTGACGTCCATCAAGTCTTCAACAGAAACTATGTCGTCGACCTGCCCAATGATATTATTATCCGACGCGATCCTCTTGTATTCTATACTGCCCTGCTGCGCTAGCAAAAATGCACTGAAAGGCTGCCCAAGGCGAACAAGCAACCGCAATGCTCGTGATTCTAGGTCAACCACCTTCCGATTTACGGGAGGACCACTAGACCAGCCGTCTGAAGGAGAAGAGGGCGGTGTGCAATAATCCTCCTCGCTCTCCGTATCGTTTCCAAAGTCAGACGGTTCCACATATTGAGGCGGTTCTGCAAAGTTAGGTAGCTCGAGGAGAGACCGATCCCAGGGATGGGCAAGGACAAATTTTTGCTCAGTGGGCCTTGTCGGCCAGAACTGAACCAGGGCCTCTTCGGTGGTGATAAGCAAGTCGTGAAGCCCGTCTGCCTTCACTCTATACGTAAACAGAGTTTCCGGGGCTGCACTACGCACTCGTCTGACTTCCCTAACATTGAATGCAATACAAGGCAGATGCAGTCTCTGTGCTGCGAAGCGAGGGGCGTTCACATTCTGAAGCAGGGTATAAAATTTCGAAGCGAAATCCACAGCCACCGTCTCTCGCAGTAAAGAAACCGATGACTGAATTTCATCTTCGGGTAGGGGTGGTAGCTTGCATGGTGGAGCTTCATATGAAGTGATGGAGGCTGGTAGACAGCTATTGAACTCTGATGATTTTCCGATCCAATCGAGGCCAGTGATATCACCCGACCGTGCCACGATCTCCTGCAGAAGCCGCCCGAGAGCTTTGTCTTGCTTCTCGCCATAATCTACAGGCAGGCGGACACCAAAGATGCCAAACAACGAGTATGCGATATCTTCCTGACGTGTGGTAATGCGGGTTGAGGCCCAATGGAGTTTCTCTCGGGCGCCATTCATACTAGGACGGAAGGCTGCAACGACTGGTCGGTCTATGCCCGTCGCGTCCTTTAACTCATGCATGATTGCGGCGGACTCCTTGTGGTTGGGAGTGCGATCATCAAGATAAAGAGTCCAATTGTTCTGATAGAAGAGAATGACTTTGGCAGCGATGAATTCTTGAACAGTCCATCCGCGCGTGTTCCAAGCGCTCTTTGCCAGTGCGCCAGGCTTTGACGAAGGCGGAACATCCGACAGGTAGACAATCGTGAGCGCGGAGTGGAGATACCAGACGAACATGGAGTTGACCGATTCTTGGAGTTCGACATTGTTGCTCTTATCGATGCAGCATGTATCGCTCCATGCCCAGTTATGCCCCGCATCACGAGCAGTTTTGCAAAAGGACCGCAACTTCGTCATGCCGCCAACCGGATCCAACTCCGAGTCATACACGCTCCTGCCCTGGATATCCTGCAGCAGCGGCTCCTTCCCTTCCCACCTGTGTGATAGCGTGGCATATTGGAGAAACGCCATCACCACTTCTTCGATGTGCGTCATGGGGAGGTCTAGATGCGCGATTGTTGATGACACGAGCTCCTTATACTCTATGCTCATTTTGAAGGCACTGATCTGCGTCTCTCGATCGCATAAGAGACCAGTGGTGGTGTCGAGTACACGGAGCGGAGAATTGTCGAGTTGGGCATCAATGACCCGTCGAATAGCACGTTCTACTTCAGAAGGTCTGAGATACTGCTGGCACAGCTCTGGAGAAAGAGTTAAACATGTTGGCGAATGTATTATTCAAAGGCTTACCTCGTTCCTGAACATGAGGTGCATCATCCAATTTCGACAGCATCATCTCGAAGGTCTGGATTGCTTCATCATAACGTCGTGCACCATGAAGCGCTGCGTGCTTCAAATTGTATCCAATATAAGACAAAGAGTCGAGTTCAATGACCTATGTATCGCCACAATGAGCATTGGTTATGAAATGATAGATGACATCATACCTTCTGCGCATCAAGAAGTGCTTCTATCCATAGCATCTTACCCAACTTTGCCTTACTACGATTTGCAAAAAGAGCATCAGATGCAGGATTCAGGTTGATCACTGCCGAGTATAGGTCAATAGCCCTGTCATAATCGCTCGCAGTGAGGGCGGCATCTCCGTTGGTGACACAGAGCGCAATGCATTCCTGCTTGAAAGCTGAGTGAAATATGGGTGAGGATTGTGGTCTACATGACACCATGGACTCTGAACTTGCCGTTGGACCAGTCGAGGCAGCTGGCCTTCGCAGGTTCGTCAATGACGTCCATCATGTATTGGAGTGCTTCGAGGGATTCATCGGGTTTACCTGCCGAAAGCAATGCCTGGCACCGTTTCAGGTGGGTAGTGGGACACAAAGACTTGAGATCCCAGCCGAAGAGCTGCACAAAGCACTCAGTTATAAAAAGCATTATGTATGCATCATCTTGACGCACCACAGTCAAGTCCTCGTATATTTCATGAATGGTTTTCGATGAGAAAGCGCCTGATTTGACAGCAGAGGTAAAGTAATCAGCAGCTTCGCCGTGACGCGCGCCGTCGAAGGCATTGATTCCGAGCTGAACGCGTAGATATGTCTAATGTGCGAGTTGTACAGATCAGCATCCATGACTAAGGATAGCCGCATCACAATTACTTCTACGACACGACGCGCGAGAGGATCGGTATTCGGACAAGCGGTAGCCAGCTCTTCGATGAGCAATATGGCTTCCTCGTGTTGATCTGCGTTAAAGAGTGCGATGGCCTAATCACCCAATGAGGCAGAGAATATGCGAGACAAATTGAAGCTACCTTGATCAAAAGAAGGAAATGGCTGGTTTCTGAATCTTGATTGGTGAACATGGATGCGACATCAAATGCTATCCTTGCCTCCCGGACGTGGCCTTTTCCGCAGAGGGCGATGCCCTTGGAAGATGTAGCCTATTAATGAGGGCCGAATGCTGACGGACTGTGTCACGAATGAAAGTAAGCCTTCAGTAGGAGGGCCATGATGGGCCAGGATAGCTCACCTTGATTGCATCATCAAGCGCAAAGTCCCAGGTGTGTTTTCGAGCCATAACGAATGAGCGATGGGCATATGAAGTATAGTAGTTGGCGTCGGTGTGGATCTCTTGGGTGAGTAACTCTTCAGCGGTGGCTAGGTCCCCAGTGATGCATGCATTGCGGGCTGTCGTGATAGCCAGGATCTGCACAAAAGATGCTCTAATCGCGGTACATGAGTCAAGGATGGAAACTTGCCTTTGAATTGGGTACTGCCCACTCTGAGGTCTTATTATCTTGGCCTCCGCTGAGGATGTGCTTGCCGTTCACAGAGAAAGTGACAGATTGCGGCGAAGATGAGTGCTGGAAAATGGCGATGGTTTGTCGATCTGAGAGCCGCCAGAGACGGACATGGTTGTCTTCAGATGCAGAAGCGACGAGGGTGCCAGCAGGATGAATGGCAATGGCTTTGATAATGCGAGTATGGCCTTCCCGGGATGACCGACCTGCTGCCAGGTCAATGGATCCCACTCTTGTATGGTACAGTCGAAAAAACTGCCGCCTGTGAGAAGGCGCGTGCCATCAGGGGTCCAAGCAAGTGATGTTGTGTAACCAAGCTTCAAAGATGCGACATGTTCCCTCGTGCCTGGATTATAAATTTGGACACTATCTGTTGCGATGGCAAGAAGTTCACCAGAAGGCGAATATCGAACACAATACACATCATCGCACTCGATTGGTTCTCCTTGCATCTGCCACGTTTTGGTACACCAAAACTTCACCCTATTGTCCCATCCACCAGTAGCCAGCACCGTACCATCCGGAGAAAAATCCAATGAGGTGGTTCCATTAATACCGGAGTTGGTATAATCGGTGTGGGCTTCGATGGGTTGGGTGAGAGATTCAGCGGTTTCACCGTGCCAGGCGATGATTTTCTCCGCTATAATCACCGCTTGCTATGATTTGACCATCCTCGTGATACCGCTAATGCCCCACGCGGACTGCTATGCCCCTACCAGATCTTCAACACAACACCTGTCTCCAAGTCCCAAACTACGAATGTCTCCCGTAGGTTCGAGCCGGTAATCATTCGTCGCTTATCGGGGAACACTGCGACTGCTATTACAAACCGCTCACCATCTTCAAAAGTTCGAATGGGTGTGGTGTTTGGAATGAGCTGTGACATTTTACTGGAGGTTGATGATGTTGAGCGCGGTCGAGGGATTGTGGGTGTCTTTATCTAAGCTGCAGAGGTGCGTATATTGTGCGTTTTTATGTTGCTTCGCCACGCTAACCTACTTAGTTTCTATAGACGCCCAAGACACGAGGTAGCTCGCCTCCGATCCGGCAAGAGTGCTCCTTATGAGTGGCAATAGCCACCTTCCTTGACAGCACTGTGTGCATGAGTCCGATTCGTGTCTCCACATCTTCCAGAATATATATTCCCCATTCAATGGCGATAAGTGCAATTGATGTTCCTTACCCGCACGTTAATGGTGATACTTAAATCATCGTGAAGCGTTCCAAGAGATGCAGCTACTCACCAAAATTGACTTTAACTGTTGAACTTTGAACCTGTATATAGCGCTACATGAAATAAATTGCCCTCTTACGAGCACGAGGAGGTCCGCTTTCCTGTCCACTAACTGTGACCGCCCTCGTGAGGAGACAGATCGATAGGCAAGGCTTTCACGATATCCGGCGGAGGCTTTTCAACCCACATATTCTCACCTCCATCCTCCTCTTCATCCTTCCGTTTCTTCTTCCTCGGCATCTCGCTATCCCGATCTTGGTGTTTTTGATGCGTAGCAGTGACGACAATGACTGTCCGCCATCCGCATCTACATCAAAAGAAGCAAGCGTGCCACCCTTCGAACACTTCTGTTTCTTGTTTTTCTTCTACTTCTCCGCGTCTTTCGGTTTGGATCCCTTGGGTATGAGAGTAGGCTTGTACGTAGCCAGGTCAACATCTTCCACGATGCCATTCGCTGGTAGTGGCTTGACACCCGGGCCTGGTTTAGACGGCCTGACTGGCTCAGAGACGGCGGGGGCTCGTCCACCTCATCGACATCATCCATACGATCCTTCTCCTCGTCACTCTCCCCATCATTACTCGCAAAAATTGCTTTAAAGATGTCCATCCCGGGACGTTCATACGTGAGCACGTCATCCCCCTGCCTCACCTTCCTCCATGCCAATATTTGCAACATCGCGCTCGCTACTCCCGGAACTCCCACCCTCCACTTGCGTTATTCCTACGCTTGCACCCGCGAATTCGTCTGCGGACGCCGTGCCCGTGAACTCAGGCCCCGCGACCTGTGCTGACGGCCCAGAGGTATCGACAGGGACCTCAGAACCGGGTCCTTCACGCCAAAGCGCTTACACAGCAGCCGCGCAGGCTGCCACATACATACCTCACGCGTCATAGCACCATACATAGTACCCAGTCGAGCAGCATGCACCTTTGGGGCTTCTTCCTTGACTTCCTCCTTCGGCTTTTCCTCCGTCACATCCATGTCCGCTTCCTCTTCTGGCTATGCAGCAGGCGTGTGCAGGCCCTCGATGATCTTTGGCCTGAGATCCAGAACAGCGGCAGTTGTAAACCACCCAGCCATGGCTCCAGAAACGGGGCGGAATAACGCAGCTAACTTTGTATAATCACTTGTCTCTTTTGAGAACTCCTCGGGTGTCTGCCCAGGCTTCTGTGCGGGTAGAATTGCGCCTGAGCCAGGATTTGTGTGTGCACGTAGATGGGCAGTGTACCTTGCCTGCTTAGAGGGGTCGGCCATGAAGATCTGAAAACCTCGGAGAGCAGCTTGGGCGACGTCGGACTTGGTGTGTGTGATCCTGGGAGGTGTGGAGAGTGAGGGACCTGGCGAGGGGTCATCCGACGTGGAAGGGGGGACAAAGCGGCTTGCAGCAATGTTCTTGATGCGTTCTTGGTCTTTCTTGGAGATGTACTCGAAGATGGACCTGGGTGCAAAAGGGAGGGGTGTCTCACCGAGCGCTGCTCCCCGCTGTCCATAGCATGTAAGCACATGAGACCTGTAGAAGACGAATTTTGTCAAACCTGGCTCGCAGAGATGCCTGTTTTCTACTGGGCGTGCGACTGAGTTTGTGACGAAGGAGGTATAGCCGCGTTCTCTTTTTCTTTTGAATTAGCTTTCTCCCTCTCCTAAACGCGTTTGGGATTTGGCGTCCAATCTTTTGGGAAGTTGGTAATTGCAGATGTCCCATGAGCAATGTGCGCAAAAGAGCTACTGACCAAAGGTCCTCCACCATGGGTTTCTCAGACATGACGAACCCGTTCAAGTTGCAAGAAATGGTAAGTAGTGAAGTGACGAGACTTCAGTTCGATACACATGCATATACGATACGTATACTGTACGAGTATCATCTTTAAAGCACAAATGCAAACCGCTCAAAAATCCATAAACTTTGAAACAACAAATATACAACTACGATATTTCTATGGTCCTGATGTCCATCAAGTCTCTAACAGAAACCACGTCGTTGACCTGTCCAATGATATCATGATCCGACGCGATCCTCTTGTATTCTCCACTGCTCTGCTGCGCTAGCAAAAATGCACCAAAAGGCTGCCCAAGGCGAACGAGCAACCGCAATGCTCGTGATTCTAGGTCAACTACCTCCTGTTCTATAGGAAAATCACTGGACAAGTCGTCTGACGGAGAAGAGGGCGGCGTCCCATAATCCTCCTCGCTCTCCGTATCATGTCCAGAGTCAGACGGTTCCGCGAATTCAGACAGTTCCACAAAGTCAGGCAGCTCGAGGAGAGACCGATCCCAGGTACGGACAACCACAAAGTTTTTCTCGGTGGGCCTTGTCGGCCAGAACTGAACCAAGGTTTCTTCGGTGGTGATAAGCAAGTCGTGAAGCCCGTCTGCCTTCACTCTATACGTGGACAGAGTTTCTGGGGCTGGACTACGCACCCGTCTGACTTCCTTGACATTGAATGTAATACAAGGCAAATGCAGTCTCTGTGCTGCGAAGCGAGGGGCGCTCACGTTGCGAAGCAGGGTATAAAGTTTCGAAGCGAAATCCACAGCCACCGTCTTTCGCAGCAAAGAAACTGATGACTGAATTTCATCTTCGGGTAGGGGTGGTAGCTTGCATGGTGGAGTGTCGTATGAAGTGATGGAGGCTGGTAGACAGCTATTGAACTCTGACGGTTTTCCGACCCAATCGAGGCCAGTGATGTCACCCGACCGAGCCACGATCTCTTGCAAGAGCCGCCCGAGAGCTTTGTCTTGCTTCTCGCCATAATTTACAGGTAGGCTGGACACCGAAGATTCCAAACAACGAGTATGCGACGTCTTCCTGAAGCGTGGTAACGCGGGTTGAGGCCCAATGGAGTTTCTCTCGGGCGCCATTCATACTAGGACGGAAGGCTGCAACGACTGGTCGGTCTATGCCCGTCGCGTCCTTTAACTCCTGCATGATTGCGACGGCCTCCTTGTGGTTGGGAGTGCGATCACCAAGATAAAGGGTCCAATTGTTCTGATAAAAGAGAATGACTTTAGAAGCGACGAATTCTTGTACCGTCCATCCGCGTGTGTTCCAAGCGCTCTTTGCCAGTGCGCCTGGCTTTGACGAAGGCGGAACATCCGACAGGTAGACAATCGTGAGCGCGGAGTGGAGATACCAGACGAACATGGAGTTGACCGATTCTTGGAGTTCGATGTCGTTGCCCTTATCAATACAGCATGTATCGCTCCATGCCCAGTTATACCCTGCGTCACGAGCAGTTTTGCAAAAGGACCGCAACTTCGTCATGCCACCAACCAGATCCAACTCTGAGTCATAGACGCTCCTGCCCTGGATATCCTGCAGCAGCGGCTCCTTCCCTTCCCACCTGTGTGATAGCGTGGCATATTGGAGATCTGTCATGACCACTTCTGCGATGTGCTTCATGGGGAGTTCGAGATGCGTAATTGTTGATGAGACAAGCTCTTTATACTCTATGCACAATTTGAAGGCGCTTATCCACGCCTCTCGATCGCATAAGAGACCGGTGGTGGTGTCGAGTACGCGGAGCGGAGCATTGTCGAGTTGGGCATCAATGACCCGTCGAATGGCATGTTCTACTTCAGAGGGTCTGAGATGCTGGCACAGCTCTGGAGAAAGAGTTAAACAAATTGGCGAATGTGTTATTCAATGCTCACTCCGTGTCTGAACGTCGGATGCATCATCCAATTTAGAGAACATCGTTTCGAAGGTCTGGATCGCTTCATCATAACGTCGTGCACCATGAAGCGCTGCGTGCTTCAAATTGTATCCAATATAAGACAAAGAGTCGAGTTCAATGACCTATGTATGGTCACAATGAGCACTGGTTATGAAACGATAGATGGCATCGCACCTGATGCGCATCAAGAAGTGCTTCCTCCCATAGCATCTTGCCCAACTTTGCCTTACTACGATCTGCAAAGAGAGTATCCGACGCAGGATCCAGGTTGATTGCGGCCGAGTATAAGTCAATAGCCCTGTCATAATCGCCCGCAGTGAGGGCGGCATCTCCATTGGCAGCACAGAGCACACTGCATTCTTGCTTGAAAGCTGAGCGAAATATGGGTGAGGATTGTAGTCTACATGACACCACGGACTCTGGACTTGCCATTGAACCAATCGAAGCAGTTCGCCTTCGCAGAGTCGTCCACTTCATCCATCATGCATTGGTGAGCTTCGAGGGCTTTATCAGGTTTACCCGCCGAAAGGAATGCCTGGCACCGTTTCTGATGGGCAGTGAGACACAAAGACTCGAGATCCCAGCCGAACAGCTGAACAAAACACTCGGTTATGAAAAGTATTATGTATGCATCATCTTGACGTACCACAGTCAAGTCCTCGTATATTTGAGGTATTAATTTCGATGAGAAAGCGCCCGAGTTGACAGCAGCGGTGAAGAGGTCAGCAGCTTCGTCATGACGCGCGCCATCGGAGGCATTGGTTCCGAGCTGAACGCGTAGATATGTCTAGTGCGAGGTGCAAAGATCAGCATCGATGACCAAGCGTAGCCGCATGACACTTACTTCCACGACACGACACCCGAGAAGACCGGTTTTCGGACAAGCGGCAGCTAGCTCTTTGATGAGCAGCATTGCTTCCTCATGTTGATCCGCATTGAAGAGGGCGATGGCCTGAAAACCGAAAAGAAACAGAGAATATGCGAGATGAATTGAATTTACCTTGATCAGGAGAAGAAAATGGTTGGTTTCTGAATCTTGGATGGTGAACATGGATGCGACGTCGAATGCTATCCTTGCCTCCCGGACGCTGGCCTTTTCCGCAGAGGGCAATGCCCTTAGGAGATGTAGCCTGTTAATGAGAACTGAATGTTGATGGACTATATCACGAATGAAGCATAAGAGGGCCATGATGCATGGGTCAGTATCACTGACCTTGACTGCATCATCGAGGGCGAGGTCCCAGGCGTGTTTTTGTGCCATAACGAATGAGCGATGGGAATATGAAATATACTCGTTAGCGTCCGTGTGGATCTCCTGGGTGAGTAACTCTTCAGCGGTGTCCAGGTCCCCAGCGATGCATGCATTGCGGGCTGTCGTAACATCCAGGATCTGCACGAAAGATGTCTAATTGTGGCGCATGAATCAAAAATGGAAACTTACCTTTGAATTGGGTACTGCCCACTCTGAGATCTTATTAAATTCGCCTGCGCTGAGGATATGCTTGCCGTCCGCGGAGAAAGTCACAAATTCCGGCGAAGATGAGTGCTGGAAGATAGCAATGGTTCGGCGATCTGAGAGGCGCCAGAGACGGATATCACGATCGTTGTAAAAAGATGCAGAAGCGACAAGAGTGCCAGCAGGATGAATGGCAATGGTGGTGATCTGGTTGGTGTGGCCTTTCCACGGATGACCGACCTGCTTCCAGGTTGTTGTGTCCCACTCTTGTATGATACCATTACGGTCTGGACCAACGCCTCCTGTAAGAATGCGTGTCCCATCGGGTGTCCACGTGCAGAGTGATGTTGCGTGAGCCTTGAAAGATGCGACACATTCCCTCGTGCCTGGATTATAAATTCCGATATTCCCGAATGTTCCGATGGCAAGATGTTCACCAGAAGGCGAATATCTAACGCGAGCCGCGCTCCCGCTGGAATCAGAGTCATACTTGATTGGTTCTCCTTGCATCTGCCACGTTTTGGTACACCAAAACTTCACCGTCAGGTCCCTTGAACCAGTAGCCAGCACCGCACCATCGAGAGAAAAATCCAACGAGTTCATCCAGTCGGAGTGGGCTTCAATGGGTTGAGTGAGTGAATCACCTGTTTCACCGTGCCAGCCGATGATCTCTCCTTTTGAATCACCGCTTGCTATTATTTGACCATCTCGTGATACCGCCAATGCCCACACCCAATTGCGATGTCCCTCCATCTTCTTCAACACTACACCTGTCTCCAAGTCCCAGACACGAACTGTCTTGTCGTCCGAGCCCGAAACCATTCGTCGCTTATCGGGGAAAACTGCAACTGCCATTACGGCATACTCATGATCGTCAAAAGTTCGAAGGGGTGTGGTGCTTGGAATGAGCTGTGGCATTTTACTGGAGGTTGATGGTGTTGAGCACGGTCGAGGGGTTGTGGGTATCTTCCTCTAAGCTGCAGAAGTGCGTGTATTGTGCAACTTTACACTGCTTCACCACGCTAACCTGCCTCATTTACATAGACGCCCAAGACACGAGGTAGTTCGCCTCCATTCCGGGAAGAGTGCTCCCTGCAAGTCATAACTGCCTGCACTGTGTACATGCGTTCGACTCATGTCTCCACGGCTTCCAGAATATACCTCGTCACGTCCAATGGCGTAGTTCACTTGCTACTTCCTGGTCCTCGAATTTGGCTGACAGCTACATAGATTGCCGCATAAATATCATTGTGGAGCAATTTCTCCAACACTTCATTGTGTAACCTGTTCGAGTGCACATAGCTTACTGCAATATCATCTCCTCATCTCGTCGATTCCCAAGATCTGCCTGTGCAACTAAATTTATCTCCTCTCGTGTCTCAAATCCGCTCTTAATAGAGTAGTTTCCACCTTTGGAGACACGTTTTATCTGAATCCTAAATTTCAAAGGTGTCTGCCTTGCTTCCAGCGTTTTGCTTCTCGCTTCCTCTCAGTTTCTCAGCCAACCCCAGCACAACTGGTTTCATTTTTTCTAGTTCACCACTTAGCTTCCCACGTTCTTGTTACAATCCTGCACTACAATATGGTCGCCACAGTCTACTAATATCGGTGAGCTCTCACTACAGTCAAAGCGGCGCGAGTCTGCATTTCATTATTGACGTATCATTGCAGTATTCAGCGATGTTGTGTTATCGATCGCGGAATACATGGACCCACTCTTCGACCCTACACCACTCGAGTATCGCAACTTCAAGCAATTTTTCACAGTACAAGAACTTTCAGGTCCAAGATCTTGGGATCCCTCACCTTACAACTCGCTGTAGATCAGTATAAAGAGTCTGCAAATCATGTATATGGTGCGTCTTGACTCTCGATTCCTGTGCTTTCCAGAGTTTGAAAGGACAACAACGACAAGATCGAGCGAGCGCATGTCAAAGAGTAATCTTACTCGACGGCATGCGCATTAGGTCCAATGAGACCCGTGATGATTAGGAGTTTGTAACTTTGTATCGTATCGTCATCACCCGTCCCCAAGTCACAGACTAAGCAGCTACTCACAGTTCAATCGAGCATATGATAGCGCCCAGTTCTGCCGAAATCTTAGACGTGTTTTCCCGAGGCTCACATTTGGGTACAACTACCGCCTACTACTAGTGCGGTACGTATACACCAAGCAAAACGAAAACCAAACGCGCCTGGGAGGAGCTTGGGAGGATTCTAGGGCTCAGTCAGACGAGAACAGACTGTCAGTGCCTTTCAAAATGCAGACATGCACAACGGCCGTGGCAGTCGAATGGTTTATGACAACGAAGTCTTAAGACTCATACAAAGTGATTATACGTGGGATCCATTATTACTTTGAGGGAGGGGATGTGGGTAATGTATCTTGTTCACTGCTCATCTGTCGTTGTCACTCCAGTGTTGAAAATCCGTGCCTACAGGGAATAATTTGTGCGTACCAAACATGTCGTCAATTGTTCATGAGGCCCTGGTTGTACAGCGCGAGCTGCAAGCTCACGTACTTTGAGGAGTGTGGGGGTATCGAAACACGGAAGATATTTGCAATGGTTGTATATAGCGAGATTCAAGCAAGCATAAATTGGCAAGTGACAGATCCTTGCATGCACGAAGTACATCCCTAATTACCCTATCATTGCTGTCTTCCAAGCTACTGCTGATATCGATGAGCATTAGTCCAAGATATTCATGCCGTATTGTTGGTTCTCCTTGCATATTCACAAATATCACTCTAGCTATCCACGTATAACTTCTCGAGATGGTGACATAGCGTGAAACTTGAATGTGTTTCTCGTACATGCAGTTAAGGTGTGATAACAAGCTTCCGTTTTTTCTCATCGTCACCGGGGTCGAGTGCTCGTATGTCTCAGAGACCACAAAGGGTTAATGGTATTCACTTCTTCACCGTCGGCAACCAAGGCGGACGAACACCTAGTATAGTACTAGTAGCACAGAAGATAGTAAAGATAAGCCGATTGCATAAATACGTGAAACCCAATATCATCATTTTATGAAATGCGTTACGACCAAGGAAGGAATGAGGGCAACATATTCCGCTCGCTGTTCATCCGTCGTCACCATTCCAGCGCCGATAATCAGGCTCTCCAGGGGACAATTTGACCGTGTCAAGAGTGCTTTTACTTCTTCATGAGGCCATGTTCGTGAACCCGAAATTTCAAGTATGCGTAGATTGGGGAGTGATAGAATATTGAACAAGCCAGGTAGTAGGGAGGTCGCGCTCATGCCGGCTTCGAGGATGCGTAAGGATTGAAGTGCGGTGTGCGTCAGCACCAGGGCCGAGTCGGTAGCTGGTATTCGATCGCTTGCATGTTTGTGAATCACTAACGAGGAGAGGTTGGAACATAGACGGATTAAGCGGATGACCACACTCAGGGAACATAACGAGGCCTCGATATGTGTCAGGAGAGCCAATGTGGGGATACGAGATAAGTCCCCGTTGAGGGAGAACAACCCTGTAACCTTGAGACTGCGCACAGTCGATGGAAGTACCATGATGCAGGTCACAATGCTTGATGAAGTACGAGTGGTCGTGTTGTTTAAAACCAGCTCCTGAAGTGCTGAGAATCCCCCAAATACCTCGGGGGTGCCGCGGACACAAGGGATAGAGAGATATGAGATATGATAGCCGTGAGGCTGAAGAAAGTTTCGCAACTTGACCATCTGGTTTGCATAACAATCGATTACCAACGAGAGCGGGCGTCCTCGTGATCGCTTCAGGCATAAGCTGTAGAGATTTTCTTGTTGCTGTAAGTTTCTTCGGTTCTTGAGGTTCAAGTGCAGCCTGCACCATAAATTGGGCATGTCCACAGCAACCTTCCTCCATTCTCGGCATATTCTGGTCAATAGCACGGGAGCTTGGTTTTGTGCGAGCGACAGGTGGCTGTCTTCCGGAAGGCAGTAAACAAAAATCTGGGATAGGATTTCAGTTGGCAGGCCCCGGAGAGATGATACGAGTCGCTTGTGCGAATTCATGGACTGGGTAATCTTGTCCTGCTTTTCGACGAGTTGTTCGTGAAGGTTGTTGAAAGTATCCACGATTTTTTTCAGGCCTGACATTTCGTGCAAAACATCATCCAACTGCTGCTGGCGTTCGGTGATAATGGCACGGGTGCTCTGGCCCTCGACTCGGAGCTTGCTGTCAGGGCGATCGTTGGTGAAACTAGAGTACGGAGTTTCAAGGTCCGGTATCTGGTCATCATCATTGAACAACATCTCCGAGATATCATGCAGAATTGATGACATACGATTACTTGTGAACGATCGGTAGCGAATATATGCGGCTGTTTCTTATTACATTCAGACCCGAGTACCTATAAAACTGAGCACTTACAACATCATGTACCATCTTTTGCAGTTCATCATTGATATCGGCAGAGAACGAGGAGAACTTGACAAGTTTTGAGTCATCAACTGTCTGCATGTTGTTGACAATGTAACGCGGGGCAGGTTGAAATGTTCGAGGAAGATGAAAATAAATTATACCACTATTTGACTGCTTATAAACGTCTGGCTAGGTCACAACACCAACGCCACACGGCAGCACCTGTGAAAGGGGGGTATGTATAATATTTGCGCTTCAGTGAAAGAACGTAAGGCATGGAGCCACTTTACACAATCACACTTGTTGAGATCACTACGTACCTTGCATAGTAGGTCAAAGGCTAGCCAAAAGGCTTCCCTTTGTCCGCTGTCCGAGTCATGCCACTGCTGCAACGTTGATAACGGTGCCTTTATTCTCTCACCTCCTACTAGGATACACATGAGGTGCAGAGTAATCACTGGAATTATTACAGGAACAATGAGACAATGTCGATTATGTGAACAATGTACGAGTCGGTGCTGATAGGGCACGGATGGTGAGTCTGGATCACTAGTTGACTGCCTAATAAAGCCATAGACACATTAGCTTATTTGGAGCTGCAAAGCGAGATAGCTTACAAGGCAGTAGCGTCATAAAGTGACTATAAGGCTCTAGTCCAATATCGTTACATGTAGTAATTGCGACCATGATGCATGGGATCCACGACTACTTCGAGGGAAGGAATATGGGCAATGTATGTCGCTTGTTGTTCATCTGTCGTCATTACTCCAGCGCCAAAAACCAATCTCTCCAGGGGACAATTTGACCGCGCCAAGAATGCCGTCAATTGCACATGAGGCCATATTGCTTCATAGCGAGCTTCAAGCTGAAGTAAATCTGGGGGTGGCAGAGCGTCGAACAGGGAATATATTTGCAATGGTTGTATATAGCGAGTTTCAAGCAAACGTAGATTGGGGAGTGATAGAGCAATGAACAGGTCGGCTAAATGTATTGTGCTCTCGAGTTCATGAGCAATACGTAAGGATTGAAGTGTGGGGTGCGTGAAGGGCTCGATGGTTCGTGGTAACTGCTTGGTATCTGCACGAACCGTTAATGACGAGAGATTGGGACACAGATGGAGCAAGTGAGGCACTAGATCCATTTGACCAATGGCAACCTCGAGATTTGTCAAGTGAGCCAATAGGGGATTGAAGTCAGAGAAGTCCTGGAGGTAGAATATGGGCCATGTTGCTTTGAAGTCGCGCATACTGAACGACAGTCGCGAAACAGATTGTGCAATAGCTGGAATAGCGGAACGACTATAGATGCCTAATGTCAGCTCCTGAAGTGCTGCGAGGTCTGTTAACACATGTTCAGGTTTGTGGGCGTTGAGGAAAAAAGAGATAGAAAGAAACAAGATCTGATTGATGTAAGGTTGAATAAGGCTTTGTATTTTGGTGGTCGCGTTATCTGATAAGCAACAGATTTCCAACGAGAGCGGAAGTCCTCGTGATCGCCTGAGCCATGAGTCATAGTAGAAAGCTATCGGCTGCCAGTTAATGTCATGAACTCCATCGGCGTTCAACCGCAGCCTACACCATAAGTTGGGAAAACCCATAGCAATATCCCTCCATCGCCTGCAAATTCTGGTCAACAGCATGGGTGCTTGCTTTGATATGGCCCACAAGTGACGGCGTGGGAGACAATGGACAAAAATTTGGCATATGACTTCGGTTGGCAAGCGCCAGAGAGCCCTTGTAAGTTTCTTGTGCAAATTAATGGACTGGACGATCTTGTCCTTCTTTTCGACGAGCTGTCGGTGAATACTATTGATAGCGTCCATCACTGTTTCCAGGCCTGAGATCTCGTGCAAAACTCCATCCAACTGCTGCTGGCGTTCAGTGATAATGGCGCTGATACTGTGGCCTTTGAGCTCGATGGCAGAGTGGTTGGCAGGGGGTAATCTGGCTCGGGAGTATGGGGTTTCGAGGTCTGGCATCTGACTATTATAAACAAATGTAATTGATGCATCATACGGATTCGACATACAATCACTTGAGAACGAGCGAGCTGAAACGAATGTTAATTATTGTTATATTCAGACTGGCAAGCACCTATGAAACTAAGTTCTTACGACGTTCTGCAGTACACCGATTGCATCAGAGAGTGAGGAGAAATCGATTTTTAGGTCAACTGTCTGGCTCTGCATGTTGTTTGCTGCACAGGTTGAAACGTTCGAGGAAGATGGCAGTTTGAAGCTGGTAATCTCAGCTTCCGGTTCCCGCTTCCGTACTAACAAGACGATTATGTACAAGTCGAACCAAATGCTTGCACTTATCTCATACGAACTTGGCTGGTTTCACAACGCCCGCCATGATACCTACTGACCTTGCAAAGCGACTGAACAGTGAATACTTGTCATCGAAGGAAAATTGCACTCCATGGCTTCGGGAAACTCGATACACTGCGCCAAAGCTTTTCAAATGCACGTTACATCGCCGACATAACCGATCATTAACGTCAGAGACAGCACACACCGTTGGGATCTGGAGAGTCGCTGAGATAGGATGTGCGGCGAGCAAGTGATGAGAGCCCATGACCATAGATGCACTTGACACTGGGTTGACCTTGAGTTCCTTGTTGACTGCCACTGCAGGAAAAAGGAAGCTCGAAACATTGCAAGAGACACAGCTACCCTCCAGAATCAATGTCAACTTTTGAACTTGTATATATATATAACATAGCAGAATATGACGTTACATGAAATCAATTGCCCTCTTACGAGCACGAGCAGGTCCGCTTTCCTGTCCACTAACCTGACCGCCCTCATCAGGGGACACATCAGTGATAGGCAGGGCCTTCACAATATCCGGCGGAGGCTTTTCAACCCACATATCCTCACCTCCATCCCCCTCTCGATCTTTCCGTTTCTTCTTCCTCGGCCTCTCGCTATCCCGATCTCGGTGTTTTTGACGCGCAGCAGTGAGCGACAATGACTCTCCGCCATCCTCGTCTACAGCAAAGGAAACAAGCGCAACACCCTTGGAACTCTTCTGTTTCTTGTTTTTCTTTTCCTTCTTCTCTGCGTCTTTCGGTTTGGATCCCCTGGGTATGAAGGTAGGCTTGAACGTAGTCAGGTCAACATCTTCCACGATACCATTCGCTGGTGGTGGCTTGACATCCGGGCCTGATTTAGACAGCGCGGCTGGCGCGGAGAAGACAGAGGGCTCGTCCACCTCATCGACATCATCCATACGATCCTTCTCCTCGTCGCTATCCTCATCGTCACTCGCAAAAATTGCTTTAAAAATATCCATCCCGGGACGTTCATACGTGAGCACGTCATCCCCCTGCCCATCATCTTCCCCCAAGCCAATATTCGCAACATCGCGCTTGCTACTCCCGGAGCCCCCACTCTCCACTTGCGCCGCTCCCGCGCTTGCACCCGCGAATTCGTCTGCTGACGCTGTGCCTGTGAACTCAGACCCTGCAGCCTGTGCCGACGGCCCAGAGGTATCGACAGGGACTTCCGAAACCGGGTCCTTGACGCCAAAGCGCTTGCACAGCAGCCGCGCAGGCTGCCACGTGCACACCTCGCGCGTCATAACACCATACATGCCCAGTCGAGCAGCATGCACCTTCGGGGCTTCTTCCTTGACTTCTTCCTTCGGCTTCTCCTCTGCTACATCCATACTGTCCGCCGCCTCTTCTGGTTGTGCAGCAGGCGTGTGCAGGCCCTCGATGATCTTTGGTCCGAGATCCAAAACAGCGGCACTTGTAAACCGCCCAGCCATGGCTCCAGAAACGGGACGGAATAATGCAGCTGATTTTGCATAATCGCTTATTTCTTTCGTGAACTCCTCGGGTGTCTGCCCAGGCTTCTGTGCCGGTGGAATTGCGCCTGAGCCAGGATTTGCGTGTGCACGCAGATAGGCAGTGTACCTTGCCTGCTTAGATGGATCGGCTGTGAAGGGCTGAAAACCGTGGAGAGCAGCTTGGGCGATATGGGGCTCGGTGTGTGTGATCCTGGGAGGCGTGGGGAGTGAGGGACCTGGCGGAGGATCATCCGACGTGGAAGGAGGGGCAAAGCGGTTTGCAGCGATGTTCTTGATGCGTTCTTGGTCTTTCTTGGAGATGTACTCGAAGATGGACCTGGGTGCAGAAGGGAGGGGTGTCTCACCGAGCGCTGCTCCCCGCTGTCCATAGCATGTAAGCATGTGAAATCTGTAGACAATGAAATTTGTCAAACCTGGCTCGCAGAGATGCCTGTTTTCCACTGGGCGTGCGACTGAGTTTGTGACGGAGGAGGTATAGCTGCGTTCTCTTTGTCTTTTGAATTAGCTTTCTCCCTCTCCCAAACGTGTTTGGGATTTGGCATCCAATCTTTTGGGACATCTGGTATTGGGAAGCTGGTAATTATGAATATCCCATGAAAAATATACGCGCAGAAAGAGCTACTGACCAAAGGTCCTCCGCCACGGGTTTCTCAGATACGACGAACCCGTTCAAAGGCGGTCTCCCATCACGAAATGTTACTTGCCCGGTAGAAGGTCTCTAGAATTCATAAGCTGAACCGTAATGTCCCAGTTCCCTTGGATGAGGGCTTACTTGAGGTTGTGCTGCTTTTCCAAAATCCCGTGCGCCTTGCGATCGCGAACTCATAATCACCCGCTCCTCATCGTGCACATCATTCGCATCATATGCATGACGATTCCTACCGTGGACCTGGGAGTGATCATAAACATCTAAGTCGTCGTCGTCTGCATCATTCAGCGCGCCAAGCCCAAAACCACCTGTCTCCACGGGTCAGAGTCAAAAGATCGCACACAGCAGCAGCGGCGAGAATACGCGCCAGCTAAACGTGGGTCATTGGACTGTTTGGAAGCCTCAGGCGCAACGCCAAGACTCGCATGCAGCCCTAGTCCAGGGTCATAGCCCAAGCCATGGAAGTTATCTTTCCTCTCGACGATGATCAGCGGCGTGTCTCGAGGGGCGTACATGTGCTTCTTCCCTTCCTCGTCTATGTCATCGGCGGAAGGCACGTCTGGGTCACGGCCAAATGCCATTTCACGCTGACGCCATGTTATCCGTGGGCCGATACCCTGGCCAATGCGCCAGCCCATTTTCTTCAGAATGCGAGCGCCTACAGAGTCCTTGGGCGCTGGGAGGAGAGACCGCTCGAGTGCGAGGGTGATTGCGCTTGGTGAGGTGGGTCCGGTAAGCGATACATCGTATGAGGAGATATAGTGATACGCACTCTTTGTCGTCGGCACCCTCACCACGCTTTCTCATCTCATCTTGTGTGCCTCCCAGTAAATCCATCTGTTCATGCTCATCGACCAGCTTTTGGTCATCACGCATTCCTGTGAGATCTTCTTCGTCCATGAAGTCCTCTGGGCGGGAAGGACGGTTCTTGCTCGTGGCCCTGTCGGACCGGGAAGATATGAATGTTGATGGTGTCCATCCTGGAGTAGAGCGCTAAATGGCATGCTGCATAGGAATTTCTCCCCGGAGGACGTACCTTCCTTAGAACCCACTGTATTAAAGTATCCAGCAGAGAAACCGCCGGTAAAGGCACCATGCAACCTTCTCCGTCCCTTCTCATCCCTCACCTGAAAGATATCTTGAGTTTGGAACAAGAGCACACGCAGAAGAGCTCACCTCTTGCTTCCATAACGGTACGAACTCGCCTGTGTCTTTCGACTTTTCGAGTGGGGGGTAACGGGGTGCCGATCTGAGGTGGTCATGGAGAGTGGGCAAGCTGTGAGGATGGGAAAAAGTTTACGCACAAGACAGAAGTTCTCATTTGCCTTTCTGCTGGATGTATCGACGCCTAGGTCACCGAGCTTGCGCTTCAGCCTCGCTGTGCTCATCGTGGTCGCTGTTGGATCATCTACAGTCCAGAATAGTAACCCTAAAATGCATTCTAACCCTAATAACTGAGGCTGAGTGATTAGTCGGAGTTTCTATTGAAGTTTGTTCCGGAGAGAGAGTTTCTATATTTCTACACTGCATGTAAAATGTGGTGCTCTATGACCTGTCCTGGATAAGGAGATTAATAGGTATGGTTCGAATAGCCGATTGAAGTGTTGATGTTTTCTAGCTTGAGCGGATGACGTCCATGCTGATTTGACATCAAACAACCCCGGCCGGGCTTCACAAGTATTCCCTCCGTCTTCATCCTCCTCCACTCGTCACTCAACCTGCTCCCTACCCTTCGCCATCTTCTTCGCTCTCCCATTCATCCCTCCTTTCCTCCCGTACCCCTACTCTCCCCTCCCTCTCCTCTATTCCCTCTTTGATGTCTTCCTCATCATTTCTGTCTTCCCTTCTTGAATGCATCGAATTCTTCCAAAAATTTAACTGTTGCCATGATCCCTTTCTCCGTGCCCGTGATTTTGCTGGGTACGAGGTGGCAATATACTTCACGCAAATGAAGTTTGTTCTGGACTCTCAGAAGTTCTAACGCATGAGTCAAGGTGATATTTCTAGGTTTCTGTTGAAAAAATGTAATCTCGAATCCCACTTAGTCCTTGGAGAGGCTGAAATGCTCAGTAGTGGCTATGTGTTTTGTTTGACAAGCTACTTGGGGCTTTCTTGATTTGCATGCCAGTTCAAAATCGGCGGAGGCGCCCAAACCCGGCTTATTTTCCAATCAACTCCCTCAAAGTCAAGAAAGCATGGACAATATGATTGTTCCATTCATCCACACCTCTCCCATATTTTTTGTACTGTCGAAACTGTTATGTCACCTCAGTTATTCACTCATGCACCCATGAGGTCTGCAGAGTTCGGGAGGGGACATGCCAGTTCACCATGACATCTCTTGGCTGTTTTGCCCTAGGGAGAAATTTCAAGACTTCATTGCTACAGAGCAGGACCAGTTCTCAAACACCACCTTGCATCGAATCCGGCTTGAGGGGCACACAGTTTGAGCCACCAGCATCTCCCAAGATTTTCAGGCTAGGTGTGCTATGACTACGTTAGGTGCAACTGTCACGAATTCCAAACACAAATCATTATTCTTTCCTGAACACTCGTGAAACCTGCAAAGACATTCGTAAGACACCTGTTAAGCGCCCGTCACAAGCGCCTGTCGTTAGCACTCAGTCAACGTCTGTACCGATAACCTTCACAAACCCTAACCCGAATTCATCCTTTACATTTCCGAACTTCTCTATCCCATTAGCACCCACTACCTTTATCTCCGACATCCCTGATTTCGACTTCCTTTCACAAGCGATTAAGTCACGTGACTCTAGAACCTTTGAGAACCCTTGCACAGCTGTTACACGTTTCATGACATCATAGGTGTAGTTATATTTAGATCATCGTACAATTCCCTTTTCTATTTAATGATTGGCTAGTTAGTTTAGATTCAGATTCAGTCTCCGCTTCAATATATGTATATAGGTAGCTCATTGTAGTCAGTAGTTCTTTAGTTCAAACCTCTTTTGTATTAGCTTACTGCTAGCAATCCTAAGACGTCCCTGCTCCTATCTTCTTTTTGTTGTGATACCTTTGTTTGAGTCCTAGTCTCTGCCCCTGCGTTAATTCGTTATAAGGGTTGTGACATTAGGTTTGAACTATAAGGGGACTCCGACTCTACGCATTACCGCTTGCACACTTTATCCTTTGAAACTTTGTCCAGCCAAGCTTAGGCTCGATAAACGTTCAAACGATCCGTTATCAACTTTTCACTGTGTTCTTTAATTCTTGACCTCTATAGTCATAGAGTCAACGATTAAACAACAAAACCATTTTATATTGCCCGGTCTAAACAACCGTGACCCTTGATTCTATCACTCTCCCCTTTGCTCATTTGAGCGCATTCATACCTATCCGCTTTTGTAGTTAGTAGTCCTATACCAGGCCCTGCCTTACACTGCAGCCGCTGTCCTGCATGATTTGGGAATCATGCATGGACATGACTACTAGGTATCCCCCTAAAAGACAAAGTCTGTTAGCTTAGTCCTCAGACTAGTCAACCCATACCTTGGTATCAAACCTTGGTCCAATAGTTTCAGTTTTCCCTCAGTGATTCATGAATCCACCATGTTTTGAAGAAAAGTCATATGTGAGATGGGAATCACATAATGACCTAGTTGATATGAGAAGCAAAATGAAGGTTAATGTATTGCCTTTCATTTGGCTTATTCACTTTGGCTAGAGAAACCCATAGAGAAAAGTTCAAAGCCTAACAAAAACCTATCTAAAAAGCCCGCGTATTGTGTACTATTATTTGTTCCATTATTTCTGAGTTGTTTTCTCTAGTGTTTCTTTACTTTGCTTTTCTATTAGGATGCTCTGACTAATCAGATGCTTCATAAAATTGTACCTACAGGGTATGATGTCATAATGATGTCATAGGACTTCACCTACACTCCTGCAGGTATTTTGGTTGAAAGATATGATATCATAGTGATGTCATAATGATGTCATGTTCCATGGAATTTGCTAGAACATTCCAATGACTCATAATGACTCATAGTGACTCATAGTGACTCAGAATGATGTCATTATCCCACCATGAATATTCTGGAATGTTCTTTTGCACCTGCTAGAACATTCTGCTCCAGTTTTTGGAATATTCTTCCCACATTCTGAAGTCATTACATCACCTTTTTACTTACATAATATTCCCACACAAAATGTATATAAGGAGAGCCCATTCTCCCCCAAAAAATAGATCTCCCACTTGTTGCATTCAAGAACTTCCACTTGAGCAAATTGAACTCTCACCTAAGAAGCTTCAGTCTGAACAAATTGCTGCTTACAAAGCCCATTTCCTTTGTAAGAACTGTCCAGGCAAGTGCAGGGAAAGTGTTTCCCTTGAGATTACGTAAGTTTCTTGCGATAGAAACCCAGTTTTGTGAGACCAGTGTTCTCACCACGTAGTGTTTACTGACCAACACGAGCTTTGGTCACCGTTGTTTTTTGTGAGACCAGCGTTCTCACCAGGTATTTGTATACTGACCAACACGAGCTTTGGTCATTGTTGTTATTTGTCATTGTTTTATATTTGTCATTTGTTGTTATTTGTGAGACCAGCGTTCTCACCAGGTATTTGTATATTGACCAACACGAGCTTTGGTCCACGTAGTCACATTTGAGACCAGCTTCTCAACAGTTAACCGTATATTCAGGAAACCAGTTCAAGTGTCTAGACGGTATATCCTAGACAATCCCATAGTTTCAATCAGAGATAATAAAGCTCCGGCTAAGTTAATCTGACTGATTGGTTTAGCGAGCCTCCCAAGAACTCACACGTTATCTACCACAAAAGAAGAAAAGTCGTAGACCGTGTTAATCGAGGACTGGCAAGAAGTCTTATCCAGTGTAATTGTGGTGTCATTACATTCTTACACGTATTTATATAAGACCCTCGGTTATTAAGACACCGCCAGTATACGGAGGTGTTCACGACATTAGGCGTGTCACTGCAACTTTGAGTGCTGACCCAATACCCTGCCTGCTCAACGTTACTATAACTTTCTTTTTACCTATCATCTTTTCTTTGTACGATACGTAGGCTACTCTACCCGAGTTTAGAAGAGTTGTCTAGCGATAAGTCCTACGCACAGATCCTACCGAGGATTTAGAAACGCATCTAGTCGAGAACTGTCGCTTGTAAGCTTCGGCTGGAAGAGCGGACATGTCCTTCTAGTGTGTTCCCTTGGAAAGTGTTGGCAAAGGCACCTAGTTTCTCTCACTTGGCGAGTATAGTTGTTACGTACACATCTTTTGTAGTTAGTATCTAGGGAAGAGTCAGTTGGGTTTTACCAGGACCCTTTGACCCTGAAGTACAAGGTAGATCCAATCAGATATCGGGGACCGCTTCAGTTTTCCATTTACGTACTCCTTTTCTCACCCTCCGTTTTCATCATCATTCCCTATCGGATGAGCCATTACGACTAGCTCATCATTCATCATTCCTTTTCAGGTAGACCGTTACGACCAGTCTACCATCAGTCATTTGTGAATCGGGTTCCAGAATACAGCTGGCACAATGACAAGAAAAATGTATTCCTTGCAAGAGTTTAATGCAATGGGAGAAGTGCTCAACGGAGAACCTTTTGTATGTTACCGTTGTGGAAAGCCAAACCATATTGCGAGAAATTGCAGAACTCCGTCTCCACAGAGAGAGACAACAAGACGAACTCATGATATTCCCACGAAAGAAGACACCCTTCCAAGTTGGTTTATAGAATCCTTAACTCATGGAGAAGTAAGAGGAGAAGCACCCAAATGGTTCAAAGACCTAACAGCTACACCACAAGGCAAAAATTTTTTGGCAAAAGAGAAAGCCAAAAGAAATCAACCGCCGAAATGGTTTAGAGATTGGGTAACTACTAGGAAAGAAGAAATCCTAGAAGAACCAGTAGAAGAAGACGTGTCTGGAAGCAGATATTCGATTCTATCAAACTTTGCGGATGTAGAAGAAATATACCTACGATCAAAATCAGAACATTTCTACATTCCAATAACGTTGAAAGGAAAGAAGAAGACTGTGGACGTTAGAGCCCTTGTAGACTGTGGGGCATCTACTTTATTTATCAATAGGAAGTTTGTATTGGACAATGACGTTCGGTGTCATAAATTATTAAAACCTATTCCGGTTAAGAACATAGATGGTTCTTTAAACGCCGCTGGATCAATGACTCATTACACCGAACTAGGTCTAAAGATCGGTAACCATGTAGAAGACAAAGCAGCCTTCATGGTTACAGACTTAGGAAGCGATGATGTTATTATTGGCATTGACTGGTTAAGATATCACAATCCAGAAATAGACTGGAATGCAGGACAGTTTTCGTTATCTAGGTGTCCGCTTAAATGTATTATGAAAAAGGAACAAAGACAAAAAAAATAGAGAAAACAGAAAAGCACAAAAACAGGCAGATGTGATTCCGGATCTGATTCCCACAGAAGAGGATGACGATGAAGATATGAACACAAGGAAGGCGACATGTGAAGAGGTAGAAGATGAAGAAAGTCCTGAAAGATGGATTAGATACAAAGCCTCGGTCGCCACAGAGCAGAAGGTAGCAGAAGAAGCTACAAAAAGAAGAAATCTGTAGAAGAGATGGTTCCAGATTGGCTTCATGATTACCTGGGAGTGTTCTCAGAAGAAGAGTCCAAACGATTCCCCAAGAGAAAGAAATGGGATCATGCTGTGGATCTTAAAGACGACAATGATCTTCCTCCGAATGCGAAACCTTATCCCTTGTCACCGAAGGAGATGGACACATTGAAAGATTGGTTAAAAGCCGAGACTGCACTAGGACGTATTAGAGATTCGCAATCTCCAGTTGCAGCACCTTTCTTCTTTGTGGCCAAAAAAGATGGCAAACTTAGACCTGTAATGGACTATAGAAGGCTTAATGAGAAGACAGTGAAAAATGCATATCTGCTACCGAGATCTCAAGACCTGATTGATGCCCTTACTGGTGCTACAATGTACTCCAAGATGGATGTATGATGGGGGTATAACAATATTTGGATGAAAGAAGGAGATGAATGGAAGGCAGCTTTCAAAACGCCTTTTGGTCACCACGAACCAACCGTAATGTATTTTGGGTTGACGAACTCTCCAGCAACTTTCCAGACCATGATGAATGAGATATTCAGAGATTTAATAGACGGCAAAACAGTGGTCGTTTATATCGATGACATCTTGGTCTTTACAAATGGAAACAGAGAGCAACACCAGAATGTCGTGCGAGAAGTACTCAAACGATTGAAAGAAAATGACCTGTACTTGAAGCCTGAGAAATGTAGCTTCGAACAGTCTAAAGTTGAGTTCCTTGGGTTGATTGTGGAAAAGGGCAGTGTGTCTATGGACCCCCGTCAAGGTAGAAGGAGTATTGAAATGGCCTGTTCCCAAATGCATAAAAGAAATACAAGCATTCATGGGTTTTGCCAACTTCTATTGAAGATTTATACTTGGGTTCTCAAACATTGCCAGACCAATGAATGATTTGCTAAGAAAAGATGCCAAATGGGATTGGACAGAGAGACAGCAAAACGCTTTTGATGAGTTAAAGAAGCGTTTTACAGAAGCTCCCGTCTTAGTCATGCCTGACGTTGAGAAGAAAATGAAAATAGAAACCGATGCTTCCGATTATGCAACAGGAGCAGTTCTATCTCAATTAATGGAAGATGATCTATGGCACCCAGTGGCTTATTACTCGAAGTCAATGAATGATGCAGAAAGAAATTATGACATCCACGACAAAGAGTTATTAGCAATCATTCGTGCGTTGGAAGAGTGGAGGCACTATGTGCAGGGAAAACCCCAACATGTGGAGATCTGGACAGATCATAAGAATCTCAAGTACTTTATGACGAGTCAGAAGTTGACAAGAAGGCAAGCCAGATGGAGTTTGTTCCTGGTGGAGTATGAATTTACGCTCCAACATAAGCCTGGTGTGGTCAATGACAAAGCAGACCGTCTATCTCGGAGAGAAGACCACAGAGGGGGGGTAGAAAAACGATAATTCTGACCCCATTTTGTTGAAACCGGAATTTTTCAAGATCAATGCTGCTAAACGAGGCCAGATTCTCATAGAAGGAGAAAGTTCGCTCATGAAAAAGATAAGAAAGAGCATAGAACGAGAGCCTGAAGTAATGAAAGCACTAGAAACGCTAAAAGCAGCACCAGTGCAATTGCACAGAGGAATCAAAGAATGGAATGTTGAGGACGGATTGGTGTTGTTCCAAGGATTGGTATACGTTCCAAATGATAAAGAGATTCGCCGAGAAATATTGGAGTTGTTTCATGACTCTCCACTGGCTGGACATCCTGGACGTGCCAAAACCTTAGAATTGATTTCCAGAAATTATTGGTGGCCTTCAATGACGAAGTATGTCCATGATTACGTAGATGGTTGCGATCGATGCAAACAGACGAAAGTGTTCCCAAGTAGACCAACGGGACCTTTACAGCCAAATGAAGTTCCAGAAGGACCTTGGCAAACGATCTCATGTGACCTGATAGTGGACTTACCAAAGAGTGAAGGATGCGACAGTATATTTGTTGTCGTTGATTGATTTTTGAAACAATCGCACTTCATTCCCACCACCAAAGACGTAGACTCGAAGGGAATTGCCGAGCTATTTCTAAGAAATGTATGGAAACACCATGGTACACCGAAGAAGGTGATTTCAGACAGAGGAACACAGTTCATTTCAAAGTTTATGGGACAAGTATCAAATAGATTAGGAACGAAATGGTCTGCCTCGACCTCCTATCATCCCAGAACAGATGGACAAACAGAACGTGTAAACCAAGAAGTTGAACAGTACTTGCGCATGTTTGCCTCGTACAGACAGAACGATTGGGTATCTTGGCTGCCAATAGCAGAGTTTTCACACAACAATGCAGTCACAGTAACCGGTCACAGTCCATTCAAAGTCCTCTATGGATATAATCCTGAATTCACAATATCTCCGGACTCTACATCCCTTATTCCCGCCGCCGATGAGAGAGCTGATCAGATGAGAGAAGCAAGAGATGATGCAGAAAACACTCTGAAGATGGTTAATGAACGCATGAAACGCTTCTATGACCGAGGAGTTAAAAACGCACCTCAGTATCAAAAGGGAGACAAGGTCTGGCTAGACGCAAAGAACATCAAACAACGTCGTCCAAGTCAAAAGTTGTCAGATCGTCGTCTTGGGCCCTTTGAAATACTAGAGAAGACTGGTGAAGTGAACTACAAATTGAAATTGCCAGAGAGCTATAAGATTCACCCAGTTTTCCATGTGGAATTGCTTACTCCATATTATGCATCTCAATTGATCCCTCATTCTCAACCCACCCGACCACCTCCAGACATTGTTGACGATCAGGAAGAATTTGTTGTAGAAGAAGTATTAGATAGCCGACAATTCCAAGGAAAAGTGCAATACCGAGTAAAATGGGAAGGATATCCAATAGAAGAGTCGACATGGGAACCAGAAGAAAACGTTAAAACTCCCCGATTCTAATTGCGGAATTCCATAAGAAGAATCCCACGGCTGCTAAATCCAAACGAATTCTAGGATCTATTCTTGACACAGAAGAATTCGCTCAATGGAGAAAGAAAAACATCCGACCATCCTACATTCGCGATGACGCTCATCCTAGAGAGGGGGTAATGTCACGAATTCCAAACACAAATCATTATTCTTTCCTGAACACTCGTGAAACCTGCAAAGACATTCGTAAGACACCTGTTAAGCGCCCGTCACAAGCGCCTGTCGTTAGCACTCAGTCAACGTCTGTACCGATAACCTTCACAAACCCTAACCCGAATTCATCCTTTACATTTCCGAACTTCTCTATCCCATTAGCACCCACTACCTTTATCTCCGACATCCCTGATTTCGACTTCCTTTCACAAGCGATTAAGTCACGTGACTCTAGAACCTTTGAGAACCCTTGCACAGCTGTTACACGTTTCATGACATCATAGGTGTAGTTATATTTAGATCATCGTACAATTCCCTTTTCTATTTAATGATTGGCTAGTTAGTTTAGATTCAGATTCAGTCTCCGCTTCAATATATGTATATAGGTAGCTCATTGTAGTCAGTAGTTCTTTAGTTCAAACCTCTTTTGTATTAGCTTACTGCTAGCAATCCTAAGACGTCCCTGCTCCTATCTTCTTTTTGTTGTGATACCTTTGTTTGAGTCCTAGTCTCTGCCCCTGCGTTAATTCGTTATAAGGGTTGTGACAGCAACCATATCCAGATGCACGACTTGTCTCAGGAAGCATAGAACGATTCTGAATCGAGGGACCACCCTGCGATTGGTACTCTTCCTGTGGTTATAGTCCGTCCCATTTTTGGTACAATCACCTTTCAAAGATATACAGATGGATGTAAACTATAATCAATCCTTCGCCGTCACTTCATACAAGGGGTGATTTGGGGTCAAAAAGCTGTTTGTTTGACGGATGCAAACACAAACAATCCTGAAGATAATGAAGGCCCGGTCTCGTGTGAATTATAGACTCAAGGCCTACCAGCTCCTATGCATCCTGACGGTCCAACATTGATGCACACACGCGCCCAACGAGTTCCCGATCAATACTGTACTCTCACGAATGTGCTCCTCCACTTGCTCTTCTTGCTGTATCACCCTTAGGGTCAGAGTGTGGTTCCTGCGCCTTGAGCGACATCCAAGTTGTCCAGTTTAGTAATGTTTGTTTCGTTAAAGAGAAACCACGAGTTATCCGGTAAGTCAGACATGTCGTCACAAGAACTCGCTGGAACCGTAAAAGTTACCTGAATATATGTTGATAGTGACCCCCCCTGCAATTTGGTTGCTTCACATTGTTACAACACAGCCATTCGGGCTATAGACCGGCCATTTGCACCTCAAGCAGTGGGAGCTCTGCATATGTCTGGGGAGTGTAATAATCATGGGGGTATTTAATTCATCGGTCTTCAGACTGAACTGTAGATCAACATCAACTGTAGATCTTAATTACTTGGTCTGTTCAAAGACTAGGATGAAAAAGCTTGTCGTTCACATACTACAAACATTAAAACTTCTCCGATCAATGGATGATTGACATGAGGCAACCAACATTGGTTTATGAACTCCCAGTATGCCGGCCTTATTTGTGATTCCTTGGGAGGATCTGGTTTCTTACCTCTGATGACATGTCCCAAGACCAGAGTATCCTTCTTCACATTGTAGTAGGGTACCTTGCCAGTCAAAACCTAATGAAGCATGCGCAAAGTGAATCATGCGATCAAAAGATTAGGCTATGAACCTGTAAGATGATACTGCCAAATGAGTATATGTCACACTCGGTGCTGAGCAAGGTCGACGCCTCACCTTCTTCATCGCCCTCTGGTATTTCAAACAGCTCTGTAGCTGCCCATCAGATATTTCCCCTGATGGAATTTATGAAATAGGAGGTACCAACGAACTCCACCATAATAGTCGAAAGACCAAAATCAGCAAGGCATGCCCAACCATTGCGATAAATCAATACATTTGACTGGAATGTCGGGACATGAATGATGAGGAGTATGACTTCGGTACATTGCTATACGCACCCCTGTCAGATCGCCATGAATTACTGATTTGCTATGAACTGAGCCAGAATAAGTGTTTGAAAATTAGGACGATCTGAAAGACGACTAACGGTATTGCAATCCAAGGGCGATATTGATCAGCTGGAACGTGTCAAAAACAAGCGGCTAGAGGTACTCACAAAACGGCTTACAAGGGAGAACCTATTTTCAAAAGATAACATGTCGTGTTGGCATTCAAGAAAACCGGTAAGGGCTCCATCATCGGCCCATGGGCAAATCATTGCAGGATAGGGCCCGAAGTTGTTTGCTACTCCCCAGAGTGGGAGGATACAATCATGTTTGAGACGGCCACAAACTTTCAGCTCGCGATGCACTTTCTAAACCAAATTGTCATCTGATAGATTGACGTGTCACAGGAGACTACACTACCTTGACTTTCTGCTGCATTGCAATATCGTCATCTGACTCAAAGGCACAGATGGCCTTCACTGCTACCTACAATACATTCAAGATAGATCACTAGGAAATGCTAACAGGTGGGCCTACCCGGACAGTCCCATTGGGAATCAGTAAACAGCACCTCCAAATATCTCCAAAGCCTCCAGAAGCAATTGCATGGGCCGATATTCCCATAAGTTGATTGGTAAGATCTTGCAGTGAACTCAACAAAGAAACTAAGTATTCTTGGCTGCCCGGTTGTAATGTGGACGTTGTTCCTGAAGAAGATGAAGCGGAAATCTTGGGAGAGGCTGCATGAGTCATGGGTATATAATGGGAGCTTGCTGATGGCTTGATAAATATTTTCATTAGATGTGCTGCGGTATAGAGAAGACCCGAATTCATTACCTGGTCAAGACCGCTTGTAATAGGGGACACCGGGGCAATTAATGGGGGTGGCGACACAATATGTGTCGTCGTGATGATGGACTCCTTGGATATATCCCACAGAAAGATCATGACTCCCGCACTGGTGGCAACAAGCTGTCTGTCTGGCGAGAAGGCTACTGTGGACACCTCATTGGCATGCTGGAGCACACGACCAAAAGGTTTGCGGGTCATGGTACTCCACAATTGGGCAGTCCCATCATGGGATGCACTTGCTATCAGTTCAGTGTCGGGTGAGATGGCCAACGAGTTTATAGTGCCCGAATGTGCACGAAAGAAGCATTTGAGCTGGGCACTGCTGGAATTTGGTGCACGCCAGAAGTAGAAGTAGATCCAGCCATCATAAGTTGCACAAATGAGAAGACGACTATCTGGAGACCAGACTACGGAAGACACTGGTGTGTTGTGGATGACTGGTTGAGTTTGCTGTTTGCCGGTTGCTGAGCTCCAGATGTGAATCGTGCCATCCAGAGATCCACTTGCAATATTGATTCCATTTGGAGAATAAGCCACTGTCCATACTTTGTCTCAGTGGTCATCAATGTCGAATATGAGTCCCCCTGTTTCCATGGTCCAGATCTTTAATGTCCCATCATCTGATGTGGAGACAAGCCTTTTCTCATCAGGTGAGAACTGTATGGAACCAGCACAGCCTGTGTGATGTGACAAACACCTGATAACCTCCTTGGTCTCTGCATCCCATATCATGATCTTACCATCCTTCGCTCCACTCACAACTCTTCTTCCATCCATTGATACAGCTAGTCCAACAGTCTGACAACCATGTCCCTGAAATGGCTTTCCCACTTGATTCCCTGTTTGCACATCCCAAATGCGAACAGTCTTATCGTCGGATGTGCTTATGACCCTGAGTCCTGAGTTATTTTTCGAGAACACCACTTCCTGCACGTTATCATCGTGTCCTTTGAATGTTTGGACTGGGTATAGGAATGGCTCCATGTGGCATGTGATAGATGAGGATGTCAGGGTAGAAGAGTCGAGGGAGAGTACTGTAGAGCTACGACACTAGCTTCGTCACGTGCAGCGTGTGATTATGTCACACTCAGTGTCACTGGTTTGAATGACCATGTGACCTGTGACCACACCCAAATAGATTCACCCACGGGTGCTTCGCCGCTTGCAACCATCTGACATGCCGCTGCTTCGTGATTGTGTGACGTGCCAATGGATGCACTTCTTGACCATATGGCTTCCGGGGGTGAACAGGTCCGTTCTGACTGCCATATCAATGCAGATGGTGGACTTTCGTGTGCAAGCCACTCCGAAGTCTATGATGTGGGTGGCATTGCCGCTGAAGATGTGGAAGGTGGCTCGAACAGTGTTCCGACGGTTGATTATGGGCGTGGAAAGCGTAGACGCATCACAAATTCAATGTATAATGATTTTTGGTCCCATTAGTGCACAACCTATGTTTTTCCTATGTTTTTTCCGAATGTCACAAATTAGCTTCGTCCCGTCAAAATTCATGTGACGGTCACACCAAATAGATTCGATTCGTCAAGGGCTGTGACCTGTGACAAACCTAGTGTCGTAGCTCTACAGTAGGTGGCTGTTAGGCAAAAACCTGTATCTAGACTCTGCATAAGTAGAAATTTGGTAGGCACTGGGGTTCTCACCGAGGCAAGTATAATACATTATACAACACGTACGTGAGACTTTTGACGTGTACAAAACAGTATGTCCTGTCATTGTTCTATCAGTAGTACGAGATCAATCACCAACTGAACATCAAAACTACGAAACAAGATAAGAATCAAAGTGTTCAAACTTCATACTGCAGTGGCCTCTCGGCACTTGGAAGGTTACGACAGTCCAGGAGTCCTGCAAGTTTGGTGAATACCGCACCTAAGGTAACCAAAAATAAATGTCACACGGTGTGCATGTGGGGGCAAGCATGTGCCCAAGGAGGTGTGATGAATAGAACAAACGGCGTGATGCGGAAGATGCGAAAGATAGAATACAAGGGCGAGAAAATAAACTTAGGGCGACAATGTCACCCTTAACGATTAATTTGATTGCATGCCCGACCGCAACGGCAAGCATCTGCAGGCCCATCTGGCACATCAAGCAGCCGTCCTCATGGTCAATCACTAAGTGCGGGCGCACGTGACCCACGAACTCTCAGCCGGCGGAGTCTGGACTCGAGTTCCCGCCGGACTCAATGTCTACTCTCAGACTTTTCTGGAATCTGTCCTGCAGACTGGTCTTAGATGTACAGCCTAGCATCAGCTTATACGAGGGAGTTCGACAGGCTCATCAAATTGCCAACTGAACTCTTATCCGACATTTTGGTCTACACTCTCCCGCCATTCGATAAGTTATCGCAACCATCAAAGCTACAATACCCTATGCCATGATTGACCTGACCGATGGAGGGGGATTATGTGGACATGTAAAGTTTATGGTGTAGACTGCGTCTGTGAGCTTGAGCCGCTAGTAGTGGGACCCTTTCTGCTACAATACATGGCTGCAGTGCTTTGATCGCGAGGACTATCACTAGGTCGTTGGCACTCATGTGGTGCAAGTTTAAACTCCGTTCATTGTGAATGTACCCCTATAATTTGTGGTTCAATGTTAGCTTTCAACAATGGTCAACCTTACATCCCGGATAGCGTCTCTCCTCTGCATCGCCCATCCAACTAAGTTGGGTCAGAAAGCGCCGGCGAACAAACAAAACATCGTAAGTACCTAGTTGTAAGAAACCGTGTCTCATTAATCGACTATCAATCACTTCTGACACAGTCACAGCCAATTGTATGTCTATTCTGATATATCTGATACTGTAGTACTGACGATAACCAGACGCCAGACCTTGAAACACAGCACTCCAATGATTTCGACCGCCCTGCCATGCGCACGGACCAGACTCGGAGCGTTGGCGCCGTCATCGCCGATGGCGAGCGCCTCATCGACAAGCGGGACGAGATCATCCACTCCGTGAACTTACACGAAGGACTTGAACCGGCTGTCTCTCACTTACCAGCCGAACTCTTATCCGAAATTTTTATGCACACACTCCCATCATTCGATGAATTATTGCCCCCATCGAAGCTACGATCTCCCATGTTGTTGACCAGGATATGCCGAAGATGGAGGGAAGTTGTTGTTGACACGCCAAGTTTATGGTGCAGACTGTTTGGTGGGTATAAGAGCTCCCAGCGCGGGCACAGGTCGCAAGAAGCATTCTGCTACAACACATGGCTCAAGCGATCGCGAGGACTTCCACTGTCGTTGGCACTCACGTGTCGCACAAATCACTTGACCAGCCTTCTTCAGCCTTACATGAATCAAATCTCGTCTCTTCGTATCGTTTACTGCGCCGCCACACGCGACCTTTTGTTAAGCGACCTCCCAGCGCTTCAGGTACTTATCGTGGATGGGTGGATCGGTAACTTTCAATTTCAGGAGAGTGCTATCGCACAATCTATCTTGAACCATTCATTCACCCTGCGCAGTCTCAAAGTCAGTAGACCATCGTCTTCATTCTACTTGGCCGGCTTCCACTCCTTCAAGAATTCCAGATGGCCCCATCTCACACATGCACATGTTGAGATCACTGTTTACCAACAAGATCTACTCATTTTACTGCAGCAGGCTCCTAACCTCTCCTCAGCCAAGATTTTCGTAGCTGTACTTACTGCACACCCTCCCTTACCGGTAGAGCCATGCACGCACACGAAGCTTCAAGTCTTGCACATCAATTGTTCCAAATCGCCCTTAGCATTCCCTAACCTGCTTAATGCCCTATCACTCCCTAATTTACGCGAGTTAATGGCTGGCGCTTTATGCATGCAGTGGCCTCACGAGGAGTTCAAAGCATTTTCAGCACGGTCAAAGTGTCCTCTGGAGTTCCTGAGTTTGGGTGATGCAATGACAGCCTCAGAACTGGACGAGCTGCGAGCGGAATACATCGCTCTCATTCCTTCTCTTGAAGTAGTTGTGGATCTGGCCGCGATTTCCAGTTATCTTGAGTAGATCTAGTAGTTTTCAGGTTCAGATCGCGATAACACGTATGGCCAGTTGTTTGTCGTTCATGGATTTTGCTTGCTTGTGCGTTAGGAGAGGCCTTTCTGATTTCTTGACCTAAAGCGAGGTCATTCCGATCGAGTTGCAATTAGAAAAGTTCCAGCAGGCGAGCAAGGCTCCGCGCAGACAATTCCATTATTCCTCGTATACGCGCTGACGTCTAGGGTGTTCGTCGTGCTAGCCCACCCTAACTTCATGTGACTTTCAACACAACGACGAAAGACAAGTACAAGTATTCTTGTGAGTTCCAAAAACATATTTGCTTTCTTGTGTGGCGACAATATAATTCATATAACAATCTATCCATTGCATCGATACAACTACAGTCTAATGACTACTTATCTAAGTGAGCTCCCGATATAAGGTACCCACCTATTTTGCGGTGGTTGTTGGCACAACTGTTGTACTGACAGAAGAACTGCTCGTGTTAGTGTTGCTCGCAGTCGAAGCACTAGAGCGGGAGTTAGCGATTACTGAAGCGATAGCAGCCGCGTTCATCCGGCTGGGTGTTACAGATGATGATGATGAGGGAGAAGTGGAAGTGGAGGAAGAGGAAGAGGACGGCGGGGAAGATGAAGTAATGGGCGCAGAAGACGGTGAATCTGCGATCGGGACGAACTCAATTTCTAGCGAGCCTCTCACGGGCTGCGAGGTCGATGTCGCTTGACTGGTAGTCGCCGAGCCCATGGAGATTGCTTGAGAAGATGACGACCCCGGGATTGAAGCGACGATAGCAGCGTGGACAGATGGAGAGGGCGGTATCGATGGTGATGTCGCTTGGGCGCCAGTCGCCGGGTCTGTGGAGCTTGCCTCAGAAAATGACGACCCCGGGCTTGAGGCGACGATAGCAGCATGGACAGAAGGAGAGGGTGGCATTGATGACGATGTAGCTTGGGTGGTGGTGGAGCTGGCGGAGCCCGTGGAAGTTGCTTGCGAAGGCGACCCCGCGCTTGAAGCTGCAGCAGCAGCGTGGACAGCAGGAGAGGGTGTCGATGTCGAACTGCACGCTGTTGACGTTGACGAGCATGACGAAGATGCCACGGTAAGTGCAGCGACAGCGGCCACAGGGCTTCCAACAGCGGACGATGAAGATGAAGACGGGGTTGCAGTGGCGGTGTAGACAACCGTCGTGGTGATCGTCGTCGTTACCACATCAACCGCACTCGAGTCAGCAGCATCGGTAGAAGGTGGAGGGGCAGAGACCGTCAGGTTGGAAGGCCGGAACACAAGGGTCACGTTCTGTGCTTCCGGTGCAGACGAGGAAGTGGTGGGCTGAGGCGCAGACGGGGAGCTGGTGGTACTAGATCCGGCGGATGACATCGTGTTGGAGCCAGTGGTAGAAGAAGTCGTAACATCCCGCTCAACAAACATCGCATGCGAGGAAGTGCTGCCGTCGCTGTTCGTCCAGACTGGCTTGATGACACCAGTAGAGGGATTGTACTCGAAGATCTGGCTCTTGTGTGGATCCGCGGCTAATACGGTGTAGTCGACGATAGGCGCCATGCCATTGGCATATGAGTAATCCAGGTTTTTGACGTCATTTTCTGATTCGGACGGACGGCACATCTCCATCGTCATTGGCTCAGGCCCAGATGGATTCGGGTCAAAAGTCGCGCAGTAGAGGGAATCGAAGATATCAGTTTGAACCATAACGTGCTTCGTCGTGTTTGCTATGAAGATATTTGAGTTTGGCAATAAAACAAATGCAGCAGAAAAATACCAGGGTCGCTGAATGAGCTGTCATTAGCGTCGACCAAGTAGAACTGCGTCCCGTTTGTGCTCGACGCATTGAGAGGGAAGGAACCATCACTACTGGTCGAGTTGGTAGACGTAGTATTGGTGGAGTTATATGTCGAAGGATCGAGGGCAAGAGATGCGAGGTGCCGGCCTTGCTCTCCGCTCTAGAAGTGCGATTATAAGAGCACAGAAGTTGGGGGGAAAAGCTCCATACCACAATGTCAATTATCCCAGAAACAGGACCGGAAGTACCGCGTCGACCCAGCCTTCGTTTTGAAGAACGCGTGCAGGCTGCTCCCCTAGAGACTAGATAGTTATTTCCGCCTGCACCATGGACGAGAGCAGACGAGCGGCGAGAGAGAGGAGTAGGACGACGTGAAGATGCATCGCGCAGCGAGAAAGGTGGATGGACATCATCACCGTGAACATGAGAAAAGTCAAGACCCAGAATTCCGGCCAGCGGGTTCGATGAGTCGGAATCGGAAAACCTGAAGAACCTCTGCAATATTGGTACGTATCAGAAGACGTCAACAAAACATAAGCTAACTTACCGAGCTAGGAGTATCGGTGATCAACTTCCCTTTGCCCTTGGAGGGTTTGTTGGGAACATGTCCAGCAGTCAGCCTCGGAAGTGAAATGATAGTGCGGGGCTTATCAGCCTCATACGCAGTGGCAACCCGGTTGCCACTGGGATGGGTTGCAATATATGCAGCATCCGCTGGGGGTGGAAGTACGATAGCGATGATCGTACAGATGCTTGTGAATGCGACAAACTGAGATGTGAAGCGCATGATGAAAATTGCGGACAAGGAGAGGATGCGATCCGGCGCAGCGTTAAGAGAAACAAGGAGGGTAGATGAATGTGAGTAATACGATGCCCGTCGCAAGACTGTCGTGCAACAAATCACCAGGATCTGTGCGGAAGGAGAATGAGATGGAAAACATAAATATTTTGAAAACATCGAGACTTTATACCCTGCAGGAAAAGGATGTATGTGAAACATCCGACGTCATCCTCCACACAGGAGGCGCGTATGCTAAACTGGTCTGAATTGAGATCGACAGGCTTGACATAACGACTTGCAATGTGAACCGATAGTCGTGTTTACTATGACATGACATGTCGGACACACGTCTGGAACAGTTGCATGCATTCTGGATGATCAGAACTTCCATAAACTATTCATATGATTAATACCGTCAGCTTCAAGTTAGGATGAGTCAACATACGTGCCATGGCAGAACTACGCAATAACTTGAAGTATCTTTTCTTTGCGGCATGCCCGACGCATGGGATTATGACTGAGCTGTACATGCATGTGTGATCTCACACCCAGCCGCCTTACTTTGGTGGGGAGGGAAGTGGAAATAAGGCCCGTCTGGTACAACTTCAAGCTTCAAGTTCATTGCAGAGTACGAGGTAAGTGCAGGACTCGGTCACTAAGCGGATGCTTGCGAGTTAACATTAAAGTATTACCAGTTGCTATTACCATTTTGGAACTCCGAGTACTCATAGTCTCATCGCCGCCATCATAGCTACCGACTCAGTTAGAATGTACTTGAAACACAGAATAAGGACAAGAATGAATCAGTAGATGGAAATTGATTGTGAATATCAGCCTTGAGTTATCCGAGTAATTCGTCCTCTGATGTCATATGCATAGTCTGCTTTGTCATGCGTCATGCGAGAAACTTCGTCTTGAATGCGCTGATCCAACGCATGGTCAAAGCCGATGCACTTAAGCCTCGCAAGGTACAACTTCTGTGAAGCTTCATGAGATGTTTGCTGGCAGGAACAGAAGGTAATAACTTGAACGTACCTCCTGACCCTTTGCCAGTGCCTCCAGCACATCCTCTGTTGTGAGTTTACCAACAGCAAGTTGTGAAGCGGCTCGTGTCATGATGACATCAGACTTTCTAACTGATACTTGCCCCAAATCATCCCTCTCTGACCCCAACACCACCTTAGCCCACTCGATCTGAAACTTCATGCAAGCTTGAGCCTATGGCTTACATAAATATTGACAAACATACCCAAAACCCTTGATTGCTGAATTCTTCTATCGATAGCTCCCGGATCACCTTGAAATTGTATATCCCGCAATAGAATAGCTGGTCGGGTCGGTCCTGGACAGGCACAAATGACTGGAAGACCTCTTTATTCGTGTCCGTGCCCCGCACCAAGACGAGGCCTGGTTGTCCAGGTGCAGCAGGCACATAGCCCCCAAGCCGAAGGTCGAGGAGCCCGAGCTTTGGTATATCAAGACGAGATACGAGATTGAAAGAAACCGGGATAGAAATTGGGTTTAATATTGTGCGAGAGCAGTCCCTGACATCCTTTAAGACTCTATCCGACGATAGTTCCAGCCCTTGTGGGTGAAATCTCCACATAAGAGGAGGAGTCGGTAGCGCTGGGGCAACTTGAAGTTGACGGTCGTCAATTTCGATCGGTTGACGGCTCAAGTCATCATCATCGTCCTCTGTGATTATCACGTCAGTTGAACAGGTAGTGAAGGCATACCAAGATGTAGAAATCACCTGACGCTAAACGCTTGCGTTTGAGTTTAGAGACACTGGCTCCATTTGAGGCTGACCGACTCCCACTTGGATAGGGAGCTGGCACTTTGGACGAAGCTGGGGTCACCGCAGTGGTCTCATGTACGTATTCATCATCGATCCTATTTAGCAAGAATGGTTTGGACATACCATACGACTCTCCCGTTGCAGCCGACGGTCATGTAAACATGCGTCGTGAAATGCCTTGCCAAGCAACTCTGCAACTCTGCATTCCGAATCATTCAGCTGACCTTTCAACTTTTTGACTTCGCTTTCCAGGACAGCGGTTGCTGTAGCCCGCGTCTCGCTCTCATTCTCCCATTGTCCTTTCGTGTCGTTTAGCTGCCTTTTCAACCGCTCAACCTCGATTCCCAGAGCGGTGGCTTCTGAAGCCCGTTTCTGAAGCTGCTTGTGATCATGTGCAACATGCCGTTTGGACTCGTTGAGCTGTGTTTTTAATTTGTCGGTCTCGTGTTCCAGGGCAACGATTGCTGAAGCCTGTTTCCGAAGCTGCTCGTTGTCGTTCTGCAGCTGCGCAATATCCTGTTTGGACTCCTTTAGTTGTGTTCTTAACCCTTCGGTATCGCGTTCCGTGGTGGCAATAACCGACGCCAGCCGCTCATTGTCATGCTGCAGCTGCACAACATGACGTTTGGAGTCGTTTAGACTGGTCGTTGTCGCCTGTGTCTCGAGCTGCCGCTCGTTGCCACTCTGTAACTGAAACACATAGCGCTTTGAGTCGTTGAGTTGGGTCTTCAACCCTTCGACTGTGTTCTCCATAGAGGCCAACTGAGTATTTGCTGTAGCGCATTTAGCTCGATAGTAGTCTCGTTCCTTGACGAGGTCCAGATTCTCTTGTTGAACATCCATTGTTCGGACGAGGGGACAGAAAGATTCTTCGGGTCTAAGGACTTGGCGGAGAGGGTACCTGGTTTCTCGAAAGTCCGCGGCTGTCCGTCTGTCTATCCAGTCTGTCAGCGAGAGCCATAAACCATGAATACATTGATAGCAGTACTGGCCAGCGTTACAACAGTCAAGCTTATACGTGCACTTTCAAGCATTCATAAATATAACGGCGTCACCTCCCTCAGACGGTAATCCATCGTACACTGTATATATTTGCAACTCAGATACAGTTGCAACAACAACTTGAGCTCTGATCTGAATCGATGTGCTGACAGTAATAGGTTGTCTTGACGTATCAGTGCTGGTGACGACGAGGCTCTCGAGCATGCCAAAAGTGTGAGTGGGAAGCTGAAGCAAGGAGATGAAGGCAGCAAACACGAAGATGAGAATGAAAGATGGGGAGCTCACGGACAAGAAGCAAAGCATGATGAAAGTGGGTGAGGCCGACTCGGAGGTTTGCCAGGTTGAAATCCTGTTCATCGTATAATTGACTGCTATAAACTCATCGGTGCTCGTCTTGTTTCACCTTTTTTCAGTTCATTACGGTGTTCTTACTAGTATAAGCTCCAACCTCGGGTCACTACTCATTCGGAGTACCATGGTGCCTACTGCCTTCGCGTGCAGTCAGAGTCGAAATCGTGATGTCCCCTGCCCCCTAGTCGCGATCCGACCCAGACGTCAAGGCTTCTCACCCAGCCTCCGGATAATTCTGCATCATACGCCTAAGCTCCACTTCTGGAACCCTCGTCTGAAATTCAATAGTGCAAGGGACGTTTGGCATCGTCGCGTTCGTGAACCCCATGTCATCCTGCGGCTTCGTAGGATCCAGACTGAGCTGGAAGGCCCAAATAACAAGAAGCGAATTTATGAACACCGATCTGTAATATTTCAGATGAGATCGGGAAATCATGTGCGTGGAAAGAACTGTAACCTGTTCGCAACGTGTTGACCTGGGCATACACTGGAAAGAAGAACAGTCAAAGTAAGTATATCCCACAAGACAGTACTTACCGCCGACCAAACCCAAATACAAAGAACGTGAGATCATCTCTCAAGTGACCTTGGTCGTCAATCCAGCGCTGGGGCTTGAACGCATCGGGATCGGGATAAACTTCTGGATCTCGGGAGATGGCCCTGAGGGGGTGACATTTTGATATCTCGTATATTGAAGGACATCGACTTACCAGTGGTTGCCCATTACTGTAGTTCCAGCGGGAATGCAATAGTTTTCCTGCAGGCGGATGTCAGATTATCCTGCGGACGACAAATCGTTCGGAGGGCACTTGCCCAAATCACGTCCTGAGTAGTTCGGTGAGGCAATCCTGTGGGGTTGACTGTGTGTAAACTTCAGGTGCAAGACCGACCGTTCAGAGACCCACCTTCAGGAGTCAACGGTCTCCATCTCAAAGCCTCAGAGATGAAGGCCTCCAGACGAGGAAGGGATGGTTTATCGGCGAAAGTCGGTGCTTTGGTAAGAAAAAAAGAATGAATTGACAGAACTGCGATGCGAAATTGAGCTACCTCGCTCCCTTCCAATGACTGCATCAAGCTCGGCCTGAACTTTAGCCTGCTCTTCAGGAAAATGTGCGGCCGCCATTAGCACTGTGCATATCGCCACAGCAGTCTAGAACCTCATCTCAGTATATGATGTTCGCAAAAAAGAAAGACACCTCACGTTTTCGGTTCCAGCTCCAAAAAAGGAGCCAGCAAGATACGCCATCTCGGTCTCTGTCAAGCCATAGAGATGCCCATTCTCTAGAATGTATTTTGAAAACGAAGGGCCGATGTCCTCATTGCTCTGCTGTGGAACAACTCAGACATCATGTGAAGTAGGCGAGGCGGCGCGTACCATGTGCAGTTTCACACGGTTCAGCTGGTCTGTGTAAAGCCGCTTGGTCCTCTCGAACTCGTCTTTTAATTCTGGCGCATACCAAGGAAGGTATTTGAGCCACGGTATCGAGTCCACCAAGTAATAACCATGGCGCAAGATTGTATTAAATCTCCTGACGAGCTCGCGAGCTTCTCTGATTTCGGGGTCAGTTGCCGACGTCGGCGTGGTCTTCCCATATGCAATTTTCATGATCGTCGCTGCGGCATAACTTCCAAGAACCCGTAAGTAACATACTACCAGACCCCGGTGCCGCACGTAGGAAATTGCTTACGTTGCTACATGGTTCTGAAAGTTGTGTGGATCGTCAAGAATGCTGAGAATCACGGTTTTCGCTTGTGACATCTGCAGAGGCTGATAATGCCTCAAGCTGATTGGGCTGGAGATGCGTATTGAGTGCTCTGCACAGCATCGAAAAGTAAGATGACTGTTTGAGTGCTTTACAGTATCGACGAACCTGCGCTGGTCCGACGGAACCTTGTCCCCAGCGCGTGACCAAACCATAACCAGGTCCGTGTGTAAAGAATTATCTCCAGCAGCAAGGTGAGGATCGATCAGCTAGCATTCTGCCTTGCTTCTCCAGTATATACACCGGGGTCTGCCATGGAGTGTTGAGTCCAGGAATGCTACCATTATCATAATAGGAACTAACTTTGTGGGTCCGTACAATCACGACGGTCTGGATTCCTGAGCGAATTGTAATCATACTCTCGTCCACCGCGCGACAGTGAAGAGGCGCTGAACAAATACGATACAATTAGTAAAAACAGGTCCGGATATTCAGAGGTGTCCCGAGCCCCAAGGGGGGGAAAAGAGGGCCATACTCGTCGATCCACCGCGCGACAGTGAGAGAGGCGCTGAACAAATACGATACAATTAGATTAAAAAACGAGGTCGCGGATATGAAACTTTACTTGCGAGGGGGTAGGAAGTGTCCCCGAAGCCTCCAAGTGAGAGGAGAAGGTGGAAGAGGAAGGCGGCTATCTGATTTGTGAAGGTAAGCCCGAACAACTAGTCCTATTGCCCCAACACAAGCCGCAGCATTGAGAATGAGCTGTGTGTTATCGTAAATGCGCAGGTCAGGGAGCTGTAGCATGACCGATTGGAGGAGTGGAAAGAGATAGGACGGACCTCATCGAAAGGCCATTCAAGTCACTTAAATAAAGCATACCGCGCGAACTCCACGGACAGGAAGAGACGGGCACCTGTCATACACCATTACGCATTACTACACTTAATTCATTTGGCAAGCACAGTTTGTGATAAAAATGACTGCGTTGGCAAGCAGAACATAGCAGGCAAACACACGACATGCGGAAACTGGGCAAGATCTTGACGAATCCCTGCGACTGCGGTCAGCGCCATCAATACTTAGCCTCCTGAATCATAATCGGCTTACTCATTTATAGCCTTGTGCACTGGCTATGAGCGTCAACTTTGACGCATGCTGGGTCAGTGAATCCGGTATGATGATGATCATGGTGGTGGTGGTGGTGGTAGTGGTGGTGGTAGGCACTCGGGAGTTTGGATGTATGGTGCAGTTTACTGCATCTAAAAAAAAGAAAACAGACATTTTAGGAGGTGGAGATCGTTGAGCCCTCGAACCTATTGGGCTCTCAGGCTGTACACCGGCACTGCACAAACACATATCCATAATCGCGAATGTGTATGCGCGCTCCAGGTTGATAATATATATGAATTGCAAGTCGTCTCCGTGAATGAGGCCTTGAGGCCTGCGGTGGTATAGGTTATCGTGTGTGAGAATGCTCACCTAGTGTCACGGTGTTTCTGTGTCACAAAAATCATAGCACTAAGTAGACTCGGATATCGGGGAAGCTAACCAAGGATGGGAATGCGGTAAAGAATCAGACAGCTGATCATACCAACTTATCGTAACTTTGGGTATAGAATGTATGGGCCAGCCTAGCTTGTTTTAAAAAACGGAGTGGATTTAGTATAGCGGCTATCGGGAAGGTCCGACAGGGTCCGACCCGAACGGAATGCCGACTGCAGCTGAGTCTCTTATGCAAATTCCACGGCAAACACATACTATACCAACTTGAACGGCGCCCTAGGGCCATGCACAGTGCTACTGTTTAGTACGTTTAGTACCCGGATCTAGACTGGTGACCAGCCCCCTAACCCGGATCATGTCATTATGATGACCTTGGAGCGGCGTTGGACCACTCGCGTGCGTTTTGGGTGGTTCTCGCTTCAAGCCCACCGCTTCCGAGTCACTGCACCGTGACTTGTTGGAGGCCGATTACTATATTTTACTTTTGGAACAGCTTTCCTCCATCTTGTTCCATCTCTTACAACATACTTCCGAGTCCCCCGCCGTCTCAGCAATACAATGCGAGTGCTTCACCTCACTTTCCCGGTATCGTAAATGTACAAATCGAACTGCATCGACTTCATCATGAGGACAATTCCAGTCTGCCCTGAAATTTTAGCACTCTCTGGAATCCAGATTCATTGCTTCTCTTACATGGGCTTTTCCTGCTGGCCGATCACAGTCTTCTGCTTTCTCTTCATTCCTGTCCAACATCTCCTGGTCGACTCATGTTGTTGGGTCAATGTGATCCACAGAGTTCCCAGTATGTTGTATTGGATTCCTCAAACTTCTCTGGGTGATTAATCTTAATTGTTTCCTGGGTAGTCTCGTATTTCAAGCCTCAAGCACCGGCGCTATGAAGTTTTTTCTAACAATTTAACCATGGGGTTGACAGGACCGTGCACCTTCGATACTCAACGCAATCCGCCTGGCCTCGCATCTCCTCATGTTACATAAAACGTGAAATGCCGTTCGTTGCCTGCCAGTTTTACTTTCTGCTTCATCTTACATCAAGTTACATATGGCTTTTAACAATAGCTAACGCCTCACTGTGCACATTAATTCGATCTCTAAATCATGACACATCAATACAACTCGAGTTTTCACGTTCACTTTCAGCACCGGTGTGCGAATTCCGATTCTGCTGCATGCAGCCAACACCTCGCACCCGAACTGTCTTTTGTTTTAATACAGCTCTTTGACATTTGCAACTGCACACAGACCTGGATGCTATGTTCGCAGGACAAGATAGACGACATATTGATGCACAGCTGAAATCATTTCGATGCTGTTAACGAATACATCGTGAAGCATATATCTACCCCAGTCCGCGACTTCGCTTCTAATCCCCATCGGGCAGACGCGTCAAGGTTGCTGACTATACACAGTGAAAGGAGGATGTTGTATGCGCATGCTTTGATGACTAGCACATCATCCGGAACGATTTTATGGCTCCTGAGGCCTGAGGCACCTACTACATTACCTTCTTGCGAGGACCGAACAGATTCTACTCGAGCAACGGTACGGTCGCGCCGTATATTGGTGGGCTTTTGGTATCTTGCTTGGACAATCGCCTTGCAGTGGCGACGATGAATATGAAATTTTGATGCGATCTTGGAGTATGTGCATCTATATCCCATCACCATACATGCTGAGAGGCGCTGTTTTCACCTTGAAACAGGTCGAACGTCCCATGCTTTGCTTTCCGTGCCTACTGGTGGTAGTTTTGACCCAGGATAGCGTTTGGCATCCGAGAAGGTCAATAGCGGAATAAGAGACATTGTTTTCTCCGAGGGTGGGCATTGTGAGCTTTGACATAAATGCATTCCGCCCCCTTACCAATAAGCTTGACGATTCAAGTACGAAGGAAATATGTTGATTCATTTGCAGGACGTGACTCGGTGACGATACCAGCAGCTTCGATGAAGAATTCACAAAGGACCAACCGACTCGGACGTTGACGCCTGTTCGCGGGCATTTATCTTCGAGAGGTCAACCGGAATTTCATAGGTGAGCGTGATGCTTGTATCCGCGATGTATAAGTTTTCCAGTGTACCTTGGAGATGCCCTGGTACGCGTGGGGTGGAATAATTTCGTTGGCGCAATCATATGCGACGATCAGAGCTGCATAATCATGATGAGTGTCATTGAGCTTGTCCAACGCCTCTTGTGCAGTCAGGGAGTGGACAGGCCACTCCCCGCTGGAACTTCGGGTAACACCTTTGTTACTATGACACAGCTGCAGTTGTGTGTCTTGCTGCAACACACCCTAAACAACCAGTGTTGAAACTGCAGCTTGAGCTGTGTCTCACCCCTTTCTCATTGCATCTGAATCCGCCCCTGGACTCATGTGGACAGGCGACATTGTCCTGGAGCTATATGATATTCTCTCAGGTCGTCTTGGAAAGAATGAGTGGTTGCCACTGTGCCCACACAAGTGGCCCTGATATCCGCGATGTCCTTCACAGCTGCTGTAGGCCTGTACCACTCTTCGTCTACTGTCAGGTATATGACAACAGTGGGGGAGAGCCTGGCACGCTCTGAGATGTTGACAATAAATTGAGTTTATCCTGATAGCTCAAAGGCAGATACTAAAGCCACGCAGGATCATTATCGACAGTGGTGAGAATGCATAACGCCACATCCAAAGGGGCATCCCTTTCTCGCAAGTCCAAATGTTGGAAGACTTCCCAATGCGCGTAGGTTGCCACCTCGAATTGAGCTTGACAAAAGTCTTGACATCGTCATCCACTCGAACGATACTTCAGTAGCATTAAACATCTCAAAAATACGATAAGCGTGCCGAGAGCATCAGCAATACCTCTGGAGATTTGCTAGCAACAATTGCAACCACATACAAAGACTGACACCATTTGCAAACGCAGCAGAGTGACACTGGGGGCAGTACAACTTGAAAGTAAAGGGTAATAAAACAGGGTGTGCTTGGGTTTCATGGTCAACATCATGGCCCGGGTGGACAAGCGGCAATATCAAGAACACGCGCGCACGTGCGGCAGGGACTCTTCCTCAAAAACACCATCAGTGCACGACACCTGAAGACGAAATTGATGAGTACCAAGAATAAGTGGTTCAAAAGACATACAACGAAGTTGGAAAGAAAAGGCCATGGTTGGTGACTCGCTCGGATTCCGTTCTGGTACGACAGAGGTCATCGATCGAAGCTTAGTAGCAGGAAAAGGAGCGCGCACATTTTCATACGGACGTTTCGAGCTGAGTCAGTTGACAGGACCCTCCCAACTTCGTAGAGTCGCGAATCTACCGGCGACTACGCTTTGCAAAAGATGAAGCAGCCACGAGCCTGATCCACTACTTCAAGAGAAGGAATGAGAGCGATGTATTCCGCTCGCAGCTCGTCTAAGGCTGCCCGATTTCCATCACCAAAACTCAGGAACTCCAGAGGACACTTTGACCGTGCTAAAAATGCTTTAAACTCCTCGTGAGGCCACCACATCCATGCAGAGCTAGCCATAAACTCGCGTAAATTGGGGAGTGATAGGGCATTAAGTAGGTTTGGGAGTGGTGGGAGCGATCTGGGACAATTGATATGCAAGACTTGAAGCTTCGTGTGCGTGAACGGCTCTACCGGTAAGGGGGGACCAGAGGGTTGCCCGGTATATACTAAATCTATTGAAATCTTGGCTGAGGAGAGGTTAGGAGCCTGCTGCAGTAATCTGAGGAGTATATTTTGTTGGCAAACATTGATTCCAACATGTGTGAGGTAGGGCCACCTGGAATTCTTGAAGGGGTCGAAGTCGGCTAAGTCGAATGAGAACGATAGTCTACTGATTTTGAGACTGCGCAGAGTTAATAAATGGTTCATGATAGATTGTGCGATAACATTCTTCTCAGATCGACCGCTGACCCACCCATCCATGCTAAGCACCTACCCATCCATGCTAAGCACCTGAAGTGCTGGGAGGTCGTTTAACAAAAGGTCACGTGTGACGGCGCGGTAAGCGATACGAAGACACAAGATTTGATTTGTGTAAGGCTGAAGAAGGCGGGTCAAGGGATTTGGGCGACGCGTGGTGAGTGCTAACGACAGTGGAAGTCCTTGCGATCGCTTGAGCCATGTCTTGTAGCAGAAGGCTTCTCGCCGCCTATGCCTGCGGTGGTGGCTCATAAACCCAACCAACAGTCTGCACCATAAACTTGGCGTGTCCACAGCAACTTCCCTCCATCTTCGGCATATCCTGGTCAATAGCATGGGAGATCGTAGCTTTGATGAGGGGTAATAATTCATCGAATGATGGGAGTGTGTGCATGAAAATTTCGAATAAGAGTTCGGCTGGTAAGCGGGAGACAGCCGGTCCAAGTCCCTCGTGTAAAAACCAAGGGTGACAGCGCTCAAATAAGCGCAAAAAGATACACCTTCGCGCAGAGCAAGGCAAAGTTGACGGATGATGGAACAGTGTCGATAACCAGCGCTCCCTCGTGTAAGTTCACGGAGTGGATGATCTTGTCCCGCTTGTCGACGAGGCGCTTGCCATCGGCGATGACGGTGCCAACGCTCCGAGTCTGGTCCGTGCGCATGGTAGGGTGGTCAATATCATTGGAGCGCTGTGTTTCAAGGTCTGGCATCTAGTTATCGTCAATACTGCGGTATCAGATATATCAGAATAAACATACAATTGATTGTGACTGCGTCGGAAGTGATCGATGGTTAATTAACGAGACACAGTTACTTACAACTAGGCACTTACGATGTTTTTGTTGTTCTCCGGCGCTTTCTGACCCAACTTAGTTGGATTGGCGATGTAGAGGAGTGACGCTACGGATAAAAGGTTGACCAGTGTTGAAAGTTGACGTTGAACCACAAATAGGGGTGCATTCAACCTGGTCACAATGAGCGGAGTTTAAACTTGTACCACATGAGTGCTTGGTCTTGAGTGCCAACGACAGTGATAGTCCTCACTTGCTTGAGCCCAATTGTAGCAGAAAGGGTCCTACTGCTAGTCCCTGCGGCGGAAGCTCACAGACGCACAGTTTGCACCACAAACTTTGCATGTCCACACAGCCTCCCTCCATCGTTTGTATATCCAGGTCAATGGCATGGGATATTGTAGCTTATGGTTGCGATAACTTATCGAATGACGGGAGAGTGTAAAATCAAAATGTCGGATGAGAGTTCAGTTAGCGATTTGATGAGCGAGAGACAGCCTGTCCAACTCCTTCGTATAAGCTGACGCTCTGCTCTATGCGCACGACAGAGTGGCCGGTCGACTCGGTATCATTGGAGTATAGTGATTCAAGCTTCAAGCTAATGGTTCAAACGTTCAAGGTCCGGTGTTCTGGTCATCATCAAGATGGCATTAGATAAATTATTTTTGATGTAATTAGTTATTACTCGTCACTCACGTTGTTCGAGCATAGAAAACCTGCTTTCTGACCTAATTACTCGCCATTGAGCGTTACGCACAAACTCAGGTGCTTTGGCAAGTGTGCGGGGACTGAGTACTGAGTGGTTGGCTGCAGGTTGGTGTCTATTGATTCAATTTGATACGATGAGCTGACTTTCCGATGTTAAACGTTAAATAACCATGAAGACCAGTCAGTTTGTCACCATAGAATTTTCACGGCGTGCTCGAGTACCACGATAGCTCGCCCGGGATGAAGGAAGTAGTAGTAATTATAGAGTGAAAAAGCCAAACAGGGTAAATCTGGTCACGTGAACATAGAAGATTGACGGAAGCAGTTGAGCGCATCTCATTTCAAGTCGACTAAAGAACAAGACGCAGATTCAGCTGCCCGCTGAGCGCTGAGGACCGAGCCCAATAAATATTGGACTAGCCGGGATGGACAAAGGCCATGATATGACAGCCCTCTCAAGAACTATTTCCGCATCTTCACTTAGAGGGCGATTGACGAAGTTAACCGGCGCACCATTACGTCCTGTGGCTGCCCTTCATGCTAGCATCAAGTACGTATCAGATAGTTTGTTTATGTCACTAGCTAATTGTTCCACGACTTTCTGTGCTATCCAGCTTTGTGCCAACCAAGATACCGCGGAAGAGGAGACTGCAGATGATGGTCGTTGCCGTGTGGTCGGTGTTGTTAGTGATGTCCTGCTTCGTGTTCCTAATGCTCTGGTACGTGTGGCAATTTCCAATATACCGTTTGCTCGTTAAAACGAACACGCCAAAGCTCCGTACCAGCGCTATGGCCGTTCTTGGTCATGTACCTCATCTGGATTTTCTGCATAGACAAGAGCCCAGCATACGGAAACAGACTCACTCCATGGTTCCGGTCCTTGAAGATCTGGCAGTATTTTGCGGAATATTATCCTGCGTCGTAAGTGTGCTTCTTCGTGTTTTATAGACACGACCGTTTACGTGACTATCTAGGCTTCTAAAGGTGCGGCAGTGATTTGAGCTACTTTGCGCCCGGATATTCAACATTTGCTCAATGCAGGAGTGCGACCTACCCGCTGACCGCCCATACGTGTTCGGGTACCATCCTCATGGTAGTCTCGTTTCCCTTCAGTTCTAAGCATCACTCATTTTGCGATTTAAACAGGCATAATTGGGATGTAAGATACCATCTCTTCTGTACCCTTGCATACTTCTTACCGATCAACCAGGGGCGCACTCGCCACCTTCGCTACCGAAGGCAAGTGTTTCACCTTCCCTACAACATCAATGTCTCAAATATATCCTATCAGCCACCGGCTTCTCCAAAGCTTTTCCTGGCATTAAACCACACTTACTCACCCTCACTAATAACTTTAACATTCCTTTATATCGCGAAGTCATCATGGCTCTTGGGATCAGCAGCGTCTCGCGAGAGTCTTGCTCCAACATTCTCTCCAGCGGCCCAGGTCAGGCAATCACTATCGTAGTCGGAGGCGCTGCTGAGAGTTTGAGCGCAAGACCTGGTACGGCCGATCTAACATTAAAGCGCAGGTAAGCCTCTATACCGGAACATTACGAACTGGCGCTTGACAAATGAACTGTAGATTAGGTTTTATTAAGGTTGCGATCCAGCATGGGTGAGTTGACACAAGGTTTGATAGACAATGTCATCGATACATTTATCAGAGCGGACCTTGTGCCTGTGTTCTCGTTCGGTGAGAATGATGTAAGTGACGCACTCTTTCGTTCCTGTGCATTGTTGACAGCGTTTATTCGTCAGATATATAATCAAATGCCAAACGAGAAGGGCACCACGATATATGCTCTGCAGAAGAAATTCCAGAACATGTTTGGGTTCACCCTTCCGCTTTTCCATGGACGTGGTCTGCTGAATTGTGAGCTACAAGCTTACTCGACTGGTGACCTTTCCTTCATCTATGTTGCAGATAACTTGGGTCTAATGCCGTACCGACGACGGATTGTGTCAGTCAGTGAGTGCTATTTCTAACATGAGAGCTTGTCAGGTGTTCTGACCTCTGAACAGTCGGCCGACCGATCCATGTTCAACGCTGCGAAAAACCGTCGTTGGAGGAGGTCGAAAGAGTGCAACGGATGTATATCGAGGAATTGACTAGGTGGGTATTCTATAACCCCATCGTTGTCCGTGTCGAGCTTAGTTGTGGTCAATGCAGGATATGGAACTCTTACAAAGATGAATTTGCAAAGACACGCTTGAGGGAGCTCAGTATTGTTGATTAAGTGGACGGATAAAATTGGGTTCTACCGACGTGATGACCGGCTAGCTACGTCGAACAGTAATTGTATTGTTAGGTAAATATAGTCCCATGAACCAGGGTCAGTGCGCTTTACTGCCAAGGCTGTCCGGTTCGAGGCATCGGGGTAGGGATAAGGTTTGAATATACATTGAGGTCCTCATCCTGAGTCTCTAACAACCGTGAATCCTCGGCGGATATATTTCAACGAGTACGTCGACACCCCATCAAATTTCTTCGTCATCAAAATCGATCTCTTCCACAGGGAAGTCACCGACTGTGACTTTTGCAGGGCGTACGAACACTCCGTAGTTCGGGCGACATGTAAAATACTGCACTCCTTTTAAACTAGATACCCAAATGAGCATCGTCAAATAATACGAGGGTTCGAACTCACGAGCCATCATTCTTGCCCATCGGCTCATCATACTCGATACCGACCCAAAGCCCAGCAGCAAACTCAGTATGACCAACAAACCGAACTGCACCGCGCTTTTTCAAGCCCGGCTCTGTTGATTTCCACTTCGCAGCGTGATCCGATGGGGATGTTTACCGCAGGTTCAGGAGGAGTAGGTTCTGTTGAAGGGGGCGCGAAGCGCCCTACTTTATGTCTTTGCTTGTAAGCTAGCACGGAGTCTTTGGAATAAAGAGAATCAGAGCTAGTGGTAAAGAATAAGGGATGACTGATTAATCACCGGTTCGTTGTGCGTATGCGTCGTCGCTGATCTCGAACTTCTCTACCTGCGATACATCGGAGAGCTGACCCGTAAACGACGTCGAAGGGTTCGTATCTGCTACCTACAACAAACGATGCCAACATATGCATGAACGACTGCTTTGTCAAAATTCGAATGGAAAATACCTTGATCGTCTGGAAATCCCGAACGCTGTAGTACCCAAGCGGCTTAGCATCATCATCCAGCTGTGCGACGACCTGCGAATCGGCATCGCCATTGTGCAGCGATATATTCTGATTCTGAACGGGGATGCCTGTGATGAGCTCTAGTTTCGCCTGATCATTAGATTGTGTGCACGAATCACGACGATATGGGTTGTCATTTAGTGTCCTGTAAGACGTGCATGGTAGATGGACTACGCAACCTTGAGCTGCTCGATGGTAACGTGGAGGTCGAAACGACGCTCGGAACGGGTGTCTGGGGATACGACGAATAATTTGACGATGGATGTCATTTTGGATCGAGGAATTCCTGTAGATAACTCGAGTCAAGCTTAAACTGTTCAAAGAAGGGCCAATCACAAGGCACGTGATTCAGATCGTGACATGAACTTCAGCACGACTCGATTCAAAAACTCGTCAAAAATTCCTTGGGTAGTTTTTTACGGAGCCCTATCCCGTTGCAACATCCTGCCAAGTTAGGTCTGAAACTGCCTGGCTGTGCTAGTAGTAAATATACAGATTATCATGAGTGCTGACTATGAGATCCTGTCTTGGTATCTCCGCCTAGAGATGACGTAGCCTCATGAGAAGCTGAAGGCATTTTTTGCACAATCGAACTGTCCCCTGGAATCCTCGATTTTCGGCGGTAGGGTGACAACAGCTTTAAAGAGCGTTATACGCGGAACAAGTGTATTACATCGCTCTCGCTCCATTTTTTGACGTAGTAGTTTTCACGAACGAGAGCAGTAGCAAACGTTACGTCCAGTACTATTAATATTCAGGTAATCGCACAGTCAGTTGTGTATTATTATATGCGTACTTTCCGGAAGCCCTCCCTTGACATGGTGTGGAAACGGCTCATTTCGTTCTGGTCGAATTGCTAATTGCATGGTGACAGATCAGATCGCATCGAATGCAGTTTCAATATATATAATATATATTGCATCCTAATAAATCAATCGAGTCCGAACACCAGAGAAAAGTACAATACGGAGAATCCAAGTGATATAAAAATAGAAGGGATGTCTCCAGGTGAAGTCGTACCAGTTCAGCATCCCATCTCGACACCATTGTATGGCCCATCGTGGTCAGACTCGTCACCTGTACGACCTATTAGCAACACGAAAAATCAGTATTGCAATCAATACGTACCATCCCAGATCTCGGGGACATCACCAACAATGCACTGAGTGCTCGGGTTGTCTTGCCCTAATGCCAAATATTCAGCACCCCATCATCAAATGATATAATGCATGAACTAACCGGGGCAGGCAGCCCATTCACCGGAGTCCTCAATGTGCACCTCACCTGCGGGGTGCACAAAGCCCAAGAACATACCGGGGCAGATGGGTATTGGGTCCTCTTCATTATTAATGTGCGTGAGATGGAGGTTTGCGTCGACATAATTAGCAAATGCTTGATTCCCAACCTATTTGGAAAGAAATTAGCTGAGCGGCGGCAAGACCTGGGGCGTATCGTACACGAGGAAGGCCATAACCAATGGTGGTGAAAGTCGTTCCCGCAGGAAGCCAGAGGGGAAGATATACAGAATCAAGTAAGGTGATCGCAGCACCTGTGAATATTTTCATAAATGCAACGTCTAATCCAGCACGAGAAATATACCATACCAAGAGAGTGACCAACCATAGTGACGGACGTGGTGCTGTAGGTGGACATGGCGGATTCGACGGCGGCAAGGACATCGGTGGCAGTACTTTGTGAAATCATGAACTCAGTGCTGGTACAGTCAATCATGCAGAATTATGTGCACACCTGGCCTGAGCATCCCCGAAGCCGTTGTGAACTTCAATATCCGAGCTGATACCCGGGAACAATGTCGAATCCAGAGTGGTCAAAAAGAAATCGGCATCGGTGATGAGAGGCATACTGGCGAACGTGCATCAGCACCGAGTCTCTGGGAGCTAGATTAGGTAGCTCACATTTCAGAGGGGTTCGTGCCTTGGTGAGAGACGATCACCGTATCCAAATTTGGGTCATATCCGACGAACCCTGTTGGTTTCGGTCATCGAGATCACATCTCAACACGACATTCAGCTCAACAACACTCACAGTACTGAACCGAGTCACCGTTACCCTCCGGAGGCAACCGGTTTGAATTCCGGATTGGCGTCACAGTTAGCTGTTCAAACATCACCCATCAGACTCATCAGAGAGTGACATATTTAAGTAGGCGCGTGTGATCACTCACTGCCACAGTCCCATGCGAGCGTCTGCGTGTTCGTACAGTACCCTGCACTAGCGTAATAGGTGTACGAGGTAAATTGGTCAATCTGTGACGTTGTCAGAGCTGTAATACTCTGTCGCGTGTTGATAGATGGAAATGCCTGAACGGCGGCGGCGACCAGGAGGACAGCGACAATAGATGCCATGGCAGCTTTGGCTCGACTTGAACAGGTTGGCCTGGTGTTGGAATACTAGCACGGCTTCTCTGCTTAAATACATATGGCATGCCGTCCAGAAATAGAGTCCCGTGAGCACCAGGCCCCTGTACCATATGAATGTTTTATCTTGAACGTTGGACGGCGTAGTGACTAGGCGATGCGACCACGCGTGTTCAAACGCGTATGACTTCAATGCGGTGAAATCCATGATATTTTGATGGATTGCACCCGACGATCTACAGAGGTTGTCACAGGTAGCCGATGCCAACGAATTGTTGCTTACCTGGCACTCGCCGTCACGATGATGCATGTAGCTCACCACAGCTTGGCATCTAAAGAGTACAAGGATCGTGGAAAAGTACTGCCTCAGGTGAGTATGCAGATCTGTAGCTCCCTCAAACGAAGCGTAAATCACAAAATAGGAATAGATTGATCCAGAAGCAACGTGTGCACTGAAATAGGACGGTTACGGATATAGCCCCAGTACGTTGAAGAGGTGATCACATAGTGTCCAATCAAAAGGTGCGATGTGGACCGGGTAAATTACAATAAAAACAGCTGCCAGCATGAGAACCAGTAATTACACACGTGCGTGCGTGCATGCGCTAAAGAACCGACGCGCTCGGCACTTATGCCACAGTCAGAATATCCTCTAGTCGCCACTGCCACGTATCACATACCTTGACTTCATAGATATTCCACAATCTTTGTTAATATAAAGTTTCTTCAAGCAAGATACAGCTCCTCAAGAAAGAAGGCCTTCCTTCTTGGTCCTACAGGAAGGTGCTCCTGGGCGCGAACTTTAGAGAATGCAGGTAAAAGCCTTTCTACTTCTTTCCACTTTTCTTCATGCTCCTTCGCAGCAGGTATTGGTCTCCGCCTGCCCCCCAGATGATTAAACGCGTCAACTGATAGTAAACGTGGGAAAACATCCGACAGGAACGCAGCAACTGCGAGCGGGTCACCGACTCTCGAGTCTCCTACGTTTAGACTCGTGACTTTGGAGCTTCGAACTCCGCCCCCAGGCCTCTGGGATGTGATACCTGTTGTTACGGCATTCATCACGAGGCCGATGCTTTCTAGCTGAGGACAGAGTCGCACTAAAGACAGCAGACCATTCAGAGTGACATCACTCTGTTGTCTCCAACCCCAGTGGGTTCCCAGCGCAATACTTTGCATATTGGGCCAACAAATGGCCAGCTGTGTTAAGGTAGTATCGTCCAACGAATATGTACATGCAGTAGCGAGATCCAGTGTTGTGAGTCCACGAAAGCGGGACAAGAGCCGAAGCGTATCAGGGGTGAGCGTGAATTGATCAGGGAATTCTGCGCCAGCGTCAGCGTAGTCTTCAATTTCCAGAATTTCTAGCCTTCTTGGCATGCACCGATCCAAGAGGATTGTTATCCATTCCTGTATACCCACTGCAGTTGTTCCGTTTGGTAGATAACACTTCACTTCGCGGAGATGAGCAGATTTGACTTGCCGCATGAAAGCTGTGACAAGGTTGATGTTGTACGCGCGAAGCACGAGTCGGCGCAGTGTAGAAAACCCAGGATTCTCGACAAGTGACTTTATGTCATGCAACTTGTGGAGACAGATATCCATACTTGCAAGATGAGTCAGCCGACCAAGTGATTGTATAGTAGCATCCGCAAGGGGCCCGGAGGTCACGTACGCAAGATTTGGCCACTTGTCGAACATGTCGGGGAGGTGAAGAAAGGGCCATTTGGGAAGATGCATGATCCTTAGGGACGGGCAGGCATCGTTAATGGAAGGGATTATGACAGAATAGACTGAATCAGTTATAGACGACATATCAAGGAATTCGAGAGCAGGAGTCAGTATTAGGCGAAAAAATCGGATGGAATCTTTCCGTGAGTCAGTCCACCTGATCTTCCTCAGGTGAGGGAAGACGGTGGAGGAAGGTGGAGGGGATGATAGTGCACGCAAGATATCTGTGCCAATATCATGTGAGGGCGAGTTGAGGACGGGATGTTTGTCTCTTCTTGAAACATAATAACCACAAGTGAGTACAAGGTGCGAGTGCGAAAGGAATATATCCCAGTCTGTAGATGACATCTCTCTTTCGAGGGCCTGCGGGCGCCGATACTCAGATGACGCCCAGTGAGATCAGTGAACTTTGAAGGCTCACCAAAGTCGGGAGATCATCCTGGGATTTTCCTTTACTCTTGATAGTCTTGACACAAGGAATACATCTGATTAAAGGGACTAAAGTTCCCAGGTGCGCCCACAGGACTTTCATGGCAGGCTCCCGAAATGCGCGGCAGGTGCGACAGAGGGCAGCCAAAGTCCTAGCTGCCTCCTCTTCGTCGCGCTCGTTGACTTCTGCGAAGATATTGATCAAGATCTCTGAAACCAGTAGACATGGATGCATTGTAGTTGATGGTACCATCAATGTTGTCGGACGGAATCAGATTTGAGTCAGTACTTTTGTCTTGGTCACGGTATGTCCGAACACTACCGTTTACATAAATGGATTACAGCACTATATGACAACCTCGTGTTGATTAGTCAGCAACCATTTCTTCTGCGAAGCGTACCAGGCTTTTTATTTTTGAGCCGCCACTAGCAGCGGTAAGTCTTTGAGATTCTTCATGTACATCATGTCGACGTCATAGGGAAGTCCATTGAGATCGTATCTAATTAGGTCAGGTACGTGGGAACTACAGGTGAGGACAGTTGATCCTTTCCCCCCGAATATATTTTAGTCTACTTTCTCTCGGGCCAAGTCTACTTTCTCGTGTAAACACTTTGCAAGAGCCACATCGAAATTCAAGCAATACAACAAGAGCTGCGTGTCTCGCCGGCATGCGTACCGTGTCTTGCTCGGATTCGACAATAAGAATATGATGTTCATCGTCAAGCCACAAGGCCAGGCCCCATATACGTCTATGTAAAAGGGTGGCAGACGTAAACGTCACTGCTCCGTGAACTGTGTTACTTGCAAGCTATAACAGGTCTAGTGAGGCTCTACTACTTTCAGTCTCTGAAGTACTCGTCCGATCCCAAACCTACTGCTTCTTGCCTCCTCAAGTTGACAAGCAGAGGGTGCAACATGGAAACCTCCTCCCACCTCTCCCGATACAACATCCGAGTATTGAACGTCTCATATACGTCACACCCGATCTCGTAGCCCGTTATCTCAGCGTTAGGTACAATGTCTGACAAGAACGCTGCAACGGACAATGGGCCCGTGACCTTAGAATCAGCCACTCGGAGGATTTCTAGACCGTTTCTACGGGTCCCTCCTCCAGGTCGTCGATGGTCGATATCCGGTGCCCAGGCGTTCATAGCAAGACCAACTACCGATAACACTGGGCAGCGCCGCAACAACTTTGCAAAACCCTGCAGAGTAATTTTGCTTGGTTGCCGCCAGCCATTCTCGGTCCCCAGTTCAAGTGTACGCAATTTCAGCCACGTGCCGGCCAGCTGCGCAAGCTCCTTGTCGTTGAGGGAAAAGGTGCAAGTTGTGTCGAGACGCAGTGCCTCCAAATGACGCAGGGAGAAGAGCGTGTTCAGGATATCAAACGTGATGATATAGCCAACAGGGAATTTCGGCGGGGATACCTGCAATTCTTTCATCCGGAGATCCCTGAGATTTGGACAGTGACGTGAGATTAGGCAGAAAACAGTGATGGAGCTCAGCATCTGTTAAGCCCGTTTCCGTCGAATGAATATAGAGGGAGCGTAGCGATGGTAGCTCTGAGATTTCAAGGATAGGGATGCAGTGGAAAGTGCGAGCCGCGGTGATGTCGAACCCCTGAAGAGTGGTAAACACTGGTTGGCCGGCCAGTTTCATGAGGGCACCGTAGTCGTTCTTCTCGTCAACTTGAATAGTGAGATGTGTAAGCTTAGAAGATGTTGCGAGATTATAGAGCGTTGCATCGTTGATTAGACCGCAGACAAGGTTCTTTAAGTTGCGCCAGTTTTGGAACACGTCAGGATGTATGTGCCTCATGCTATATTTTGCGGGGAAACATGCGATGCGAAGAGAGTTGGTAGAGGTGATGTGGGGGACAACGGGCGGAAGAAGCATTGGATCCATATCATGCAAAATTAGCCATTCCAGTCTGGGGTTGACCAGGGAGCATAGGAGTGGTAAAGCATCTGCAGAATTATGTGACCACCAAAGCCGTTTGAGATGAGTAAACATTGGGGGTGCGAAGGATGAAGCAGCTAGTGCATGTAGAATGGTCTTGTCGATGACTACTTCTTCTTGGTCATTGACCCTGAGTGAATGAACTCTTTTGGCGTAATATTGCATTCACTGCCAGTCTGAAAGGCATAACTCTTTGAACGTAGTCTACATATATGTGATTTCAATATACTGTCGCGAACTGTTGTGGGTCGGAACTCACAATCTTGTTTCCGATGGTAACGATTGCAGGGACACAAAACATCAATGGACGAAGACTCTCCAGCGATTTGTAAAGTACGTTAAGAGCAGGTTCATGGAAGAGACGACAAGTTCTACAGAGAGCCGCGAGGGATCCATGATGCCCAGTCGCAAGAACTCGTTTGCAAACAGCATCAAACAGCTCTGCAATCTGAAGACATCTGTGCATTGCGTCGTCTATGTCGTCCGAAGGCTACTGCTAAAAGCTATTGTCAATGACCTTTCATAAATGGGAAGTAGGACTGTATTACCGGTGTTGTGAGGATTGGTTAGACAAGGGCTTGGATGAAGAGCACAGGACACGGGCTTTTAACTTGATTCAATGCGCAGATTTGTACAGCGTTATCGATTAAAGTATCGTTATCGCGCATCGCATGATATCTGGCCAATAAATGTTTTCGAGAAGCTCGCCGATCTATTGCAGCCCTTACATGAAGAACTGTAGTACACAGGAATGAATATCTGCAACTCGGACAGGAAAATGCAAGAACAATTGCCAGAAGAGCTCTATGATCCATGATAACAAAAAGCTCACCAATTCGACGCACTGGAGCAATTGGAAATTAGCATCTGAACGTAAAGATATCGATGGGCGCGATACCGATCAGCTGGTCAAAAAATGGTAGGCTACAGAATAAATAAGTACAATGAGTTCAGGCGCAGAGTTTATCACTCGAAGTTCGGACACATACTAGATCATCCGAGTCATAGTGGAGTCATGACCGAGGCCAGCCTGAGTGTGAAGCTTGAGACTGACCCCCGAAAACTGCAGAAAATTCCACAGAAAGGAATGATATGACGCCCCGGAAACAACAACTATTGATCAGCAGAAATCCGTATGATTCGAAGAATCTAATTGACAAAGTGAATATGGACTGGTGCGTAAATGCGATCCGTTCGAAAAGGAAATTTGTTTGTATTTCTTCTTACACTGATTCGGTGCTGGCATTACATAATGCTACAGGTCATGTTCTCTTCGAAACGACTTGGGGTATTGGCACATGCACGCGTTCTACTGCGCTCTAGACGACCGTGTTCTTTACCTCAGATAGCGTCATTGAGCGGCTCATCAATCAAGGTGATTTAAACAGTATGCTACTGATGGTTATCCTCGTGGGAGTCTGAAATTCTACTTCCTGTAGTCCCTTCAAGATGCTTTCCGAGACCCATCTTCGCCATTTCACATCGCTCCAGGACAGGCAGGTCCTGAATCCCCGGACTCTCCTCCCTCACTCCCAGACCCTACTCCATCTCAGTCCAGCCACCCCAACGCAGTTGGCTCGCTGGCAGAGAACGCCAGAGCTAAGCTGATTTCTATGGGTTATGATGAAGGGTCATTATGGGAGCAGAGTATCGTATGGGGGCACCATGATTCATTTCGGTAGGCACCTCATAGACGTCGAAGGACAGGCTCATTATCTTTCTTACTACAGACACGTTAACAATGCACACTACCGTAAGGGTTCCAATTTTCTTTGAACAGGAGCAACGAGGGTCGCTCACGAATCTGCCACTGTCAATATGCAGTACGATTCATCGAATCGGTCGGCATGTTGAAGTTGTTGCCAAAGTCCGTATGTACTGAAGCTTGGCTAGGGTCGCATGGTGTGGCTCATGGCCCTCGGAAAAGTTCTTGGGGGTGAAGAACGCGTCGAGGCAATGCTCGCGGGTCAGGGCGTCTCACTCATACTCAAATCAGCAAACATCAATTTTAGAAGACCGGTAACGTTTCCTGACACAGTGAGATTTCCTTGTAACATTTGTTTAGTGATGTCTTTCATAACTATGAGTAGCTTTTGATTGGCCACAGACCGATCACCTCTTCGAGCCGCACGCAGTTCACTCTGAACGCTGTGCTTTATTCGTATGCACAGCAAGCGATCGTTGCGGACTCGGATAGCGTGCTTGTTTGGTACGACTACGACAACCTGAGGAAATGCGACCCTGGGGATGACACATGGCGCATTATGAAGGCTGCCTCGCATGATGGTCAAGTGGAGGGCTGATTTTTATATGCTTCGACTGAGCTCGGACTTGGTAGATGTATGGTAGATTGGTTACTCTTGAATATTGGATAATAGAGCGGCAACAACCGGTAATCAATGTACAGCGTTAGCATAGATGTGCCTGCTGCCTCTTGCGGACTGAACTTGGTGGCCTCAACGATCCTGCTGACTAATGGGTTGGGTTGTTTGCCTGGTGCCACCCTTCGATGGGTCCGCAGACCGTCTCACCCCAAATCAGACCTTCAATCCAGTCTGAACGCCCCAACGTGTCCGGCGTGAATCGTGTGCCAATTACATGGGCCTGCATTATAACTGGCTACAACACCGGTCTCATACGTGTCTCCTTCTGCCAATGCCATCTCATTGCTGCTTACTCAGTGAACCAGGCTTTCCAGAGAGCAACTTGACAGTGCCGAAAATGTGTTCAACTTCTCATGCGGCCACGGTCGTATAAAGCGAGTTTTAAACACGCATACGCGTAAATCAGAGAATGCGGATGCGCTGAACAGGTCAGGCAATAGGTTTATCATACACAATAAAAATGCATTACTGATATGACACATGGATTGACGGTTTGTGTGCACGAAGTGCGCTGGAGATTATGGGATCCCTTAAATATTGAATGAAAAGCAAGTACTTAGCCGTCTTTGCAATTGCCACGTCAGTAGTAGTAGGGCCAGCTAAGCTGGCACTACATCTTATATTTCTTCCTGCAGTGGTTCCACATAGCTCCGAGTTTAATGTTATGTTCTCATCGAAGCCACTTGGAGCATTGGCACATGCACGCGTTCTACTGCGCTCTAGACGACCGCGTTTTTTACATCACACAGCGTCATTGAGTGGCTCATCGATCAAGGTGATTTCAATGTGCTTCCGATGGTTATCCTCGAGCGAGAGTTTGAGATTCTACTCGCTGTAGTCCCTTCAAGATGCTTTCCGGGACCCATCTTCGCCATTTCACATTGAACCAAGGCAGACAGCGCCTGAATCCTCGGACGCTCCTCCCTCGCACCCGGATCCTACACCATTTCAGATCAGCCATCCTACTGGAGGTGGCTCCCTGGCAGAGAACGCCAGAACTAAGCTGATTTCTATGGGTTGTGATGCGGGGTCATTATGGGAGCAGAGCATTGAATGGGGACATCAAGATTCATTTCGGTAGGCACCTCATGAAAGGGTTGAAGGACGGGCTCATCATCTTTTTTAGACATGTTAACAATGCACAATACCGTAAGTGATTGAATCTTCTTTGACAGAAACGAGAGTCGCTCACGAATCTGCCACTGTCGATATCGATATGCAGTGCGATTCATCGAATCGGTTAGCGTGTTATGTTGTCAAAGTCCACCCACACTGAAGCATGGTTAGGGTCTCATGGTGTGGCTCATGGCCTTCGGAAAAGTTCTTGGGGGTGAAAACCGCGCCAAGGCAATGCTCGCGGGTCAGGGTGTCTCGCTCATACTCAAATCGACGAACGTCAATTTCAGACGACCGGTAACATTTCCTGACACAGTGAGATTTCCTTGCATCATTTCTTTAGTGACGTATTTCATAACCACGAGTAGCTTTTGATTGGTCAAAGGCCGACTATCTCTTCGAGCCGCACGCAGTTCACTCTGAATGCCGTGCTCTATTCGTATTCACAACAAGCGATCGTTGCGGACTCGGTTGGCGTGCTTGTTTGGTACGACTACGACAACCTGAGGAAATGCGACCCTGGGGATGACATATGGCGCATTCTGAAGGCTGCCTCGCATGATAGTCAAGGGGAAAACTGACCTCCGTATGTTCTGACTGAGCTAGGATCTAGTATATGTATGCTAGAGATTATCACCTTGAATACTTGGCACTGGAGCAAGAGCGACTGGCCTGCCTCTGGCAGACTGAAACTGGTGTGGCCTCGTCTTGTACGATATCTAGGAGAGTATTGTACTATTCTGAACAGCCATCGTCAGGCTCTAAGCTTCAGCCAACAACTTGCTATTCGATATTCATGGCGTATCCGGATGACAAAATATTTTGATATATGTACAGTACTATCCAACCTTTGAGCTTTGCTTTGGACACCAGCGGACGAGTGAACAGTGGTTATGAACATTGTACGGAGACAACACGGAGACCACCATTATCGACCGTCCAACTCGGGTCCGAGTCCTTAGCTAATCTTTACGCAACGCTATCGGTGCCAGTACTTGGTTTCCACCAAAAGACACATCGGGGTTATCAATATTTAGGAGAGGTTTATATGTTGTACAAGATGTGAAGAAAATATTTGAAATTTAAACTAACATAAAATTGGGTACACAACTTCAAAATTTGGTGGTGTTTTGCACGTAATCCAACATATCAAGTATCCGCAACCATATTCCCACGGACAATATGTCAACAAATATTACAAATATAATCAGATTTCATATGCCTGCTGTAATTTTAAGTTTTATCTTCACGTAAAACATCGGACAAAACTTGAAATTTAGACATTGTCCTGTCTAAACTTGAAATTTAGACATTGTCCTGTCTAAACTTGAAGTTTAGACACTGTCCCCCCATTTAAACTTGAAGTTTAGATGAGATAACATCTAAATTTCAAATTTTGCCTGAAGTTTTATGTGAAGATAAAACTTTAAATTAAAGCGGCCATATGGAGTCTGATTATATTTGTTATATTTGCTGACATATTGTCCGTGGGAATATGGTTGCGGATACTTGATATGTTGGATTACGTGCAAAACACCACCAAATTTTGAAGTTGTGTACCCAATTTTATGTTGGTTTAAATTTCAAATATTTTCTTCACATCTTGTACAACATATAAACCTCTCCTAAATATTGATAACCCCGATGTGAGAACATCTATCTACATGTATTAGAGGCTGTTCGGCAACCAGATGTTGCCTAACATTTGCCAAATGTCATCTCGGCTTGGATTTTGCCAAAGTTCGGAGCTTGGATCATAGGCCCAATTCGGACTAACCCTAGCACGCTGATATGGGCTGTAGGGTATAATACGCTGTCCTTACATTTGTACTCTATGCGTCCCTACACCAATGGATCCTCAATCGGGACTCCAGCGTTTCATGCCCCAACATCCAGAAGTTCAACGCCGCCTCATCTGACACTCAATCCTTCTAGTCAGCATTTTAATCAGCGCTACAGCCAATATACTAGAGTCGGTGTATGCCAAAGATCCAGAACCGTATCACACATCTGCTCTCTCTGGTGAAGCCTGGGTGATAGAGCTGTTGACTGGCCACCCAGAACGGATTCGTTGTGAACGTGGCATGCATGCACATGCTTTTGAACAGCTTATATCTGAGCTTCGTACCCTTGGCTATACCAACTCCAAATTTGTTTCGCTCGAGGAACAACTCGCGATTTTTCTATATACGTCTGTCACAGGACTGTGTGTCAGGCACGTCGGCGAACGATTTCAACGCTCCAATGAAACAATTTCTCGGTAAGTACGCACTAATAGTTATTTTTTGTGGATGTCTCAATGTATAACCTATGTACTAGTTATTTTCGCAAGATGGTCAAGATATTCTCATCTTCCCCCTTCTACACAAACTATATTCACTTGCCGGATGACTCCGTTCCTGATAGAATTCGCTCTGACCCTAAGTTTTGGCCGTTTTTTCCAAGATACCATTGGGGCCATTGATGGTAGCCACATTCATGCTTCGCCTTGCGCATTCGAACGAGGTCCCTACCGCAATCAGAAGGGATTCATTTCACAAAACTGCCTATTTGCTTGTGATTTCAAACTGAATTTTACTTACGCGCTCACCGGCTGGGAAGGGTCGGCCACAGACGCACGTATCTACGAGGCTGCAGTGGGCCATGACCTTCGCATTCCTGCAGGGAAATACTTCCTTGCAGATGCAGGCTTCCCTCTGCGGCCTGAACTACTCGTTCCATACCGCAATGTGCGCTACCACCTTGCAGAATGGGGCCGTGCAGGTATGAGGTACGTGTACTGGTGTTATTCTTTCTACAATGTGCTGATTATTTACAGGCCGGCTACAAAAGAAGAGTTATTCAATCTGCGTCACTCGTCCGCTCAAAATGTCATCGAGCGGATCTTCAGTGTCCTCAAACGACGTTTCCGAATCCTCCATCTATCACCGCCATATGCTATGGACATACAAGCGCAGATTCCAGCTGCATTGTGCTGCATTCACAACTTCATACGTTTTCATGATCCCTCGGAAGGTGTGCTACCTGAAGCAGACCATTCAGACGCTCCCAGCACGCACACCGCAAACTGGGAGCAGGCAGTAGAAGAAGCTCCGGCCGCAAACAACGATCTGCACGCGCAGCATGATCTCATTGCGCTGTCTTAATAACCGAGGGTCTTATATGAAAACGTGTAAGAATGTAATGACACCACAATTACACTGGATAAGACTTCTTGCCAGTCCTCGATTAACACGGTCTACGACTTTTCTTCTTTCGTGGTAGATAATGTGTGAGTTCTTGGGAGGCTCGCTAAACCAATCAGTCAGATTAACTTAGCCGGAGCTTTATTATCTCTGATTGAAACTATGGGATTGTCTAGGATATACCGTCTAGACACTTGAACTGGTTTCCTGAATATATGGTTAACTGTTGAGAAGCTGGTCTCAAATGTGACTACGTGGACCAAAGCTCGTGTTGGTCAATATACAAATACCTGGTGAGAACGCTGGTCTCACAAATAACAACAATGACAAATAACAACAATGACCAAAGCTCGTGTTGGTCAGTATACAAATACCTGGTGAGAACGCTGGTCTCACAAATAACAACGTTGACCAAAGCTCGTGTTGGTCAGTAAACACTACGTGGTGAGAACACTGGTCTCACAAAACTGGGTTTCTATCGCGAGAAACTTACGTAATCTCAAGGGAAACACTTTCCCTGCACTTGCCTGGACAGTTCTTACAAAGGAAATGGGCTTTGTAAGCAGCAATTTGTTCAGACTGAAGCTTCTTAGGTGAGAGTTCAATTTGCTCAAGTGGGAGTTCTTGAATGCAACAAGTGGGAGATCTATTTTTTGGGGGAGAATGGGCTCTCCTTATATACATTTTGTGTGGGAATATTATGTAAGTAAAAAGGTGATGTAATGACTTCAGAATGTGAGAAGAATATTCCAAAAACTGGAGCAGAATGTTCTAGCAGGTGCAAAAGAACATTCCAGAATATTCATGGTGGGATAATGACATCATTCTGAGTCACTATGAGTCACTATGAGTCATTATGAGTCATTGGAATGTTCTAGCAAATTCCATGGAACATGACATCATTATGACATCACTATGATATCATATCTTTCAACCAAAATACCTGCAGGAGTGTAGGTGAAGTCCTATGACATCATTATGACATCATACCCTGTAGGTACAATTTTATGAAGCATCTGATTAGTCAGAGCATCCTAATAGAAAAGCAAAGTAAAGAAACACTAGAGAAAACAACTCAGAAATAATGGAACAAATAATAGTACACAATACGCGGGCTTTTTAGATAGGTTTTTGTTAGGCTTTGAACTTTTCTCTATGGGTTTCTCTAGCCAAAGTGAATAAGCCAAATGAAAGGCAATACATTAACCTTCATTTTGCTTCTCATATCAACTAGGTCATTATGTGATTCCCATCTCACATATGACTTTTCTTCAAAACATGGTGGATTCATGAATCACTGAGGGAAAACTGAAACTATTGGACCAAGGTTTGATACCAAGGTATGGGTTGACTAGTCTGAGGACTAAGCTAACAGACTTTGTCTTTTAGGGGGATACCTAGTAGTCATGTCCATGCATGATTCCCAAATCATGCAGGACAGCGCACGCAATGTGGGTTGAGTATCAGCGTATTTTAGAAGAACGACGTGCTCTTGGTAAGGACAACGACGATGTTTCGGATGACGAGTATGACGAGTATGACGATTATGGACTGGATTAATTCTCACTAGTAGCAAGTACCATGTACTTGTATCTGATCTGTTCCAATTAGTATATGATTCAATGATGCATGAAATACACGTAGAATGAGCAGTACATGAAATAGATACTACATGTTAGTACAAGACAAGAATGTAACAAGCACGGCAATACAAATGATATGATAGTACTACTGCAGCAGTGGAGAGTCCAAGAGCTCTAAGATAAATGCACGGCGTGTCTCGTAGTCATCCTCGAGCCCAACATAGATAGCAAGCTTGTTATCCCCTCCTGCAAGGGAAAATATGCGCAGGAGACTGGCTCTCTGACCAACTGACAAAAAATCTCCATCTTTGCTGCGCATAATCTCTAGGCCGCGAGAGATGATATTTGGTACAGTTGGTACAACAACCTGAGGGACTGGTGGTGGAAGCGGAGGCGGAGTGGCTATGGTCTTCTCAATAACATCTGTGAGACGGTTGATGCTACCTTGCATGTTCATGACGGCAACTGCTGGAGTAATCTTGGCAGCAATCTTTGCGGCACTATTTATCCCTGACTGCATGCCACCATGTGCTGAAACTCGTGCCTTCTTGGGAGCCGGTAATGATATCAACATTGATGAAAGAGGAACAGGATTGTTGGACACGGGAGGGGCACCAGTGCGTTGAGATGAAGAGTCGACAAAAGTGTCGGTGCGCATGCACTTACTGGACTGCGAGCCGGCAGCCTGAGAAGTAGCAGAGGTTCCATGAAGCTGGGCGCTAAGTGGCATCATTAAATCAGGGCTCATGTCTGGCACATCGCTGGGGGCAGCGGCTCCAGCAGTGTCTACATCCATATCAAGAAGGCCAAGGCCTCCGTCAAAAACATCAGGCACGTCATCTGCAGTATTGACAGACGGAGGGGGCGCAGTAGCTGGGTGCAACGCGTGCCTTCCACGAGCACCGCTATTATCACCTACGATCAGCTGCATGTTGTCGTATCGAGCCCACCCTTTGTTGCGAAAGGGGCGCATCACAGCTCGTGACTTTTGGGCGTCAGTCAAATGCAATAGAATTGAGCATCATTACATACATTGGGGTTAACATACGTATCCCAAACATCACCAGCAGCACGACCCTCGATTCCAGCCCCCCGCACATTATCCCAATGGAAACCAGACACATTGCGATAATTCTCGATTTGATTGAAGATTTTTTTGAGCTAAAACATGCTCGTAAACTTATAATCATTCGAGAAATGATCACATACCGATGTCCACTTTGTCCTAACCATCCTGGCCGTCTTCGGAGGGCCTATTGTTTGAATCGCGTGATTGTCATTGATAGCAGTTGCTGCGCTGTTGAAGGTAGTATTTGTGAAGTTCCCGCCATCACCACCCCGCTGCCCCGATTCTCAATCAGATGTTGGAGTAGAACGTCCACTTCTGTCTCTTGCCAGTGCACCTTTGCCGCATTGTCTGGCATTGATGTTACTTCAGGTTGAGCCATAAGGACTGTAGTAAAGCTAGCACAGAGAGCGGTGAGTGCAACAACAGAGGTGCAAAGTCTCTGTTGACGATAGTAGTCAATAAGATAAGAATTCATGGTAGATGTACAGGTATGAGATGTAAGGTTTGAGCTCCGACAATTGAGACGCTTGAAGCCGAGAATCCGCACATGACATTTGCCAAATGTTAGGCAACATCTGGTTGCCGAACAGCCTCTTAAGCACGAGATACCGTCGGCATCGGGTGCTATTGTGTATACCACGTCATGCTGTGTTCTTGCGCTCTTAACGTTCATGTTTTGTTTTTACAGCTCTTTGCTCAGTACTATGAGGACCTCTGCTTCATTTCACGGCGTTGTTGGACCACAAACTTCGACGACACCATTGACGTCCTCTTCCCGGCAATTCTCCAAGACGTTGAAAGCTGTCTTGAGCGTGCATTCCTTCCCCCCTTTCAACGTCTATGTTGATGGATTTTCAGTGACAAAATTCTAGACAACTTGCCAGGCGATTTTTGTAAGCATCGCAAGTGATATAAATCACACATTTCACTGACGAAGCCATGTCGAATTTTATTTTAGTTCAGACAGCCTGTGAAAGAAGCTGAGCAGACTCGATTGAACGCACCAGAATACACACTCGACTATCTTGCGATGTTAACCCATCCTGGAGTATGTAACCTTTCGGTAGAAATGGGATTGGTCAGAAACGCGTGTGTGCACGTCGTCGTGCTGCATCGTCGCTTCCTCAACCAATCTCCGACTTCTCAATACATTTGAAAGCCACTGCATCCCCCCGCATTCCATACAAACCGTTCGCTATGACAGTGAACCGAAGACAGTTTCCTCTGTGACCCGCATATGCAACTACATTAAATCTATGTCAAGATTTGATGCTAACGCAAACCGTGCTCGACCTCCGGACTGATCCCTTTGCTCACAGTCGTTTGTGCACGGTGTTGTCGAAAGTGAAAACGCGAAGAGACACTATATATTTGCAGAGACGACGCCGATATAGTATTTCCTGAGCTGCTACTGTAAACACAATAACATATTGTCGTAGAACCGACCGAAGGGGAGTCCTCGTAGTATTGTATTATTCAGGAGGGGCATACAAGCACAGACAGGTAACTCAAAAGGTAAAGAAAACGCAACTATACCTCCTCTGTCAAAAATTCAGTCGCATGGCCAGTGGAAAACAAGCATCTCTGCAAGTCAGGTTTGACAAAATTTAGTTTCTATAGATCTCACATACTTACATGCAATGGACAGCGGGGAGCAGCACTCGGTGAGACACCCCTTCCTTTTGCACCCAGGTCCATCTTCGAGTATATCTCCAAGAAAGACCAAGAACGCATTAAGAACATCGCTGCAAGCCGCTTTGCCCCCTTTTCCACGTCGGATGATCTCTCGCCAGGTCCCTCACTCCCCACGCCTTGCACGAAGCTGCTCTCCACGGTTTTCAGCCCTTCATGGCCGATCCATCTAAGCAGGCAAGGTACATTGCCTATCTGCGTGCACACGCAAATCCTCACTCAGGTGCAATTCCACCCTCACAGAAACCTGGGCAGACACCCGAGGAATTCACAAAAGAGAGAGCGACTATGCAAAATCAGCTACATTATTCCGCCCCGTTTCTAGAGCCGTGGCTGGGCGATTTACAATTGCCGCTGTTCTAGATCTCGGGCCTGCACACGCCTGCTGCACAGCCAGAAGAGGGGACGGACAGTGTGGATGTGGCGGAGGAAAAGCCGACGGAGGAAGTCAAGGAAGAAGCCCCGAAGGTGCATGCTGCTCGATTGAGCATGTATGGTGTTATGACGCGCGAGGTGTGTACGTGGCAGCCTGCGCGGCTGCTGTGTGAGTGCTTTGGCGTCAAGGACCCGGTTAATGCTGATGAGGTGGACGAGCCCCCTGCCGTCTAAACGAGGCCCGGATGTCAAGGCACTACCAGCGAATGATGTCGTGGAAGATGTTGACCTGGCTACGTTCAAGCCTACCTTCATACTCAGGGAATCCAAACCGAAAGACGCGGAGAAGGAAAGAAAAAGAAGAAACAGAAGAGTTTCAAGGGTAGCGCGCTTATTTCCTTTGATGTAGCGCAGAGTCATTGTCGCCCACTGCCGCTGCCGCGCGCCAAAAACACCGAGATCGGGAGAGCGAGAGGCCTCGGAAGAAGAAACGGAAGGATCAAGTGGGGGATGGACATCAGGATATGTGGGTTGAAAAGCCTCCGCCGTATATCGTGAAAGCCCTGCCTATCACTGATATGTCCTCTGATGAAGGTGATCGGGTTAGTGGTCAGGAAAGCGGACCTGCTGGTGCTCGTAAGAGCGCAATCGATTTTGTGTAGTGCTATATACAGGTTCAAAAGCTAACGTCAATTTTGGCGTCACCTGTAACGCTTCACAATGATGCAAGTATCACCATGGACGTGCGGGCAAGTAACATCTGTACTATCGTCATTGGATGGGAGATATACTCTGGAAGCTGTGGAGACATGAGTCGGACGCATGTACGCAGTGCAGTCGAGGAAGGCGGTTATGACTCGTAAGGAGCCTGTTTGCTACAACGGAGGCGAACTACCTCGTGTCTTGGGCGTGTATGGAAATGAATTAGGTTAGCGTGGTGAAGCAGCATAAAAATGCACAATACACGCACCTCTGCAGCTTAGAGAAATACACCCACAGTCCCTCAATCGTGCTCAACACGATCAACCTCTAGTAAAATGCCACAGGTCATTCCAAGCACCACACCCATTCGAACTTTTGAAGATCATGAGAATACTGTAAGGGCAGTCGCAGTTTTCCCCGATAAACGACGAATAGTTACGGGCTCGGAAGACAAGACACTTCGTCTTTGGGACTTGGAGACAGGTGTTGTGTTGAAGAAGATGGAGGGGCATAGTAGCTGGGTGGGGGGCATTGGCGGTATCACGAGATGGTCAAATAATAGCAAGCAGTGGTGCAAAAGGAGAAATCATTGCCTGGCACGGTAAAACTGGTGAATCTCTTGACCAACCCATCCAAGCCCACACCGATCGAATCTACTCGGTGGATTTTTCTCCTGATGGTGCGGTGCTGGCCACTGGTTCATCGGACCAAACGATGAAGTTTTGGTGCACCAAAACGTGGCAGATGCAAGGAGAACCAATCGAGTGTGGTTATGTCCACTGCATTAGATATTCGCCTTCTGGTGAACTTCTTGCCATCGCAACATTCCATAACATCAAAATTTATAATCCAGGCACCAGGGGACATGTCGCATCTTTTGGGGATTACACAATGTCACTTGCTTGGACGCCTGATGGCACGCGCCTTGTTTCAGGAGGCTATAATGCTACCATACAAGAGTGGGATACATTGACCTGGCAGCAGGTCGGTGATTCCTGGAAAGGCCACACTAGCTATATCTTCGCCATTGCCATCAATCCCTCTGGCACCCTCGTCGCTTCTGCATCTCGTGACAACGATGTCCGTCTCTGGCGGCTCTCAGATCAACGAACCGTCGCCATCTTCAAGCAATCATCCCCGCCGCAATCTGTCACTTTCTCCGCGGACGGCAAGCAAATCTTCAGCGGAGGCCAAGACAAAAAGATCTCAGAGTGGGAAACACCTAAGAGAGCATCCTTCAACCAGATCCTGGCCATCACGACAGCCCGCAATGCATGCATCGCTGGAGACCTGGACACTGCTGAACAGCTGCTCACCCAAGAGATCCACACCGACGCCCATGACTATACTTCATATTCCCATCGCTCATTTGTTATGGCACGAAAACACGCATGGGACCTCGCACTCGATGATGCAATCAAGGTGAGCTATACTGACTTATCATGGCCCCCTCACTAAAGGCTTACTTTCATTCGTGACATAGTCCATCAGCATTCAGCCCTCATTAATAGGCTACATCTCGAAAGGCATCGCCCTCTGCGGAAAAGGCCACATCCGCGAGGCAAGGGCAGCATTCGACGTCGCATCCATGTTCACCAACAATGATTCAGAAGCCAACCAACTTCTTCTCTTGATCAAGGTACATTGCATTCATCTCACACATCCCCCGCTTCATTGCGTGTTTCAGGCCATCGCCCTCTTCAGCGCAGATCAACACGAGGAAGCAATGTTACTCATCAAAGAGCTGGCTGCCGCTTGTCCGAATACCGATCCTCTCGCGTGTTGTGTCGTGCAAGTAAGTGTCATGCAGCTTCGCTTGGTTATCGATGCTGATCTTTGCAACTCGCACATTAGACACATTTACGCGTTCAGCTGGGAATAAAAGCCTTGGATGGCACGCGTCACGATGAAGCTGCTGACCATTTCACTGTCGCTGTCAACTCAGGCGTGTTCTCATCGACATACATTTATGGCCTATACGAGGAATTGACCGTTGTGCGTCAAGATGATGCATACATAGTGCTTTCCACAACTGAGTGCTTTGTCCAGCTCTTCGGCTGGGATCTCGATTCTTTGTGTCTCACTACTCACCAGAAACGATGCCAGGCATTCCTTTCGGCAGGTAAACTTGATAAAGCTCTTGAAGCACACAAATACATGATAGACGCCATCGACGAATCTACGAAGGCCAGCTGCCTTGATTGGTCCAACGGCAAGTCCGGAGTCCGTGATAACATCTAGACTGCAATCCTCACCCATATTTCACTCAGCTTTCAAGCAAGAATGCAGCGCGTCCTGTGCTGCCGGTGGAGATGCTGCCCTCACTGCGAGCGATTATGACAAGGCCATTGACCTATACTCGGCCGCAATCAACCTGAATCCTGCGTCTGATACTCTCTTTGCAAATCGTAGTAAGGCAAAGTTGGGTAAGATGCTATGGATGGAAGCACTTCTCGATGCGCAGAAGGTGCGTTGGCATCTATCATTTTAGAATCCATGCTCATTGCAGCGATACATAGGTCATTGAACTCGACTCTTTCTCTTATCTTGGATACAATTTGAAGCATGCAGCTCTTCATGGTGCACGATGTTATGATGAAGCGATCCTGACCTTCAAGACGATGCTGGCCACATTGGATGATGCGCCCGACGTTCGGACACGAAGTAAGCCTTTGCATAACACATTCGCCAACATGTTTAACTCTCTCTAGAGCTGTGCCACCAACATCTCAGACCCTCTGAAGTAGAACGTACTATCCGACGGGTAATTGATGCCCAACTCGACAATGTTCCACTCCGTGTAATCAACACTATTACCGGTCTCTTATGCGATCGAGAGGCGCAGATAAGCGCCTTCAAAATGAGCACAGAGTATAAGGAGCTTGTGTCATCAACAATCACGCATCTGGACTTCCCAATGAAGCACATCGAAGAAGTGGTGATGACGTATCTCCAATATGCCGCGCTATCACACAGGTGGGAGGGAAGGAGCCGTGCTGCAGGATATCCAGGGCAGGAGCCGGTATGACTCGGAGTTGGATCCGATTGGTGGCATGACGAAGTTGCGGTTGTTTGTTTGCAACACTGCTCGTGATGCGGGATGTAACTGGGCATGGAGCGATACATGCTGCATCGATAAGAGCAAACAATGTCGAACTCCAGGGAATCGGTCCCGTATGAGTGCGCCAGAGAGAAACTCCATTGGGCGTCAACCCGCGTTACCACGCGTCAGGAAGACATCGCATACTCGTTGTTTGGCATCTTTGGTGTCCGCCTGGCTGTAGATTATGGCGAGAAGCAGGACAAGGCTCTCGGGCGGCTCCTGCAGGAAATCGTGGCTCGGTCGGGTGACATCACCGGCCTCGATTGGGCGGAAAACCATCAGAGTTCAATAGCTGTCTACCAGCCTCCATCACTTCATACGAAGCTCACCATGCAAGCTACCACCCCTACTCGAAGATGACATTCATCATCGGTTTGCTGCGAAACGGTGGCTGTGGATTTCGCTTCGAACCTTTATACCCGGCTTTGCGACGTGAGCGCCCCTCGCTTCGCAGCACAGAGACTGCATCTGCCTTGTATTGCATTCAATGTCAGGGAAGTCAGACGGGTGCGTAGTCCAGCCCCAGAGACTCTGTTCAGGTATCGAGTGAAGGCAGACGGGCTTCGCGACTTGCTTATCACCACCGAAGAGACCCTGGTTCAGTTCTGGCCGGCAAGGCTCACTGAGCAAAAATTTGTTCTTGTCCGTCCTTGGGATCGGTCTCTCCTCGAGCTACCTGACTTTGCACAACCGCCTGAATTTGTGGAATCGTCTTACTTTGGAAGCGATACGGAGAGTGAGGAGGATTATGGGACGCCACCTTCTTCTCCGTCAGACGACTGGTCCAGTGGTTCTCCTGTAAATCAGAAGGTGGTTGACCTAGAATCACGAGCATTGCGGTTGCTTGTTCGCCTTGGGCAGCCTTTCTGCGCATTTTTGCTATCGCAGCAGGGCAGTGTAGAATACAAGAGGATCGCGTCGGACCATAATATCATTGGGCAGGTCGACGACGTGGTTTCTGTTGGAGACTCGATGGACATCAGGACCATAGAAATATTGTAGTCGTATTTTTTTGTTTCAAATTTTATGAATTTCTGAGCAGTTTGCATTTGCGCTTCACATCGTACAGTATAGGTATCATATATGCATGTGTATCGGACTAAAGTCTCGTCACTTCATTTCCTGCAACTGTAGTTGGTCCCGTAGAATTTTCGGGAGTGGGACAACTTGGCATCACCTTGTCTTTCGATGAGTAAATATCACATGTCCCTATCATCCTTTGCTGTCCAAAGATTGTACATTGGCATGAGGGTGTCGCAGACCAATAATCAACATGGATGACTACCATAATGATGGATATCAGATCGGGACTCAAGGGACATCTTCGACGAGTAGGACGCAGGATATGTATTCAGTCGTTGGGAACGCGTCATGAGAGAAAGATGCACTTACCTGCCTCCCCGACCGCCCTAACAGAACAGATAGCCATGTACTATCATTTTCCTGGAACGTCCACTTTGTCGGGAATGACGCGCAGAAAAAAAGGACAGACATTCTGGGTGAGAACTCTTCGGCGCTGTTACTGAGCCCGGTGTAGTGCAAGTACGTACGTAGGCGAGAGGTTGAACGTAGAAAGACGGTGAAATGCGCTGTGTGAAGGTGCTGCTAGTAAGCATGGCAAAAATACAATTATCAGCGCAAATAATCGATCTTGTCGTCGTCGTCCTTTCTGACCTTGGAGAGCACGGGCGTCGAAATTCAAGACGCACAATAAGACATGATTTACAGATTCTTTATACTGGTCTACAGCGAGTCGTAAGGCGAGGGATCGCGAGACCTTGGATCTGAAAGTTCTTGTACCGTGAAAGATTGTTTCAAAGTTGTGATACTCACTTGATGTATGGCCAAGGATTGGGTCCATGTACTCTATGATTGATAACATAACATAGCTGAACACTGCAGCAACATGTCAATGATGAGATCCAGGCTGGCGTAACTTTGGTTCTAGTGAGACCTCACCGATGTTAGTAGAGTGCGATGACCATCATAATCATATTGCATACTTGTGTCACAGTGATGCAAACGAGAAAAACTGAAACCAGTTGGGCCGGGGGGTGGCTGAGAAACTGAGGAAGCGAGGTGGCAAAACGCTGTAAGCAAGGCTGACAGCTTTGGAAACTATGATTTGGATAAAACGCGTATTGAAAAGCGGAAACCACCCCATTTGGAGCGGGTTTGAGACGCGAGAAGAGAGAAATTTGGTTGTACTATTATGGTACGCGCAATCGGCAACCCCAGAAGTCGGCAGTAACGCAAATGTCACAGTAAGTCACGACATGTCACTGAGCCAGTTTCAAAGTCAGCTCGGCAGTCAAGCAGGAGCGCAAGGAAGTGAGTTAGTATTCGGCGTGAGCAAGCAAGTACAGTATATACTAGTAGAATCTAAGTACAAGGGTGGCCATGATTAGTGCCGTAGTTGTAGAATTGAGGGGGATGTGTAGGGAGACTGTGTGTGTTGTAAGGATGCTGAGGTTGTCTGTCGAAGTTTGATGATGATGCAATGGGACCGCCGGATGAATTATTATGTTACGTTGTAGATTAAGATGGTGCGCGGAGAGCTGGATTAGCATAGAATTGATGAAAATATGGCTGGTTAGTAAAGTGTGGAGGATAATATGGATTAAAAGAATGTGCACTGGCAGGTGGGGTGAAAAATGAGTACTGGAAGTGTTGGATGAGGTAGCGTCATTGTCTTGCGAGGCGCCACTACTAGCCTGTCCTGTCGATGACGCAGTGGCTAAATTCTTATTCTTCGAAAGCGTTTTTCCCGTCTGGAAGAGCGCAGCAAAACGTGGATTGTCGGCAAAGTGCTGATTTGCGGCATCAGCAAGAAACTCTTTGATTCTAGTCCTGAGTTCCTCAACCGTTCCGTCTCTTGAAATCTTGAGAGCGCCAGCAAGTGCGATAAAATCATCCTTGCACCGGAGTGTTGAGAGTGCATCAAACGTCTTCGACTCGATATCGCGTTCGATCTGAGTGTGGCGCGCTTCATCTTCTGTCTTCTTTTGGCCTGCTTCTCCGCGTCGGCCTTATCCTTTTCATGCTGCTCTAGCCCCATGACCAGCAGCACAGCACCAGTCGGCACTGGTGTGTGCAGTATTGAAACTCCGTCACGGCATATATCGGCAGGTGACATTTCTGCGTGACTTCGGCACTTTCAGCTATCTCATTCAATTCTGCTTCAAATGTATTCGTTTGAACTCGTATTGAGTTGTGTTAGAGAGAGAATGATGTCTATGTAAAGAATTTTGTGTTTAGGTAGCTGGAAACACGAGTTTTGTGAAAGTGCCGACTTCTGGGGGCTGCCGATTGCGCGTACCATAATAGTATATGAGGCACACGCAGATCTTGGGAATCGACGAGACCAGAAGATGATATTTCAGTAAGCCTATGTGCGCTCGCACAAGTTACATGATAAAGTGTTGGAGAAACTGCTGGACATGGGAAACAATGGTATTCATGCGGGGCAATCTACGTAGGACAGATCATCTAGCTTTCAGTCAGGGCCAGGAAGTAGCAACTCACCATCGCCATATGTTGGATGGGAGGGAATATATTCTGGAAGCTGTGGAGACACGAGTCAGGACGCATGTACACAGTGTAGTCGAGGAAGGCAGTTATGACTGCTAGGGAGCATTCTTGCTGGACTACCTCGTATCTTGGGCGTCTATGGAAACGAGGTAGGTTAGCGTGGCCTGTTTGCGTGCACACGCAAATCCTTACTCAGGCGCAATTCCACCCTCACAGAAGCCTGGACAGACACCCGAGGAATTCGCAAAAGAGATGAGCGACTATGCAAAATCAACTGCATTATTCTGCCCCGTTTCCAGAGCTATGGCTGGGCGATTTACAAGTACTGCTGTTCTAGATCTCGGGCCTGCACACGCCTGCTGCACAGCCAGAAGAGGGGGAGGACAGTATGGATGAAGGCGGAGAAGAAGCCGAAGGAGGAAGAAGCCCCGAAGGTGCATGCTGCTCGGTTGGGCATGTATGATGTTATGACGCGCAAGGTGTGTACGTGGCAGCCTGCGCGGCTGCTGTGCGAGCGCTTTGGCGTCAAGGACCCAGTTCTGGATGTCCTGGTTGATACCTCTGGGCTGTCAGCGCAGACTGCGAGGCCCGAGTTCACAGGCAGAGCGTTAGCAGACGAATTCGCTGGTGCAAGGGCGGGAGCGATGCAAGTGGAGAGTGGGGGGTTGCGGAAGTAACAAGCGCGATGTTGCGAATATCGGCATGGGGGAAGATGATGGGCGGGGGGATGGTGTGCTGACGTATGAACGTCCTGGATGGATATTTAAAGAAATTTTTACAAGTGATGATGAGGAGAGCGACAAGGAGAAGGATTACATGAATAATTTCGATGAGGTGGACGAGCCCCCTGCCGTCTAAACGAGGTCCTGGATGTCAAGGCACTAGCAGCGAATGGTGTCGTGGAAGATGTTGACCTGGCTACGCTCAAGCCTACTGTCATACTCAGGGGATCCAAAACGAAATACGCGGAGAAGAAGAAAAAGAAAACAAGACACAGAAGAGTTCCAAGGGTGTGCGCTTGTTTCCTTTGATGTAGACGAGGATGGTGGAGAGTTATTGTCGCTCACTGGCGCGCGCCTAACGTCAATTTTAGCGTCTCTTGTAACGCTTCACCATGATACAAGTATCACCATGGACGTGCAGGTAGGTAACATCTGTACTATCGTCATTGGATGGGAGGGGATATACTCTGGAAGCTGTGGAGACATGAACCGGACGCATGTACGCAGTGCAGTCGAGGAAGGCGGTTATGAGCCTAAATGCTACAACGGAGGCGAACTACCTCGTGTCTTGGGCGTCTACGGAAATGAATTAGGTTAGCGTGGTGAAGCAGCATAAAAACGCACAATACACGCACCTCAGACAAAGACACCCACAGTCCCTCAATCGTGCTCAACACGATCAACCTCCAGTAAAATGCCAAAGCTCATTGCAAGCACCACACCCATTAGAACTTTTGAAGATCATGAGGATACCGTCAGGGGACTCAGGGCAGTCGCAGTTTTCCCCCGATAAGCGACGAATAGTTACGGGCTCTGGCGACAAGACACTTCGTCTTTGGGACTTGGAGACAGGTGTTGTGTTGAAGAAGATGGAGGGACATAGCAGTCAGGTGTGGGCATTGGCGGTATCTCGAGATGACCAAATGATAGCAAGCGGTGATGAAAAAGGAGAAATCATTGCCTGGCACGGTGAAACTGGAGAATCTCTCACCCAACCCATCAAAACCCACTCCTATCCAATCACCTCGGTTGATTTTTTCTCCGGATGGTGCGGTGCTGGCTACTGGCGGATGGGACTTGACGGTGATGTTTTGGTGTACAAAAACGTGGCAGATGCAAGGAGAACCAATCCAGTGTGGTTCTATTGTCAACTGCGTTCGATATTCGCCTGCTGGTGAACTTCTTGCCATCGCAACACACAAGAATATCCAAATTTCTAATACAGGCACAAGAGAACGGGTCGCATCTTTTGGGGGTTATACCTTGTCACTCGTGTGGACGCTCGATGGCACACGCCTTCTTTCAGCAGGCGATTCTACCATACAAGAGTGGGATCCATTGACCTGGGAGGAGATCGGTCATCCCTGGGAAGGCCACAATGACCATATCAACGACATTGCCATTCATCCCTCTGGCACCCTCGTCGCTTCTGCATCTAATGACAGCCAGGTCCGTCTCTGGCGGCTCTCAGATCAACGAACCATCGCCATCTTCCAGCACTCATCCTCGCCGCGTTCTGTCACTTTCTCCGTGGACGGCAAGCACATCTTCAGTGGAGGCCAAGATAGCATGATCTCGGCGTGGGAAATACCGAAGAGAACATCCTTCACGCAGATCCTGGCCTTCACAACAGCCCACAATGCATGCATCGCTGGGGACCTGGACACCGCTGAACAGCTGCTCACCCAAGAGATCCACACCGACGCCAATGACTATACTTCATATTCCCATCGCTCATTCGTTCTCGCACGAAAACACGCATGGGACCTCGCACTTGATGATGCAATCAAGGTGAGCTATACCGAACTATCATGGCCCCCACTAAAGGCTTACTTTCATTCGTCACATAGTCCATCAGCATTCAGCCCTCGCTGACAGGCTACATCTCGAAAGGCATCGCCCTCTGCGGAAAAGGCCACATCCGAGATGCCAGGATAGCATTCGATGTCGCATCCATGTTCACAAACCAAGATTCAGAAACGAACCATTTTCTTATCTTGATCAAGGTACGTAGCATTCATCTCGCTTATTCCCTGCTTCATTGCGTGTTTCAGGCCATCGCCCTCTTCAGCGCAGATCAACACGAGGAAGCAATGTTACTCATCAAAGAGCTGGCTGCCGCTTGTCCGAATACCGATCCTCTCGCGTGTCGTGTCGTAGAAGTAAGTGACATGACAGTTTCGCTTGGTTATCGATGCTGATCTTTGCAACTCGCACATTCAGACACATCTACGCGTTCAGCTGGGAATCAAAGCCTTGGATGACGCGCGTCACGACGAAGCTGCTGACAATTTCACTGTCGCTGTCGACTCGGGCGCGTTCTCATCGAAATACATTCATGAACTATACGAAGACTTGACCGTGGTGCGTCAAGATGATGCATACATAGTGCTTTTCATAACTGACTGCTTTGTCCAGCTCTTTGGCTGGGATCTTGAGTCTTTGTGTCTCACTGCTCACCAGAAACGTTGCCAGGCATTCCTTTCGGCAGGTAAACCTGATGAAGCCCTCGAAGCACACAAATACATGATGGACGCCATTGACGAATCTACCAAATCCAGCTGCCTTGATTGGTCCAACGGCAAGTTTTCGGTGGACGGTACCCGAGGCTATCATACTCACTCACATTTCACTCAGAATTTAAGGGACAATGTAGTGTGCTCGCTGAGCAGAATGATCGTATTCTTGGTGTATGCACCTCCTTCCTCAAGTCTTTCACTGCTGACCGTTATGCAGGCGGAGATCCCGGGGCAAGAGCAAGATGGCTATGATACAGAACCCAATTTCTTCCACGGAATGCATCAAGTGCGTGCAACAGCGTATCTTCTTACGTTCTTTCTTACATCGTTCATTATAGCCTTCTCAAATTTCCCCGCCACGACCTCAACGGCGCCATGGGCGGCTCAAAAGACTCAGGCTCGCTATGACGAAGACCCCTCGATCAGCTCCCCTGCTACCACCAGCACCAGCACCAACACCAACACCAGCACCTACCTATCACCCCACCATCAACCGCCGCTCTTACCACCCTCACAGCTCGGCTAGGAAACCTATTCCCCTGGAGGTCCGATCATACAACACCGCCCGTCGTCGATGTTCCGTTCGCGAAGGGTAAAGAGGTGCGATGAGTTGATTTTTATAAATGTGCCTTGGGTGTCTGATACGTAATCTACAGCGTAATGCTGCTGCGGATGCTCCTGGAAAAGACCCCGACATCGTACCTTATGAATATCAAGATCCGGATCCTACTCAACCGGATCCCAATACACAACAGCAGCAGCAGCAGCAGCAGCAGCCAGTAGCAGTGCAGGTAGACACCGGAGAACATGGACGCGGACGGTCGTGTTGCTGCTGCTAGAGGAATTGGCAGATGTCCGCGGTTATTTCAGTTATACCATCGATCTTGTTATGATATCTACACTGCTGTTTTATCGATAGCTAATGCCCATTGTCCGAAATGTTGTCCATAACGGTCACTAAATCGATTACCAGAAACAACGACAGGACGATCTAGCGAAGACTGCGAATGAGCGCTGAGCACTCGCACAATTCCCCTAGTTGCCCACAGCTCCGACAGGATATTCAACCATCCAGCACAGTGCTTGGAGTCCGAGTGTCGAACAAATTGAGATGTGAATAAATTAGTGGTATGCTTGACTGTATAGACAGTAAGTAGCCAACACAACAGTAGTAAATGAAATGGGATTACAGAGGGTTTCTAGTATTGGTGGCAACGCATGCGCAGACGCCACACTCCCTGATAACTGGCACATAAGTAACCATGTACTTCGAGGCGAAAGCGGCAATTTGGCCTCTGAGGTGTTGTTCATTACAAGCGTGGCTCCGCTACTACGGAGCCATACGTCAGACTCGAGTGTCCCCAACGTTCCTCCCCGTTATACGCCTGAGCTCAGCTTCCGGAATTCTCGTCTGAACATCAATCGTACATGGCTGCTCATTCAGGAGAGTGCCATTCATGAAAGCGGCATCATTCAACGGCTTCGTGCGATCCAACATGAGCCGGAAGGCCCGAAGGACAAGCGCCGTGTTTATGAACACCGATTTATGCTGGCGTTCACAGGAACACATGGGCCTATGGATGAACTGTGTGACCTTACCTATTCGCAATATGTTGTCCGGGACACACTCTAGAAGTAAAGAGGATGAGAACATGGCCGAGGGGGGTGGCAGAACCTGGCAGAACTCCAGGGTATCCGAAACTCGTGGAGATGTAATTTAGATCTATGATAACAAAAATTGAATCCAGGAGAACATGAAAACCTGACGTCCTTAAAGTAAGATGGTGCAAACTGGAGGGCGCCCCCTTGCATCACTGATTGACGAGAATTTCGAGCGCCTGGGATGAGTGGCTTACAATCAGTCACTAGCTCCATTCACTGGCGGCCAAGCGGACGGCCTTTCTTGGTGGAAAAACCTTCCAATCAATTCCGAAATCCACCCACTCAAGGTCTTGTCTGTGACAATCCTCTGAATTGTGGGGCATGCAGGCAAAGTAGAGCGCACATTCTCTAATCTCGGCACAACACAATCAGCGCGACGGTGTAATCTCTCAGTTGACACATTTGAAACACTAGGCAAAATTCATGCAAACCTTCGACACCACAGCGCCGTGAAAGTCGCGGAGGCTGGGAAGCCCACCCGCCGTCGACATGCTCACATGCACACTCGTGAAGAGGTTGGTATTGCTGTCGAGACTGCACAGGATCTTGAAGCATCCTTCGCGTGGGCACCTTCACTCTTGACCTAACCTCGCGATGCAGATGACTTGCTTGCTGGTCCAGAGAGTATCTCGCCTGATGATATTGCTGCTGAATTTGCAGCTCTCGAGGAGTTGAAAAGGACTGAAGAAGTTCACAACGTTAATCAAGTTGAAGTGCTCGAGGGAAATGCTTTTGATTTTGACGAGTTGGATCGGGTCGAACAAGGAATAATACTACAGGCTATTCTAGATGAGGTTGAGGTGGTTAATTACAATGGTGAGGGTGGCAGATGGGACGAGGCAACATTGATGTCATCGTTAGGAATGTCGTATACATAGTCTGCATGGCGCCTAGAGTTTTGCCAGTTTTGCCGGTTATAACCGGCAGAACTAAATCGAATTAGTTCTGCCCCCCACACTAACTTGAGGTCATCTCTCACGCGCCCTTCGGTATCAAGCCAACGATCAGGCTTGGATGCGTCAGGATCTGGGAAGACGTCTGGATCGCGAGAGATGGCTCTGAAATGGCTATTAGATGAATCAAATTCGGAAGGAGGGCTCTGACCAGTGATTGCCAAATACTGTTGTCACGGCTGGAACACGATAATCTTCCTGTTTGTACCGTCAGATTTAGCTTCGATAGGACGACGAAGGGTGCCCACAAAAACGACCACCTCTGTCGTGCGGTGTGGCATACCTTCATGCAGGTAAGCTATAGACATCAACTAGAAAGACGGGAGGGTAATTACCCATAGGTATCAACGGCCTCCATCGCAGGGCCTCCGAAACGCAGGCATGAAGGCGAGGAAGTGATTTCTTGTCAGTGAATGCGGGTGCTAGAGTGAGTCAGCTTTTATATCGATGCCCCAATAACACGCGATCAACTGATGACCGCGTCCAGATCTCCATGGACTTTACGTTGTTCCTCAGGGAAACAAGCAGCTGCCATTAGTACTGTGCATATGGCGAGAGTAGTCTATAACACCTGAATCTAGTTAAATTCAAAAGCGGTGATGCATGAGCTCACCGTGTCAGATCCAGGGGCAAAGACAGTACCAGCAAGTAAGCTATCTCCAGCTCAGGCTTTGCGTTAAAAAAGTTCTTTGCCAAGAGACATCTTCTGAGCGAAGGACTAGCTTCGCTACCTCCCTGCCGTCGAGCATTTTAACATGTTATTGGATTGGATTATGCATACTTACTAACTCCCGTTTGAGAGACCGATATGAAGAGCTTCCGCGAATCTCGACAGCTGTCACGTAGTTCTCGCGCATACCAAGGAAGATATTTCAGCCACGTACAAGCACAGACAGGTAATTCAAAAGGTAAAGAAAACGCAGCTATACCTTCTCCATCACAAACTCAGTCGCACGCCCAATGGAAAACAGGCATCTCGACAAGTCAGGTTTGACAAAATTCAGCTTCTACAGATCTCACATGCTTACATGCAATGGACAGCAGGGAGCAGTACTCGGTGAGACGCCCTTTCCTTCTGCACCCAGGTCCATCTTCGAGTGCATCTTCAAGAAAGACCAAGAACGCATGAAGAACATCGCTGCAAGCCGCTTTGCCCCCTTTTCCACGTCGAATGATCTCTCGCCAGGTCCCTCACTCCCCACGCCTCCCACGAAGCTGCTCTCAACGGTTTTCAGCCTTTCATGGCCGATCCATCTAAGCAGGCAAGGTACACTGGTTATCTGCGTGCACACCCAAATCCTGGCTCAGGCGCAATTCCACCCTCACAGAAGCCTGGGAAGACACCCGAGGAGTTCACAAAAGATATGATCGACTATGAAAAACCAGCTGCATTAGTGCCTTTGTTCTAGATCTCGGGCCTGTACACGCCTGCTGCACAGCCAGAAGAGGAGACGGACAGTATGGATGTGGCAGAGGAGAAGCCGAAGGAAGAAGTCAAGGAAGAAAACCCCGAAGGTGCATGCTGCTCGACTGGGCATGTATGGTGTTATGACGCGCGAGGTCTGCACGTGGCAGCCTGCACGGCTGCTGTGCAAGCGCTTTGGCGTCAAGGACCCGGTTCTGGAGTTCTTGTCGATACTCTGGGCTGTCAGCGGAGACTGCGAGGCCTGAGTTCACTGGCACAGCGTTAGCAGACGAATTCGCTGGTGCAAGCGCGGGAGCGACGCAAGTAGAGAGTGGGGGTTCCGGAAGTAGCAAGCGCGACGTTGCCAATATCGGCATGGGGGAAGATGATGGGCGGGGGATGATGTGCTCACGTATGAGCGTCCTGGGATGGATATTTTTAAAGCAATTTTTACAAGTGATGATGAGGAGAGCGACGAGGAGAAGGATTATATGGACAATGTCGATGAGGTGGACGAGCCTCCTGCCATCTAAACGAGGCCCGGGCCCCGGATGTCAAGGCACTACCAGCGAATGGTGTCGTGGAAGATGTTGACCTGGCTATGTTCAAGCCTACCTTCATACTCAGGGGATCCAAACCGAAAGACGCGGAGAAGAAGGAAAAAAAAAGAAGAAACAGAAGAGTTCCAAGGGTGGCGCGCTTGTTTCCTTTGATGTAGACAAGGATGGCGGAGAGTCATTGTCGCTCACTGTCGCACGCCAAAAACACCAAGATCGGGATAGCCAGAGGCCTCGGAAGAAGAAACGGAAGGATCGCGAGAGGAGTGGAGGTGAAGATATGTAGGTTGCAAAGCCTCTGTCGGATATCGTGAAAGCCCCGCCTATCACTGATATGTCCTCTCATGAAGGCGATCAGGTCAGTGGACAGGAAAGCGGACCTCCTGGTGCTCGTAAGGGCAATCGATTTCATGTAGTGCTATATACAGGTTCAAAAGCTAACGTCAATTTTAGCGTCTCTTGTAACGCTTCACCATGGACGTGCGGGTAAGTAACATCTGTACTACCGTCGTTGGATGGGAGGGGATATACTGTGGAAGCTGTGGAGACATGAGTCGGACGCATGTACGCAGCGCAGTCGAGGAAGGCGGATATGACTCGTAGGGAGCCTGCTTGCTACAACGGAGGCGAACTACCTCGTGTTTTGGGCGTCTATGGAAATGAATTAGGTTAGCGTGGCGAAGCAGCATAAAACGGACAATACACGCACCTCTGCAGCTTAGAGAAAGACACCCACAGTCCCTCAATCGTGCTCAACACGATCAACCTCTAGTAAGATGCCACAGCTCATTGCAAGCACCACACCCATTCGAACTTTTGAAGATCATGAGGATTCCGTCATGTCAATCGCAGTTTTCCCCGATATGCGACGAATGGTTACGAGCTCTGTCGACAAGACACTTCGTCTTTGGGACTTGGAGACAGGTGTTGTGTTGAAGAAGATGGATGGGCACCGCAATGGGGTGCAGGCATTGGCGCTATCACGAGATGGTCAAATAATAGCAAGCAGTGGTGGAAGTGGAGAAATCATCGTCTGGCAAGGTGAAACTGGTGAATCTCTTACTCGACCCATCAAAGCCCACTCCAGTAACATCACCTCGGTGGATTTTTCTCCGGATGGTGCGGTACTGGCTACTGGTTCAATCGACTGGACGGTGAAGTTTTGGTGTACCAAAACGTGGCAGATGCAAGGGGAACCAATCAAGTGTGATGTCGCTCATTCGTTATGGCACGAAAACACGCATGGGACCTCGCTCTTGATGATGCAATCAAGGTGAGCTATACCGACTTATCATGGCCCCCTCACTAAATGCTTACTCTCATTCGTGACATAGTCCATCAGCATTCAGCCCTCATTGATAGGCTACATCTCGAAAGGCATCGCCCTCTGCGGAAAAGGCCACATCCGCGAGGCAAGGGCAGCATTCGACGTCGCATCCATGTTCACCAACAATGATTCAGAAAACAACCATTTTCTTTTCTTGATCAAGGTACATTGCATTCATCTCGCATATTCTCTGTTTCATTCCGTGTTTCAGGCCATCGCATTTTTCAGCGCAGATCAACACGAGGAAGCAATGTTACTCATCAAAGAGCTGGCTGCTGCTTGTCCGAATACCGACCCTCTCGCGTGTCGTATCGTGGAAGTAAGTGTCATGCAGCTTCGCTTGGTCATCGGTGCTGATCTTTGCAACTCGCACATTAGACATATCTACGCGTTCAACTGGGAATCAAAGCCTTGGTTGGTGCGCGTCACGACGAAGCTGCCGACCATTTCACTGTCGCTGTCAACTCAGGCGCATTCTCATCGAAAAACATTGATGGACTATACGAGGACTTGACCGTGGTGTGTCAAGATGATGCATACATAGTGCTTTTCATAACAGAGTGCTTTGTCCAGCTCTTCGGCTGGGATCTCGAGTCTTTGTGTCTCACCACTCACCAGAAACGGTGCCAGGCACTCCTTTCGGCAGGTAAACCTGATGAAGCCCTCGAAGCACACCAATACATGATGGACACCATCGACGAATCTACGAAGGCCAGCTGCCTTGATTGGTCCAACGGCAAGTTCTCAGTGATGTCACCGAGGCTGCTATAATCACCTGCATTTCACTCAGCTTTCAAGAAAGAATGCAGCGCACCCTGTGCTGCCGGTGGAGATGCCGCCCTCGCTGCGAGCGATTATGACAAGGCCGTTGACCTATACTCGGCCGCAATCAACCTGAATCCTGCGTCTGATGCGCTCTTTGCAAATCGTAGTAAGGCAAAGTTGGGTAAGATGCTATGGATGGAAGCACTTCTCGATGCGCAGAAGGTGAGTTGACATCTATCATTTCATAATCCATGCTCATTGCGGCGATACATAGGTCATAGAGCTTGATCCTTTATCTTATCTTGGATACAATCTGAAGCACGCAGCCCTTCATGGTGCGCAACGTTATGATGAAGCGATCCAGACCGTCGAAACGATGTTCTCCAAATTGGATGTTGCACCCGACGTTCGGACACGAAGCAAGCCTTTGAATAACACATTCGCCAGCATGTTCAATTATTTCTCCAGAGCTGCGCCACCAGTATCTCAGACCTTCTGAGGTAGAACGTGCTATTCAAAGGGTCATTGATGTCCGACTCGACAATGCTCCACTCCGTGTACTCGACACTATCACTGGTCTCTTATGTGATCGAGAGGCGCAGATAAGCGCCTTCAAAATGAGCATAGAGTATAAGAGGCTTGTGTCATCAACAATCACGCATCTATACCTCCCCATGAAGCACATCGAAGAAGTGGTGGTGACGTATCTCCAATATGCCGCGCTATCACACAGGTGGGAAGGGAAGGAGCCGTTGCTGCAGGATATTCAGGGCAAGGGCGTGTATGACTCGGAGTTGGATCCGGTTGGTGGCATGACGAAGTTGCGGTCCTTCTGCAACACTGCTCATGATGCGGGGTATAACTGGGCATGGAGTGATACATGCTGCATCGATAAGAGCAACAATGTCGAACTCCAGGAATCGGTCAACTCCATGTTCATCTGGTATCTCCACTCCGCGCTCACGATTGTCTACCTGTCGGATGTTCTGCCATCTTCAAAGTCTGGCGCACTGGCAAAGAGTGCTTGGAACACGCGCGGATGGACGGTTCAAGAATTCATCGCTCCCAAAGTCATTCTCTTTTATCAGAACAATTGGACTCTTTATCTCAATGATCGCACTCCCAACCACAAATAGTCCATCGCAATCATGCAGGAGTTGAAGGATGCGACGGGCATAGACCCACCAGCCGTTGCAGCCTTCCATCCCAGTATGAATGGCGCCAGAGAGAAACTCCGTTGGGCGTCAACCCGCGTTACCACGCGTCAGGAAGACATCGCATACTCGTTGTTTGGCATCTTTGGTGTCCGCCTGGCAGTAGATTATGGCGAGAAGCAGGACAAGGCTCTCGGGCGGCTCCTGCAGGAAATCGTGGCTCGGTCGGGTGACATCACCGGCCTCGATTGGGCCGGAAAACCATCAGAGTTCAACAGCTGTCTACCAGCCTCCATCACTTCATACGAAGCTCCACCATGCATGCTACCGCCCCTACCCGAAGATGACATTCAATCATCGGTTTCTTTGCTGCGAAATACGGTGGCTGTGGATTTCGCTTCGAAACTTTATACCCTGCTTCGCAACGTGAGCGCCCCTCGCTTCGCAGCACAGAGACTGCATCTGCCTTGTATTGCATTCAATGTCAGGGAAATCAGACGGATGCGTACTAGTCCAGCCCCAGAAGCTCATATTACGTATAAAGTGAAGGCCCACGGGCTTTCCGACTTGCGTGTCACTACCAAAGACACCCTATTTCGGTCCTCGCCGACGAGGCAGCACACTGAGCAAAATTTCGTTCTTGTCCGTCCCTGGGATCGGTCTCTCCTCGAGTTACCTGACTTTGTAGAACCGCCTGAATCTGTGGAACCGTCTGACTTTGGGAACGATACGGAGAGCGAGGAGGTTTGTTGGAGGCTGTCCTCTTCTCTGCCAAATGACTGGTCCAGTGATTATCCTGTAAATCAGGAGATGGTTGACCTGGAATCACGAGCATTGCGGTTGCTTGTTCGCCTTGGGCAGCCTTTCGGCGCATTTTTGCTTGCGCAGCAGCGCAGTGGAGAATACAAGAGGATCGCGTCGGATCATGATATCATTGGACAGGTTAGCGACGTGTCTTCTGTTGGAGACTTGATGGACATCAGGACCATAGAAATATTGTAGTCGGATTTTTTTTGTTTCAAAGTTTATGAATTTCTGAGCAGTTTGCATTTGCGCTCCACATCGTACAGTATACGTATCATATATGCATGTGTATCGGACTAAAGTCTTGTCACTTCACTACTTACCATTTCTTGCAACTTTAGTTCTTCCTGTAGAATTTTCGGAAGTGGGATAACTTGGCAGTGATCCACAACTCGGCATCACCTTGTCTTTCGATGAGTAAATATCACATGTCCCTATCATCCTTTGCTGTCTAAAAATTGTACATTGGCACGAGGGTGTCGTAGACCAATAAACAACATGGATGACTGCCATAATGATGGATGTCAGATCGGGACTCAAGGGACATCTTCGACGAGTAGGACGCAGGATATGTATTCAGTCGTTGGGAACACGTCATGAGAGAAAGATGCACTTACCAGCCTCCCCGACCCCTCCAACAGAACAGATAGCCATGTACTATCATTTTCCTGGAACGTGCACTTTGTCGGGAATGACGCGCAGCAAAGAAGGGCAGACATTCTTGGTGAGAGCTCTTCGGCGCTGTTACTGAGCCCAGTGTAGTGCAAGTACGTACGTAGGCAAGAGGTTGAACGTAGAAAGACGGTGAGATGCGCTGTGTGAAGGTGCTGCTAGTAAGCACGGCAAAAATACAATTATCAGCGCAAATATTCGATCTTGTCGTCGTCGTCCTTTCAGACCTTGGAGAACACGGGCATCAAAATTAAAGATGCACAATAAGACATGATTTACAGACTCTTTGTACTGGTCTACAGCGAGTCGTAAGGTGAGGGATCGCGAGACCTTGGACCTGAAAGTTCTTGTACCGTGAAAGATTGTTTCAAAGTTGTGATACTCACTTGATGTATGGCCAAGGATTGGGTCCATGTACTCTATGATTGATAACATAACATAGCTGAACACTGCAGCAACATGTCAATGATGAAATCCAGGCTCGCGTGACTTTGGTTCTAGTGAGACCTCACCGATGTTAGTAGAGTGTGATCATATGACCATCATGATCATATTGCATACTTGTGTCACGGTGGTGCAGGATTGGAAGGTTATTGGCAAACGAGAAAAACTGAAACCAGTTGGGCCGGAGGGTGGCTGAGAAACTGAGGAAGCGAGGGGGCAAAACGCTGGAAGCAAGGCTGACACCTTTGAAAACTATGATTTGGATAAAACGCGTATTGAAAGACGGAAACCACCCCATTTGGAGCGGGTTTGAGACGCGAGAAGAGAGAAATTTGGTTGTATATGGGGCACACGCAGATCTTGGGAATCGACGAGACGAGAAGATGATATTGCAGTAAGCTATATGCGCTCGCACAAGTTACATGATAGAGTGTTGAAGAAACTGCTGGACATGATCAACAATGATATTCATGCGGGGCAATCTACGTAGGACAGATCATCTAGCTTCCAGTCAGGACCAAGAAGTAGCAAATGCACCATTGCCATATGTTGGATAGGAGGAGATATATTCTGGAAGCTGTGGAGACATAGTCAGACGCATGTACACAGTGCAGTCGAGGAAGGCAGTTATGGAACTACTACCTCGTGTCCTGGGCGTCTATAGAAACGAGGTAGGTTAGCGTGGCTTATCTGCGTGCACACGCAAATCCTCACTCAGGCGCAATTCCACCCTTACAGAAGCCTGGACACACCCGAAGAATTCACAAAAGAGATGAGCGACTATGCAAAATCAGCTGCATTATTCCGCCCCGTTTCTAGAGCTATGGCTGGGCGGTTTACAAGTGCCGCTGTTCTAGATCTCGGGCCTGCACGCGCCTCCTGGACAGCCAGAAGAGAGTGCGGAGAGTATGAATGTGGCGGAGGAGAAGCAGAAAGAGGAAGTCAAGGAAGAAGCCCCGAAGGTGCATGCTGCTCGATTGGGCATGTATGGTGTTATGACGCGCGAGGTGTGTACGTGGCAGACTGCGCGGCCCGAGTCCACAGGCACAGTGTTAGCAGACGAATTCGCCGGTGCAAGCGCGGGAGCGACGCAAGTGGAGAGTGGGGTTCCGGAGGGTAACAAGTGTGACGTTGCGAATATCGGCATGGGGGAAGACGATGGGCGCGGGGATGATGTTCTCACGTATGAGCGCCCTGGGATGGATATTTTTAGAGCAATTTTTACAAGTGATGATGAGAAGAGCGACGAGGAGAAGGATTATATGGACAACGACGATGAAGTGGACGAGCCCCCTGCCGTGTAAACGAGGTCCGGATGTCAAGGCGCTACCAGCGAATGGTTGTCGTGGAAGATGTTGACCTGGCTGCGTTCAAGCCTACCTTCATACTCAGGGAATCCAAACCGAAAGACGCGGAGAAGAAGGAAAAGAAAAACAAGAAGCAGAAGAGTTCCAAGGGTGGCGAGCATATTTCCTTTGATGTAGCGGAGAGTCATTGTCGCCCACTGCCACACGCCAAAAACACCGAGATCGGGATAGCGAGAGGTCTCGGAAGAAGGAACGGAAGGATCGAGAGGGGGATGGACATGAGGATATGTGGGTTAAAAAGCCTCCGCCGTATATCGTGAAAGCCCTGCCTATCGCTGATATGTCCTCTGATGAAGGCGATCAGGTTAGTGGACAGGAAAGCGGACCTCCTGGTGTTCGTAAGAGGGCAATCGATTTCATGTAGTGCTATACACAGGTTCAAAAGCTAACGTCAATTTTGGCGTCTCTTGTAACGCTTTACCATGATGCAAGTATCGCCATGGACGTGCGGGTAAGTAACATCTGTATTATCGGCATTGGATATACTCTGGAAGCTGTGGAGACATGAGTCGGACACATGTACGCAGTGCAGTCGAGGAAGGCGGTTATGACTCGTGGGGAGCCTGGTTACTACAACGGAGGCGAACTACTCGTGTCTTGGGCGTCTATGGAAATGAATTAGGTTAGCGTGGTGACGCGGCATAGAAACGCACAATAGACGCACTCTGCAGCTTAGAGAAATACGCCCACAGTCCCTCAATCGTGCTCAACACGATCAACCTCCTGTAAAATGCCACAGGTCATTCCAAGCAGCACACCCATTCATCATGAGGATACCGTAGAAACAGTCGCAGTTCTCCCCGATAAGCGACGAATAGTTACGGGCTCGGACGACAAGACACTTCGTCTTTGGGACTTGGAGACAGGTGTTGTGTTGAAGAAGATGGAGGGGCATAGCAGCAGCGTATGGGCATTGACGGTATCTCGAGATGGGCAAATAATAGCAAGCGGTGATGAAAAAGGAGAAATGATTGCCTGGCACGGCGAAACTGGTGAATCTCTCACCCAAGCCATTGAAGCCCACTCCGGCCCAATCTACTCGGTGGATTTTTCACCGGATGGTGCGGTGCTGGCCACTGGTTCAAGGGATGGAACGATGAAGTTTTGGTGCACCAAAACGTGGCAGATGCAAGGAGAACCAATGAAGTGTAGTGATTATGTCTTCTACGTTCGATATTCGCCTTCTGGTGAATTTCTTGCCATCTCAACAACCGACAATATCCAAATTTATAATCCAGGCACAAGGGAATGTGTTGCATCTTTTGGGGGTTACAGCTTCTCACTTGCTTGGACGCCTGATGGCACACGCCTTCTTTCAGCAGGCAATAAAGACGATCCTACCATTCGAGAGTGGGATCCATTGACCTGGAATGAGGTCGGTCACCCCTGGAAAGGCCATACTAACCTTATTAACACCATTGCCATTCATCCCTCTGGCACCCTCGTCGCTTCTGCATCTTCTGATGACCATGTCCGTCTCTGGCGGCTCTCAGATCAACAAACCATCGCCATATTCAAGCACTCATCCCCGCCGGAATCTGTCACTTTCTCCGCGGACGGCAAGCACATCTTCAGCGGAGGCGTAGATAAAAAGATCTCAGAGTGGGACATACCGAAGACAGCATCCTTCACAGAGATCCTGGCCATCACGACAGCCCGCGATGCATGCATCGCTGCGGACCTGGACAACGCTGAACAGCTACTCACTCAAGAGATCCGCACCGACGCCGACGACTATACTTCATATGCCCATCGCTCATTCGTTATAGCCCGAAAACACGCCTGGGACCTCGCCCTTGATGATGCAATCAAGGTGAGCTATATTGATTTATCATGGCCCTCTTACTAAATGCTTCCTTTCATTCGTGACATAGTCCATCAGCATTCAGCCCTCATTGATAGGCTACATCTCGAAAGGGATTGCCCTCTGCGGAAAAGGCCATATCCGTGATGCCAGGATATCGTTCGACGTCGCATCCATGTTCACCAACCAAGATCCAGAAACGAACCATTTTCTTATCTTGATCAAGGTACATTGCATTCATCTCCCATATTCCCTGCTTCATTGCGTGTTTCAGGCCATCGCACTCTTCAATGCAGATCAACACGAGGAAGCAATGTTGCTCATCGAAGAGCTGGCTGCCGCTTGTCCGAATACCGATCCTCTCGCGCGTCATGTCGTGGAAGTAAGTGTCATGCAGCTTCACTTGATTATCGTTGCTGATCTTTGCAACTCGCACATTAGACACATCTACGCGTTCAGCTGGGAATAAAAGCCTTGGATGGCGCACGTCACGACAAAGCTACTGACCATTTCACTGTCGCTGTCAACTCAGGCGCATTCTCATCGAAATACATCCATGAACTATACGAGGACTTGACCGTGGTGCGTCAAGATGATGCATACATCGTGCTTTGCGTAATTGAGTGATTTAACCAGCTCTTTGGCTGGGATCTCGAGTCTTTGTGTCTCACCACTCACCAGAAACGGTGCCAGGCATTCCTTTCGGCAGGTAAACCTGATGAAGCCCTCGAAGCACACCAATACATGATGGACGCCATCGACGAAACTACGAAGGCTAGCTGCCTTGATTGGTCCAATGGCAAGTTTTCGGTGACGTCACCCGAGGCTACCATACTCACCTCCATTTCACTCAGAATTCAAGGGAAAATGTAATGCGCTCGCTGAGCAGAATGACCGTATTCTTGGTGTATGCACATCCTTCCTCAACTCTTTCGCTACTGATCGTTATGCAGGCGGAGATCCCGGGGCAAGAGCAAGATGACTATGATACAGAACCCAATTTCTTCCATGGAATGCATCAAGTGTGTACAATAGCATATCTTATTCCGTTATCTCTTACACTGTTCATTACAGCATTCTCAAAAATCCCGACCACGGCCGGAACGGCGCCACGGGCGTCTGAACAGACTGAAGCTCGCTATGACGATGACCCCTCGTTCAGCTCCCCTGCTACCACCGGTACCTGCACCTGCACCAGCACCAGCACCAGCTCCTACACCTATCACCCCACCATCAACCGCCGCTCCTACCACCCTCATAGCGCGGCTAGGAAACCTATTCCCCTGGAGGTCCGATCATACAACACCGCCCGTCGTCGATGTTCCGTTCGCGAAGGGTAAAGAGGTGCGATGGGTCGATTTTTTATAAATATGTCTTGGGTGTCTGATACGTAATCTACAGCGTAATGCTGCCGCGGATGCTCCTGGCAAAGACCCCGACATCGTACCTTATGAATATCAAGATCCGGATCCTACTCAACCGGACCCCAATACACAACAGCAGCAACAGCCATTAGCAGTGCAGGTAGACACCGGGGAACATGGACGCGGACGGTCGTGTTGCTGTTGCTAGAGGAATTGGCAGATGTCCGCGGTTATTTCAGTTTTACCGTCGATTTTGTTATGATATCTACACTGCTGTTTTGTCGATAGCTAATGCCCATTCATCCGAAATGTTGTTCATAACGGTCACTAAATCGATTACCAGAAACAACAGGACGATCTAGTGAAAACTGCGAATGAGCACTGAGCACTCGCACAGCTCCGACAGGATACTGTAAGTAGTCAAGACTGTCGTCCCTTAACCGTTACGCCTAGACCGTTAGGCCAAAAGGCAGTGATAATCAAAGCTCAAGCTTGATTATCTCGGACAGTATTTATGTTGATTATGGGAACTCAGGTAAGCAGGGGGCTTACAGATATTCAACTATCCCGCACAGTGCTTGGAGTCCGAGTGTCGAACAAATTGAGATGTGAATAGATTAGTGGTATACTTGACTGTATATACACGATCTTAGCTTCGGGACTGTAAGTAGCCAACAGAACAGTAGTCAACGAAATGGGATTACAAAGGGTTTCTAGTATTGGTGGCAACGCAGACGCCACACACCTTTACACAAATAACTATGTACTTCGAAGTGAAAGCAGCAATTTGGCCTCTGCGATATTGTTCATTACCAGCGTGGCTCCGCTACTACGGAGCCATACGTCAGACTCAAGTGTCCCCAACGTTCCTCCCCATTATACGCCTGAGCTCAGCTTCCTGAATTCTCGTCTGAAAATCAATCGTACATGGCTGCTCATTCGGGAGAATGCCATTCATGAAAGCCACATCATCCAACGGCTTCGTGCGATCCAACGTGAGCCGGAAGGCCCAAAGGACGAACGCCGCATTTATGAACACCGAGCTATGCCGCACGTTTATAGGAACACATGGGCCTATGGATGAACTGTGTGACCTTACCTATTTGCAACATGTTGTCCGGGACACACTCTAGAAGTAAACAGGATGAGAACATGACCAACCGCACAAAGATGGTGCCTACCGCCGACCAAAACCGAATACAAAGAACTTGAGGTCATCTCTCACGCGCCCTTCGGTATCAAGCCAACGATCAGGCTTGAATGCGTTAGGGTCTGGGAAGACGTCTGGATCGCGAGAGATGGCCCTGAAACAGCTATTAAATCAATCAAATTCGGAAGGAGAGCTCTGACCAGTGATTGCCAAATACTGTTGTCCCGGCTGGAATACGATAATCTTCCTGTTTGTACCGTCAGATCTAGCCTCGACAGGACGACGAAGGGTGCCCACAAAAACAACTACCTGTGTCGTGCGGTGTTGTATACCTTCATGCAGGTAAGCTATAGACATCAACTAAAAAGACGGGAGGTAATTACCCATAGGTATCAACGGCCTCCATCGCAGGGCCTCCGAAATGAAGGCATGAAGGCGAGGAAGTGATTTCTTGTCAGTGAATGCGGGTGCTAGAGTGAGTCAGCTTTTATATCGATGCCCCAATAACACGCGATCAACCTACCTCTGTCGGTCCCGATGACCGCGTCCAGCTCTTCATGAACTTTACGTTGTTCCTCAGGGAAACAAGCAGCTGCCATTAGTACTGTGCATATGGCGAGAGTAGTCTATAACACCTGAATCTAATTAAATTCAAAAGTGGTGATGCATGAGCTCACCGTGTCGGATCCAGCTGCAAAGACAGTACCAGCAAGGTAAGCTATCTCCAGCTCAGGCATTGCGTTAAAAATGTTCTTTTCCAAAAGATATCTTCCGAGCGAAGGACTAACTTCACCACCTCCCTGCTGTCGAGCATTTTAACATGTTATTGGATTGTATTATGCATACTTACTAACTCCTGTTTGAGACGACCAAGTTGCTCTATGAAGAGCTTCCGCGAATCTCGACAGCTGTCACGCAGCTCTCGCGCATACCAAGGAAGATATTTCAGCCACGGAATTGAATCTACAAGGTACGCGCCAGGGTGCAATGCAGCGCGGAATTTATCGGCAAACTCAATGACCCTTTTCACTTCAGGATCTGTCGCAGATGTAGGCGTGGTCTTTCCATATGCAATTCTCATGCTCGTTGCTGCTGCGTAACTTCAGTCCATTGATCAGCAACGCCACGCTGTAAGAGCTAGGACCTACGTTCGCGCATGATCCTGGAAATTGTGTGGATCATTAAGAATGTCAATGACAGTGCCCTTTGCGTATGAGGTCTGGAGCGGCTGATATGCCTCAGCTGCTTTTGGCTGGAGATGAGTGTGTATCGCTCTAAAGTGAAGAGCACGGAGAGCCATTAGATTGATATTTCCGCATTATAGCAAAAGACGAGCCTGCGCAGCCGACGGAACCTCTCGCCAGCGGGAACAAAGAGAATAACCATTCCCCCGCAGAGCAACTCTCCGGCAGCAATGAAACGAGGACGATCGACCAGCGATGCGCCTTGTTTCTCCATAATTTCAGCTGCAGCCTAAATTGTGTATATGTTAGCGCTCAGAATCCGGTGCCGACAGTGGGATATACTTTATATCGACCAATAACAATGTACTTCTCGATTCCTGTGCGTAGGGTAATGAGAGGGCCATACTCTTCAATCCATGACGCTACGGTAAGAAATCCGCTAAACAGCATTGTGAAACTATGAATGTTGAAGTAAGATTGAAACTTACTTGCGAGGAGGTATGAGATGGCCGCGAAGTCTCCACGTGAGAGGGGATGGAGGACGGGAAAGGCTGCTCTTAGTGCTACTAGTAGAAAGGTAGGTATGAGAAATCAAGGCTGTTACGCATAGACAAGTTGCGCCAATGACAAGTCGAGCGTAATCGGACAATCGCAAGTCGGTCAGCTGTAGCATGGTCGGACAGAGTGAAGCTTGATGGGGCTTGAAATGCACTGTACGCCGTACGGTGACTTTTAACATGACAACTGGATGAACGTGATTGCGATGTGTTCACCGGCTTTCTCGCAATGACGAAGCTTGCTGGTAGCGATCATGGTAAGTCAAGCTACCAAAGCAGATGATGCGTTCTTTCTTCTGTGGAAAGAAAGCAAGGAAATTTTGGAAGGACTTAGGAACCCCGATAGGGCTATGGGTGTCCCATCCTAACATTGTGGATCCAGATCGTTGTTTTCGTATGAAGTGCACTAGAGCCCCTATTTTTTAGACCAGGTAATGAGCTGAGTTCCAGTGAACTGGATAAGGAGGCCTTCAACACGATGTCGCCCGATATTCAGGCCCACGTAAATTAGCTCCACGTCCAATGTAAGTTCAAGAAATACTGGAGTCATGCACACCTTCATTACTAATTGCGCCCAGGTGCAGCGGTACCTGTAGGATGCAGATCTTGCCGTGTGCTGCCAGTGAATCCGATACTATGTTCCTGGGGCCTACTAGTGTTGCCAATAGCCCAGTTGTGATTAGACAGTACCAATCACATTTGAGGGACTTAGTCCAAAATGGTTGGAGCACGGTGCTCCTCAATTCTCCTGTAACAAAATAATGTGACGTATGTATACCAGCTGGCCAGACGCAACATATGAGAATATCAAACTTTTTCGCGCGCGGAAATATTCAAACGTTCAAGTTCAACGTCGTGTTAAGCTGCCTCAGTATTACAAATGATAACGTTAGCCGAGCCGGTGGTCGTTATATGCAAGCAATTGACAAATTGAGAAACCAAATACATAATACAAAAGAGCGGTTTAGCGCAGAGAAGCCCCGCACATGACTATTTTCCGGATGGAGGTTCTCAACCCTCAGAGCTTGGGCTACAAGCCTTGTGTTTCTATAATGTTTGCGCGGAAAAGAAAAGCAGCGTGAGATAGGTATATGTCAAAGTGGGCTGACAAAGCTTGGGCCAAGATATGATCAACGCAGAGTCTTCCGGCGACCGACTCAGTCTCACAAGCTCTTGACTTGCGTTGATCCACTGGCAACTGTATTTTGTTATTTCAGATGCTAAATGAGTCACATAGACTTACCTGTCATCACAACTGGGGATTCTAAAAAGCCCCTCAGCTCAGAGGAGTGCCCATCTGACTATTTTCCGGATGGAGGGTTCAGAGCTTGGGCTACTGCATTTGGAGGGTAAGATAGCTACTGAGTACCGCCGCAATGCTTATGACCATGCCCCCCCTCTCGTAGCTTTCTTGTGCAATTTTGCACGTACGGGTGAGCTTTAAGGCTAATTTCACGGGCCACTGGCAGTTCTATTGAAGACATTCAGATATACAATGTCGTTCGGCGTTTATCAAGGTAAGATCTAATTTTCTCAAAGGGAGCTAGCTTGCCAAGAGCGTAACTTTGGTTCAAAGATTTCTATGCTCGGACTTATATAACGAATCAGTCTCCCTCGACAATTGCGTGCGTCGTACTCCTTTGGCACTCATGTTTCTCATTTTATTTGCCTCCAGCTGGATCGGCAGCGTGAACGCCTTTCTTTTCGAAATTTGTGGCTTGATAAGTGGGCAGCTTTATGATCGAGGATATTGGTCAGTCAAATTTGCAGCGTGGTCTTCACACGGTAGTCATAAGTATGAAATGTCGGAAGCCGCCAATTGGTTATAGGCGCATCTCTCCTTCAAGTAATCTCGCTTTTCATGCTTTCACTTGCCAAACCTGATCAGTACTACCAAGCAAGCACATATTGCTTATCTTATGGATCATTTACTGACTACGGTAACAGGTATTCCTTTCGCAGGGCATCGGGTCAGGGTGCGCTGCCGGTTTGCTTTATATCCCCACCATGGCTGTTGTTTCGCAGTATTTTCGCAAACGACGCGAATTGGTGATGACCTTCGTTGCTTCAGGAGCTTGCTTGGGCGCTGTGGTGCACCCAATAATGCTGAACAACACCCTGAATGGCCGCATTGGATTTGCCAATGGAGTTAGAGCTAGCGCTGCCCTCATCAGCGGATTACTGTTCATAGCATGTTTCCTCATCAAGCCGAGGTTCCCCCCATCTAAGGCATCAACAACATTTCTTGCAACCGCAAAGAAATGTGCTCATGATCCCGCCTATATATTTGGGACTGCGGGGTACGTTGATGTAGACCTAATGAACGTAGACTCATTTTGAATTGATTAGATTAACCATTTTTGCTATTGGATTCTACTATCCCTTATTCTACCTCCAGCTCGACTCGACTATGCATGGGCTCAGCAAAACTTTCTCCTTTTATTCAGTTGAGTCCAATAACCCTCATTTGTGAAGATATCTTGAACCTGTCAGCTTGTAATCATGAACACATCAAGTTTCGTAGGACAGCTGTCAAGTGGCTTGCTTGTTGAATACTTTGGTGTCCCAGGAGTCATGACGGTTTCAACGTTTACCGGCACTGTCTTACTTTTTTCCTTGATCGGATTGCGCACCCTAGCCAGTGTGGTGGTAATTGGTATTCTTTATGGGTACAGCGCTGGAATTTGTAAGTTGCATACCATGGCTAGCTATACTCGCTCACCGTTTTTCTCTACAGTTCAAGCGCTATGGGCACCGGTTCTGGCTGTCTTATCGCCAGATCGATCTGACCTAGGGTATGCCCGTTCCTAAAAGCACATTTGCAACGAGACGTGAAACTTGTTCGCAGAACCCGCATGGGCATTTCCTACGCCTTCATGGGTAAATATTAGACAATTTCAATTTGATCCTGTGCTCATATGGACCCTAGCTATCGGAGGGTTGATAGGTACATAGACATCCCACGAGTGATGCTCACTTGCTGAATCAAGGTGTACAATTCAGGCCCGCCGATATCAGGAGCATTGTTAACAGGTGATTACATCTGGTGGCGCGGCGCAGTTTTTAATGGGGTGAGCATGTACTGCATCTTGCCGATGAATAACGCTCAGCCAATACAGATCGTGGGTGCAATTGGGTGCTCGTGTTTCATCGCCATGCAAATAGTACTCAGGCGGGGGGGATCATGTTTCTCAGTAACGAGGTCGAATAACAAGTTATATAGCCTCTCAGTAAGTACTATACTGTCAAGAAACGTCTCACAATATTATGTCGTATTTTCTCATCGCCAAATCAGCAATTCCACGCTCAAAAGCCGACTCACAGTACAGAAGTCCAAGGTTTCAAATATTACTCCTTTTCATAATGTACAAAGTGATTGGACGAGCAGTCTATGATTTATTGACAGACATGTGAAACATTCCCTAAGCATACAAGTCATCATCCTGGGAGTCATCCGCGAAACCAGTGTTGCCAGCGGGCGCGGATGAGGCGCCGCCAGCAGATGGTGCGCCCTCTGGGAATCGGAAGTTGTTACCAAATCCACGTGATTGTTGCAGGTTCTGGAAAGGGGACAGATTAGCCGATTTATGTATAGCGAGTGATAGATCATACCTGGGAGAACATCTCGTACCGCCTGATGTCTTGGTCTGACACCGACCGACGAGCATACTTCATCGCCTCCTCGAAGTGCTCTCTTGTGATCTCAGGAACAGGATCTTCCTCATCTTCCTCCATCTTGGCGTCCTCGGCGTCTTCCTTCTCCTTCTGCTCACGCTGTCTCCTGATGTCAGACTCAATGCTTTCGCGAATGGCCAATTTTGCAGCACGCTGACAGATCTCAGTGAGATCAGCACCGGAGAAGCCATGAGTCTGCTTCGCCAAGAACGAAAGGTCCACGTCTTGGGAAATGGGGGATTTCTTCAGGGTTGCCTCAAGAATAGCCAAACGAGAGACTTCATCGGGCAAGGGAATGTAAATGAGCTGGTCAAGACGTCCGGGACGGAGTAGGGCAGGGTCAATTTGATCAGGACGGTTAGTGGCGCCGATGATGAAGACGTTTTTCTTCGCGTTCATACCGTCCATCTCCGTCAATATTTGGTTAAGAACACGGTCCCCTGCACCTCCTCCGTCGCCCGATGAGCCGCCACGTGCCTTGGCGATGGAGTCAAGCTCATCGAAGAACATGACGCAAGGTGCAGCAGCACGGGCTTTGTCGAACACATCACGAACATTGGCTTCTGATTCACCGAACCACATCGTGAGCAGTTCAGGCCCCTTGATGCTGATGAAGTTGGCTTGACATTCGTTCGCGATGGCTTTCGCAAGGAGTGTCTTACCCGTCCCCGGAGGGCCGTAGAACAAGACGCCCTTCGACGGGGACATACCATATTTGAGGAACTTCTCGGGATGCTCGACGGGGTATTGCACCGTCTCCTGGAGCTCGAGTTTGACTTTGTCAAGACCACCAATGTCGTCCCAGGTAACTGTGGGTACTTCGACAGCAGTCTCGCGAAGTGCGGACGGGTTGGAGGTACCGAGGGCAAAGCGGAAGTTATCCATAGTGACACCGAGGGAATCCAGCACTTCGGCGTCAATTGTGTCCTCATCAAGATCAATGAGATCCATCTTTTCACGAATCTGCTGCATAGCAGCTTCTGAGCAAAGAGAAGCTACGTCGGAACCAACGTAGCCGTGTGTATCGGCGGCAATCTGAATGGAAGCGTCAGCAATGGCATAACATATTAGTAGACAGTTGCTTTACCTGCTCAAGATCGACGTCATCGCCCAACTTCATGTTCTTCGTGTGGATGCGAAGAATCTCCAGACGGCCAGTAGGGTCTGGAATACCAATGTCGACTTCACGGTCGAAACGGCCAAAGCGACGAAGAGCAGGATCAATGGAGTTCGGCCGGTTGGTAGCAGCCATGACAACAACATTCGACCGAGCCTTCAAACCGTCCATAAGAGTGAGCAGTTGCGATACAACGCGACGCTCGACTTCACCGTTCGTCTATCATATCATCAGAGAAGACAGTATAAATACTCATCCCCACGTACTTTTTCACGCTTAGGAGCGATGGAGTCAATTTCATCAATGAAGATGATAGCAGGCGAG